AACTAGAAATTTTCAAAAAAATATGTGAATGCAGAGTTTTCATTCTAGGTCTATTTCACACCCTCCAGAATTTTTAAAGTGATTGGAAACTTGACGAGGTTAAGGTTCAATTTTTACAGTACTCGGTTTCAGAAACCGAAACTGCTGAACATAAAAAACTGCTAAATTCTTTCCTACTACCCTGAGGCAATGTAACCAACCTATCTGGGCAAAACCTTAATTGAACTCTGCAAGTTTATAGACCAGGGACAACATTTTTCAGTCCAGTTCCGGAAATTTCTCTAATTACGTCAATAGGGAGTGTCACTGATAAGAAGTGTACGACAGAAAATTATGAAAAAAATAATGAAAGGTCATCAGGAAGCTAGAAACCACCGAACATCAAGGAGGTAAATGAAAAAAAAAGAAAGTAGGTGATGAGTCAGGGGTCACAAAAAAAGAAACAACAACACATGTTCAATCTGGTTTGGATGGAGAAAGAACCATCAAGAAAAAACACTTGAAACTGAAGAGAAGTGTGACGGAATGTGGCACCCGGATCAGATAGAATTAGCGACAGTTGCCTCCAGATAGTCTGATTTATGAATTCGTTGTGTAAAGCTGTGTCAGAAAGTTCCAGAATTGAGTAATAATGTATTTCCTCTATTAGATGCCTGCGCAAACTGTCAACTTTGAGCCCAATTAACTGGATTTCTGTGAAAGAAATCAAAAACTTGTTAACTGACAAATGATTTATCATAATGTGACCAATATTTTATTAGTTGACAAAACTTACATACCTTCCTCTGAAATCTTAATAATTGAACTCAAAATTGACAATTTGAACTTACTCCTATCAGAGGAAGATATATTTGACTTTGCGAGTGAAAATGCTTGAAAGCGAATTGAAATCCAAAAAAAACAATTGAAAAAGATTTCGACCACGGCAGGATTCGAACCTACAATCTTCTGCTCCGTAGGCAGACGCGTTATCCATTGCGCCACGCGGCCACAGACACAAGCAGTGGCGCTAGCAAAAGACAAGGCAGAGAAAAAGGGGAGTCACCGACACCCATTTCGCAAAAAAGGAAAATATTGGAAAAACGATTATTATTTATTTGGCAAATGAAACCAGTAACTTTTTACATTCGGAGAAAAGAGCAAGAAACGAGTGGGAAGTAGGGGTCAATCTATTTTGAGCTCTATAAAAATGCTACTTTTTTGTGTTGCTGCCGGAATTGGATAAGAAGGAAGTCGTCGCATTGGTAGGCGTTTTGTGGTCCCGCTCCCATCAAAGAACAACATAGTTTGATGTTGTTTAGAATGTTTGGGATTTAAAACTCCTCTAATGAAATTGGGTTTTTTGTGCGAGAAACTTTTGAGTAAAGATTTTTCAGTTGATTTTCAACCATTTTCGACCATTTTCATGAGTCTGGTGCTCGTCTGATCAGCTTCCTATCATTTTGAAAACTTTGGAGTCTGTAAATCAGACCTTGATTGAAAACTCTCCATTTACAGAATATTTGAAATTTCCTGATTAAACCTATTTCTTGATTTTTTGAAAGACACCTGATTTTTCTTGTGTCAGTACGAAAAAGGCCAAATAGACTCCTTTTCGGCACGTTAGTACAATAGCGGGTCAAAAAGGCGTGTCTTTCAAAAATCGGCTAATAGCTGAGAAACAAGGAAAAGTCAAAAAATTCTGTGAAAGCGAAGTTATCAATATAAGTCTGTTTAACACCCTCCAAAGTTTTCAAAGTGATCGGAAACTTGACATTCGAGTTCAAGACTCTTGAAAAACATCTAAATGGCAAAAAATCAACGGAAAAATACGGTTTCGTATATGTTTTTGACCGGTACTGCATAAATGTTACACAAAAAACTGTGAAAAACAGAGAAAATTAGTTATTTCGACTAATGCGCAAGCATGTAAAAATGTATGCTGAGCCGTTTCCCTCCAACGCTAATTAATTTGCTAGACTAGGGGGAGGGGGGTCCTTCTGGAGCACTTGAACGGAAAATTGGAGAAAATCCTCTCTTCCGCCATATCCTTTTCGAGCTGTACTTCTCTTTCGACATGCATAACAGAAAAACTGGTTGTGGTTTTTATGATACACTCAAAAGTATGAAGATGTATCAAGATGTGTCACTCACGTTGATGGGTAGGTTCAATAATATCAGACATTCGTTGCTGGTCCTTGGGATGAAAGGTGGGGAGGTTGATTGGAGGTTATCACAACTGAATGATAAGAATTTTACGAAAATTTAAAGAGGTGGAGGGAAAAGGACGATCTGTCAATTTTTTTGCGGAGAGATTTTGGTGGTTGATGACAGTTGCTCTTCTCGGCTAGAGAAGAGCAATTGTTGAGGATAGGGATGAAACTTGAAACAGAAGAGACGTTCTTGTGACAACAATTAATCTTTTTATCCGGGGCTGGATTCAACGTGTAGAAAAGAAGAAACATTCAACCATCAGAGATGTATGATGTTGAGGATCTCCCACATAATCTCCCACATAGCTTCATACGATCTAAGAGTTTTAGAAGACGTTAGATCATTCAGAGCAGCTGAAAGTTTGAAGAACACATGAGAACACAAGGAAACTGATCATATCCGTGCAGCGGAAATTAAAGAAGTACCAACTTGTTTACTGTATGCCTTGACTCACCTTCATAGGAACCAAGTAGGAGCCAAGTGGATTTCAATAGCTCTATCATGATAGCTTGACTGATTCTATACAAGTATTCTTGTTGTGGAAGAGATGATGGAGCCGTATGAAGATAGACATACATTTTGACAGAGGTTTCTCAAATTTGGACCAAGAAAAAAAAATTCATAAAAATAATAAAAAATATCTCGAGTCGCCCAAGAAAATGTTTACTATGGTGGAGAGGCTCATCTACTGAGCAATGAATAAATTTTTGAACTGGCTTATAAACAATAATCCTATTGTGTTACGAACACTATCAGGTCTAGACCGGAAAAGGAAGCAAACTTTCGGGAAATTTCAGGGGGAAAATGTTAGAGGGTTCTGATTGTTTACCACACGAACTTCCGAACTGGTTTGTCTGGAACACAGTTCAAACTATGTACGAATGAATTCGAAAAATCTGAAATTCTGTTCTAGATTAAAGAGAAAGAAAACGTGATTCGAATAAACCTATTCCAGTTGAATGATGTATCTGAAGCGATTATTCACATTAAGGCTCTAAACTTAGAAATCGCTGAACAGAACATGTGTACTTGGGATTAGTTGATACGATTTCAGAAATAGAAATTGATATTCAACATTTCGTAGGCGGATGATAAGGCGAATGATAAGCTTTTTACAGAAAATTATGAGAATGAAACAATGCAAAAGAAATTTTGAGAGAAAGTTCACATTTCTTATACATCAAAACATGAATATTTTCATTCATCTGGTCCTGAGAGTTGGTTCAATGGTGGACACCAGTAAACATGTGAATTTTTATTGAAGAAACAGATGCTTTTTTTCTCGTTTGAAATCTATTGCAGAAAACAAAAAAGATCAGTGTTGAAGAATTATTGCTCAAAGTTCAGAGAAAAAGTTTTGAAAAAAATTTCAAAGTAGAGGAGACAGGACAGTTTTTAGGGTTTACATCTGCCCCTGCTCTGGTAGCAACATGGCACATTCAACAGGTGGCCCAGCAGTTTAACATCTGGGGGCTACTATGAACAAAGAAATGAGAAAATTACTTTTTGAGGCCTACCCTTCTTTAAAAGCGGCTACTACCAGGAAATTGTTGCAAATTCGAAAAATCGCTTCGAGACAAAAGCGTGAGATAAAAACACTGGACTTAAGAATTCAAGAATTTTAATTTTAGAAATGTTGAAATTTTCTTCTGAAGCGATTTTCCAGGTTTCAAAATTTTAACGTTTTTTTTTCGTGAAAATAATATAATGAGGTTAAATATTTTCATAGTATAACAAAGATTTTGCTAGTTGACCACTTTCTGATATCTTTCACAGGAATTAAGATATATGGGTTTAAAGTTTACTGTTATCATTTCTCTAACAAAAAGAAAATTACAAATTTGAACTTTGAGCCAATTTATTTTGGTCCCTGTGAGATATATAAAATAGTGGTCAACTGGCAAATATTTTTTTAAATATTATAATAAATATTTTGTCAGCCGACCACTTTTTGATATCTAATACAGGAAGTGAGATATAGGAGTTTAAAGTTTCAAGCCATTATAGTAGAGAATGGTATATCAGTTTTCCACAGAATGGGTCAAATTCTTGATGGTTGTAGAAGTTTTCAGAGCCATATTTTAAACATTGTGATATCTGCTCTCTAATCATGTGAAAACACGGATAAAAACACAAAACATTCAAAAAATGCCCACTGTTTGCTTTCTTCGGAAATCAAAAGACCAGGCTATTCCTGTTTTTGGAAGGGAGAGCAGAAAAACTGTTCAAAGAATGATTGCACACCACTGTTATCGTTGTTATTATTGTTTGTTATGGTAAGTGTGTTGTTTGTGGTTAACGTTCTTCCCAAAAATTCAATCCCCTCTCTTCTTCTTTTTTTCCACCAGCACACATTCGCAAACGGTGACATATACACAAGGGAGCTCATTGGAAATGCTCAAAGAGAGTGGCATTTGGGAATTCTTCTCCGAGGGACGCGCAACTACTGACCATCACCCTCCCACCCAGACGACTTGGCGCGTCCCGTTTCTTTTGCCTCTGTGTGTCTTCTCTCTTGTGCACCACGTTCTTCACCACGTTCGGTTTTCCTTCCGCGAGCCATCTGCCCCGCGATGTGCTGTGACGAATGGACCGCCCGCCCCGCCGCTCGCGCTCTTTTTCTCTAGTTCCATCTCTGTGGCCCTTAGCCCCCTCCAAAACCTCCGTGCTCGCCCAGGGAGAGCTTCTTATATTTGCCACTTACTCGTGTAAGAACCAGTCGAGACTTTAGTGTTCGACTGGTGTTATCCCCCCCCCCCACCCCCCCGTAAGTCGGGCTAATCACAATGATATGGTCTGATTTTAAAATGTACAAGGACCATCTTTATATGATACCGCATGCGTTGGTAGGAGGGTTATTCCTTCTATCGGTGCTCCCGAGGATTTCGGAGCCACTTCGAGTCAAGTTTCAAATCACAGCTCACGCGGTCCTATCTTTACTATTTTCTGTGGCTGCTCCATTATTTTTGAAAGCAACAGTAAGTATGGGTTAGGCAATTATAATACTGGTCAATAAGAGCCATAAAGTCCATAAGACACAGAAAATCGTAATGTTAATTTGATTTTCTGACATTACGACCATTTTCAAAAGTCTATAGCTCGGTTGTAAAGATTTAAATCACTTTTGAAATTTTCGATAGTGCAAAATAGGCCCAGATTAATAATTTTGCGTTTCCAAAACTTTCGAAAATCCTAGTTTTTCAGTTATTCACCGATTTTTGAGAGGCACTTTTTTTTAGACCACTTTGAACTGTTTTTCTCAAACGATCCCAATTTGGAACGCTATTGTGAAGAACTGCCCCACCTTCTTACCACCCTCACAATTCCAAAAACTTCTTGAGATCTCGATTACCCGTTTCTGACTTGCCCCCATCCCTTTGATCTTGCCACTATCTCTCTTTTCCTTCCCCACATTAGGATCAACTCTTGCGGGTTAGTCCTTCTTAGCTTCGTTTTTTACTATTTTCTTTCCCCGGTTACCATCACTCCGTACTTCTTCAAATCCTTCGAATAAACGAAATATATATAACTGAAAAAGAAAAAAAACCACGTGTCGTTCAGATATCGGGAAATAGCTGAAAAATTAGGAAATCTCGAAAAATTCTGTGACTGTATTAGTCAATTTAGGTCTGTTTTATATCCTCGAAAAATTTCAAAGTGATCGAAAACTTGAAATGTGACCTCCAGACTCCTGAAAATGGTCAAAATGACCGGAAATCAAAACTTTCAGATCAAGGGATCCTTCACCAATGTTCACGGATTCATTCAAGCCTTTTGCGCATCTCTTCACGTAAGTTCATCCGCTTTTTATGATTTTACCTCACTTTTAAGAGCTTTAGGTTGGTGTTGGCTATTTCCTCTGGAAAACCCAAAAACTCGGAAAACCAGAACGCGCAGCGATCTTCTCTCGAGTCCTATCCTCTTTCATCTGCCTTATCTTCCGACTCTTCGCTTTTATGCACATTTCAGGAAAATCCGCGAAAGGATTGGAGCTCTCTAATCAGGTAACTCAGTCTCCAAATAATTTTCCAGTGACCAAGTACTCTTTCAGTACCTCTACTGTGTAGCTTTTACCGATGGTTTGTGGTTCTTCTCTGAGGCGATTCGCATGTACCGCACCACTAAAACCAACCAAGATGAAATTGAGGCAATGGTCAAGAGAACCACTTTATGGGTTGAGGTAGGGCCGACTTTTATGACTTTAGATAGGGATTAATCCATCTTTCCTGGCGCCATATGGACCAAGGTGTCTTTATTGCAGGGTAAAGGTACCTTTTACATCGAAAATGCATTCTATTTGGACGCCGGATTGACGCTGGTTTACGCAATTATTCACATCTCGTTCCCTCAACATGTGCTCAGTTTAATTGTGGGTCTAGAAAATGAATGAAATGAATATGAAATAAATTTTTATAGCTCAAACCGGATAATAAACTCGATTCCCATCACTACCTATGGTGTCGATTGTTTGGTGCGCTCAACCTGATGCCAGTTATCACTTCAATGAACGCGAGATTTTTCTCGCCAGAAATGCAAGTGGCTTACATCGCGAGTCGTTTACTGGTAAGTCTAATGTTGATTCAAATCAGATGATCTAACCCTAGCTCACCTGATAATCAGTCAGCCTTGATAGCCTAGAAAGTAGCCATATCTTTAACAAGAAAATGAAACAATGGGGAAGAAGAAAGAGGAATAATACAAAATTCAAATCTCTAAAAGGGGGCGGGCCTAGAACCCAGAAGAAAAAAATCGCAACATATTTGTTCTGACCATTGCTGACGACACCAATAATTTTGACACCAGCACCAAAAATACAAATTTTCGTACCCATGATTCAGTTCAATAGCTCTGAAACGTCACTGAAAAGGTCAGAAGGCGTACGACGTAAACAAAAAATGCTGCTTAAAACTTTCTAAGATCACGTTTTCAGTCTCAATGCACTGTCTTCTTGCTCAATATCTACGGCCACTGGATACTAACGGTGTACTCGGCAAATCACATCACTGCTTTCATGCTCAGCGGATTCTTCACGTCATTTTTGTTCTCGGCGTTCCACCGTATCCACAAAATATATTTTGTGACGGAGCAAGAAGAAGAGGTTGTTTATGAAGAAGTGGTGGAGGGATCGGAAGCGTCGAGTGATAAGAAAACCGATTAAGCGGATCAACATAATCGGACACCACCAAGAGGCACAAAATGAAATATTCACATCCGGATATTTTTGCTCAAAAAAAAAATTATAGAATATGCTTTTGAAAACTCATTTACTTACAACTTATTTATTTTGCGTACAGACGAACACAAATTTTGCTAGAAAAGTGTTTGAAAATTACAGAAGGAGCGCATACAGTGATAGAAGCCATGTCCAACGGTTAACTTTGAGCTTGTATATCTCAATTCCAGGTAGAGATAACAAAAAGTAGCCAACTGATAAAATTCTTGTCATAGTATCACTAATATTTTATTAGTTTACACACTTTTGATATTGACGACAGGAATTGAGATAATTGAGCTTAAAGTGTTTTTATGGGGCGTCTTTTTGTTAGAGTGAGAGTGTTTACGGTATTTTAACATAACCAAACTTATTGTTTTTGTTTTCTAGTGATTTTTGAAACTTTTCTTTTATCTCAGAAACCAAGATAAACTGCAAAATGGCCTGAACCGTGTCTAAAAACCAATTTCAACGGTTGAAAATTAAATCACTAGTGGAAAGATCATTTAAAAGTTTTATATACTCGAAACAATCTGACAGTGTGCTCCTCAAACCATCAACTTCAAGCCGATATATCTTACTTCCTGTGAATGATATCAAAAATTTGTCAACTGATGAATTACTTATCATAATATCATCATTATTTCAGCAATTGACAAATTTGTAATAATTTTCACATGTAACGAGACAATCTGGCTTAAAGTTGAGAGGCCATTCCATTAGAGTGTTTAAGAAAATCACGAATTCAAGAATTTGAACCGAAACTAGCTCAGTTTATGTGCTCCTTCTGATTTTCAAGCAACTGACCTACAACAAAATTTTGTTCATTCTATATATTTTTTCTTTTTTAAAACTTTTTCTCTTTCAAACTTTTGGCGTTCACTGTGTTTTGCCTTCACTGTTCCTGAATTTGTTTCGGTTTTCAACTCATTCAGCTTTTCCTCTCTCTCATTTTTTTTCACTTCATTGGTTTTGTTAATATTATTTCATAACTTTTCATAACTTTTCCGTTTTCTCAATTTTCCGATAACTCATTTCTTGCTCATCAACCAACCAGATTTCCGTTATAAACCTAATTTTCATAACTAATAAATCATTTTATATTCACTACAAACTCTTTCAATCTTATTTGCCGTTCTCGTCAAACCCATTGAAACTCATCATTTCTTCCTCAAACTTTCAATACTACTGCGGAAGAAGACGAAGAGGTCGATTCAAGTAGAATGAGACACTTCCTTCTTTCTAATTCTGTGTCAAATGGAAAACCGCGTGTTTAAACTGGCCTCCCGCGCGTGTGTCTGTGTGGGCCTGCGCGTCTTCAAGCTTCAGGACGTCAGAATAATTGTGTCTTTGTTCATTATGTGAACGTTATGAACAAGAATTGGTAATAAGGTTTTACATATATGAGCTCATATTCATTGTGACCTTCGATAGGGCTCTAGATCCTATACTATCGAGTTTCACAACATTTCCTTCATTTTGAAATCGGGTTTCTTAGAAATTTGACTTTCCAAGAGATTCGAAAAGGATTTAAAGACACTAACTTTTCTTCAAGTTCAGACGCTCTAAATTTGGAATGAGACACAGAGGAAAATCATGGAATAACATGTTGTGTGATCCTGCTGCTAAAACATAACGTTCAGATTTGTTTTTCCAGGAAAACAGTGTTCAAAACACGTCCACACACCTGCCGTAGTGGACAGTTCAATTTTTGATTTAATATTTTTTCGAATTTCAGATTATTGATTTTCTAGCTGAATTTATAGAAGTGAGCCCGAACGAAATTTTAAAAATTTGTTAGTTTTAAGATTTAAAAAAATGAAGGAGACAATTTTAACCAGATTCAGTTGTTCACATTATTTTTTCTAATAGAAGCCTGTCCAGATTGTCAACTTTGAGCACAATTATCTCAACTGTTACTGTAAAAGATATAAATTATTTGTCAACTGATAAATTGTTTATCATAATTTTGCCATTATTTTATCAGTTGACAAATGTTTTATATCTTTCACAGGAATTGAGATAATTGAGCTTAAAATTTAGGATACGGGGGTCTTTTATTTGAGGTAATGCAAAAAATTGGTATTCACCTGAAATGTTCATTCAGTGCATCGAAAGGCTGAAAATGACATTTCCAGTCATGTTGTTTGTACTATAATTTGCTCTTCTCTTACTCGTGACCAGGACAGAATAATTAATTAATTTCACTTGATAGGCGTTCTCTAATTTTCTCGCTTTTGAAATGTTTTCAGCTTATTTTGATGTATTCATACCTCTACTCCCTTGTAAATCATATTTTCAGCATTTCACAACCCACGTGCCAAAATCCATTATCCTCTTTCGCATTTTAAATTGCTTTCTGCTCGATTTCTCTCAATCGCATTGGCCATTATACAACGCATTTGTTATTCATAATCTCTTTTTCATTCTCGCCCATTTCCTCTCACTATTTTCTCCAAACACCACTCCGTGGTGCGATAATTTTAAAAATCGGAGTCTTTCTGTTTATTGACCTTTGAATCAATAAGCGCGTTTCAACTAGACAAACACCTTTTTTTTTTCTTCCTCCATCTTTTTCTCTCCACCGACCCCCATAAGTTTCTTCGTAGTCCTGGTCTCGACCCGATGTCTTACAACCAGCTTCTGTGGAACTTTGTCGTTGTTTGGTTTTTGAACAAGCCTTCTTTATATCGAAAATCATCTTCCTAGATAGATGGAATAGCATATAGTGAAATAGGAGAGTGAGAGAATTAGATTGAATGTGTGTGTGTGTCCGTAATCGAATGAAAATTACGACATACTCGGTTACGTTTTCAATTTTCTTTAGTGTGTTGGTCGTGTAACCATTGTTTTCCTTGCTATTCTGTTTAACAAGTATCACATTTATCAGGATGGGTCAATGTTCACATTTTTGATATTTTTCGAAAGAAGATTTCTTGAATATTCACAGCTGAAATCAAAATTAGTATTTGTAAAGTGCAAAAATATGAAAAAAAATATGTTGGCTTAGACTGAATCTTAAAAAATGAGATAACTGCCTAGATAATCCATTGCATTTCCTCTAATAGTAGCTCATTCAAACCGTTAATTTTAAGCTCAATTTTGTCGATTCCTGTGAAAGATATCAGCATTTTGCCAACGGATAAATTATTTATCATAATATCATGAATATTTCATCAACATGCGAAATTTCGATATCTTTTACAGGAATCGAGATAATTGAGCTTGAAGTTGGTGACGTGGATGGGCTTTTATTAGAGGAAATACGACAATTGTTTTCTAAAAAAATTTTTTAAAAATTCGATAAAACTTTTTTTCCATCATCAGGTTGAAAAGAATTCTTTTGAATTAACTCTATAAGAATAACGCTAAATTTGTGCTTTGGGAATCATAGCTCAAAAAATCTATTACACTTTTATCAGGTGCTTGGCATGACCCACTAGTTTAATATGAAAGCTCTTTTGCCCGGCTGTTAGTGTAAATTAAATAGAAAACTTTCGCAATTCGGAAAATTCCTAATCTCATGATTCTTGATTTGTGATAATACAGAATACATAATTTTCCTTTAATTATGTTCTCTTCAAAACCCCCTTTTTTTCTTTCTTTTTTCAACTTTTTCCTGAAACATAATAAATTTTTTTCTTTGCATTTTCTATTCATTCCTCTCTTGTCCTCTTTTTCCTCTCCATTATTCTAGAAATGTATAAAAATGTGTCCTTTGTGTGTCAAAAAGTCATAATGCTTCTTCTATTTCCCCTCGTCCCACGTCACCTCTCCCAGAAACAATGCAACACGACTCTTCGGTGAGTAATGACGGGTATGCGGTAGGGCGCGAATGCAACAGCACTTGCCATTGCCCGCCAAACACAACGTGGACCCCATACGCTGTTGTAAACAGAGAGGCCTCATTCATTCCCCTCGTGTTTTTTTGCGTTGCCCTCCGCGTCCCTTCTTTTTCCTCTTTTTCTTGTCATGTTGCGACATCTCCCTCGTTTTTTTTTGCTTCTTTTTCGCCATTTAAAGCAAGTTATCTCCGCTGCTTTTTCCATGTTCTTCTCCTCATTTTTTTCGATTATTTTCAAAGATCATATCTATGTTTTTTAAAAGCTTTTTTTTCAAAAATCACATTTTTTGAGTCTTCCCGTGTCACCATTTAATTTTTAGTGTTCTACAAACAATAATTCAAAATTAGTTTCAGGACCGGTGCATGTAGTGATAAGAAGAAGGACACACGACAACTCTCCATTTCATTCGTATTCATCAGCAAAATGCAGAGTAACACTGATTCCAGCGGCACCAGTGGCACGTACAGTCAAACGGTGAGTTGTTGTTGGAAAGATCGATTTTTCCAGAGAAAAGGAATCGATGTGTCATCATAATTTTGTCATAATAAATGTGCCTGCAGGTCGGCCTTCTATACGTGTTCAATTTGATCGTCGGAACTGGGGCGTTGGCACTCCCTAAGGCATTTCAATCGGCTGGATGGCTCCTCAGTATCAGTCTGCTTACATTTTCGGCGTTCATGAGGTAAATAGGGATGGAGATAAACCAGAAATTAGTTTTGACCAGGATGAAAATGATTCTCTAATGGAAAAATGTGAAAAGAGTGTGGAAATTTCGAACATCACAAAATGTTCTGACAAAATTGACAAAATGTGGTCAAAATACTTTTAAAAATCCATAACACCCGCGAGTCAGAAGTTTTTGAAAATATCTTCTGCAAATTCAAACTGAACAAAAAAGCTGAAGTATACATAATAGGCTCGTTAGACATACAAAAACGTATTTTTCAGTTAATTTTTTGGTCATTTTTTATCATTTTCAGCAGTCTGGAACTCCGCTGTCAAGGTCTCAATCAATTTGAAGACGGTGTAAAACAGGCCTAGAGTGAAAACTTTGCATTTACAGAATTTTGGGAAAATCCTAGTTTCTGCTATTTGTCCATTTCTGAAAACACGTATTTCAAACGTTTTCAGTTAAATAATGGGCTAAAAAAGTGTCTTTCAGAAATCCGTAAACAGCATAAAACCTAAATGCGAAGTTCTCAATTTAGGTATGTTTTACGCCCTCCAAAATTCTCAAAGTGACCGGAAGCTTAACAGCTGACCTCCAGACTTCAGAACATGGTCAAATTGGTTTAACATCAGCTGAAAAATATGTTTTTTCAAATACTTATTTACCAGTACTGTATACAAAATATAGAATCGACAATTTAGAAAATCCAAACATTTGGTTTTCCAGCTCTAGATGTATTTTAGGCCTACACATGATTAAATAAGAAAAAAAACTGCTTGAAAAGAGCATAACTACAACACCTACTAATCTAGCACACCCTAGTCATAAATCCGAAAATTATATTTCCAGCTACGTCGCCGCCACATTCGTCATTGAAGCTCTCTCCGTCGCCAACGCAGTGCTCTCCAAAAAACGGCGTGTTGAGTATGACGACGTCGTTGTCGCTGATGGACCATCAACCTTTGAGATCGCTAAGAAAGTTGAAGTGGTTAGTTTGTTTTCCCATTTTTATGACCAATAAAACAATTCTTGTTTTTCAGAGCGAAATGGCATCCATGTTCTTGTCCAAGGTCTCACTGGTGTTTTCTTACTTTGCGATCATTATCTACTTGTTTGGTGATCTTGCGATTTATTCGACCACCGTCCCGAAGTCAGCTATGAACATTGTTTGGTGAGAAAAACACTAAATGGTGGATTTAAAAAGTTTCATTCCTTCAGCTCTACTATCAATGCGACAATTGTAAAGTCCTCGGATCCATGCCACGAGTCGTGGCCAGAAATTCTGACCCGCATGACAGTCTACCGATTCTTCGTGATCGTTTTTGTAGTGGTTGTGTGCCTCCCAATGGTCATCGCCGGGATTACCAAAACTCGTCACATCCAAATCATGACTACTCTCTCAAGATGGGCTGGTGAGTAGCGAAATTAAGGAGTAACGATGTTAATTTGAGCATTTTAGCATTCATTCTGATGATCTCATTGGCCACGATGCAGTTGTCCAGTCAAGGAGCCGCTGCTCATCCGCCAGCGTATAATTTCCATGGATTCGGATCACTTTTTGGTTGTGCGGTGTACGCCTTCATGTGTCATCACAGTATTCCATCCTTGATCACTCCAATGAGGTAAATTCATCGAGGCGGCAGGAACTTTATTCTTGTCTTAGAAGAAATATAAAATTGTTAAATTTTCAGAACTAAAGAAAACGTGTTTGGAAAAATCGCTGTAGTCTATGGAATCGTTGGAGTCTTCTACTTCACTCTTTCCCTTACCGGAGCCTTCGCCTTCGAGCACGTGCAGGACATCTACACCCTTAACTTCCTCCACGACGACAACACTTCTTTAGTCTACTCCATCATTGACTACTTCTTGGCTCTATTCCCAATCATCACTCTCACCTCCAGCTACCCTATTATCGCTCTAACACTGATCAACAATTTTAAAGTGGTCAAAGACATTTTGTGTCCAAAGACTGGGTAAAATCGCAACATTTTGAGAGAGCAGCGGTTGTTATCAGTGATAATTTCAGGCAGGAGAACGAGTCGCTTCTCGAAGCTGATAACCAGGTTGAGGACAATGATACCGATGATGAGCGCGAGGCCAGAAATGGGAACCCTGCGAGAAATGAGTAGAATAGGGTAGTTGGGACGGGAAATATAGTGTTTTTTTTTGTTTCAGAAGACGATTTTCGACGTACTCGTGCCAACGCTGGTCTTGGCTCTTCCAACTTTTTTGAGTTTGCTCACCGATGACATGTTGCTCCTAGCTTCAATTACTGGAAGTTTCCCAGGTGAGGAATTATACGCAGAAGAGATACAGTACCGGCGAAAAACTGATTTTGACTTTTTCTGTTGAAAATAGTGAACTTTGCAGTTCTGAAAAAGTATTTTAATTTTTAAACAAAAAAACTTAACAATTCCAGGAAACCGAAAATTTTGAAAAACTTGAAAGATTCTGAAATGTCAATTGCCTGAAACCTTCGGCTTTATTGTTGTGGTTGAAAACGTTTTCTATTCACGAAAGGACAAATGTCACTGAAATGTGTATTTTGCCACTTCCAGGCCGTTTATTTCGCTTTATTGGATTAGTGCTAAAAATTGCCAATTCCTTAACTGAAGCTTTATTTTTGCTCTAAATATTCTGTAGTTTTCAGACTAATTGATAGATTCTGGGCTTTCAGACAAAGTCACTTTTCAAAATTGACTTTTATTTTGACACTAATACTTCAGATGAATTTTCGATTGGAACGTCTGAAAATGAGCATTACAGAATAATTCATCATGATATTCGCAATATTTTATCAGTTGACAATTTTTAGAAATCTTTCACATGAATTGAGATAAATGAGCTCAAAATTTACAGTATCTGAAGATATGCCAATATTAGGGTTCTCAACATTTTTTTTCCTTTTTCCCACTAAATAATTTCCAGGAGTCGCTGTCCAATTTGCAATCCCATGCCTCTTGGTCACCGCTGCTCGTAAACACGCCCGATCTGTTCTCAACTTCCCGGTGCCACGCAAGAACAACAGCCCATTCCAAAGCCGCTTCTGGATTATGCTTATCTCGTCGTGGGCCGGCTTCTCAATGATTATGGTGCTCTTGAATCTGGTCGGTGTCAAGTTCTAGACTCGTTTCTCAGTCTATACTTTTTGTGCATTTTTCTATCAATTTTCGATTCCCAACATCTTACGGATAGTGTCTTTTTTCTAGTCGCGTTTTTGTCCCCCTCCCGTTGCATTTCACTCTTCTTCCATTCACACACACTTTGCCACTGGTTTTTTCTTTCATTTCAAATCCCGATTCAAAAAACTCACTCACATTTCTTTCCTTCCTCTCATCCGGCCATATGCAATACTACCTGTTTTTTATTGTGCAATACCGTTCATCTAAATTAAAACAAATGGCATTTCCTAGTCAAGTCACAAACTAAAAACAAAACCATTCACTGATGTTTCTCATATGTGATGAATTAATGATTTCTTAAAAAATAAAAATGAATATTTTTAAAAAACACTAAACGACCAGTAGATGTTTGTAGGCTTACTGTACCACTGGTATACAAAACTCATTATCCGCCATTTCGACCATTTTCAGGAATGTGGAGCTCGGTTTTTGAGCTTCTAATCACTTTGAAATTTTTGAAGGGTGTGAAATAGACCTAGATTAAAAACATTGCATTCACAGAATTTTCTGCAAATGTCTGGTTTTTCAGCCATTTGCAAATTTCTGAAACACACCTGTTCAAGGATTTTTTTTGACAAACCGGCAATAACTGGAAAACTAGAAATTTTCGATCGCTCCAAACTTCTAAAAATGGTCAATTCGGCCGAAAATCAACAAAAAGTTTTTTTTGAATATCTTATTGACCGATACTGCATGTTAGCAAGGAAGACATTCATCACTGCGTAGCTTCTCCTTTCGTTTTTTTTCGTCTCTTTCGTTATCCATCTTCTCTTCCATATCAGCTGGTCTTTGTCGTTTAGACATACACAGAAATCGGATAGGGAGACAATGTGGAATCTGCCCTAGACCGGATTGAACATTTTCGAATCAAGGTCAGGCTTGCATCGGACATTCTCAGTTCTCTATCCCTTGCTTTCATCATTTTCTTCAGCTTCTCCCTTATAATGTTTACCGAGTTTTGTACTGTATTCGCTACTGTTGAACTATTATGTATAATGTATCGAAAATTCGATCGAATGAACGATTTGGAAGATGGCGGAGATGAAGAAGGCATTGTTCTACACAAGAAATACTACGAAGCCGAGAGACAAACGACGTCGCCGTTTTGGAATAGTCTATGAATGTTTGATGCTGAGAAGAAGAAACAACGAGAAGTGAAATAAGTTTATTCATTGCCCTTGATTCGCCTTCTCCCTCGCCTCGTTCAACTTTTGCACAATTTTCCTTCCAATCACAATTTTCATACTTTTGTCTCGTGTCTCATAACGAACTCCTTCTGCTTCATCAATTCTGAATTGATTTTTATTTATTTTATGGTTTTTAGAAAACGAATAAAAACGTTTGACCAACCTTAAATGAGTTCCAGCATGGGTTCCAGCAATCACAGCTAGTAAAAATCGATGATAAAGCTTGAAAGTGGGCAGACATTGGTTATCAGTATCATTTTTAGCAGAGGAGTATTTTACCTGGAAAATATCACGTTAATAAATCTCTGAAAAACTCACAAGTCAAGTTACCGTAACTTCCTGACTCTTTACAAACTTCAAAACGTTTCGAACTGAATTTTCGTACTGGCGGATGTCGGTGTATTGGTAACTGAACAAAAAATTTTTCAATAAATTTCGGGGAAATTTCGTTCCTTACGTGAACATGATATCATCAAAACGGTAGAACAGGTCACCAACAAAAAGGCGATTAGCGTATGGGTACCAGAGAACGATGCTGTCTGGAGTGTGTCCAGGAGTCCACATCACCTGAAAAAAGTTTACAAATTTCAGAATTCTCTGTCAGAAAAAACCAAAGATGACTGCCAAAATTTCATGAAAAGTGAAAACTGTGTTTCTACAGGACCGGATAAAAAAAACTACTGTATTTTCTCTAATAAAAGCCCACCAAACTTTTAACTCAATTATCTCGATTTCTTCAAAAGATATTAAAAAATCATCAACTAAGAAATCGTTAACCATATTATCACCAATATTCAATCAGTTGACAACATTTTTATTTCTCGCACATATATTGAGATAATTGAGCTCAAAATAGACGGGTTGGATGGGCTCATATGAGAAATGAAAACGGTATTTAGACTTTTTAGTAGAAAATAGTGAACGTTCAGTATCTAAAAAAGAAAGCAAGCATGTTTCGATTTGTCTGAAAATTTCAGTTCGTACTGAACGAAAATAGAGCTACAATTTTGTAATTGACAACTTTTGAGTACAAATCCAACCAAGCAAGATGAAAAGTTTTAAAATTGCCCAAAGCTTGTGTCCGTGCTAATTTTTGCAAATTTTGGTTAAATGGAGCATATCTCACCTAAACGAAATTTGTTGAAAAGATGCCAATCAGAAAACTAAAGCTGTCAAACTATCAGAAACATCAGGAAATTCTGGGTGTTTTTTAGACTGCCCGTTTTTCAGTGAGAAGGCTAAAATAGTATAAACCGTAAATAGTGATAGAAATTCGCTCCAACCGTTTCCTCTGAGCATGTTTATCTCGCTTCCTGTGAAAGATATCAGAAATTTGTGAACTGATAAATTGTTTATCATGATATCAGCAGCGTTTAATTAGTTGACACATTTTTAATAGCATGCGTAAGAGCCGAGATAAGTTTGCTCAATGAAAGTTAGGAGGGATATTTCATTAGAGTCTTCACTGTATATTCTTAACCGGAAGTGTTCGTTTGTTCATTGCTAATAATAACCTGAAAATTCCTAAACATCCAAAGTTTTTCAAATTCCAATTTTCTCTGTATTCGCTTTCCCCTCTTCTCCCGACCCACTCACTTGAACAATATTTCTCAGATTCGATTCATCGCCCAGCAATATTTTATCCCCATCGTTTAGCCATCGGGTCACTTTGTAGGTTTGGATCTCCCAGTGCCAGCTACTATCCATCAAGCGGGTATAGTATTTGTTCTTGCGTCCCGCACACAAATCTTCCACCAAATGTGCCAATCCATTACTGCCCGTCGTCGAAAACCGCCAATTTCCTCCGGTCTAAACCGCGCCAAGATGGATTTTTAGAGGAACGAAACGAATTGTATGCGTGTGTGTGGGGGTGAGAAGGGGAAAACGAAAAGTAAACGCGTGGAGGGAGAGGGGAGACCAACCTGTTCCGGATGATTATGAGTGTTGACAACAATAAGTTTCACATTCTGCATGAACGACAAAGAACGAAGGTAATGATAGATGTTTCCGCAACCACAACCAGTATCAATTAGTAAAGCTGGAAAAAAAAAGATATAGCGAATTTTCAAAAATTTCAATCACCCGTGTCCCCGGCGCCAAGAATCAGATACATTAAAGGATAACATTCTCGACCATCTTCTTCTCGAATCCAGTAAATATTGTCAGCCAGCTTGTCGTGGGTGAAGCTCATTTTGGTGTGATGGGAAAATGTGTAGTGGGGGAGGAAGATGGAATATATAAAACGGTTTTGCAATGCATTATAAATTTGGTAGTCATGGTCCTCTATGGCAGAGTGATCATTCATCATGTGTGTATCGAACAAAAATTCTAATGAAGAAACGAATACGCATGTTGTTATGAAACTTTGCCTGAAATGAGAAAAAACAAACTGTTCTCAAGATGAACATTTTGAAAGTTCGGGAAAATGGTGAGCAGCATACTTGTAAAATTCCGGGCCGACCCGCCAAAGCCCGGGCCCGGGCCGGGCCGGGCCTGAGGAAATTTTCAAGGCCCGGGCCCGGCCGGGAAGGCCCGGTATCAAAATTGTGTATTTTTGAGCCAAATTTTGAGCTCTCAATATAATTCCCTCCATTTTTTGTTATTTTGGATTGTTTGTCTGTTTGCTCTAAAAAGATAAAAAAAAACCCAAAAAAAAATTTATGTGTTTTTTGAAATTTTCAAAACTTGTAAAATGACAGGCCCACCGGGCCTCCGAAAAGCCCAGTTCGGCCCGTTACAAGTATAGTGAGCAGGAAAAAAATTTGATACAAACAACAAATTATTTTTTTGAGATCATTAGGTCTGTTGTTATATTCTTCAAATTGGTTAGAGGGCTAAACAGTTTTTTGATGAATAATTTCCGTATTTCTTTCCGTATCTTCTTTCCTTATCTTCAAATTTTATGCTTAGAAGATCACAGAAAAATGTCATTTCAGCGCAAACGACCCAGGTTTCAGAGATGCCATACAAAGTCTACAATGTAAACACGTTATTACAGTAATCCCATTTTTCAATTCTTGTGAAAAATCATTAATTACAGTACAGCTCAAACGGCTATGAAAAAACATGATTTTCAATCGGTTTTTTGACCGTTTTGACGTGTTTCAGGGGTCTAGAACTCGTCTGTCAAACTTCCGATCACTTTGAAAACTTTGGAAGGTGTAAAACAGACATGAATTAAAAAATTTGCGTTTGCAGCATTTTTGGAAAATCCTAGTTTTTCAGTTGGTTGCCGATTTCTGAAAGACACCAATTTCTAAAAAATGTTTCACTTTCTCAGTACAAAGCCGTGAAAAAATGGCTGTTTTCAGAAATTAACAAATAGCTGGAAATGGGGAATTTTCGAAAATTTCTATAAATGCAATGTTTTTGGTTTAGGTTTGTTTCACACCCTCCAAAATATTCCAAGTGTTCGGAAACTTGAAAACCAAGCTCCAGACTTCTTAATATAGTCAAAATGACCGGAAATAAACTGCAAAATACGTATTTCATATCTTATTGACCGGGACTGTATATGCATTACAATATTCTCTTATCTTATCCCTCGAAAAAAATACTGATTCTGAAATGTGTGTTTTTTTCCCATTATTTCTTTATTGATCGGTTCTTTTAGTTTTTATTTCTCAATAATTCTGATAAAAAGCCCAATTTCCCAATGTTAATAGGACCTAAACTCTCACAGATAACGATGCAAAGTTTTAATCCTTTCTAGAAAACTGCCCAAGTTTTCGTGTTTTGCAACTTTCAAGAAACCAATTTTTCGTCAATCATACGGAACAATCATAGGAAACAGAATGGTTTTCTTGAAAATTAGCCAATTCTCCATCTCCAATTCCAATCACCACTATTCCAATTTTCCATTTATTTCCAACAATGCCCGGTCACAGTTTCCATTTTTTATACTTCAAGTCCTCTCTTGAAAACTACGCCAACTCAAATACGGTTACGCGTAATTGAATGTTTGTGCTCGCTTTTTCGTATTGTATTCAATATAGTTGGGTCGCATCCAGTTTCAATGAAGAATTTCGTATTCAAAGTGGCAACTTTTTTTTCCTACCTGCAACTTCTGTTTTGTTGACAAATTCCTCTTCGGCCTCAGTTTTTCAGCATCTGTACAAAAAGAGGGTTTCCTTTTTCCGGAAACAAATACAGTAACACCTTCTTTTTTATTTTCAAAAAATAATACATAGTTCTAAACTCTGACTCATAGTGGTGGGTTTCGTTATTCTCCCTACCTTTATCGGTTTTCGAGAAACTCCAAAAAAAAAATTTTGCCGAGTGTGTGCGGGAGGGAAAACGACATGAATCATACAGTACCTTATATAAATAGATCAAATTTCGGAGGGGAGAACCCACTTCAGAATCGACTTGGTTGATTTTGCTTGCTATACCTTTTTCCCTGCTATGCCCTTTTTCGGTGATTTTGATTTTGAGGTTTCATTCAGGATTATATTTTCAATTAAAAGTTTGTGTAGGTTCAAATCGCGTGCTGCAAATATTTATGACACCCCAGGTCTCAGGTACACAAACAACTTGTATAGTTTTTATGGTTTGTGAAACTTCAAAAAAGTGAGCAAAACAAAAGTTGGGTAAACTTTATATATTCGTTTTTTGAGGTATATGTTTTCCATTGAGTTCAATAAGATATACAAAAACTCACTTTTCAGTTCACTTACAGTTATTTTGACCAGTTTCAGAGGTCTGGAGCTCGGCTGTCGAGTTTCCGACCACTTTGAAAATATTGAAAGCTGTAAAACTGACCTAGATTGAGAATATTTCATCCACAGAATTTTTTGAAAATTACTAGTTTTTCAGCTATTTGTCGTTTTTAGAAAGACACTCTTTTTGGCCAGTAGCCGATTTTTGAACATATACATTTAAATTTTTTGGCTCCAAAAACCGCAATTTTTGATCCCAGATAGCTTTAAAACTGTCTGAAAGTTAGCAAATTTTCAATCGGAAAACTGTGATTTAGGCTTAAAAATTCAGATTTTCAAGTGGTTTTTTGGAAATAAAGTACCCCATTTTTTAATTTTTTTTAACCCGAAAAAAAACCATCCAAAAGAAGCGTTTTTAGAAAAATTGTCGGGCCAAAAAAGGGTGTGTTTGAAAACCGACATAAAGCAGAAAACTAAGAATTTTTGAAGAATTCTGTGAATGCAACGATTTCAATCTATGTCTGTTTTATACTCTATAAAATTTCCATAGTGATCGTAATCTTGACAGCCGATCTCCAGACTTCTGAAAAAGGTCAAAATTGCGGAAAACTAACTTAAAAATACATTTTTTGATAATAATCTTATTGAACAATACTGTAAATAATTATAAAAAATAGGCTGAACAAATTGTCGTTGTCTTTTTTGAAGCTGATTTTAGTTATTTTAGTTCCCGATTCAATTTCCTAGTTTTTCCCTTTCAAATTATGAACTACTAATCATCATTATGCAATAGTTATTGGTTTTGACAGTAACATCATGGGAAAGAGTTCTAAAAACAACTCAAACTGACACAAATCGACTTTTCTGCCCCGTGCCGCCACCGTTTGACGCTGTCCTCTCGCCGTTTTACGCAATCTCTCCGCGCTCGATTTTAGACCGGTCGACTAGTAGATGATCCTCAGTAATTATGAAGTTTTTCACCACCCATAGGCCGCCCGATTTTCCTATATGCTTCCCCCCTCTCGGCCTCTATTCTACCTCAATTCGTTTTCAAAGGGCTGCCATTTTTATTTTTGTTTACTGTACACATCGAAAGGTTTCCAATCCTTTTTCTCTTATGTACTTTTTCGAAAAAAAAAAAACTACCACCACCAGCAGCCGTTCAAATCTCTGTTTGAGCTGTGAGAAATCTCTTTTTTATGTATACCGCCGTGCTGAAACGCAGGCTAACTATTTATCTTTACCATTTTTTTTTCCAGAAACTCGTTCAAACGGATACTTCTCTCAGCGGAGAAGCGGTACCTATAACCAATCGACCATTTTTCAAAAATGATGGAAATAACTAGAGAAAGTGAGTTTGTTTCTAGATATAATCATTATTCAAACTATTCCAATGATTTTGGGGTGAGTTGTCGGGAAAGACTATTTGCTTTAAAAATTATTATTTGAAATCGAACGATCAGAAACCATGCAAAAACTGTAAAAATGTGTAAGAATTAATTGAAAAAAGAGAGACCAGGATGCATCAAGATTGACAAGCACATTGGTAAATAAGAGCCTCTTCATCTGGCCTTGTCGCAATTTTTTTCAATTGATATCTCCCCCCTCCGTTTTGTCATTGAGACATTTACTCAATTTATCAGTGCTCAGCGCTAGCTAGCTCATTTTTTATTCCTAGATCTCTATAGTTTTAGTGGGAAGAAAACAAGCAAAGAAAGAAATACACCATGTTTACAACTACACGCCCGGGTGAGTTCAGGGGAATATTTTTCAAAAGTTGAATTTGAAAAATTTTCTAGATGATTTTGAGAATTTTGAAAAAAAATCGTGAAACTGAAAAAAATATCGAATTTTTTGAAACTCCAAAAATCGGAAAATTTGGAGACAGTTGAAATTCAAAAAATTGGAATTAGGAGATTCTCGAAAAATGCAGAATTTTTAGTTTTTTTTCTCAAAATAGCTAAAATCGCAAAACATTGAATTTCTCGAAATTCCAGAAAATCCAAAAATTTTTCAAAATTCCGAAAATCGGAAAACCTGATTTTTTGATATTTCAATAACCTAAAAATACAGAGTTTTTAATCGAAATTTCAAAATTTGGAAAGTGTGCAAAACTTTTTGGGCTTCCATGAACTCTGAAATTTCTGAATTTTGAGAATTTTTTCTGTAATTTCTATTCATAATTGTGAAAATCTCAAAAATTGGAGACATTGGAATTTTTTAAAATTGAAAAATTGAAAAATACTGAATTTTTCAATTTTCAAAAATCGGAAAATTCAGAATTGACAAAATTCAAAAATCGGAACATTTGATTTTTCCGACTTTTCAAAAATTGGAAAATTTTAAAATTTTCAATATCCTAAAAGTCGAAACATTTTGAATTTTTAAAAATTTCGAAATTCCAAAAATCGGAAAACCTGGAATTTCGTAAAATTCCAAAAATCGGAATTTATCAGAATACGAAATAATCCATTTTTCAAAATACTGCAAAATCGGGAAATTTCAAAACATCAGAAAAATTCAAAATATTAAAATTTCAGGAAAAAATGTTTTTCCTTCAAATTGAAAAATCATTACAAAATTAGAATAGGATAATAAAATTTAAAATTTCGCAAAATCGGAAACTCTTGGAATATAAAAAGTCTTCTAATTCATAAATCTTTACAATTAAATCTCGAAAGTGATATAAGTAGAGTAGTAGAAGTGGTGTGAAGATTTAATCGCTTTGGTTTAACCAGTTACACACATACACTCGAACACTCGTCAAAAACTGTTGTTCCGAAAAACAAAACGGAAATATACCTCATTTTCTATTCTCCCTACAATTTTCGAACCAATTTATGAATAGTTTGCAATTCGAAATTGGAGACAATGGTGGTATGTTCTTATTTCTGGGTTTTATTTTTGTACTACCTCAACTTCAAGGTCTCTTTTTACCTCAATTTAATTTTTTCTTTCCTAGCTGAGGACTGTTTGTACATTCCGAGAGACGTTGTCTAGTTTTTTCTTCCTCGGTTTTTTTTGTCCCTCAATGCGTAGGTAGCAATTTGGCATCATGAATCATCACCACCTTTTGAAATGTCATTTCGCACTTTTTCTTGGGTATCGTATGAATTTTATGCAAAAACGCATGTCCAATAGGCGGATACGGTTGAGAATTGAGGTGGAGAATCGTTTACGACGTAAGGGTTGACTGAGTTGGCGAGAGGAGATGATTTTTGGAGGACGCGCCCATCGAATCCTTTTTTTCCCGCATTCACCGTATATCAAGAAGCCGTTCCGTCCATTTCTCACACCTCTTTTCATTCGTGCGCCCTTTTTGAAGTTGATTCTTGATGGTTAGAGACCTCTCTCTTCACATTTTTCTCTCGAAAAAGGATCTGCCTTCAAATAAACCATACATATATGCAAACAATTATGATTTCATGTCCTTAGAAGGAAACTGACAATAATAATATTTGCGTTTTTTCTCTTCTTCTTCTTCTTTTCGTATTCCCTTTTTTAGTTTACCTCGTTACTCATACTTTTCTTAGAAAAAGAAAGTCTGAAAACTCCAATTTCGCTTGTTCCACTCTCTATTGTTCTTATAGAAGGTACATGAGGTATAAAAATGATCGTAGGGCACAATGTTTTGACTTATAATCATGTCGGAAGGGTATATTGTGTCTTTGCCGTCGTCCCGACGCTCTAGTACTTCTAGCATACTCAGCGACAAGAGTTCCACGCGTACTGTAAATTACGAAATAATCGAACGAAAGAGTAAGTTAAGCTTTAGTACTCAGCACGCGAGTTCAACCACTATCGCCAAGAAGAGAAAATTTGCGAATTTCTGTTAATCCCTTTTGTCTACATGCTATGATCATTAGGGTGAATCTTTACTGTGCGTAGGTAGCAAGGAGGAGCAAGTATTCGGAGGGAGGGAAAAATGTTAAATAAAAAGTGAGGAGCAGCAAGCAGAAATTTGACGCCCACCTCGCCCTTTCGCGCAAAAGGGACTGTCGTTTTTTCCGCTTTTGTCTCTCGGGGCCTCCCGTCTAATTCCTTGGTCACACAATTCTCGGCAAAAGGTTGCCACCACCAGCCCCAACTCACAACTCATTTCGAAATTTTTCAAAGCTGCCGACAGCAGTTGAGAGAAAACACTTTTTATTAAATTTGCCACGTTTCAGCGATGTCTTTCACCTCTACCACCCCTTCAGCAAGGGCTCCACTTGGAGGAAGGACCACTGGAAATGTTACTTGTGAGATTGTTACTCCCTTGCAATTTTTAATACTTAAATGCTTACAGCGCAAGACCGTATGCTTAAAATCGTGACCGAGATGCGCTCTGGCGCCGGATCTGGCTCGCCATTCGGTTCCAATGCCGCTTCGACCATCCGTGACTCTCGCGAACGTGAGAAGAAAGAGATGAGCGACTTGAACGATCGACTTGCTAGCTACATCGAAAAGGTGTGTCGAAGAAACCACACCCAAATCATTATATATTTTTTTAGGTCCGCTTCCTCGAAGCCCAGAACAGAAAGTTGGCCGCCGATCTCGACGCGCTTCGCTCCAAATGGGGAAAGGACACGCACAACATCCGCAACATGTACGAAGGGGAGCTTTCGGTATGAAATTAGGATTCTAGGTTACGGTAACGAAGTTTTTGTAGGATGCCCAAAAGTTGATTGATGACACCAACAAGCAACGTAAGGATATGGAGAGCCAAATCAAGAAGATGCAAGATGAGCTCGCAGAGCTCCGTAGAAAATACGAGGACGCCATCAAGGGACGTGAACACGATCGTGCTAAGATTGACGATCTTCTCGTCCAGCTTTCCAAGATCGAAGCTGAGATCAGCCTCTTGAAACGCCGTATCGGGCAACTTGAGGACGAGGTCAAGCGCATCAAGCAAGAGAATCAGCGTATGCTCTCTGAGCTTCAAAGAGCCCGTACCGACTTGGACCAGGAGACCCTCAACCGCATCGACTACCAGAATCAAGTGCAAACTCTTCTCGAGGAGATCGACTTCTTGCGTCGTGTCCATGACAACGAAATCAAGGAGCTCCAAACTTTGGCCTCCCGTGATACCACTCCAGAGAACCGCGAGTTCTTCAAGAACGAGTTGTCCTCTGCTATCCGTGATATCCGTGAGGAATACGACCAAGTCAACAACGTCCACCGTAATGATATGGAATCGTGGTACCGTCTCAAGGTCCAAGAGATTCAGACCCAGTCAGCCAGACAGAGCATGGAACAAGGATACGCCAAGGAAGAGGTCAAAAGACTTCGCACCCAGCTTGCGGATCTGCGTGGAAAACTCGCTGATCTTGAATCTCGCAACTCCCTTCTCGAGAAACAAATCCAAGAGCTCAACTATCAATTGGAAGACGACCAGAGATCATACGAAGCTGCCCTCAACGACAGAGATTCGCAGATCAGAAAAATGCGCGAGGAATGCCAAGCCCTTATGGTCGAGCTCCAGATGCTTCTCGATACCAAGCAAACCCTCGATGCCGAAATTGCCATCTACAGAAAGATGTTGGAAGGAGAGGAGAACCGTGCTGGACTCAAGCAACTTGTCGAGCAAGTCGTCAAGACCCACGCCATTTCCCAAGAAACCGACACAGGTAATCAACAAAGAGAATACCTAAAAATGAACTAGATATTTCAGAAACGATGAGAGTTGTGAAGGGCGAGACCGCCTCCCGTCAATCCTTCCAACGTTCAGCCAAGGGAAATGTTTCTATCCACGAGGCATCGCCAGATGGAAAGTACATCGTCCTCCAGAATACTCATCGTGCCAAGGACGAGGTTTGTATTAACCGTTTTTTGTTTTTTTTTTTTCGAATTCAAATTTTTCAGGCAATCGGTGAGTGGAAGCTGAAGAGACGTATCGACGGAAAGCGCGAGATTGTCTACACCGTTCCAAGAGACTTTGTCCTCCGCGCCGGAAAGACGCTCAAGATCTTTGCCCGTAACCAAGGAGTCGCCTCGCCACCTGATCAATTGGTCTATGACGCCGAAGACTCGTTCGGAAGCGGAAACAACGTCCAAACCATCCTCTTCAATAAAGAAGGAGAGGTACGGCTACGGAATTTCAGCTAATTAAATTCAAACGGTTTTTTTTCAGGAACGTGCTACCCACATCCAACGCCAGAGCACTGCCTAAACCAGCAAAACTTCTCTACAAATCTTTAATTCAGATATATTGTAACGATTTCTTGTTGAAACCAACGTCCCCACGCTCTTATAAATTCCCTACCACCTTCTTCACGTCTCTGTAATCTTCTTTCTTCTATTTGATTTCAATAAAGCATTTTTTTTTTGATTTTACGAATAGCAATAAATCAACAATTTTGTAAACAGATTGCAGGAAGTTTACCACCAAGTGTTTTCCAAGATTCTTATCCATATGGCTCGAAAAATCTGAACTTCAAGTTTCAGGAAGTTATCTATCTCTTTAGTTATCTGTAATTTTTTTTATGTTTTCTGATTAGCCTTCTGATTAGTCTTGATCTCTACGATCTCTGTCAAAGTATTTCATCAAGAAGTTCAGGAAAATTGATTGATTTCCACGGCGCGATGTGGTCCATATGTCTTATTGGAGGCGGCTCTTGCTCACTCTGAGAAACATGTCTTGCCAATTGTCTTGAGCTCTTCATTCTTATCCCAACCAACATGAAGAAATGTCTCGAAAGAAACAAATGAAGAAATTAGAAACATGAAGTCTCGTGGAAATAAAAAAATGATGGTGAAAATCGATAAAGTAAAAGAAAATGACGAAGTTCACATATAGAATCAAAATTTGATGGAGATGTATGCGACTTTTATATTCTGCAAATCTATATTTTTTTCAGATACAATTCAACCCAACTGAAGCAGCCAAGAAAGTTGTACTCGGCTGTATCTGGTGACACTTACGTTTTCTTCCGAAGAAACACTTCTGGAATCTTACTACAAAATTTCCCATCATTTATCACAGTTTCATGGATCACTATTTCAGGTGACAACTTTTTCCATACTTGAAAGATTAGGGCCGAGTTGTGAAATTTCTGAAGGAAGCCCGGCCCAGCTTAATGAATTTATGTTTTTCTTTCATGTTAATCAATAATCTTTAGAATTTTTAAACGATCAATTGTTTCATTAACGACTTCTTCTCAGACGTTCATCTCTCCTGATTACCCTTTGCCATACAACTTCTTTGGTACTTGCCAAACATTACTTGTGGCTCCGGACCAGTGCGAACCAAGTTTAGTAACAAACGAAATATTGAATATTGCAGTCACTATATCAAATTGAACGTCAGCGATATTGATGTGGAAAACATACACGATCATGTCACCTTCTATGATGGAAACAATACGTCTAGTGAGTTCCTCTTGGAACAGTGAGTTTGAATTTTCGACATGAAAAATTAACATTCTGACGATTTCAGTCTTACTGGAACTCATCAGGCTTTAACACTCTCATCCAACGATAACATGATGACTATTAAATTCTATTCTGATAGCTCTCACGGCTGACGTGGATACCATTTCGTCGCGTTTGCAGGTGGTTTTTTGAAGTTAGAAATTAGTCAACAATTATTACAGTACCCAAATCTACTTTCAAACCTACACAAGTTTTGATCCCTACAATGGAAGAAAGTAATTCTGGCAAATACGGGAAGCCGACCCAAATAATGGATGAACTACCATCTAAGGACTCTCTTGTTGACTCATTCTGGCTCATCGATTCTGAAAACTTCAGGAACAGACAACCTGCAAAGTTCAGGTTCCAAACATGGATTCTTTTTTTATTTATTTTATACATTTTGCGTTGTTTTTATCACAATCGGTACTCTGTTCGGAGGTTTTGCTCTTTATAAGAACTTGTACCCTACGAAACCAGAAACTTTATTTGCCAACGAGATGGTCCGATTCCGGAATGATGATACTGGGTATGATTTTAAAGGGGTTTTTCAGTTATTTTTAAAATTCATTTTCAGATCGGTGGTCACTATTGAGAACTGATGTGAACTGCAAACTTCGATAATTTAAAATTGTGATTTTTTTGAATCTGTGTTCCAACTTTTGAAATAAATTCCATTTTCCCTGAATGTGTTCTTGATATTAAATTTTCGTTTTTTTAATGCGGCTAGCTGATTTTGTTGATTGTTCCGTATATAATTAGATTTGTTTTCAGAAGATTTTCAGTGTCATTTGCTTTAGCCATAAAACGTTTGTCTAACTTGAATTTTGCAATTTTTGTTTATTCGTCCCGATGAAAATCTTCCGATTTAGAAGGAGAGGAGACGTGTGCAGGACTCAAGCAAAGCAACATGTCGAGTAATTCGTCAAGACACACATCATCTCCAAAAAACTGACACAAGAAAAATAGGTTAAGCGGAGAGAACATCTGAAAATTGGATTTCAAAACAATGAGAGTTATGAAAAATCCGCTACCACCTTCTTCACGTCTTTGTAATCTTTTTCCATTTGACTTCAATAAAGCATTTATTCTTGAAAATTCTTTTTTCTCGATTTAACGATTAGCAATAAATAAACAATTTTGTAAACAAATTGCAGGAAGTTTACTACCACATCTTTTTTGCGATCGTTATCCATATGACTCATAAATCCATAGCTAAGTACACTTCTAAACTGTTTTTATTTTAAGAATAAGTATTTCTGGATCAAATAAATTAGATATAATAGAACTCGACAAATACTACTAAGCTATACTATTTGAAAAACTATATTCCCTCAGTCAACAAAGTTCAAAGTCGAAAAGGGGCTATTCCTGGCCGGGCCAAGCCTGTATTTTCAAAGATGTTTCGGCTATAACTTTGTTAATAGCAGTTTTTGTCCAAAAATATTAATTTTGAAAAAAACTGGGCACGGTTTACAATTCGAATCTGATTTTTATGAAAACGGACCACATGTCTCATTGGAGGCGGCCCTTGCTCACTCTTAAAAATCATTTCTTGCAATCTTTCTTGAGTTTTTCATTCTTATCCCAATCAAAATGAAAAAATGTGAGTATTGTTTTAGTTTTGATTTCTTAAAAATATTTTTCAGACCTTTGGATCGTTTCGATACTTCTTTGCCTTTTTCCTGAGCCGACTGTATCTGAGTGTTCCAAGACTTATTTCAAGAATGAATCGACTTGCTCAGGAAATTTTGAATGTGTCAATGGTGGTTGTTGGATCCAGGTTAGTTTTGAAATTTTTACGAAGTTGAAATTATAATTAATTTATGATTGATCCAAGTCCTACGAAAGGGATATACCTCAATCTTCAAGGAAAAGGAAACAAGCTCTTCGTGTATATGACAACATCAGGAAAGCAAAAACAGGAATTTCTCCAAAAGTAATATTAGCTTCGGAGCATTTTGTCACCGGAATTTTGATCACCGAGATATTTTGCCACGACGACATTGATAGAACACAACTGAAAAATCGAAGAATTGAAAAAAAATTTTTATTGAAAACAAGGTTTAAGAGTGATTTCCGAACACTCAGTGTCAACTTTTTTTCAAGGACCGCTATAATCATATAGATCCAAAATTTTGTAGTCTGGAACCTATCCGTATTATAAAAAACTCCCGGTGGCAAAATATCCCAGAGTTGCAATAATAATTTGCAATACATTTCTTTTAAAATAATTTTTCTAGAGAATCAGAGAGGACCGACGAGAGATCTTATTTGGCTGACGTTGGTCAAGGATTTTTAATCAAATGGGACGAAAGTTGCTATTCAAATACAGACGCACCACATTACATTTTTAATCGAGAAATCTTGGGTATTTGAATTCATTTTTAACGCTTTCTAAGTACGTTCTTAATAGATCCGTACTATTGTGGTCCACATCTTCGTTATATTGGAAACGAAGTAGTGACAGTTCAAAAAGAAAAACGTGCCAAATCTCAGTTCTGTGAGTAATAACATTATTATAACTTCAATTTATTGCTTCAGATTGTCGATATCACATGGTCCCGTTGAATTCAAATATTACCTCTGAAACGATTTATGTTATTTCTGGAACTAGTAACACCTTTGATGTTTTTGACGGAAATAATGAGCGATATAAAATAACGTATGTTTTTTTTTTCAATGGTTTAAAAAATCGTTTTGATTTCAAGAGGACAAATTGTTTCCCGGGATTATTGGAAGTATGTTGACTTTGAAAAACAATACAGCGGAACTTATTGGCAAGGAGCAGACTTGGAATATATATATGCAATCACCACAAAACGATGTATGTTTTATTTCGCATTGCAGAATAATTCGAAACATAATTTTACCTCTATTAGACACGCTGAACCTTGTATTGTTCTAAGCCGCACTTGAAGAGTCTTTCTGTGAGAAAAGCGCTATTTTAATAAACGGGCCGTTCCGATACAGGTTTTATAGTAAACTACGAAATTCGATACAATTCGTGCTCAGTATTGAATTGAAGACTTATTTATTCTCGTATTTCTGCTAAATTTTTCTTTTCGGCATGCGTTTGCCAAGATGAACCTGTTGAAGTGTCAAATGGACAAGTAATCCATATTCAATCGCCTGGTTTTCCTGATTTCATGTGCCCATCATCTAAATGCGAAAAACGCGTTACATTTTCCAAATACAATGGTTCCGACGAATATATTCAACGAGCTTTGGTAACACTGGAAGCTCGAGCAAAAACCGGAACTAATTTCAGTCTGGTTTCCACAAACTTCGATGTTCGGTGAGATTTATGAAAGTTGCGTTCACAGTTTCAGAAAAAAATGTATTTGAAGCTTCGACAATGACATATATTCAACAGTTTTCACTAATTTTCTCCTTGAACCAGTAGATATGAAAGTTGAGCATAGCACCCAGCTAAATTTATATCATGGGCCAGAAGGCCATTTCAACATGACAATTCGAAGCATACAAATCAGAAAAGGTACGCTTAAGGAGGTTGAATTTGATACGACATAATAAAGTTCCAGATTGTGCCTGTTCGCTTTTTAAGCAGAAGAAATATGACAAGCAAGAGCACAAAATTAAAATCAAAATTCCTGCTCACTGTGAGTTGATATTCTGTGATTGGACGATCGCATCAGGCGGAAAAAAGGAGATGACGGTGAAAATCGATAATGGGAAAGAAAATGACGAAGTTCATATATGGAATCAAAATTCGATGGAGAAGTATGCCACAGTTACCTTGTTCAGACTTTTTTTTTGTTTTAGATACAATTCAACTCAATTGAAGCAGCCAAGAAAGTTGTACTTGACTACATGCAGTGACACTCACGTCTCTTTTCGGAGAAACACTTCTGGAGTCTTGCAACAAAATTTTCCATCATTGGTCACAGTTTCATGGATCACTGCTTCAGGTGGGCACTTTGTTTCATACTTGAAAAATCAGTACCCGTATCGCATGCTTCGCCAAATCGAATTTTGAAAATTCAAGAAAAATGCCCGGTCCCGCTTAGCTAAAGTATGTTTTTTTCCCAAATTACTTTTTACGATCTTCAGATACAATGTGTTATAAACAGTCAAATGTTTCATTAACAACCACCCCTCAGGCATTCATATCTCCTAACTACCCATTACCATACAACTTCTTTGGTACATGCCAAACACTACTCGTGGCTCCTGACAAGTATAAGCCAAATTTAAAATCAAACAAAATATTGAATATTGCAGTCACTATATCAAATTGAACGTCAGCGATTTTGATGTGGAAAACATACATGATCATGTCAGCTTCTATGATGGAAACAATACGTCTAGTGAGTTCCTCTTGGAACAGTGAGTTTGAATTTTTGATTTCGCTAGAACTTAAACGAATAATGATTTCAGACTAACTGGAACTCATCAGGCATTAACACTTTCATCTAGCTGCAACATGATGACTGTAAACTTCTTTTCTGACGGCTCTCATGGCCGACGTGGATACCATTTTATCGCGTTTGCAGGTAGTTTTTACGCGATTTGAAATTTGACAATAAGTGTTACAGTAGCCAACCCTACTCCCAAATCTACAGAAGTTGCGATGCCTACAATGGAAGAAACTAGTTCTAACAAACTTGGAAAGCTAACTCAAATAATGGACCACCTCCAATCTAATGACTCCTTTGTTGACCCATTCTGGCTCATCGAATCTGAAAACGCGACCACTTCAGGAACAGACAACCTGCAAAATTCAGGTTCCAAACATGGATTCTTTTTTTATTTATTTTATACATTTTGCGTTGTTTTTATCACAATCGGTACTCTGTTCGGAGGTTTTGCTCTTTATAAGAACTTGTACCCTAAGAAACCAGAAACTTCATTTGCCAACGAGATGGTCCGATTCCGGAATGATGATACTGGGTATGATTTTAAAGGGGTTTTTCAGTTATTTTTAAAATTCATTTTCAGATCGGTGGTCACTATTGAGAACTGATGTTAATGAGATACCTGCAATTATTCAGACCCGTGATTTTTTTAATTTCTGTGTTAAAAATTCTGAAATAAATTCCACTTTCCCTGAATTTGTATTCCAAATTTCAATTTTTTTTAACTTGAATGCGGCTAGCTAATTTTGTTGAACTTCTGTACATAATTAAATTTTATTTCAGAAGATTGTCCGTGCTGTTTGCTTCAGCTATGAAACACACGACAGCAAACATTTGTCTAACTCGATTTTTGGCAATTTTTATTGCCTTTACGCCCCCGACAAAAATCTTCCAACGGTCTTGATTCACTTAGCTGTAATTTAATTCTGACCGCCAGACAGCAATCGCCTTCCAGACTATGACATTTTCCCTCTAAATATCAGATCAGAATGATTTCGAAAACCGTGATTTTCGCCACGCGCCTTTGTTTTTTTCACCATTAGTTTGTTTTTCTCAGAATTTGGCAAATAGGCGTTTACATTTCTTTTTTCGCTTACGGTAGTGATGATGCGCCAAAGGGAAACAAAATTTTCTGAGAAATGTTCAAACTGTTCTTTTGGGAAAACACAAAGTTCATTGATCCTTGATGCAGTTTTTTAAAGACTACGCCACTAGATAGTTTTCTTGAAATCAGAAAGTTCAAATAAGCTATAGACCAAGCACGTCAACATTTTTTCATATTTCTAACTAGCCATCCTTTGGGAGATCGCTGGCCTACGTGGAGAAAATAAAAATCATAGGAAATAATGAAGATCATTTTTTGATCTTACTGCGAGGCCAGCTTTTTGAAATCGTTTAAAAGATCCAGAATATTTCGCCAACTAAAATTTTGCCGCCGGGCTAAAGTTTCAAAATGAAAAACTCTTTTAGGGATTTTCAAGTTTCTGATTGAAAAGAGTTTTGAATTTCAAGAAATTTGAAAAAATATTGAAATTTATGTATTGTAGGATGTGCTATTAGAAAAAGCATACTTGAATACCCTAAAAGTGCTATTGCAGTCCAAAACCTTTCCATTCACCTTCATTATCACGGTGGTGAATTTTTCCGGAGCTGTTTCAAAATTTCACACCACACGCTCTCCCACAGAACAATTCCGAACTGCAAATTAATTTTTGATCAACAGAAAAAAAGTTTGGCGCGATCACAATTGCAGGTCTAAAACCAAAATTTCAGAATTTTTTATCTGATTTTGTGGAGTTCCAAGATGATTCAAATAATTTTTTAAAAATTAATTAGTGGTTATAGATTCATGTATGGTCGTTTTCCGGAAGAAAAAATGTCAAAAATAGTCATTTTTGAAAGTTTTTTACAGAAAAAATCTATCTCGTCTTTCAGTTTTTGACATTTCTAGGAGTTATATAGCTCAAAAAAAACCGCAATTATGTTCTCCACATTTTCTATGGAATTTTTCATTTGTCTGATAAAACTTTTTTTATAACTCAAAAAACTCATGAAATTGTACAAAATAGCCTTTTTGCGTTGTTTTTTGATTATAAAAAGTTTTATCAGACAAATTAAAAATTCATCCGTAGAAAATGTGGAGAAAATAATTGCGGTTTTTTTGAGCTATATAACTCCTAGAAATGTCAAAAACTGAAAGAGGAGATAGATTTTTTCTATAAAAAACTTTCAAAAATTACCATTTTTGACATTTTTTCTTCCGGAAAACGACCATACATGAATCTATAACCACTAATTAATTTTTCAAGAATCATTTGAATGATCTTGGAACTCCACAAAATCAGATAAAAAATTTTGAAATTATGGTTTTAGACCTGCAATTGTGATCGCGCCAAACTTTTTTTCTGTAGATCAAAAATTAATCTGCAGTTCGGAATTGTTCTGTGGGAGAGCGTGCACCATCACATAATTTAAGTGAGAGCATGCAATAAATTATTACCACAGTATGACTTGTTGACAATAGTTTTTCGAAATTGCTTTATAGGCTCCGGGACATTTCGTCATCAAACATTTTTCCATCGTGTTAATATAGGCAAATGGAAAGGTTTCAGACTAAAATAAATTTTTCTATGGCTTCTAAATACACACTTTCTTATAAAAAACATTTTGACGTTCAGAAAATGTGTAATTTTATGAATTTCAGAATACGTTCTGATATAAAACGCATGTTCAAAAACCCTAAAAGTGCTATTGCATTCCAAAACATTCCATTCACCTTTATTATCACGGTGGTGAAATTTCCCAAAGGCATTTCGAAATTTCAATTCATTTCATGATCTAAGTGTAAACATGCAATAAGTTATCACTACAGTATGACTTGTTGACAATAATCAGTTTTTCTCTCTTAAAAAAGACTCCAAAGCAATGAGTAATATGGCACAAGTAACGTCACTTGACAACCACTTCTCTGAATCATGCTTCGATATCGCCATTGATTCCAAGCCCTTTTCGCTCCAAAACACGTTAGTTATCACTTCAATGAACCATTGTGATTTCAAATGGAACGAGTAGTGCTACCAGGAACAGCATGGAGCGAACAGGAACTTAGTGTATCTGTGACGTTCGGTGTTATTCCAAGCGGAAACAATAATGTAATTGTATTACCCAAGGGGTGAATTATTGTTCCGGCCACAAATTACCGAGCACATTGATCATGTAGCGCCTTGAAAATAGTGTATTTGCGAAAACATTGTTTTTCTTATCAAGCAATATCAATTGTTAACGAACACATGTTTTTCGTTTCGCGCGGTTTCAGCTTGATTGACTTGTGTCGTCACTAAAAAACTATTTAGCATTGTAGATTGTTATGCATGTTTGGGTGGTTCCGAATGGAGATTGGTATGAATGGGTGCAATGAATGGGTATGAATGGTACTATGAAAACATAATCTACAGTATATCAACAGCACACGGTGGCAACTGAAATGTGCAGTGTGTGAGAAAAATTATTTTATAAACTACATGATGTCAATTTTCCTGGCTAATCTTTGCATGAAAGTTTTCATTACAAATATTTTTCATTACAAAAACCGAAAATTAAGACTGAAAAAAATCTAAATGTCACTAAAATCAGAATAACCTCATTTTGCTATTTAATGAGCATGTGAGCTTGCTGGGCAAAGCGCTAGACGTTTTCAAAGAGTGGTGCAAGCAAAAGTGGGAAAGTGTGCACAAAGTGAGAAAAAATTAACAGGGATTATATGAAAACCTTACTGTAAAAAACTTGGCGGCATAGAAAAAATTGATGGAGTTTTTCTTTTGAAGGTATTGAGGCAGTTGCAATTGTAAGCAGAATATCAGAACTGCAGACGAAATTTCAGCTAAATGCAGACTAAGTTCCAAAACTTCTGAAAATTCTGAAAGGTCAGGACAACCCGAAAATGTGAAATTACAAAAAATCCGTTAATTCCAAAAAATTGGTTCTATTATGTCCCTCAACTTGTTTCAGGATAAGCTAGTTTGGCAAAGCGCGACGTTTACGAAAGGTGCAAGCAATAGTTGAAAAGTGAGCACGAGAGAAAAGTTAAACATCTGTATTAACTTGCTGATATAAAAATTTTAGAAACAATTTGTAATTTTATCTATTACATTTACTGGATTTTGTCTATTGAAGCTTCAAATTTGGAAGCTGAATATCATATGAGTGCAGTACCGCTATTGGCAGAGCTATTCTGCCACAAGCTCAGCTGGCGACAAAATGCATAACTGTGGTGCAATTCTTTCCACCAACCTGTCCCAAAAATTTATGTCTTTAGAAAAATTGAGACTGTCATTAGGGTTAACTCAATATGCTTCTTAGCGAGCATGCAAAATTGCTGGGCAAGGCGTTGGACGTTTTCAAAAGGTGTTTCAAACAGAAGTTGAAAAGTGAGAAAAGGAAAAAAAAGTAATTTAAGTATAAAAATCTTGATGTATTAGCAAACTTGGTGGAATAGTAAAAAATCTGTAATTTTCCTATTGACCGTTATGAAGAAGTTGAAATTTTCAGCGGAATATGAAGATTGCAAGGAAAAAATATATAAAAACGATGAGAATTCTGAACATTATAAATATTCTGAAAAATCCGAAAATCCGGTTTTGTTTTTTAGCCTGTTTCAAGATAAGCTAACTAAGCAAAACGCAAGACGTTTTTCTGCACGAACGGGCAAACTTTGAAAAGTGAGCAGAAGAAAAAAATTTAAAAAGATTTATATGAAACTCTTACTGTCAGAAACTTGGTGGCATAAAAAATCGAAATTTTTTCTACTGATAACTCAGGAGAATTTGCAATCGTGAGCATAATATCATGGGTACCGCATTGGTACTGGCAGAGCTAAGCTGCCACAAACCCGGACTTGCTGAACAACACAACCAATCTATCGCAAGTTTTACTTTAACAAACACGGTGGCATAGAGAAAAATGCTGTAGTTTTTGGGGCAAAACGCTAGACGTTTCCGGCCAACCACTAGCCGTTTTTCAGTATGAACACGTAAAACGTAAAAGTAAGAGCAGAAAAAAAATGAAAATAATCTGTAAAAAATCTTCATGTTACAATCTTGGTAGAATAGAAAAAAAATTGCATTTTTGTCTAAGGAAACTTGTGGAGTAGTTCAACTTTTGAGCGAAATATCAGGAGTGCCATGCCGCCACTGGTAGAGAGAACTGCCACAAACCCGGACCTGTTAATGTTGACCAAAACAACCTGTCGCAAATCTTAAACTAACAAAAAAATTCTGCAACGTTTTTCTGTATTTTTTTCTACTGAGGGAATTGCTCATCTGAGAAAAATATCATGATTGCCGCGCCAATGTTGGCAAAGCTACACTGCCACAATCCAGGCAGGCGACTAACCTTGCACGGCCTGGTCACGACGCACGGCCAACCTTGCACAGCATGCGACCAACGTTGTGTGATTATGTCTTCAAACATATTCTAAAAAATTACTGTTTATTCATAAAAAAATTTTTACTAAACATTCAACAAAGGTTAGGAAAGAATTACTACAATTCTGTTAAATGCCGTTCTATATGAGCAATATTGCAATTTCTGTAAAATGTATTCTGTACAGGAAATTCTTCTGAGAGCGTTATCTGGATTTTTCTCAACTGGAAACAAGAACCAAACCATGATCTTGTTAGTAGTATGTTTAATGTTCAAAACGTTGTTTCATGTGTTCCAGCAATTTTTCACCTTTAAAGACATTACCCTTTTTTGTACATATTTTAAGCCGTCCAACACACAACTTCTTACCAAATGTGCTTCTAACTAAGACATTAATGTTTTCTGGTCCTTCATATTCAAAATTTGTTCTATGAAACTATAGTAATACGTTTAGCTTTTGTTTTCCAAGCCGCCACTGCGGCACAACACCCTCATCTCGCACCCGACCTCATCATTAGTTCGTGACTCTCGCTCGAGCTTGTTTTGACTTTTGTTTTGACCTGTGACTAATGAGGGTAACGCCACACGCATTTCGTACCTTTTTGAATATGATATTTACGTACTAACCTATATTTAAATGTATATAGGTGTGATGCATGCGAGATTTGAAAACCGAGGAGTTAATCCAAAATTTCTGTGTGTGTTGTTTGTTTCATTAGTCTAGGCAAATGAGGGAGAATCGTATAGAGGAGTACCAAATTCATTGTATAGTTTTTAATCAGAAGGTGTATAAAAAGTGAAATGACATCTTTGACAGAGGATCGGGCGAGAAAGGATTGTTCTGTATTATGAGCTTCTGTATTAAGCGATGATTCATTTGAGATGGGTTCAGTGGAAAAAATGTGCACATATATACGTGCCGAATGAGAAACATAAGATATTGACAATGTAGGACGGGCGAATGAGAGACAAGAAATGACAGTAAGCGGAACAGGGAAAATTATATGGACTCAAGGATTTGGGAGGCGCTTTTTTTCAGTGGTATAAACTTATATATTAAGTGGATAGGAACGGTTGAGAAGATGTGCACATATACACCTGCCGAATGTAAAATGGAGAACGTTGGGCGGTCTACGACAGAATAGGGGAGAGACAAAAATGGAGAGTAATTGAAACAGGAAAATTTATATGGCCTCAAGGGCTCGGGTGCGTTGTCGTTCGATCATGGCCCGACGGATGGTGTGCTGCCACTTGTGGATAGCGTCGAAAAAGTCCTCAAGCTCGGCTGGTACATGTTTTGGTGCTCCGTTTTTCTCAGTCTCGCGGATGTACTCCTCCACAAACTCGCGGTGCTTCTATAATTCAATACTTTAAAATTATCACAAGATGGGTCCTATAGCTTACATCGATTTCTTCGATTCCGAGCTCAAAAACCTCCATGATGTCTTCTGGGAACGATTTGATCATGTTGATCTCGACGCGTGGCATGATTCCGCACCGGAGGAGGCATTTTCCACCGCGACAACAGTAAGCGAGTTTCATTTCTTCTAGCGTGATCAGGTTCCAGGAACGAAGGCGTAAGAAATAGATGGCTTCCGGGGAGTTTGCTATAGAATCTTTATCCCAAACCCACTTCGGGCCATCGAAATGACCGAATTCTAGAAAAAAACAGCGCGTTTGGTACTATGCAAGTTCTCGACTACGGTACTTACCTTCTCGTGGACATATGAAGTTTGATGGCGGGCATGCTGCTATCACTGAGTTGACAAGCTGTTCGGTTTCCCAACACCGAGTGCTGACAACCAAGAGAAAACCAAGAAGAAGAGAGAAACGCATCATTGCTCACTGAAAAAAGTTGACATGGTGGTCCAAAAAAATGAGAGATAAGGAAAAAAAGAGAGAGAGGTAGGTAAATTTTTTCATGAAATAGATTCATAAAAATATTTGAAGTGGATTGACTAAAAAATTTCACTGCTTAAATAAGTTGGCGAAATCGGCATGATGAAATGGGCGGGACAAGCTCATATAAGGAGGGGGCGGAGCGAAAAGCTTTGACTACGGCTCTGACAGGGAGAGGTCGATTTACAAGGAGAGATTAGAATAAAAAGAGGAGGCGGAGCATAGATATAATTTCGTTGTGACGCGATTCCCTAAGCATTGGTTATTGACGTATTCAAAAAATCAAAATCCTGACCTTCACAGTAACCCGAAAAATTACCGGTTGGAAATTCCAAGAAGAAGTACACTACGCCTCCGTCAGCATAATAAGTATAGCTTTGACTGAAAATGCCAGAGACATGCTGGCAAGCCAGACTTAATTTTTTGCAATTTAGAATTATATAAATTTCATTTGCAAACTGATTTGAAGAAAAGCTTGAAAAGAAAAGCAAAATGAATATTTATTAGTTTTTATTGGATAGCAAACAGAAATCAAGGATTGATACACACACCTCACCACGAGCTATTGAGCAATTTTTTTACTATCACACTGACTTGGCACACCACGAAAAACAACACGACGTGTGTTTTTTTGCCCGTGGCGTGATTTGTAGACCAGGGTCACACAAGATTGTACAGAGGGAGGGGACGCTTTTGAAACAGAAGAAAGGTCGAGAAATGCACTTGTTCACAGGAACTAAACTCGAGGACAGGTCTCAAATAAGCGGACGTCTCATTCCTATCTATCCCTTCTTCTCATTTTAACTTTTGTGACATTTTTCACTCTGGCTCCACCCCATTTATCCTCTCCGCCGGTCACGCTTGATTTCTACAGTTTAAAACATAACAAAAATAACTGGGGTGACTCTGGGAGGGTAATAAAAATGAGTACCGGAACTAAGAAGTTATGAGGAGTTCATGGAAACCTTTAAACCCCACCAGATGTGACGCCAGAAGGTGAAAATAATCGGGGCTACTCTTTGACTCTTTAAGCTTTCGTCCCTTTTTCTTTATTGTTGTCTCTCAGGTTTTGATTTCGTCATCTCCCCGCGGTAGACAGAGTTATAGCTCCTGGTGCTCAATTTGAATTCCCAACAATAATGGGGTTCCAATCGGCGCAACATAATTCACCATTGTTAGAGATCCCTGTCATTGTGAAGCAGTATCATTATCTGTCATTGTGATGGAAGAAAATGGAAAACGACGACGACGTATTTATTTTGAAGCAACGCAAGCGATGCAAGTTGTTTTTTATATATACAGAGCAAAATAGCTACTAAAACTTGTATAAAAAACCAAATGTACAAAATATTAGTTAATTTCCTCGATATTGTTGGCAGCATCGCTTTCGTAATCTGACTCAGATGGTGCCACATCGTATGTTTTTCGTCTTACTGTGAGAAAAAACTCATCTCCGGTGTCTTCCGTTCCGTTCGGCACGACTTCATCGTCAATAAATTCCTCATCTGAACCCACTTGAATCATTTGGTCTTCTTCGCCAAGGTAACGAGCGTCACAGTAGAGGCATAGCATAGCGATCCATGCTGGAAATAACAATTTATAGTTTGTTTTTTCAAAAAAATGTATTTCTTGCGAACGCCCTGTAACTTGATAGTTTTGAAAAATAGTATAACTTTTTAGGAGTGTAATTTGATAGAAAAAATTTGTAATTCTCAAAATATCTAAAAACACAAAACCAACCTAGAACAACAAGCATTTCGTCAGGAACAGTGGGGGCCGTAGAAATATTTAGTAAAAATGACCAAAGCGGAAACGCCTACTCGTCCCTTTTTTATCTTTCTTCCCTCCCTCGTTGCAAACAAAAAAGTGGTCCACAAAACAACATGATTCATCGTAGTACAAAAAACTGAATTTAACAAAAGAGGGAAGCGGAAAGATGAAACAGTACGGGTGGCTGAATAAACAAAACATGGGACCCCTGACAATTTTGAAAATGATTTTCGATCTTTCAAGAGAGTTTCATATCTCTTATCAATCGGGTCGCGTGGAGATGAACTAATTACAAATTGGACAAGATAATCTTGCTATCTCTCCCCCAATCAATTGATCGCAATAGCTCTTGTGTAAATCGAAAGGGATACAAGCGTTACAACATGTTAACAAAAATATGTATTGAGATATTTAGCAATTTTTTTCAGGTCAGCAGTAAATACGATAAAGAGGACAAATCACTTGGAGGGTACAGAAATTTTAGGGTCATTGGGGTACAATGCGATATAGGAGTACAAAATACCTTGAAACATTCGAAGTTTATTCCCCGGAATTGTGGATTTTGTACCTCTGAATCATTGTACTTTCCGAGTTGTGTGCCAAAAGTTTGTTTTTTTACAGTTTAGCAAATACGATATGAATACGTTCACATCTAAGAACCCCAGAAATCTATTACAAAAAAAAGAAGTTTAGATTCCAAAAATGTTTACACACAAAAAAATAAAAAATCCTGTCCATGAAATATACAATAACAATTTTTTCAGTTGATTTTTCATTCATTTTTATCATTTTCACGCGTGTGAAGTGCTCGGCTGTCAACTTTCCGATTACTTTGAAATATCTGGAGAGTGTGAAACAAAATTAGATTGAACAGTTTGCATTCACAGAATTTTTCAAGAATTCCTAGTTTTTCAGTTATTGACTGATTTCTGGAAGACAACTGTTTTTTTTTAATTTTTAATGCAAAAAGCTTGCCGAAAAGGTGTGTCTTCCAGGAATCGGCGAAAAATCTGAAAAACTAAAAAATTCTCAAAACTCTGTAAATGCAAACTGTTCAATCTAGATTTGTTTTACACCCTCCAAAATTTTCAAAATGATCAAAAACGTGACAGCCGAGAGCTCCACACGCTGAAAATGATAAAAATGTCGAAAAACCACTAAAAAATACGCTTTTGTATATCTCTTTAATCGGTACTGAAGAGGTTTTAGAATTTAATATGTTAAGTTTCCAAAAACGCAGGGTTACACAAATGAATAACCGAAAAAGGATTGAATTCAAAGAAGTTCGGTTTCCAGCTCAGTGGTGTTGGCATTCTCATTGGTTCCGGGTTCAAAAGCGACGTTGAGTGCGGCTCCTCTGAAAACATCAATGATTAAAACAAAAACATTATTGTTTACCCGGTCCCGCTGGCAGAGTAGGAAACAGTTGGGTTGTTCATGGATTGATATTGGCGGTTGTTCTGGGCCTTCTTGCGATGGACAACGTAAGCAACTCCCACGGATACAATTGCAACGACAAGGGCGAGAAGGACAATGATAAAGACAAAGGAGCCCTTGGAAGTACTTGGGTATGCATCTAAAAAAATCTGGAAGGATTAAGAAGCCTGAAATATTTCAACTAACGGCAAATGACATTAGCATGATAGCCCTTATTGTTGCCGCTCTCATCTGTGTGGAAAACAAACATGACTGTATTCTGGGTTGAATTGAATTGGATAACTTTCTCGCTCAATCCGCTAACTCTGAAAATAAAAAAAAAAGGTTTTTTTTTGAAAATATCAATATATTCCCCGTCGTTTTCTAACTTCATTAGCAGCGGATCAGTCGTTGAGTTCCCGTCGTAGATTTTTAGGTAATCATGATAACGCTCAATGTCCGCGTTATCGATGACAACTTCTAAGAAGTGGCTGAAAATAGGTGAAGTTCCTGCTAGTTCATAAAGAAAGTGCATTTTTTACCCTTTGGGAGCGAAGAATGTATGACGACAGAGAAGCATCGAGCAGTATTGTTGGGGCCAGTGAGGGCTGGTGATAACAAGAGATTTTCCGTCGGTTAGGTAAAATGATTCATCGGGACAAAGGCATCCTGGAAAGTTATGGTAGTTATGGTAGGTATGGCTTATGGTATTTTTGCTGGGTTCTTGATCTGAGCAATCTAGGGTTACTTGTTTATGTGAGCATTTTTTATATATGCGCGATTTTTGGCAAGAACAGTGGGTTTTTTGCAATTCAGATTACAAAATGATAAAATTCCAAAATTCTCTCATATGTCGTTTTTGTCTATTTTCAAGAGAGCCCTTGTTGACCCAGATTTTGTTTCAAGTTTCATATTAAGATAATAATAGCCTGTTCAGACGGTCTTAAAATTTTTAGCCCGAGTCCGCTCGCCATTTTCAACCGAGTTATATCAGTTTCAGCACCAAGAACCGATTTATCAGTGCAAAAACATCGATTTTCATGACTTCTAGGACGATTTTGAACATGAAATTACACCTTTCAAACCTTTTCTCAAATAAATTTTTTTGAATAAATTTGAGAATTCTTTCATCATACATTCTTTCAAAAAAATGGTTATTATTTAGATATGATTGTACATCGAAGAGTTGATATAATTTTTGACTGGATTTTAAAATTATTTTGTCATGGACGGCGTAGGTTTCCCAAGGCAATGCCTGATTAACTTTCTAGAAATTCTAACAAAGTAATCGTGTACTTCAAATCATTAGCATTTTTCAGACTACCCAGTCAGGTGTACTATTGTCGTCACTGGACCATGAGTCATTTCAACTCACTCTCAATTTGTTCCCATGAAATCTTCAATGTCGCGTTTGGAGTCGCAAACCATTTCATTCTGGAGAACGTCATCGAAATCGCACTCGGTGACGTGACCTGTCGCACGTGACTCAACTCTCCGTAACCATATCTAAAATTAAATTTATAATATTGAATATCGAGCACTGTTTCTCACTCCTCCATCATATTATCCGAATACATATAAATAAGGTCTGTCTTGTATGGGTTTTCCAATTTGAAGGTGACCGAGATAAGTTTATCGTAACGGTTATTGGAGAACTTCCAGTGGCAGTGCATTAAATGGCATCTTGATGAGATGGGAATAGTCAATTTTCCATTAGTTTCGAACACCTTGGAATCATAAACCGAGCACACGCATTCTGTAAAAACATATAGATAGAGTTAGAAGTAAAGTACGGAGAATAAGAAATACAAAACATATTTTCCAATTAATTTTCGCACACTTTGATCATTTTCATGAGTTTTGAGCTCAGGTGTAAAGTTTCTAATCACTTTGAAGCAATTTTTGAAGGGTGTGAAAAATCTCTAGACTGAAAACTTTGCATTCAAAAAGGTTGTTGGAAAATTCGTAGTTTTCCGCTATTTGCCGATTTCTCAAAGACATCCCCTTTGGCCCGTTTTTTTATTGATAACATGAAAAATCAGGTATGTTTCAGAAGTCGGCTAATATCTGAAAAACTAGGTATTTTCGAAAGGTTCCGTGAATGCAGAGTTTTCGATCTAGGTCTGTTTTATACTTTTCACATTTGCCATAGTGTTCGGAAACTTTTAAGCCAGGTTCCAGACTCCAGAAAATGACCGAAGTGGCAAAAAACCAACTTAAAGATACAGTTTTGTATGTATATCTTGTTCGCCGGTACCGAATTTACACAGTAAACACTTTCATATTGTGCAGTTCAAACTTTCAACTTTGAGCCTGATTATCCAATTCCCTGCAGGATATAATATAGAAAAATAGTCAACTCAAAAAATATTGTTGATATTATACAAAACATGTTATCAGTTGACTTGTACGTAACATCTTTCACAGGGAATGCAATGTGTGATTTCAAAGCTGTTGGGGCAATCTATTAGAGTGTATAACTAGAGTCCCACCTTCAAGAACATTCATCCTAGTGAGGTTCATCTCGAAGAAACGTGTCTGAACACTGTTGCTAGGGGTGTATTCCACTGCTAGATTTTGTGCTTCAAATACCATCGCTCGCATAGGACGCGATGGGTCCTGTTGTTTATGTTGTGAGCTGGAATAATGAAATATTGAGTTTTCAAAAGAAAAAAGAAAACTGACCGGAAGAGAACCTTACTACTGTCCGCCGATCTCAATTCCAAAAGGTCCAACTCAGATAAAGAGCAATTTGTTTCAACAAAAATCAAATCTGTCTTCATTCGCTCTTGTCCTTTGATTTTTGAAACCTTTATCAATGTGTTACACTTTTTTCCAGGACAATACAAGTCTGGGAATCCGGGCGATGTAATTCTCATATGAAAGAACTCAAAATTCAATATATACTCTGGTTCTGGACACTCGCATGCTGAACAATGTACATTATTATTACTTTGCCAGTTGTTTAATAGATATTTTTACTGTGGCCCATAAGCATTGCTGTAATGTTTGGAGTGTTGTACGGTCCTCCGTCAGATGTTGGTGCTCTGAAAACAACCTCCACACGAGTTGCATCTACAAGTATCCCACGTGTCCTATCCGAGCTGAACACTTTTTGACTTTTTTTTCGAGAATATATTGGGTTTTCTTACAGATCTCCATTTGTGAAAACTCCATCCTCATCGTATCTTCTCACAGATACAAAAACTCCTCTTTCCGTAGTGATATGTATATACATTTCTTCCAAACCTTTCTCAATTCCTTCGCTAGAGCGCGTTAGGACAAATGTGCATCCTGTACAAAAGATTATTAGCGTAATTCAAGCAATTCGAGAAACAAAGGACTGCATTATTAGCTACAGTTTGGGTCATCAAAATATACAACTACGTCTCTTTCAGATGTTTTTCGGCATTTTGACAATTTTTAAGTCAAAGGACAATTTTTAAGTTTAAGGAGTCTGAAGCTCGGTTCTCAAGTTTCCAATCACTTTGAAAATTACGGAGGGTGTGCAACGGGCATTGATTGGGAACTTTGCATTTAGATAATTTTTTGAAATATCCTAGTTTTTCAGCTAATTTCCGATTTCTGAAAAACACTTTTTTTTTCACGTTGCCAGTACAATGAGCTGCCAAAAAGGAGTATCTTTTAGAAACGGGGGAATAGTTGAAAAATTAGGACTTTTCCGAGAAATTCTGTAAAGGAAAAATGTTCAATCTCGGACAGTTGTATACCTTCCGTAATTTTCCAAGTGATTGGAAACTTGACAGCCGAGGTCCAGACTTTTTAAAGGTGGGGAGACATGAAAAAAATGATTTTTTCAAAATTGCGTTTAAATATGCCCCTCGAGGTGCTGAACTTGTCGGGGCGAGTATTGAAAGTACCGCGCCGCTACCGACTGAGCCACGCGGGCAAAAGCGGAGCTGGCGCCCGATGTTAAACATAAGGGGGAAGACGAGAGCTGTACGCAGAGTGACATTAAGCATTGTACACCGTTACGGTAGAATGCATACTCTGGCCCCAAAAATCCCCCGTAAAATTGTCAAAGTGATCACATATCAACTGAAAAATGGTTTTTGTATATTTCATTGAGCGGTCTTGTAGGCAACTCAAAACACAAAAGGCTGAATTATCAGCTACAATATGCATCAAACCTGAACGAGACTCAAACGTTTGGTTTCCAACGGAAACCTCTGTAGATTCAGGTCCAATTGGAACGTGAGAAGGAGGGCAGAGGTATTTTTTGTCATCTGAAAAGTTGGATAAAGTTTTTTCTCAATTTTTTTGTTGTCTAACCTAATGAGACTCTCTCAAACTTGATTTTAAAACCACGGCTTGAATATTCATTATTATGCATTTTGAAAATTGCTTTAAATCCAACGTTTACTGCAGTTGAGAACGTGTTATATCCATCAAATCGTCCATTGTACGAGTACCGACCGGTGCTTCTGAACTTGTGACATAATACCCTTTCAATATTGAAATAGCTCTTACACAGAATTGTATATCAGATATTCCTTTTTTTCGACGTTGACGATGTTCCAAAAAGTGAGAGTCGATTCAGTGGATAACGAGAGACTTTCAATATTAATGTGAAGACTCATATTCGGGTGTGGAAGGATCTAGAAAAAGCGTTCGTCATTCGAACAAAAATGTTAGGTTCATTAGATTACTTTATAAATGCACTTTCCGGTCCCACAGTGTGGCGACGGGTAGTTTGGTGATTTGAGCACACCTTCTAGAACTTCTGGCCCATAAATCTCCATTTCACAGTGACAAAAATCTTTCGTGGTTGTGGGGATCGTCGATGTGGTCAGAGCGGTGCTTTCCATAACGGCTTCCTCAATTTTAGACTCCGTATCTTCTCTCTGCTCTGTTTCTTCTTCGTCCTCGTCTATACCATCCCATTCCGATGTTGTGTTAGGTATGGTAGAGAGTAGGATAAGAGCAACTGAAAAAAAATCAACAGTGCGAAGCGAATTAAAAAAACTGAATTCAAACTAAAACCATCTAGCAGGGATTCAAATGTAGTAAGACACAACAAAAAAATCTGGCGAAGACAAAATTATCTGAAAAAAAGAAGAGGAACAAACTGAAGAAGGATAAGCAGCTAGGATTTTGTCAAGGCGATTATCATAGCACAAATATGAATAAAATTCACAATTCCAGAGTTAGTTGTTGTCCCTAGATAAGTAAAGGCACTAACAGAAAAGAGAAGAACCAAAGTGGTAATTTTCCATACAGTGGAAAACTTCAAATAGTAGAATAGTTTCTCAACTTGGGATCTGTTCAAAAATCACAAGCTGATCCACTTTTTTCGAGTCATTAATTTTCTATTAGCTATGAGAAATACACATAACCACATTTTTGTGTTTTTTTAAAAGTTTTTTCTCTAAATATGTGTAGTTTTTCCTCAAACGATGTTAAGAATAGAAAATAACAGATAACTGAGCTAAAAATACAAAAAATATATATATACTTTGAACGTTCAATTCCTTGATTTGAGACAATGACAGCTTCAAAACGTCCTAGCCGCGAAAAGCGCGGCTGCAAAACGTCCCGGAGCCTACATCAAGTTCCGAGAGACCTTGTTCAAGTCAAAACCACAGTCTGTGGAAAGAAAACTAGAACTTTTTCCAACAGCGTTGGTAACGAGTAGAGTTGTAGAAAACCCCTTTGAATGAGGTTAACCGCTGAATCAGAGAAGAAATAACAAAACTGCAAAAAGCTCCACCCTACCGTATCCCAACTGACCTACGGACAAGAAAATTCTAGTTTAAAGCTACCAACACACTTCACAACTCTACTCACCTATCCAACGTCTCAGAATCATTGTTCATAGAAAACACGGAGCTCTGGAACGACCGTACTGGAAATGTTGGAATGAATATGAGAACTAAAAAATAATGGAAGGGTCGGGGGAAGGCGGAGCGGCGCCAGGAGTCCGGTCGCCATTAAATAAACTATTGAGAATACAGGAAATGGATAGCTGAATGGTAGAGGCAGCATAAACAGTTTATGTTTTTCGTGCTATTCGAAAAGTATCAAATATCATTTTCTGATTATGATCCCTTGCTACCTCATGACCCTTTGAAAACGTAAATTGTAGAAAAATGAGAATTTTAGAAAACAGAAGAGAGTTGAAAAAATAAATGAAAAGCTAGACATCTTTATTAGGTACAAAGTGTATGTGTCTTGTGTTTGCTGAAAGAAGAAAATAAGAAGAAAAAATGAAAAGATGGGAGATGGTGAGTTTAAACGTGAAGCGGATGCTCGCTAATTATTGCGGGTGCTAGAAGATGACGAATTCTCAGATCTTGGATGTGACCTTGTCAAGGTTGGCGACGACGACTCCGAAGATGTCGTCGACGGATCCTTCGGCGTTGATCTGCAAACATTTGGGGTACTTAATTTACACTAATTTTAAAGGCTAATTTCAAAGGCGTAAGGCACTAATTGCATTTAATAATCAATTCCTCATAAAAAATGCTAAACAGCTCTCAAAAGAAAAGTGCCAAAAATAGAGAAAAAGAACAGCTAAACGACGTCATCAGCAAAATAGCGGTGCTCATCTCAAACATGCGGAGCAGAAAATTTTCTCTCTACTTGAGCAGATACTTAGTTTCTCTTTAGTCTATCGCCCTTTCCGACTAACACTCCCCGCCCTAGATGAGGTTTTTTTTGCTTGATGTTATTACTACACTTTTTTTAGCCGTTACGTAGCTCAATGATATGTTTTTTAATAGAGCCAAAATTGAATAACCACGCACTCTAACAAGTTTTCCCTTGGACTCATAGTAGTCAACGACTGGAGCGGTAGATGTGACAAAGGTGTGAAGACGCTTCTTGATGGTGTCAATGTTGTCGTCGGCTCTCCCACTGGAATATTGAGAATTAAAGGTGCGGAAGAACATGAAAGGGGAACTCCGACCAAAAATTTTTATTGCCTAAAAATGTTTCAAAAAATATGCATTTTCATAACATTATTGCGAAAAAATTCAAAGAAAATCCTAAATCCCCGAAAAACGGCGTTGAGAAAAAATAGGATTTGAATTCCCGCGCAGTGAGAAACCTAGGCCACGGCATCATAGCGCATTTCTGACATGGAAATTTTTCCGGATTTTTTCGGTTTTCATGTCCGGCAGGTAAAAAACTTTAAAAACCACTGCCACTTAAAAAACGGCTATCAGGCTCCGTGGCCTAGTTTTTTCANNTGCGCGGGAATTNAAATCCTCGTCCCTCCTAGCAACTTTTTTTTTGAAAATTTTCCGCTTTTTTCATTTTTCGGGGATTTCGGATTTTTGTCGAATTTTTTCGCTATAATATTGGGAAAATAGACAACTTTTTGAACATTTTAATGCAATAAAAATTTTTGATCGGAGTCCTCCTTGAAACAAAACATTATGAAAATTCAGTTCATAGCCCCATGATATCTATGGTACCGACCGATAAAAGACAAAAAAACATATTTTCAGTTGATTTTCGGCCATTTTGACTATTTTCAGGAGCCTGGAGATGGACTGTCCAGTGTCCGATCATTTTGAAAATTTTGGAGGATGTAAACAGACCTCAATTAAAAACTTTGCATTTACAGAATTTTCGGAAAATTACTACTTTTTCTGCTACTTTCCGATTTCTGAAAGACACCCATTCTAGACTAGGAACACTGTATGTGTGAACACTAATCACTGTACAAAGTCACTTTAGAGTGCATAAAGTGATTGAAAATCTCCATTACCTGGTTTCAGCGCGACCTAAGAGTCTTTTCACGAGAGTCTCCTCGGCAACATCGAAGAACAACACCAATTTGGCCTCTTGGATCTGAAATTTTTCAGTTTTTGAACACAGTATTTTTTTGGAAATATTTGAAGGCCTAAATAACAGTATGACATTATCATTTTTGAGTTATGATTACATTATCATTTTTGAGTTATGGCAAAATACGCTAAAACAATTTCATCTGGAGCGTTATACTGAACTTTGTTTTTCCGCTCAGAATAAACAAAAACAGAAAGACCAGAGGTGGACCAATAGTTTATAGAATTAGATATCCATAAACTGTTTTTGCAGGCGCTCTACTTGCATGGTACCAAGCTTGGCAAGAGAAATTATTATTTTTCAGGGGTCATGGCGCTAATGCTTGTGGCCGGAAATCATCAAGATCCTTAACCTGTCAGATTATCTTAAGACTTATAGCTAAAACGGATATTTTCCTAAATATCACGTCAAATAGCGTCAGTTGGTGCTCACCTCGGACTCGAACTGCTGTCCTTGAGCAACTTCTCTTGGGTATCCGTCGATCAGGAATCCCTTGCTTCCCTTCTCAATAGCAATGAGCATGGCCTCCTTGACCAGATCGAGAACTACTTCCTGGAATCAATCAGAGTGTAAAAATGGAGATGTATAGAACAATGTTGACTTTTTGGTAGAACTAATACATACAATACATTTTGACCATTATCAAGAGTCTGACATTTTGGCTATTTTTTGAAGGACATTTTTTTCTTCACAATTTCAATACAATAGCGTGCCAATTTACGTGTCTTCTAGAAATCGGCAAATAGCGGAAAAACTAGACATTTCGACAAATTCTAGGTTTGTTTTACATGCTAAAAAGTTTTCAAGGATACGTGACAGCCGAGCTCCGGACTCTCGAAAAGGGTCAAAATCACCGAAAATCAATTAAAAATTTTTTTCTATATAATATTTACCGGTACTCTAGGTTCTAGCCCAACTCACTAATGGCACTAGAGCTCCGGACTCCATAATAGCTGTGAGCTGAGCTCCACGTGGAGAGCCCGACTTTACTTCATCACGGAGAAGATCTCCGGAAGACAAATGAGTGAGCCCGTACTTGGCAACAATCTTGTCGCATTGAGTTCCCTTTCCGGATCCTGGTCCTCCAACGATGAAGAAGATTGGGACGTTGGCAGCCTTCAGTGGAGCCAGGTCAATCTTCTTGCGCTCAACAGTTGGGGCCATTTTTCAAGATGCTACTGAAAATTTGAGAGATTAGAAAAACGAAAAACAAACTTCAAGACTTGGTGCAGAGTGAAAAATGTTCTGAGCAGTTGTGTGAATGGGAACACATTTGTCGGTGCCTCTCTCGGTTTTCTCGGAGGATAAAAAGATTAGTTTGGAGGATGCGGGGCAAGTGGTTTGCTTACGTGAGATAAAAAAAAACTCGAAAGCTCAAACTTTTTGTCTGCCGCCTCTCGAGCACTTGTCTTTCTCTCGTAGCAGCGCACCTCGATTGCTTTTGCCACGTAAGACAGTGGCAGAAACGGCAGAAGAAGAAAGAGAAGAAGGAGGTGGTGTGGTTCAAGAAAACAAAAGAGAAAAAATGATGAAGAAGAGAAGATTGGGTGGAAGAAGATGAAAGGAATATGAAGATAAAAAATGAAAAGAAGAGAAGAAGACGAGTTAAAAATATGAGAGTTCGGTATGTTGAATGTGCTTCTCTACAAAATAGAAAATATGAAATTTTCAGCGTAATGAATTTATTATTTTTAGAAGAAGTTGTATTATGAAAAATGCTGATAAAATAATTTTTTTGGAAATTCTCATTTTCCGTCTTGTTGTCTAACCATACTTGCATCGGGCTGGGTTTTTTTTTCAGATTTTTCTCACCTTGACCCGTGTATCGAGTTGTTCATTTTTCTCCATATTTTCGAAAATTATTTGCAGATAAAAAACTTTTTTCTTTCATCCTTTTTCTTTCATCCTGAATTTTCAAAAAATTCTTCAAAAGCAAATTTTTCAATCTAGGTCTGTTTCAGACCCTCTAACGTTTCTACAGTGATCCGCAGGCACGAAATAGTCGAATTAGGCAAAAATTAACCGAAAGATACAGATTTTATTGACCGGTACTACATATTTCATTGACCGGTACTACAGATAAAAAATACTGGCTTTACGATTTAAATCACAAATTAAATTAGTTTTAAAAATGATTTTTTAACAATTAGCGGAACCGAAATCTGTAGCTGATCCCATGTTAATTGTCTCTAAATGTAAAACAAGACAGCTAACAAAAAACACAAAATACATTGCTCAAGTTCTCTAAACAAACTGCTCAGTGAAATTGAATTCAAAACCAATCAAACTTTTAAAAAATGTTGCCCAACACAAACAAACACTTTCAACAAACTACACCTCACTATGAAAAACACCAATACTACAAAAAATATAACAGAATCTAGGATTTTTCACGTTTTCGCGTATCTCATAAATTTTTTATATCCTTGAATAGAAGACCAAAGAAGAAAACAAAACAAAGTGGAAGAAAAGCGTATTGGAAGGAGAAGGCGAGAAGGGTCAAAGGGTCCGGAGAAAAAAGAAAATTGCCTTCGTATGTGTATGTTTCTCTGGTTATTTATTTCAAAAGATGGAACATTCAATTGTTGTTGTGTGTGTTTGAAATATGGAAACTGAGGATTACTGTGGAAAAAAAAGTAATAAAGTTGAGAACAGAAGTGATTTTTCAAACTAGTGAACCGGAATAATCGCATTACACTATATTTTTACCATTTTCGGAATATATCAAAGTCATACAGTTTCCGGTTTTTCACGTATACACTTTGAAGTTTCAATGAATTCAAACCAAGAAAGTTGGAACTTATTCTTCCGAAATTGTTCATAAAACACGTACGTGTTTCTAGAAATAAACAACGATGAGAAGAGATGAGAGGAGAGAGAAGGATATGATGCAATTCTCACTTCGTGAAAAGCAATCAAAACAAGTTAGACGTCAGAAACCGAATGCAAAGATGGACCAATTTGTAGCCTGGATGCCCTTTTGTGGGTGTCAAATGCGAGAGGAGCCCATGGAAGCTATCGATTCTCTTCTTCTTGGAAAACGGAGTAAAGAAGAGGAGGAGAAAGACATTATTCACCAAAAATTTCCGAAAGACCTAGGCAACTCTAGAGAATTGGGTTTAGTTGGTGGACTTTTTGAATTGATGTCATTAAGATGTGAATAAGCAAAAAGGGGTTATGAAATCCAAACTTTGGATGATAAATGAAAGATAAAGCTGAATTTTTGGAAAACTACTCACATGGGGTAGAACAGAAATATTTTAGACCGCGTGGCAAAGTCTGGTTCTCTTATCACGGGGTTATTCTATTCTTCCAAAGTTTCTTATAAAAAATTCGGTGAATTCTAGTTCAAAATTAAGGAAAATCTATCAATTTATCCGAAATTGAGCAAGTTTGGTCCAGCGCGGCTCGTTTCGATTCCTGTTTTCAGTATTTTTCTGCCTTGTCAAAAAAAAACTTTTAGAGTCAATTTGAAAGAATATACAACACGTTTTTCCTGATTTGTGGAATTTCAAAAGTTATTTCAAATGTTCAAAAACCAAGACAATCAGACTTTCTTTTAAATTTAAAAATTGAAAAAAAATCAATGAAAAATTTAAAAATAAACAAACAATTGGAATACCGAAAAATTGAAAAAAAAAAACCTTATTTATTGTTTTCCCCATCGATTTAGTGTCATATGGTTGTTGTTAAACACATGTTCTTACATTTTACATTTCTAAAATTTTGAAACCATACAATTTCTTCAGTCCAGCCTTTGAAAAATACTTTGTAAACTACAAAAAAACTGGGTTTTTTTTTCATTTTTCCTATTTTCTTCATTCTGTAAACACTAACAAAGTGTTTATCAACCGTTTAGTTGCAATCAGTGCATTCAGAAAATTCATAAAAATGTAATTAAACAATTATTTTGCTGTTGCCTAACTGCAAAGCTGTAGAAACCGACGACCGGTCGCGGTTCAAAAGTCGCGGCCCGGGCCGCATAGCAAAAAACAATTTTCGTACGGCAAGCCCGGCAACCCCTGAAAAAAGAAAGCCGTACTACAGTTCTGCCTAGCAGCCGCCAGAAACCAGAAAATTAGAAAAAATGACAAAAATTGGTATCCAGTGGTATTTATATTCTTTCAGATGAGAATGATGACTGAAGTATAAATCCTTTGCACTCTTCATATATCTTATGTGTTGTTGAGTGTTTTCCAAGGAAAGTTCAAAAACAATGAGCAATAATTATAGTGTACTTTTAGGAAAGATGCCAAATATAGGAAAGTCCCCAGAGATTTCATTTTCTTGATTTTGGCAAGCTTTGTTGTACTTTTCACTACCAGAGATGTCAAATTCTTGATGTTTTAAATCTCTTTGTACTTTTTACTGAATTTTCGCTAGGACCACGTGTTTCAAGCACAAATTACAGCTGTATAGCAGTTTTCAATTTGTGCTAGCTTTAAATATTACGAAATACACAATCTCAGATGAACACAGCTGCGACGATACAAATGGAACACATCTGGGGTTCCGTGTCATGTTCATCTTCACAAGTTTCTATATTTCATTCGTATTATTTTTGCTTATGAGTGCCTGCAGTCGACGTGCCCTCATTTCCACTTTAAGAGCATCATCAATATATATTTTCCAAATTTTGTTTGTCCTTTTTGCATATGCAAATCCCAACGGACAACCCAGCCTAACAATGCGGTCTTCGTCATCACAGCTATTAAAGTTATATCAGTTGATAAGATACCAAAAGTCGTTCTATTGGTCCATTTCTTTTCTGAAGACACCTTTGGTCCGACCGAATCGATCAAGGAATTCTCGGTTGTTGTAAATATCTTTCAATCTTATGACTGAAGGAAAACTCAACAACAGTTTTCGGAGCGCCTCTGATTTTGAACCTTCTTCTCAAACGAAGAAGAAAAAAACGATTTATCTTGTCAGTGAGTCTTCCTCGGGTCTTATCTACCCACAATTTCATCCCCGCCCCATCATTTCACACCCAACTATTAGTTTCACATTATTTGCTCATTATATTCTCTGAAAATCCCCTCAAAATGGAGAAGAAGGAAACTAGACAATCTTACATAGCTCAAAATAATCTGTAAGCTCGTCTTAGTTTTCCTCTCCTCTCTAGGGAATATTGATTGGTAAGATTTCTTCTTTTCCTTCCAAAAAAGGTATAAAGATTTCTGAATAAGAAATTTTATGCGTGAGAAATGGGGATGGATTTATTTCTCAATTTCTTTTTTAAAAAACACTGAAAACTTGATTGAGGGGGGGGGGGAAGATTATGGATAAAAGAATAAAGGTATGGGAGACGACCAGTATGACAGAGAACGATTGAGAACATCAGAAAATCAATTAATCACATCTCCTTCTTCTCTTGAGGAGCTGATGGTGCGGATGGACCGTCGACTTCTTCGATGAGGCTGTGAACTTTGCGATTCAAGCGGTCCATTGGGATGGTGTCAGTGTTGAAGGCCACGTATCTTTCTGGATGGTCCTCGTGGAGGGAGGTGACGGTGGAGGAATCGGGTTGTTGCTAGAAAAAGAGGAAATTTAGAACTTAGAACAAGTGTTTCGATATGTTTATATTCAGATTTCGATTTGTCAGAGTTACAGGAGATCAAAAAATTGGCATGGAAAAACAGAATTTAGGCTTATTAGGACTTCCACGAAGCCTCATCATACTCCACATTATCTAGCATGGTGTAATTTGGATGATAGTCATCACCAACCTCGGCAACAAAACGGTCGATGAGACCGTCGATGACCTGGGATGTGCGGAACGCGCCAAATTGAGCGTCGACGTAAGTGAGCAGGAGGATTCCGTCGAAATTGAGGTACTTGCGGATGAAGCGGTGCGAGCGGGTTGGATTCATGGCTGGCTGAAAGGGGTGAGAGTTAAATTTTGATTCTAAAATACGATTAAAACAGCCTACCTTGTTGTTCAAGTTGGTTGGAACCAGGCTGTGTCTTCTGAGAAGCATCTGGAATCCAAAGTGAATCATGCCGGCGGTGGTGAGACAGAACACAAAGATGAGCCAAAAGTAGAAGCAGATGTAGAGCTTCTCGATGATCATGTTCAAGATCATTATGCACGAAACAGTGTGTTGGTGTTGTTGGCCGAGGTTGCGAACCTTGAAGTCGCACAAGACAACGCGAGGGAAGATGCTGTCTTCCTTCTCTGCGGTTCCTTTGAACTCGACATTCCAGAGGTGGAAGAATCCCCAGAAGTAATCATCAACGTCCAGGAAGTGCTTTAGAAGGACCATTTGAAGAATGATGTTGAAGATGAAGCCGAGCTTGAGGAGGAAGAAGTTGATGGTGGCTTGGCAACCGGCGAGCTGAAAAAGACTTGGGTTGAAAATTCTAGGATTTGCAAGAATTTTCAAGTTACCTTGTTCGAGGACTTGCGGATTTCGAGGAGCCGATTCCAGAGTTCGTTGGCAAACGATTCACATGCCTGATTGGGCTCTTGCTTCTTCATAGCTCCTTCGAAAAATCGGAGAGATGCCTTCAAGTTGATCGTGGTTCTCTTATGAAGCATATTCCAGATGTTGTACGGGATGACGAACATGGCGGCTTGGAGGAGAAGAACCAGTGGCACCCATCGGTAGTAGTTGATGTGACGATCGCCACGAGCTTCGTCGGTGACCGTGGTTCCGTTTGGCACAAAGTAGGTGTTCTCGATGAAGCAAAAATCGTGCACGTAACCATCCCAACTACCAGAGAACTCTCGTGGCGTCCAGCACTTGATTGGTTGGCCAAAGTATTGCTTGCAAGAGATGGCGAGGGTCATAGCGACGAGCACGAATGGGGTAAACCAAGCGTTGACACGGTCGATGGTGTCGAAAGCAAGCTGGCCTTGCTGCTTTCGCAGCATCCCGACCAGTTGCTCATAGAAGGGACCGAAGAATCCCAACATTTTCTGAAATAAAGCTTGGTAGATGAAGGAGAAAATTAGAAGTGCAATACGGTCAATGTGGGTAGACTATTTAGGAAAAAGTGACATGAAAATGAATGCGACACGGTAACGGATCAATAGCTAAAGCAAAGAAGGACTGCAGAGAGGGTTGCCACCCTATAGACTAAAGGACTCGAGAATAAATGAAGAGAAGAACGAGGTCACCCGAGCAGCCCTACACCAAATGGTGTGTGACGAAGGAGGCAATGCAGAACACAGCAAACGAACGGATCGTCTCGTCTTTACGTGCATTAGAGTGCTAGAGAGACAACGTGCATTTGGTAAGAGGTCACACTGCGCGGGGCCGCGCGCGGACCGTATTATCTCGGACCACCGAAACGCGCGCGCTCACAGTGGATAGAGTGGAAGAGAGAGTGTGTTGAGTGAGTAGGGTGGAGAGGCAGTGGGGGACCGTTCACAGTGTTGAATGGCCCTCGAGATAACACCTAATAACGGTATGCAATGGGACAATGTGGATAGGTGGGCCCGGAGGAGGATCGATCTTCTGTCACTCACTCAGGTCGTGATGACGTAAGGACGAGACTAGGACTAAGGGAAGGAGATAAGATGTGGATGATGGGAAAATTGGATTAGCGAGCCTCTAATGAAGTTTCTAGAACATCCCAAACTACCTGAAGGCCTAGTCTACCTTGAGAATAAAAAAATTAACCTAGAGAATAAAGAGGAAATTTCGAAATCGACCTCAAGATTTTATATCAAACAAAAAAAATAAGGAAGTGCATGAGGCTTGTTTGCAAATAGAAAAGTTTTGAGCACTGTATTTTTGCATCATTCAATTTCTCATGAATTTTGAAATCCACTATTGGCTAATATCTAAAACCTACTGCTACAGTATTTTCAAATATCTAGAAACGTCCTTCCCGGTGGATCAGCATTTTCAGGATTCTGGAGCTCGGCTGTCAAGTTTCCGATCATTTTCAAATTTTTGGAATGCATAAAGCAGGTCTAGACTTTAAGTTTCGCATTAACATAATTTTCTGGAACTCTTGTTTTCCAGCTATTTGCCGGTTTCTACGGCACTCTTTTTTTGCCATTTTTCGTCTTAGAAACGTGAAAAAAACAGGTCATTTGGAAACATTTGGAAAAAAATGGTCATTTGAAATGATCGAATTTTGACAACCGAGCTCCAGACTACTGAAGCCGGTCAAACCGGCCGAAAATCTTCTGAAAAACAAGTATTTGTATATTTCACTGACCGGTACTGTAAATTGGGAAACTACAGCTACCGAACGACAACAGAACCATCAAAACCAAATGTTGACACATTTTTGAAGAATTTTCAATGAATTCTCGACTCATTAAAAAATCTAGCAGCAAAATACTTACAAAATGAGAAAAATGGCAGTTTCTTGCGTACCATTCGCGAGAATTGATACTCCTTCTCCACGCATTGATAATTATCCACCGCTATTTGCTCTAGCGCAAATTGCGAAGCGAATTCTACAAATATTGACCTTTATTATCGTTTTGCGGGATTTTCTATTTTCTTCTTTCATTTCAAGGAATACAATTTCTTACTGCTTGGCAACATACAGTAATATTCAATAATACAGCAGTTTAATTTGCTTGAAACTTCATATGTTGGTGTAGAACCGATGGATTTGACAAAATGAAACAAAGGAATTTGAAAAAAAAGAGAAAAGTTAGAATTTTCGAGGAGAAGGGGACATCAGAGATCAGAAAATAACTTATAAAACAGAACAAGGTAACAATCGGAGAAGATCCGTAGATGATGGTGCTTGTAGTTGTTTAGCTCATGTCGATTTCTCCAAGGAATACACGTTTGTCGCTGCCAGCGGAGAGCACTGAAAAATATGGATTTGTTGATTTGAAGGTATTAGAAGGTTTAATGTTTATTTTTTCATTTTGTTTTTCAGCCTATGATCTTATTCAACGAATTTTGAGCAAGATTCTGGCGCTTATTTGGCAAATTGCCCAGTTTGGTTGAGTGTGGCAAGGTCTGAGCAAGATTGGCAAAACTGACGAAACTAAAGAATCGAGCGGTCTCATTTCGTCTTGCGGCAAAGTTGGTCATGCTTAGGACAGGCGTAACGCAAGACTACGGTATAATGTGAGCATTCTACAGGTTTTAAGCTTTTTCCCAGCATACTAGCGCCCTTGCTGCCAAAGTGGGGGCACGGCAAGGCAAACCGCCCAAGATTCCCCGTAGAGAGTCAGATTGACAAATTTTGAAGACTAGAAGGTGTAAAACCATCGAATTCACGCATTTAGGTGCCATTCCTGCATAAATTCTCAAATTAAAAAAAAAACTTACAGATTGAGTCGGTTGGATGGAAATCGGTACAGTTGACGCTTCCCATGTGTCCTGGCAGCTTGTACATGATCCTCTTGGTCGCCACATCCCAAACGTACACAAACCGATCCGACGATCCCGCAGTCACAAATCTCTCGCATGGCGACCACGCACACTTCAAAAGATTCTTCTCAAAATTGTGATTGTGTCCTCCGAACATTCCAACGGCACGCGATCCTGGCACAAATGGACGAATATCCCACTGACGGAGAGTGCAGTCCATCGAATTCGAAACAATGAACTTTCCGCTTGGCGACAAGGAAAGTCCAGTGATGGTGTCACGATGTCCGGGAAGTGTGTAGCTGATCTCGTCACGACGCATGTCCCACACCTTGAGCATGTTGTCGATTCCTCCACAGATCACTAGGTCGGTGGTATCGTTGAATGTGACGGCGGTTTGCTGGTAGCGGTTAACATAGGTCTTCACTGGTTGCTTGGTACGGAGATCGTGAACACGGCACGTTCCATCATCACTGGCAGAAGCGATAAGAGTGACTCCACGACGAGAAGGATGGATGGCGTTGACAAAATCGGTATGTGTCTTGAAGTTACGAGCGCAGGCGCCAGTTTCCATGTCCCAGAGACGAATGCTTTTGTCAGTGCCGCAGGAAGCCAACATTCCAGAGTCTGTGGTGAACTTGATGTCCATAATGGCTCCAGAATGCCCTCTGATGGTCGAGAAGTTCTCGCATTCTCCATAGACGTTCCAGAAGAAAATCTACAAAAATTAGAGGTAAACCAATGTTTGTAGATCCTTTTCATTCTTGATGGCTACCTTCTCCACATCTTTTCAGTTTATAAATGAATCAGTCTTCAAAATTACCCACCTTCTGATCGTATCCACTAGTCGCCAAGCATGTTCCATCTGGACTGAACACTCCGGTGTAGATCTCTCCTTCGTGACCTTGCAACAGCATCGTTGGAGCCTGGAATCTCAGATTTTACACTTGAGCCTCACATTTTTCAAAGACTCACCATCAAATTAGAGAATCTCTGCACATTTTGCTGTGGGAAGCCTGATGCGACGAGTTGTTGACCGGTAGCTGGAACCGAACAGTGAATTTAGAGAAAAAAAATCAATAAAACTTACAAGAAACGAGAGCCATTGTCCTGATTGAATGGAGTTGTCAAGATTAGGTTGAAACCGAATTGGGAGGACGATGTGTTTTCGAATAATGCGAGAGAGTGCGCGTTGCGGAGAGAATCAATACATATCTGCGTGCGTGCGCGCGTCACGGTGGTTGCGGACTTTGCGTACCGTACCTCGCGCAGAAAATCGAGAGAGGTATGGTCAATAAACGAAAGAGGTATTGTCAATTAAGATGAAGAGTTACAGTACCGGTCAATAAGAATTATTATTCTTGTCCTGCGACGGTGAACAGTGCGGCCGAAAAATCAATTAAAGGCGAATCTTTTTTCCGGCTCCGCGTCACTTCGAAACCGCGACGTTTTGAAACCGGTCATTTCAAAACTGCGTGACACTTCGAAACGAGTCATTTCGAAACCAGTCGTTTCGAAACTGCTAAATTTTCACGCTGCAATTTTTTTCTTTAATTTTAAGACTGAAAATTTCCAATTTTTAATTTTATTTTTACGTGACCGTGTTTTTTTCGGTTTCGAAATGACTGGTTTCGAAATGACCGGTTTCGAAATGACTGGTTTCGAAGTGTCACGTAGTTTCGAAATGACCGGTTTCGAAGTGTCGCGGTTTCGAAGTGTCGCGGTTTCAAAGTGACGCGGAGCCAATTTTCCAATTATATATTTTTTAATTTTGCTATCCATTTGGATTTCCTCGTATCTTTTTCATTACCATGCAACTTCAAATTTTTTTCCAGATTCAAAAATGTCCGTAATCTTGGACCCCCGAAGTGAAAGCTATAAGAGATTCAAACTGTATGATTACTTCGACGGAGGACTTGATTCAGAGGAAGTTGTGCAAGCGTTGTCTTCCGATTTCCCAGCAATGACCACGCAGGAAGTGGAGGCGTGGTTTGCTCGTTTTAAAGCCGGAAACATGGAGATCGGTGAAAATATTAGGTTGGTGTTTTTTCTAAGTGTCACATTAGAACAAAACCTTTACCCGTTTTGATATGGTCAAAACAACAATATTCATCAAAAAGTTTGTAGCATAATACGCAAACTTTGTTGCTTAATTTACAGTAAAACATTTTCAGCATCAACGTTGAAGGAATCGTCGTCGATCGATCTGTGAGACTCAAGCGAGGACTTGAGAGTGCAGAGCAGGCGGATGGTGAGCCACCGGCAAGAATGAACCCCATTTCTCCAATTGTGCCAAATAGAGAGGTGGATGAAGAGGGCGGTACGCATCAACATCCGAAAGGAAATGGGGATGGAGTCACTAACCAAGCTGTTGCTCAACAACATCAAGCAGCTCCTCACGATGTGCCAGCGGTTGCAGTCAACCAGAATCCCGCCAATCGAGGAATTCTGCAAATTGAAGACTCCAGTACGTCAAGATCAAGGAACAGTAGCTATTCCTCCGCAGCATCCAGTTATTCAACCTGAAATGCTTCCAGTAAACCTGACCGAACAAAGAAAAAAGATCGAGGTAAACATTTATTGATAAATATCAGCTAGTTAATAATGTTGCATCGCGTTTCAGACGGTGGCCGAAAAGTTGGCGGCTTTGGATTCTGGTCCAAAAACCGGTAGCACTCATCTTCGAATTATGGCAGAGCCAGTAAAGCCAATATATGAGAAAAAGTGGTTCACAGTGAGTCATTAAACAATTTTACTGAAAAAGACTGATTTTGCAAAACGGTTGCGGAATAGTTGAGCCACCAACGCCCGAAGTAGATGTTTCTAAATGGACGGTGGGTGAGTGTTTATCACTTTCAGACTCATTTAAGTAAATCGACTACCAAACAGTTTGTTTCAGCCTGAAGAAACAGCCGATTGGGTTGAGCAAAGTTGTCCTCATCGAAAAGATATCAATGCTGAACGGCTTGTGAAAGAAGGGCTCAATGGAACACTTCTTGAAGACTTCGTCATCAAACCAGCTCGCGTTGATCTCATGAAGCTGCTCAATTTGAATTATACTGAGCATTGGTTACTCGCTCGGCAAGCCTCATTCCTTGTGAACCGAAGTAACCGGTTCACCTATCCAGAGAGAGTCAGAGATTATCAACGAGACCTCGAGATTTGGAAAAAACAAAATTCTCAATACAAAGGAGGAGAGGAGGAAAAGGGCGAGAAAGAGATGGAGCACGGAGCTGGTACATTGGAAAGAGGGTTGATGAGAGGAGCTAAAACGAGTGAAGATGATGATTATGAAGGAACTGCAGCTGAAAAAATTGAAAAAAGAAAAAAGTACATGGTAAACATTTAATGCTAGACTTCAGCTGGTAAATAATGTTGCATCGCGTTTCAGGCAAAGGTCGAAAGGTTCATGGCTATAGAATTCGGTTCAAAATACGGAGGCTCTCTTCGTCGAATCATGGCAGAGCCCGTAAGGCCAATATATGAGAAGAAGTTGTTCACAGTGAGTCAAAAAATAATTTTCTTCAAAAATAGTAACTTTGCAGGAAGGTTACGAATTCGAAGAGCCAGAAAGGTACAAAGAAGATGTTTCGGAATGGACGGTAAGTGTTTATTACTCTCAGACTCATTTAAATAAATAGACTACCGAAAGGTTTGTTTCAGCCTGAAGATACAGTCAATTGGATTCATCTAATTTGTCCTCATCGGTGGGATATCGATGAAGAAAGGATTGTGAAAGAAGGACTCAGTGGGAAACTCGTTCAGGAGTTTGTCGCTAGGCCGGCCCGCGTCGCAAAGCTGCTCGATTTGAATTATACAGAGCACATGCTACTGGCTCGGCAAGCCGCTGTCCTTTTGAACCGCAGCAATCGGATGACCTATTCAGAGAGAGTCCGAGATTATTATAGAGACCTTGATATTTGGAAAAAACAAAATTCCTAATAATTGTATAACTTTGTCTATTTCTCGAATGCCCCTCGAATGCCCTCCGCCCAACGTCCCTCAAACGGAAATTTCTTGTCGCTTCCTCTTTTTGTACTTTGTTGAATATTATTTCTTCAAGATTTTTCCATTCTGTTGGAACCCATTTCCAGTTTATCCTTTCTTAACTCATTTTTTTTCAGCTAAATGCTGAAATGCTTCTGTGGTTTTAATAAATACAATTAATTAACATACGAGATTTCTGTCTTTAAAACTTGAGTAGAAGCTTCCACGAAAAATTATCGATTTTTCTCTTCTAGCCAAGTGCTTCGAGAAGTTGAAAACTTGTATTTCGCAATACTGCTTGGAAATTTTCCTGTCTTTACAGGTTGAGTTTAGCTTGGTTCTTTATTAAGGTGTATCGAATAGTTACAACTAGAATCGGTTGATCAGTTGTTATTTTTAGTTTGCAGCGAAATGAGGAAATTATTTACTACTTTTGATAATTTTTTTTTTGAAATTCCCGCTCAAGTCCGTTGAAAAAGTTAGGCCATCACTGTGCCTGTTTCGTTATCGTCAACTCATAAAGGTCCAGAAAGGTCGATATGTTAAATAACCTGAAAGTTTGATGAAAAAGAGTTCTCGGATCAATAAGGAAACATACATAGCATTTTTCACCAGTAATTGAGCCGCGCAACCCTGGTTATTGAGCTGGTGGCCGAATTTTCCAACGTTGGCGGTTGTTCAAAAATAAAAAAAAAGCTTGTTATTGGTGCCATAGAACAGGAACTGGAGTTTTAAAAGTCTGATTAAAATAATTTTACATATAATTCCTAGAAGGAAGATAGTTTTTTTGTCTCTTCCAGCTATGTAATTTGAGGATGTCGTTTGGATTTCGTAATACTATTCATGGTGATTGTAGAGTGATTTTATATAAATCTGTATCAGACCTCAATAACCTGGAAAATATCTTCGGTTACAAGTACCAGTCTTATCGCGCCAATTTATGATTTCATATCAATCTGTATCAGATCTGAATAACCTGGAAAATATCTAAAAAAAAAGAAACCATTAGCCTGTCAAAAATACATTTTCTGTCTGGAAAATATTCTCCGAGGTTGTTATCAGCTTGTTATCATGTTGTTGTTGGAAACCACAAAATAAAAAGCTAACTTCTTTGTGTCAAGAAATGTGTCATTAGTTTTGCGTAATTGCTTAATTTCAATCATATGATTTAACAAATTTTCATATAGCTCTAATAGAAGCCCACCAAAACCGTTAAATTTGATCTCTATTATCTTGATTCCTGTGGAAGCTATAAAAAACTTGTCAACTGATATATTATTTATCATAACATCACAAATATTTAGTCAGTGTTAACATCTTTGATATCTCTCACAGGAACCTAGATAAGTGAGATCAAATCAAACGGGCTCCTATTTAAGAAAGTACGGCATCCCGCCACTTCAATTGTTCAATGGTCCCTCAAAGAATCAATAACCCTATTTTTTTGCACAACTTCCGATGTCCACATTCCTCTATTAATGATAAATGATGATCCGTTATCAATCTACTCTTTCACTCCCCTTCCTTCCTCCCGCCCCTGCTCGGAGCCAATTGTTCTTCTCTCTCAACCCCTTCTCTCTAAACATTTTTTGTCTACGCGAATGGCTCCACGCGGTCGTCGCTTTCGTCGTTCAGCGAGATGAAAATTGGAGGCACTCGATTTCTCCTTTCTTCTTTTTTGGTACACGTCACACAGCCACAGCCGGCGCCGGCGGTTCGCTGGCCCGCCGAGTTCGGTTGTGTGCAGCAACAGCATATCGATCAACTGAACCGTCGTCTGGAAGAGAGACGATAAGAAAGACAGAACAGAGAAATTGGGTGAGGGGGGGGGGTGCGAGAGAGCATGCGAAATCTGTATGGGGTTATTTTTTTCGCGGAGGGGTACGAAGGGCGAAATGAAAACGCACGCACTATAGAAAAAATAGGCCCATCGTGGCACAGAGAAATAGTGCAGCCGACGGCAGAGAGTAGAGAACATTGTGCGAAGAGACGCGGCAATACATATCAGAATAGGAACACGGCGCAAGAGACACACCGTGCCAACTGCATTCATTCTTATTCATTTTTTGACGGATTAATCGAAACAGAAACTTTCTTATTCTTGAAGTTTTTTTTATTCCAATCGAGATACATGTTTCCAAGTAAGTTGGGGGTCGGGGTCATTCCAGGGCAAACAGAAGCATTCAATTAGAAGTGAAGGTATCTCACATCTGTGTGTTGCTTTGTATAGCCGCACTAAAACTGAATTAAATGAATTTTTTTGCCGCAAGTTTGTTGAGATGATAAGATAAGAAACGATTTTTTATTGCGCACTATGGGGGCAACACGCCTTTTTTTTAAATATGAGTTTTGGGGTATTGGAAACAAGAGGAAGGTACATCCATCGTAGTTCTAGAATGTCTGGTTATAGAATGTCCGGTTCTAGAATGTCTGGTTCTAAAATGTCTAGTTCTAGGATGTCCGGTTCTAGAATGTCCGGTTCTGGAATGTCCGGTTCTAGAACATTCGGTTCTAGGTTGTCCGGTTCTCATAAGTTTTGCTCTAGAATGTCAGGTCATGAATAGTCTAGTTCTTGAATGTCTAATTTCAGAATGTCTGGTTATAGAATGACTTGTTCTAGAACCGATGGTTTCAGAATGTCCGGTTCTAGAATGTCTGGTTCCAAAATGTCTAGTTCTAGAATGTCCGGTTCTAGAATGTCTAATTCTAAAATGTCTAGTTCTAGGATGTCCGGTTCTAGAATGTCCGGTTCTGGAATGTCCGGTTCTAGAAAGTTCGGTTCTAGAATGGTCAGTTCTAAAAGGTCCGGTTTTGAGAAGTCTGGTTCAGAATGATAGGTTCTGAGAAGTCTGGTTCTTGAATGTATGCTTCTGGAATATCCAGTTCCAAAACGTCTGGTTCTAGAATGACCGGTTCTAGAATGTCCGGTTCTAAAATGTCCGGTTCTAGAATATTCGATACTAGAATGTCCGGTTGCAGAATGCCCGGTTCTAGAATGTCCGAATTCTAAAATATCAGGCTCCAAAACGTCTTGTTCTCTAATGTATGGTTCTGAAGCGTCTGGTTCTAGAATATCCACTTTTAAAATTTTTGGTTCTAAAAGGGAGGAAGCTGTGCGGGGGGGGGGGGGGGTACTTCCGACATGTCTGGTTTGAAATTGTCTGATTCTAGAATATTCGGTTTTAGAATGCCCGGTTCTAAAATGACCGATTCTAGAATATACGGTTCTAGAACGTCTGGTTCTAGAATTTCTGGTTCCAGAATGTCCAGTTGTCGATTGTCTTGTTCTAGATTGTCCAGTTGTCGAATGTCTTGTTCTAGATTGTCCGGAACCTGATTTCATGTTCTAAAACGTCCGGCTATAGAACGAAATTCGAAAACCAGACTTTCCAGAACCAGAAACTCTAGAACCAGATATTTCAGAGCTCGACATAACCCTTTCTATTGCAACTAAACCTCAACTTCAATTTTCCAGATCATCCAAATAATAATATGACTCTTCTCCAAAACCAAATTCAAATTGACGCCGCTCGAAATCAACAGCAAAAAGCCTGGCAAGGTAAGTTATGTTGTTAATTTGAATACAGTACCTAGTATCTGGTTCTAGAATGTCCGGTTCTTGCAGATCCTGTTCTATAAATTACAGCTCTAGACTGTTTAGTTTGAAAATATTCCTGCTTCCAACAAGAACTTCAAATTTAAACACTCTAGAACCAGAAATTCTCGAGATAATCCTCCAAGTTTTACCTAAAATCCCAACTTTAATTTTATAGATTTTCTAAACAATCTGGCTCATCTCGTAAGTCCGACTCAATTCGGTGCTACTCAAAATCAACAGAAAAATGGCTCACAAGGTGAGTTAGGTTGTCAATTTGTATATAATTTCTAAAAACTGGTTCTCGAATGTCAGATTCTAAAATGTCTGGTTATAGAAAGTACATATAATTGGACATTCTAGAACCAGAAATTCTAGCAATTGACATAATCTTTCACGTTTTAACTTAAACCTAAGCTTCGGTTTTCCAGGTTATCTGTCTAATCAAATAAGTCAGCTCCGAGACCAATTCCAAGTTGGTACCGCTCAAGGCCACCAACAAAATACTTGGCAAGGTAAATTATGTTTTCAATTTCAAGATAATATCAAAAAAGAAAAAAAAAGAAATGTTGAGTCAGATTGGTTTTTCAAATTATTTGCATAACCACGTCATAATTTGGACTCGGAAACGTTGATTAATTTTTCGAACCTGTCAGCAAGTAGATTTTAATTTCAGCAATTCTGCACACGCAACGAGTTCAACAACTTCAAGGATTTGCACCACAGCAGACTCTTCAAGCAGTTATTGCTCAGCAGCAACATTTTGCTCAACAACAACAACATGTTCAGCAGCAGAATCTTGTTGAGCAACTTGTGCAGCAAAAAGTCAATCAGCTGGATCAACTTGCACAGCAGCAGCAACAACAACAGCCAGGTAATTATCAGCATAACAATTTTTCGAAATTAAACACAGTCTGACTTGACTATAACTTTTATTTTCAGCCCAGTTGGAATGGCCTAATCTCGACCCGGTTGTACAAAAGAAATTTCAGGAGATGATATTAAAAATGATGACACCTGAACAACTCCAAAGAGTTATTGGTGAGATATAAGATTATATCTGAAGGGATATAAGATCCCGAAAGCTCTCATTCAGATAACCATAATGTTCATAGGACTCGCAGAGCTATAGCTACAATTTCAGCACAACTACATCTCATTCTTCAAAGACTACAAATGGACATGGCTCCTCCAGATCTGTTATATGGAATGAATAATGGAGGTGAGACAAGGAACTTTGTATTGTGAACCTATATTTCGATGCTCAGGTCTTCAAGTTCCCCATATGCAACTTCAATTTGGAGTTCATCGTGCACAGTCCATTGATCATCAACCGCAGGTACCACAACTCATGGTCCAACAACCGATGGTCCCACAACCAATTGCATATGATTTTCTTACAGGTAAGCTACAAATATTATGGAATGAAAAATATACTGGTCTTTTTGGATCTCAAAACTTCTGCCTACTCGAAAATTATAAATTTTTTGATGTTTCAGCTCAACAAAAACAACTGCATCAAATCCAACTTGCGAACGCTGAGCAGCAACAGCGGCATCTTCAAAGTAAGGCTTGAAACAATCCTCTGAATCCTAAATTCTGAAAAAAGATTAAACTTTCCTTGTTACAGATCAAGCTCTCGAAGCACAGATGATTGCGGAAATGCAGATTGGGCAACAAAATCGACCAGGTAAAAAAGAGAGTAGTGGTTTCCCAATTTCTGACATTTTCTAGAAGTGAATCATCAGATGCAAGAATTTGACCGTCCCCAGCTGACTCCCCAATCATCCCCATCTCAATCCCCTCAAATGCGAGTTCAGACACCACGACAAGATATCCAGAGACCAGGTTAGAAGAAGAAAGAGCTTTTATTTTACATATTTGTTCCAGAAGACCTTGAAAATGAAGTGGTTGGATACGTAAAAAACGAAGTGGTTGACGACGATCAAATTGACGGAGACGTAGAAATGGGCGTGAAAGATGATGTAGAGGTAGAAGCAAATCCAGAAGTTCTTCTTGGTGAGGCTCCAGAGCAAGCACCGGTTCTCGACGCCCTTCCGGAGCTTGACCTAGGTAGTAATAAAAAATAAGCTATAAATAATGCAAATAAATTTCAGGAGGATTCGTTGATCTCCAGAACATGCCAACGACGTCGAGTTTTGCTATGAATTTCGATCTTCTTCAGGGTATAAGAGAAATTAATCTTGGAGCATCTTCCGGCTCTTCTGGGAATGTTAGCCCAGGCTCTGAAGCTCCGATGAACCAAGTTTTCGCTTTGCCCCTTCACCCGGCTCAGGGTTTCCTTCCATTCATTCCGCAGAGTATGTTTTCTCAAACATTTTGTTCATTGAACATTATATTCCAGACCAGCAGCCAAGTGTCTTCGGGAAAGCCAATCCCAATTTCTCAAGACAGAACATCAATGTGTTGCATAATCCGCTAAGAAATATCACGGAATATCGAAAGAAGAAGCCTTCGAAACGTGAAGTATTCCTCCAGATGGGTTTGAACATTAATATGATTCCTGGTAAAGCAACAGAGACGTTCTGCTCCGAAGAGAACAAAACGGTGACGGCGGAACTATTGTATTTATTCAAGGAGCACTTTCATATTTATCATGAATTCATAACTCTGGTGATAGGTATGATTAGCTAAAAAAATCGAATCTCATTTACATTATTCAGAAGTGCCGTCAGGGACGTTGTCAAAGATCTACGATTGCGGGAAAAACCGGCGCATTCAAACGCTTTCTGCGTATCACGAGGCGATTCTAGACCAACATCTCCACGCTTTACTCAATTTTTGTTATCAATTATTATTCTGCCCTGGAGCAGTTCCATTTATGGTGCATGTTGGGCGTCCTACCAGCTTCCGACACCGTTATCAATTGGATCCGAAATGCTACAAAAGCACGGGACAGAAAAGAGTAAGTTTCAAAAATGGATAACCTTTCAAATTTACAAAAGCGGCCAATAAGATTCACAAAAACGTATTTTTCGGTAGATTTTTTGTCATTTTCAGATGTCTCGATCTTGCCTGTTAAAATTCCGAAATCTTTAAAATTTTCGGAGGATCTAAAACAGACCTAGATTGAAAAAAATGTGTTCACAAAATTTTATGAACATTCCTAGTTTTTCAGACGTTTTCCAATTTTTAAAGGCACCCGTTTTCTCACGTTCTCAGTATCAAAATAACCACAAAGATGAGTTCTTCAACAACCGGCAAGTAGTTGAACAGCTAGGAATGTTCAAAAATTTTGTGAATGCAAAGTTTTCATTCTATGTGTATTTTAGACACTATAAACTTTAGACACTATAAAATTTTAGACACTATAAAATTCTGGCTTCAAATTTTAGACACTATAAAAAATTTTAGACACTATAAAATTTTCAAAGTAATTTAAAACTTGACAGCCAAGCTTCAGACTCCTGAAAAGGATCGAAATGACCGAAAATCAATTGAAAAATACGTTTTCGTGTATTTTACTGTACCTAATAATCCACATTTTCAGTCTGACAGTTTCCTGAACCAGTTTTACTCAATGATGGATCATATCAAGATAGAAGTGGACAAAATTCATCTTTCTCAAAAGTACGGAGTGAATTATTGATTTTTCATCTCTTTTTCTCCTTGTCTCATTAATTCTGGTGTTTTTGGGTACTCTTCTTCCGATTTCATTCAATTTGTCGATGAACATTTTTTCGAAATAAAACATTTTCCCAGCGAGAATTAACTTTGTTTTATTATTGATGGAGGTTCAATGCTTGGCCCTATACCGATACTTTCAATTTTTAATTACTTAATTTTGCATATTTGTTTTTAGAAATTACAGAGGATGGTCCAACCACCGATGGTCCCACAGGAGATGGTCCCACAGGCGATGTTCCAGCAACCGATGGAGCCACAGGCAATGGTCCCACAATGAATAATGAAGGTGAGACCAGAAACTTTGTATTGTGAACCAATATTTCGATTCTGAGGTCATCAAATGCCCCACATGCAACCACAACTTGGTGCTCATCGTCCACAATTTATTGTCCATCAACCGCCCGTTCAACAAATGATGGTTCAAGAACCGATGGTCCCACAACCGATTTTCCAAGCACCGCTTGTCCAACAATTGATAGCTCAACTAGAGACTCTCCAACCAGCGATTGAATATGATAGTCTGTTGGGTAAGCTCATTATTATGGGAATACGAATGGATTGGTGTCCTTCGATCCCAGAACTTCTGCGAACTTTCAAACAAATATTTCAACATTTTGATTTTCCAGCTCAACAAAAGGAAGCGTCACGCAATCCAACGTCCAAACACTGACCTGCAAATACATTTTCTTCAAAGTAAGATTTGAAACAACCGAGGCCGTTAGAGGGTGCCCTTTAATTAAGAGGTACTGAATATCAGAGTGTTTACGCTAGCTTATTTCGGTTGAACATGAAGCACCGATTGCACAGATGAGGCTACACCTACAACAGCAACTAGGTACGAAAAAGAAATTTACAGTTTTTCTGAACCGAATCTGTTTTCGATCTATGGTTATTTGGAAAATAAATTTTTCCATCTTTTTTAGGATTCACTCACTATGAAAAGCGGTAAAAAATTTTTGCAGATTACGAGGATACACGGGCATGCACAGATACAACAGGCCACAACAGCAACATCAACAAGGTAAAAAAAGAAAAATTATATTTCTCAATTTCCGACGTTTTCCAGAAGTGATTCGCCTTGTCCGAGGTTTTGAACATTTTCACTCCTCAAGCAACCCCAGCTCATTTCCCGGAAGTGCGAGCACAGGCACCGCCACAATAGATTGATGACTCGGGTGAAAAGAAGAATGAGTTTCAAAATGTCATTTTTGTTTCATAATAAATCGTTTTCTGGGAAGTAATTTTTTTCGAAAAAAATCAATTTTATCTTATATCGACAATGGTTTCGTTGTGCCACACCCAATTCAGATACTTTTAATGAATAAGTAGCAACTTTTGTAAATTTTTTCAAAAAATTACAGAGAAAATTACAGAGGATCATAATCACCACTAGCCACCGTGTCATCCGCAGGACCCAGAAAATCTTCTAGAAGGGATTGTGATGTCTTCTCAACGGCCTTCTTCTTCGAAACTTTCTTGGTCTTCTTGGTCAATTTCTCCTCTTGCTCTTCTTCATCTTCAGCTTTAGCCTTTTTGGTGGTTTTCTTCACTTTCTTCTTCTTCGATACCTTTTCCTAAAAACAAGAAGTTATACTGCAAGATAAGTCATAATCTGAAACTCACAATTTTCTCTGGCTCTGGCTCATCCTCGGGAAGGTCATCTATAAAGGAAGGCGTTTCAGTCCGCTTCGGAGCTTTTTCCTCCACTACCGGCGGCGAGAATATATCTACCGTCTTCTTTGGTGGAGGTTGGGGAAGTTCCACACCGAACTCTTCGTCGCTGCTATTGTGTTTTTCAAAGTTCTGGAAAAAATTAAATTTCTAAAAAGTTACTGGTTTCTTATAAACACCACTAGAGAAAAATCTATTATGAATTAACAACCAAGTCTTCGATAAAAACTACCGTATTCCCTTTCGACGCCCGCCCAAACCGGGAAATCTGAACTCAATTATTCCGGTTCTATTGAGAAATACCAAAATTTTGTCCACAGATAAACTTTTGGTAATGTCAAAATTTTTTCTGTTGACCAAATTTCGATATGGTTTACGTGAATTGAGATAATTGAGCTCAAAGTTTACAACTCAAATGGGCTTTTATTGAAGGAAATACGGTAGATGACTTTGGTCCAGTTTGTGACCGAGTAGCTGAAGCGGAAGCAATTCAGAACTTCTGATAGTTTTACTATAAGTTCAACAAGGGCTAGACTAGCCACCTTTTACATTTTTCGCACTACCAAATTTGAAAGAGAAATTTATATCCCTCAAAATTGACAATTTTCAAAAAATCTCACCATAGAAGTCGACTTTGGAGAATGATCTTCTGATCCTAACCACGCATCCAAATCATCTGATGTCATCGCCACTGTCACTGGAGATGTCACAAAATCTGGAGGTGTTTCTCGCATGGGACTTTCATAACAACTCTGAAAATTCTGTTCTTTGATGTCTGATTGTTCTCCAAGCACCTCAGATTCTTCAATCGCTGGCGGTTCTTTGACCGGTGAATCCACATCGTCTTCGTGTACCTTCACGTGATACGCTGGAAAATTAATGAGTGGGGGTTTTGTTTTGTTTTTGGTTTTTCCAAACAAGATGCTTATTCCAATTAGTTAGTAGTATAATCATTCTTATGTGCTAAATCACCTTCACGAATACTTTTTTCATTTTTTTGCTAGAGCTATTACCTACCGATGGGGGTTTCAGTTTCTCTCTCGGTCGTCTCGGGGACTGTCAACTTTTTCAAATTCAACTGGACTTGTCGCTGTTCTCCAATCTTTGCCATCTTTGCCAATAAATCGTCATCAACGGAGAAATCTTCTTCAAACTTATAAACCATATTGTTCTCGGTCTCGCTAAAAACGATGAAAAGTATTATCAAATTTTATGGTTTTTAATAATTACCTATCGCTTTCGTTATGCTTGGGTCTGACGGCTCCGTTTTGCTTCGGTTCTTGTTTTTCACCAAGGAAACTGTTGATACCGTCTTCGTCTCCGATAAATTCGAACGAATTTTTGAGAGTTGGGTCAGAAGCAGAATTGGTGTCTGAAAAAGTATATAATTATGAGACTTGCAAACGTGGTTGATGCAACGCTATCGGAAATAAGGCCGCAGCAGGATGAATCCAAATAGCCATTTTATAGTCAATCTTTAAATAGCCAATCTTTTCATTTTTGACAAACTCCACTAGTTCTCATACGGCTTGTCGGTCTTTGGATTGACGGCTGCGCTTTCAACTAAAAAGGCCGTGGCCTCGCTGTGCCTTAGACCGGCGGCCGCCACTTTTGACAGTATTGTTGAGACGAGAGCCCTGGTGATTTGATCACGCAAATTTAATCGATTTGAAGTTTGATAAAACAGACGTTTAATCATTGGACAACCCTCTTGGAAATCAATATTCGTTTGAAGGAACATGATGAGTTGGTCCAAGGGACGGTTTCGTTTACTACAATCTCTGTACGGTCCGGTTTGCGGCAGGCCGCGGCACTGTTTCTCACAGCCTTGCTTTCTACTCAAGTACACATCAAAATAAAATTCTTACTACTAGCTCCTCCTGAGTGTTCTAACGATGTTCTCGGGATCGCCGGTCTGAAATCAATTTTCACATTGTATTCACCAACTTTTTTCTTACGGTGTTAATCGTTGCCCTGGAATTGGCTGCCCTCCACCCATGACTCTTCCTGACGTCTGAACCGCACCTTGTCTTGCAGACACGCTATTTTTATCCGCGTACTCTCTTCGCTTCTGATTCACCATTTCGATAAAACTGAAATAACAACTTTTGAACTTTATGCGTAAATAGAAATCGACTCACGTGTCATAGTCAGCTTCTGGTGTCTCTTGATAGCAGTCTAGCTCATGATAGCTAGACACGATTTCTGATTTATTGGTCTCGATTTGACGTAAGAGTGATTCACGCTGAAATGTCAAAAATTAGAAGGTTATATGAGTTCAAAAGTGTTTCTTTACCTGAAGACAAAGGAAAGGGATGTTGAAAAAATGATGGACAAATTTTAGCCCAAATGCGTATCTCATGGAGGCTGGAGCAAATCGAGCTCGTGGAGATCCATCCGGTGAAGGATGACTACTGTAATACAATTATTTTCATAAATATATTTTTGAGTTGTTGCCAACAAACCTATTGAAAAGTTCCACAAATGTTGAGCATTGCAAATCAGTGACCTGTCGATGATGTCCCATATCTCGTCGATTGGCGAGGACAAGTACAGGAATCTTATTGGGAACTTTCACAATCTCTTTTTGAACATATTCCCAGGTCCATGTTTTTGTAATATCAAAAACAAAAATCACACCATTGGTTCCTTTGTAAACGTCGACAAATCGTGCATCGCAAGCGGTGTCTTCGTACTGCAAAAAAATAATTTTCAATTTTTTTTACACTCTAGGCTGTCATCAAAACAATTTTCATCATTTCTTCTCAAATTTACTGAATATGCAGCCGGTTGTTTTCAAAAATATAAAGAAATAGGAGTGTTGACTAGATTCTTTTTGAGTTCCGGACCATTTTTACGTCATTTAAGCACTATTTCGGCAAGGTGAAGTAATTTTTGGCATCGTTAAGGCAAGCCAAACTGTGTTGTTTATGCTTTCAGAACACTTCCGAAATATTTTTGAACCTTTTTTTTCCAATAAAAAAAATTCAAAATTACTAACATCAAGACCACCATCACTTTTATCTACTCCGTTATTTGCCAACTTCAATTTATCATCCCGGACTCGCTTCTTTGTCGATTGGTCCACGATATCCCATACGTCAACTTTGACAACATCATCTGTGGCTCGATAGTTCCAATTGATGTTGGCGACCTGCAATTAACGTATTGTACTTCTTTTATGTGTTTTTTATGCATTTTATACACCGATTAACTCTTCTATTTGATATCTACTCATATTTTCATAGCTCGTTTCCTTTCATTTATGAGCTTTACGTGCGCTTTCGCATATTCTATTTTTGGACATGCTAATGAGCCTTGGCGATTGACACCATTATGAGTGTTCCCGCTATATAACATGTGCATAAAAGAGCAAAAATCACAAACTTGAATCTCTTCAGTTGCCACGTACTCCTCTTGAAACGAGAGTCCTTGGAGACGTTTCCACAAACATGTTTTCCCGACATTTCGGTCTCCGCGGATCACAATTTTCACTGGAAAAAGACACAAATCACATTTTAATGGGGGAAAAAACGGACAGTTGTACTGCACTCCTCTCGCGAATTTTCTTTGCAGCTCAGCATCAACACGCTGCACTCCAGATGGCATAACCGTTGGTTTCTGATCATCCTTGTCGCCTCCTAGCTTTTTTCGAATCGCCGAGAACATCTGAAAAATGTTATTAGAATAAGATTTTGGAGAAAGAAAACAATAATAGTATAGAGTCTTGACGTAAACAAGCGAGGGGCATTTGTTATTGATCAAAGATAAGATAGTTTTATTATTATTATTATTCATTATCAGCAAGACCCATCTGATGGGTAAAGTGGGCAAGGAAAACATTTGGGAAGAAGTGAAACTACACAGGGAACGTCTAGAGAAATTAAAGCCGGTATTGTATTTTAAAACTGCGGAAGGGGAAGTGAATTAAAGCCGGGTACTTTTAAAAAGACAAATTATACAAAAAAAACCATACAAAATTATTTAGAAGAATAGATTAGATACCATAGAACGACCACTAATCATCGTCCTCTTCCACTGGATGCACTGGCTTGAATGCAATCATTTTCACCGAGAACAACCCTTTTGGGAATCCAGTCTGAACGGCTTTATGAGCCAACTGCAAGCCAGCATCCTTTGCGATTTGGAGCAACGAAGCTTCTGGACGTGTCCAACATCCATCCGACTCGTGATACACCGTCTTGCCACCTTGTGACACGCTCTCCTTGACCACAATTGTTCCGTCTGGCGCGAGACCTTTCTAAAAAACGAATTCATACTTGATTCATACTTGATTCTGTTCACTCACAATACACCGCTGCAAGAAGCTTGTCAGATCTTGGTCAGTGAGCTGTCCAGACACCCATTGGATCCAAATGACGTCGTACTTTCTCTCTGGTGGCTCGAAGGTTTGCAGTCCTTCTACGAACTTCTCGCCGATGCCATCGTCGGTTCCGATATAAGCGGCACTGGTGGCCACTAGTTCTTCAATGAGATCCACAAGATCCACTGAGTCAAATAATGGCATCAGGACGTTTTTCGTCACTCGTCCGATGCCAGCTCCACAGTCCAACGCCGCGAGAGTTTTCGTCATGATACCCTGAAAAAATTGGATGTGAATTGAGAAGTTTTTGAAGATAAGGATTAATAAACTTTGATTACTGCTTCATAACTCTACCAGTTTCATCAATCAAGGCAACCCTGGAACACCACTGATTAGCTCTTATTGTTATTTCACCTTGAACATACTGTACCGATCAATAAAATTAAAAAAAACGTGTTTTTCAATTGATTTTCTTTAATTTTTACCATTTTCAGTAGTCTGGAACTCGGCTGTCAAGGTTCAGAATCGAAGGGTACATCGAAAAGGGGTATATCGAGGGTTCATCGAGTTCTTAGGGTACATTGGTTCCAAGGGTACATGGGATCTTAAACTGTAAGGCGCTTTAGCCTAAGCCTATGATTTTTTTTAAATATTGATTTATTTTTTTGTCCGCCTACATGTACCGAAAAATCCAATGTACCCTTGTAACCAATGTACCCTAAGAACTCGATGTTCGATGTACCCTTGGATACTGGCCCGGCTGTCAAGCACCTGTCTTTTTAGGTTTTCAGTATAAAAACAGACCAAAAAGGATGTCTTTCAGAAATTGGCGAATTGCTGAAAAACTAGAAATTTTTGACAAAGTCTCTGAACGCAAAATGTTTAATCTACGACTGTTTTACACCTTCCAAATGTTCAAAGTGCTTGGAAACTTAACATCCGGGCTCCAGACTCCTGAAATTGATTAAAATTTTAATCATAATCTAGTTTTTCAGACTAGTTTTCTGCTTTTTAGAAAACTGTCAGGGGTTTTCTATTCATGAACTATTTCCCTTGATACATATTTGTAAGAAAATCGGAAGTGAGGAGAGCTTCTTTCCATTTCAATCGAAAACAGAAGTTATAAACCAATTCATAAACTGTTTTCGTTTTTGATATTGTTTGCAGTTGAATATTTCAACATATACAATAAAGCATATTTCAACATATACAATAAAGCCATCTTCACACCAAGTTTCTTTTCAATGCACTTTTTATTATAAATTTTTCTCTCGATTAGCTTAATTTTTTACAGTTTTTTGGATAAATTGCATTCGATTTAATTTTAGCAAAGTTGATCTTTCAGTTTCTCTACATTCTACATTTTTCTATACAAAATCGTAAAAACTCACATTTTTCTTCAACGCGTTCAAGAAGTTTGTTGATCCCTGCACATCCGGACCATGCAGCATTGCCAATCCGCCGAGCATGCCATCCTCGTCCTGTGAACACCGCGACCAGAACGTTTCGGCCTTTAATTGCTCCGTGTCCGTTTGGTGTTAATTCCCCAAAAGAGAGAATAAACCAACCTTCTCGTACACCTTATGCGGATTGTCAATGCTCGACGAAACCGCACTCGGAGCTTCGCAGCAGTCACCGGATTCCGTCCGTCGTCGCATTCCTGTAATGAATATGTTATGAGGTATTGACAAAGGAGATCAATATAAGAGGAAGCGGGAGAAAAATGTGTGTCAGGAAGAAAAGTGTGTTCTACGGAGAGCACGCCGTGAAGGCAAAGAAGTGGTGGTGGGGAGGGCCTCGAATGAATGGAAAAAGAGTAGAAGGGAAGGCCCCATTTTCTGTGCCCCTCGTGGCCAGAGAAGGGACTCTTTTCTCCTCTTATATGCCTCGCTGCGCTCACCGTTTTTTTTTTTCATTTTGTGTGGAGTGTTGGCGGGGCAGTTCCACGATGGAGGGTGATCACTGTCAGAACATCTGTGGAATATGTTAATGAAGCACTAACAAAAGAGAACTTTTGAATTGCAACGCATGTTTTGCATGCAAAAGTCAGGAAATGGAAAAAATGAGAAAGAAAAAAAGAAAAAAAAAACTCAACCCAATGATAAAAAGGAGCTTGGCACATGCACAGAAGGCAAAAGAAATGAGGAAAATAAAACCTTAGAAGGAAAAAGACGAGATTGATGGATCCCATCTGTTCATCAGATTAGAAATCTTTCCTCTCTGTATCCTTGACCTCTTTATGCAGTAACAAAAGTGCTGAGAGGATAGGGATGGCCGCGAATAGGGGAAGATAACCGAGTGTTATTGGGTTTATGTGTGTGTATGTGTGTGCGTAGTCTTTTTACTCTGCGTCTCTCGGCGAGAGAAAAAAAGGAAGATTATTGATCGCTCGAGTTTTCTTTTTCTGAAGAAGTGCTCAAATTCTTTTTTTTGTATATTTTTGAAAAACACAAATCCAAAAACTAATTTCAGATCTCAAATGAGTGCCCAACCAGTTGACGACGATGGCAAACTGTTCCCAGACGTTGGCTCTAACACCCAAGATACCGTAGAGATTCGTGTTCGTTTCGTCAACAGATGTCCATATCCAGTCGATGTGTTCTGGTTGAATCGAAATGTAGGTTTTAATCTCTTCTAAAACTTTTTTTATACAAAAAATTGCAGAAACAACCAACGAAATACGGGACGCTTGGTCAGAAACAGTACTTGGACATCAAAACGTACCGGAATCATCCATGGGTGGCCCGACGGACGTTCGATGGGTGCAAGGTGTTGGTGAACAAGAAATTCATATTTTGGCCGGAGCCAACAGCGCATAAGAACATTATCGTCAGGACGTTCTGCGAAATCACGGCTAGAGGTGAGTAATTTTATTTAAAAAAAAGATCTTTATGGTGACAATATGTGGTGCTTGATAATCTTTAAAGGTTGACAGATAAATTAGAACACTGATCTTGATATAAAGCTACACAGCCAGGCCAGTAGCGTTGTTCTGTTCATGACCCGATACAAAGCTTGAAATTCTGGCCAAACAACAAATCTAACGCAGTCAACGAGCTAGAAAAATAGTAATTTCGAGGATTTTGAAGGACTAAAAAAGCGGCGGTGCCGCGATAATTGGCTGAAAAATTCTGGCCAGAAGTGGACGGGTTTGGCTTTTGGGCGGATATCGGCCAGATTCTGCTCGGTACTTGCCCAAAGAGAATTAGCGTCTAGTAAGAATTCCGACCCATAGTTACCTGTTTTTTCTCAACTGCGTTTATACAATCTGCAAATTATCATTCTGGGAGTCTGATCCACTTTTCTATCAACATCCTGTGTTTGGCACGTCTCTAAAGGGTCGATCAGAAGATGAAGAAACATGAAGTGAACATCAAGTCTTAACAATTAATAAAAAACATTATTGAAGCATCGAGAGTGTTGTCATAACTCCTTCGGATTTTCTCCTCCTATTGCGAGAGCTCATTGATAGTGTCCAAAATATTCTTCAGCGTGTAGTTGAGAACAATTTTGTGATATTTAACTTACCTCCACCAGATTAGGCAGTGAAGAGACTGAAAATTAGAAATATTAAATATTAGAGTGCGATGAAAAATTCTGTCCAGCTTCATGAAAACTTAAGGGAAGCGAGACGGCAAAAAATTTGGGGGACAGTTTAATGGACGAAATCGCGGCGCGCTTATGTAGGCCATCGGTCGGCAGGCGTCTTCGCGCCCCCGTAGCTCAGCCGGTAGCGGCGCTGTACCCCTGAGCTGCCTCTCATGAGTTCAACTCCTCATGGGGGTTCTCTAGGCAAAATATCAGAAAACTTTTCTTTTGGTGTCTGGCCCCCTTTAAAACATGTTTTAAAAATTCAAAAAACAAATCTTTCAGTCCAATCCCTTCGCGAAATGGCCAGTCGATCATTCCTCAAACAAGATCCGAAACATGTCGACGAGCAACTCAGCAGTCTACCACGAGACGTTCAATTCGAAGTTAAGGACTTGCTAGCCGAGAAGCGAGAGTACAACGAATTCAACTGCCGAGACTTTCAGCCTCCTCCACAAGCATAATGAGGTTAAAATCATGTATATATCAACTTTCCTGTCGTGTATATAGTTGTGACCCGAGTATCTCTGAGCGAATCACCTGCTGGCCTCAGATTGAGTCTACCTTGTTCGCATATAGTATTCTTTAGGTATCCCGAGCTTTTCTATCCTGATAGGTTTTCCATTCATTCCTTTTTCCAACGGACCCTCCTCCTAGAACAACGATGCACTTTCTTTTAGGCTAATATTATTTTTTCCCGATTTCAGACACCTTCTCCTTTTCGTCATTTCTTCTTCCCAGTCATTCTTGTCATTTAAAAAACTATTTCATCACAAAATATATACATTTATTTCGATTTTTAAATTACATACTACATGGATTTAACATCCCTATGAGACATGAGTATCGGGTTCTTCTAACCGGTGATAGCACAAAATATTATACAGATTCGTTTGGAAAGAGTGACTCGGATGGAACGATAGAGGACAATCTCAGTTGCCAAGCAGTGTGTTCATGATGATGTAGATGATGATGAAAAAGGCAATGGCGACGTAGTTGTAGTATTCCTTGTGACGCATCTCGCCAATCTTCTTGTTCAAGTCGTTGTTGAGCCGCTCCAAATCCGTGCATCGCTGGCGAAGCTGTTCGTTCTGACACAAAAATAATTTAGAGGGCACAGCTAGACAAGTCAATCCTTTTTTGCTTTTAGGTGAAACTGAAAAGCGCCTTCTCCACCGTCGGTTTGTAACTTCTGGTCAGAAGCGAAAGAAGCTTTGTTTTTGAACGGATTTTGGCCAGGTTCTGGGTCGGAACTTGCCCAAAAACGGCTATATAGCGGGCCGTGGTCACATTTTTATCAGTAAATTGAACATTACTAGATCGGAACCTTTGCAAAAGTTTGTCAACAGTTGAACGGCTATAGTAGAGGTTTTTTTCAGAATCTGACCAATTTCCGACCAGAAGTGACTCGAGTTAGTCTCGAAAAGAGTAAAACTCACTGAAGCATCGAGTGTGTTGTCATAAGCCCTTCGGACTTCCTCCTCCTCCTGCGATAGCTCATTGATGCTGTCCAGAATGTTTTTCAGCGTGTAGTTGAGTACGATTTTGTGATATTGAACCTTCTTTCGGCAGATTGGGCAGTGAAGAGACTGCAAATTGGGGATACTAATTATATTGGGCCCGCTGAAAAGGTCAAGCAAGAAATGAAAATGTCTTTTAAAAATTTAGAGCTAGTTTTGAACAGATAATCGATTTTTTATTAGTTTTGACCGATTCGTAGCTCACAAATTTGTGTTTTCAGTAAGAACAGCTCTTGGATTGTATCTTTTGAACGGAAGCTTTAAAGGCTTTGGACAAATCGTGACCTGATTCTGGTCAGAAGTTGCTCATTAACAGCTATCTAGCACACCACTGCCAGTTTTTCTGCTTTCAGCCTTGAATTGCAGGCTTAGAGGCTTATATAGCTTTGAAGAACAATTTAAAATAAAAGGAGGCTGGCTTAGACGCTTTAAAATAACCATATTGAACTAAGCGAGCCTCCAATACTAGCTTTTCCTCCCACTAATACTTCTTGAGCTTGAGAACTCACCAAACGACCATTCGGATTCGGAACATCATCACGCTCCTCTTGAATAACTCCTTCGATACATTGCTGACAGAATGAGTGGCCACAGGTCAGTGTACGTGGAACTCCCGTGTAGATATTGAAGCAAACAGCGCATCGCAAAGTCTCCACATTGATAACGCAAACGTCCGAGAGATCAACAGAGTTCAGGAGTCGCTGGAATACAAAGTTTATTCAAAAATGAAATTCAAGTCGGATTATGAAGTCAAAAACTAAACTGATTGTGTTCTTCTGTTTTTGGTTGTTTTGTTTTGCACATTTTGAGTTTTCTACTTGTGGATATAGAGAGCTGATAATAGAATGAACCTGATTTCAGGCTTTATTCAAAGTTTCACATTTTTCACTTTGGTTTTAATAATCAACATTTAGATAATTAAAAATGTACTCACCCTCTTTTCTTCCTTCTTCGCATCTTTGGGAATTAATCGTTTCAGGAAACCGAACATATTCTGTTTTGCAGTTTTCTTCATAGAAGAAACTCCTGAAACCAATAGCGAAAAATCAATGAAACGGGAGTAGAGAAAGAGAGCTTAAGGAAACAAAGTGGAAGAGGAAACTTTTGCAATTCGGTCTCTCGTCCGCGTGTGTGCGCGCGCACGTACTTGCGATTATGTTGGAGGAGGAACACAGAGAGAGACCAAGGAGGAGGAAAACAAAGAGAAGAGCGTTTGATAGAGAGAAAAATGAGAGGAGTGGAAGGAGGGAAAACTGGAAAACAAGGAGGAAAATGAGGCAAAAACATTATAATTAGTATCATAAATACTTGAAAACAATTTATGATTATTAGATTGGAAGATTTTTGTTTTCAGTGTTTTCATATCAGAGAACATGTTTTTTTTGGGGAAACAGCGAAATGATTCGGGACGGTCAAGGGTACATAAACGATACTGTTTCTTTTTTTTGTCCCTTATGTTCTTTGTACTTTGGTATTTGTTTCTATCTAATGCGGAATAAAACGCGAGGAGAACATGGATAGATGATGATAGAAGTGCGAAGGACGGAGAACTGGCGGAGATGAAATATTTCGTATTTCTACTGGTCAGAAATGCGATTATGGGTCAAATATTGTGAAATATTAGCTTTTTTCAGAAATGGTCAGTGTAATATCATTCTCCGAATTTCGGTTGGGTCTTTTTCCAGGTATTTTAACATTCTAACAGGGAAATTCGGAGCGGAATTGGAAACTCCAGATTTTTTTCGGAATTAGAAAATTTAGGACTAAGGCATGTCAAAGGGACACGAAAAGTATGCAGCGGAGCTTGCAATTTATATATCTCAATTTTTTACCGACTCTTTGCGCGCTGGGTTTGCAATGTTTTGAAAATTGCAATGTTTTGAAAATCGGAGTGTTCCAAAGATACTAAATTTACGAAATTGTCCATATCGGAATCAAAAAAATATCATATTTTGAACATTTTCGTCCATAAAGCTCATAACAAAACAAAGTTTTCTGAAAAGAGTGGTAGAGAAATGAGTGGGCGGGTGGAGCTCCTAGCAGTATAATTTGTCATTTTGAAAATGCGCAAAGGTGTTATTAGAAGTTTCTTATCTTGTCAACATTTTTGTTTTTGATATGAAAATTTAGGCCTTTGTTTTGAAGGTTTCAAAGTTTTCTCTCAGAAATGGATTCTGAAACGGTGAATGTTGGTCAAAATATCACCGAAAAATTAAATTTTCACCGCATTCCTATCGCCAGTAGTCAGAAACCAAGATGAAACTTTTGGAAAAGTTTGATCTCTGAAGTTGTTGTACTATCAAATACATACAAATTCAAAAGGTTTTCAGATATTTTTCACTTTGAATGTAGAAACTTCTACATTTAGAAAGCATTCTGAAAAACATTTAATCAACTATTGGTAAATAGGAGAATTTGAGAGAACCCCATTGTTTAAAATATGATTTATGATGAGGAGACATGACGTTTTTTGCATTAGCATAGCTTAGTTGATAGCGATGCTAAACTTCCAAGGGTGGGCCTACAAGTTCAGCTCGTGGATATATTTTCTATGAACAAAGTTATGAGAAAAACGCCTTCACAAAGAAAATATCAAAATTACGAAAAAAAAAACTTCCTCCAATTTTAACCCAAATATTGACTCCAAAATGAGTCGAAAGAAAAGAGTTCAAAAAGAGTTCTTTCAGAATATTTTGTTTTTTCGAACAAAATTGTGACGTCAGACATTGTGAAACATTTTACTATACCTGTTTGCCCTGGATTAATGGAGTTGATGTGCTTTACCCTTTTACACATCTTCTTATGAAATGGAAAAAAGATTTCCAGTCTACCTTTGTTGGGTAGAATAGGCAAGGTTCTGAGAATAAAAAAATTTAAAGCGTCTGGTAAGTATTTCGTATCCCCAATAGATTTGTGCAGACAAAGATATTCAAAATTTCAGCTTGTTTTCAGTCATACTAAATACAAGCGTGCCATATTATCATTTTCTTCTTGGTCTTATTATATTTCAAGGAGCGTTTCAAAAAAAAAAACCAAAAAAAAAACATAGCTTAACAAGCGTCACTTTATTGTCAGATACAAATTTCGTAAATATCCACAGATGTATCGGATCCAGTTGAATTGACAGGCGACTCGGACAGAATGAAACAGTCATTGATGAACTTCTGAGCATTATCCTCAATAAAGCCGACAGCAGTACAAGTTTTCTGAAAAACATATGGATTGACTGGTGTCAGACATATCACTTTAAAGTCTTATTATTATGAGGAGTCTGCTTCAAAAAATCGAAAAACTAGTTACTATGAAAAAATACCTTCAGCGTTTTTTGAATTTGAAAAGGGTTCAAAAAACTTACAGTGAACTTTTTCTGAACACTTGTTGATACAAAAATCCCTAAAAACTTCCAAAAAAGTTTTCATTATAATAAAATAAAAAAAATATTTTCAAAATATCAAATTATTCTATCCTTCAAATAACAATTTCATCGCGAGAATCAGAAATCAAAGAGCTAAAATTCGCAGCGATATTTAGAACTACTAAGTTGTTGAGGAAATAACTTACAATGTTGGTATGACCTTTCTCTCAAAAAACATTGACAAATAACAATCACCGGCATTTTTACAGCTTGTAAGTTTGTGTTTTTTTTTCTTAGAAATGGAGCTACCGTATGCGCTTTAATATCCTACCTAATACATCTTCTTTGAGCTCAATTATTTTGGTTTCTATAAGATAGATCAGAAATTTGTCAACTAATAAAATATTGGTGATATTACGATAAATAATTTGTTGGTTGAATTTTTAAAGTTTTTTTTTAAGGAACCAAAATAATTGAACCTAATGTGCACGTATAAGATAGGGACTTTTATTACAGCAAATGATAATTAAGCTCAAGCTGCGAAAATAGGTTGACACTTGATTCACGATATCTTAGAAATTCCCAATATCCCTTTTAACCTACATCTCCTGATAGCACATTCCAACGGCACAGATTCCAACAGTTTACTGCAGTTGTAGCATGCGTTGCTCTGATTGTTTTCGAGTTTATAACTGCTTCTGAAGTAGCAATCCCAGCTTTCAGTGTCATCGTGTTGGCTGAAACTCCTTTTCTTTAACCTTATCTTTAACGATATTCTAACCAATTTTGAACCTTCCACAATCGCTATCTGTTGCTCTCAACATTTGGTATTTTATCATTGGCATTTGAGTGGTGGTACTGGTAATTGTTCCCTTCGTTGTTATTATTTCTTCCAGTTTCGGTGGATCGGTTGGGACCACATATGTTTTTAGACCGAACATGGCTTCCAACGAAACATCTCGTCTCTGCAGACAGTTGATTTTTTATGGAAGAGGTTAGGAATAAGTAAGTCGTAGTGGCTTGCAAGTTTTACAATGCAACAAAAAAGAAAATAGTAAACTTGGAGGAAAACAGTGAAACTTCCGCGTTGGCTAATCAAGCGATGTTTTGAAGAAAGGTACCGATCAGTAAATTGTACAAATACATTATTTTCTGTTGAATAACGGTTGTTTTGGCCATTTTCAGGAAACTGGAGCTCGGTTGTCAAGCTTCCGATCACTTTGAAATTTTTGGAAAGTGTGAAACATGCCTAGAATCAAGCATTGCATTCACAAACGTTTTTAAAAATCCTAGTTTTTCAGCTGTTCATCGATTTTCGTTAGACCTGTTTTTTCACGTTTTCAGTACAAAAACAAGAAAATAATTAGTGTTTTTCAAAATTCGGCAAATAGCTGAAAAATTAGGAATTTTCAAAGAGTTCTGTGAATGCAAAGTTTTCAATCTAGGTATGTTTTACACCCACCAACAATTGCAAAGTGATCGGAAACTTGACAGTCGAGCTCCAGACTCATGAAAATGATTAAAATGACAAAAAATGAACTTAAGAATACATTTTTGTTAATCTTACTGGAGCGTACTATACATAAAAGCGAAATCATAGCTATTGGGAACACCCATTACTGTACACCGTCACGTGAGAATTACCTGTCTTTCCTCCTTCAAAATTGAAAATAAAAAAATAACCAAAAATCGAGGAATTTTTTTTCTTACCACCATTCAAGTGTTTTCAAAACTCACTTCTCTCGACGGACTCTTGCAACATTGACAGTCAAACTCAAAATGAATGCTTCTTCGTTGCACACAACTACACTCGTTCGTCTTGAACCCCTTACAGCTCTTAGTATTTATTCCTGAAAAAGAAAACTATATTTTTTCAATTATTCCTCAATTTCCTTGTTTACCAGGATCGTCCACAGTCAAAGTGCAGTTTTCGCCTTGAACACAAAGCTTCTCCGCCTGAGATGCACCTGAAGAAAATAAAAAATTTCGTGTTGTGGTGCAGAGAATATTCGATTATAGTCTAGTAGATTGGCTTTGAAAGTAAACCCTGCGTGGGTGGAGAAGAGCTGATTGAAAATAAAAATGTTTTTTTTAAATTTCAACTAACTCACCGATAAGATAGAATAACACTATGAAAATTCTTATAGAAATATGCATGGTTCAAAAAATGAATGGAGTAGTGAATAACAGTTTGTTACTGCCTAGTTTTATCCACCCTCACATTCATCGAAGTAATCCCAACTTTGGCAGTTTTTCAACCTCTGGCCGACGGATGACAGTAGTTCCCTCTTTGTGTATGTTTTCTATGTTTTCCGCGTGGATGCCTAGCTAGATTGTGAATCCCATATATAATTATATCTATGTTTAGGTCCAGTGACTCTGTCATAAACATTCATTTTGCGATAAGTATAATTCTGGACCACTTGCAACATCTTTAGAGAGCTACGATCATTTGATTTTAAGAGGTCAGTTGTTTCAGATGACGTGGAATAAGTTTCAGTTCTCTTTGCCTGTGCCAGTGATCACAAAGCCATTCAATGAGGTCATTAACGATTGCTGACACTTTTGCTAGTCTTGCTATAGTATGTATGTGAGGAATACCATGCAAAGTTTTGTTCTCAAACTAAAAACCTTTGGAGTAGAACTCACATCATCGGGGGGGGGGGGTATTTTTAGATGAGCCCAGAGAGCAAAAAAGCTGAAATAGTTGTTTGACACATTGAGAAAGTAATTTGCTAAAGAGGGGGAGGTGTCAAAGTTGCTCTTTGCAATCTTCAAAGATGCAAAGGAGCAAAAATCCCATATTTTTCTGATTTCGGAGTTGAAGGAATTTAGTCTAGTTATGAGGTAATACGGAATGCAGAAAAATTATTGGAATATTTTTTCTCAGTAATTCAAACCACTAAAACACCAAAGCAAGGGTATTTAGTGCATTTTTTTCATATTTTATGCGCTTCGACTTTCAAAAATGTCCCCAGAACTTCTGTTTTATGGATTTTAAAAGTTGGAAAATTAGAAATTTTGAAAAAATATACATTTGAGAAAATGCTTGGAATATAAAAGTTTATTGAATTTTAGGTGTAATCCAACGAAAAACATGTTCTGAAACGTCCTAGGAACTTTGAATATTGTTGAAAATCGTTGTCTTTGCACTGAACACGCGCTTTTTGGTACGGAAATTGATATAACTGAAAAAATGAAACTGCAGAGAGGATCCTGAAAAATTTCATAATTGCATATCCCAAGCAAATTTTGAAATTTTTATCAAACGGGTTTAGGAGGTATTATGTTGTTAGCCTAGTTTTGAAAAGACCCGTTTCTTTCAAACAACTAAAAACCCAAACAAGGGAATTGAGTGCAACTTTTTTTTGTGCTCTGACCTCTAAAAATTTTCCCAGTACTTCTTTTTATTGCTTTCATAGAGCTGTTCTCTTGATAATTGTTTCTGTCTAGCTTAATTAAACAAAAACTCAAAGAGAGTCTATTAACCCTATTCAATCATTGATCACTCTTCATACATTGACGTGTTGATCACTTATCCTGCCCCAATGAATTTCGGAGATCAAAATATGACAATTTTTCCGACAAACTACACAACATGCTATGTTTTTGACATAGTACTCGTACTATGTTCAAGTGGCAAGTTGAGATATCCGAATTTGAGAACAACGCTGAGGAGTTGTGTTCACTGAGCAGCAAGTAGGGTTCATTTTTCCAAAGATGTTACAAAATTCGAACTTGTTTCTCTGAAAAGTTTATTTTTAGACTTTATTTTTAGACCGCTTCCTTTAACTTATTATTGTTCCTCAATATTTTCCCAAGAATTCGTATTGACGGAAGTCCTATGGTTCGAAAATTTTGAACCTTCCTCCCACCAAAAATTCCTCAATTCCTATTTCGAGTCTCTCGCCAAGGTCTTCACTTCTCGTTTCTCAAGTAAAGGGGAAACCCTTCAAAAGTAAAGTTTTTCCGAAATTCAACTATTTCAGTCAACACACACACACACACACACCAACACAAAACAACATCATTTTCTCCTTCAGCTCAAACCCCGCCCCGTTCTAATCCACGGTCACTAAAAGGGGCGGAGCCTGAGGTCCGAAGCGGGCGCTGTCGCTTGGGATACTCCCTCTGCGGAGAAAGCTATATATTCGCGCAGTTCTTTTCAATTCTTCACTTTCAATTGTATTGCTCTCGGCTGCTTCAAGCGTCGTGCAAACTTTAAGGATGCGTTTCTTGCTCGGTTAGTTTACAATGATTCTTTAAAATTTTTTTTTGATTTTCCTCTTGTTAAGGACTTCTGATAGCAATGTTCGCATTCGCTGCCAGCTCCCCAATCCATGGAATCTGGAACAACCTGCCAGCTCCACCGGTAAGTCAGCTCGTGGGAAAAAATTCCACCTACTCTTTGCCTCCCCCCACTGCACCCAGAAAGACAAAACAAAAATTCACGCATACATAAAGTAAACCTGACTTGGGGCGAATCAAAAATTCTGGAGCAAACTATATCAACCCTTTCTCTTTTTCTTGTCTCAAGTATCTGCTTTTTGATTCCCGTGATTTCCATCGAGTCACGTTTTTTGGCCAATTTTGGCAAGGAGGAATTTTTTCAAGAGCGTACTCCAACTTAATTTTTTTCAGCAAAAACGAGTCTACGGCTTCTACAACTACTTGCCAAAAGAGGAGGACGATCGTGACAAACGCAACACCATCATTCTCCTATCACCACCTGGCGAGGACTATTTGGAATAAAAAGGGCCCCACGGAGATGTGACGACAATGATAAATACCATAACCTGCTGATATGAATACACCCCACCATCATAATTATCATGATACAATGTTGATGAATCTGTGAAATGAAAAATTATATATATATATATATATATTTTCTCTTTTTTTCGGGTTGATTTGATTCTAGTCTCAAATGAGAGAAAAAAGTCAAAAGGGAGATTCTTATCAGTACGTTGAAAGAGCAGAACCTCACTGTGACATCGTGATAACATTCTTTTTTCTAGTTTCTGCTCGTGTTTATTGATTCCTTTAGCAAACTTTGAGTAAATAGGTTTACCCTCAGAAACTAAAATTTTAAATTTGTCACGGCTTCGAAGTTCCAGAATGTTTACACCGAGCGGAACGTCTATACCACATTCCTTCCCGGATCATATCATCCGGCCTATTCCCCAGTATTCCCCTGGTGTGGTTATCCAGACTATCCAGCAGATCCCAGAGAGTACTCCACAAGGGAATACTCCCCAAGGAATTATCCCCCAAGCAGATACTGTAGAAGAACGAGAAGATTGTAAAATCTGCTTTCAAATAGCAGATGGAGTTCACTTTGGTGTTGCGTCGTGCAGGTATCAAAAATCAAAGCATACTAGAAAATTTATGATTTATTTCCAGAGCGTGTGCCGCGTTTTTTCGGCGAACTGTCATCATGAAACTGAAGTATATGTGTAAGGACAAAGGAAATTGCACGGTTGAGAAATGTTGGTTTTTTTGGTTTAATATGGGACCTTTCAAGCCCAGATTTTGATGAAAAATCGAGAATAGATCAAGGATAGTCTATCTAGACACTTCTGAAAATTGTAAAACCCGCTCGTCAGTTTCAGCCGAGTTATATCAGTTTCAGTACTAAAAATCGAGTTTTGGTGGAAACAGCAATTTTCAAAACCAATTTTTCCATTTTTAGGACTTTCGGACCATAAAGTTTGTTGAGAAAATGTAAAAAAAATAAAAATCGACTTTCAGTAAATTCTAAGCACAACACAATAAATTTTGGCTCTTGTCGGTTATTTAGATCCTTAGGGATTTTTTGGTCCTTGTGATTTTTTCGGTCTTCAGATTTTTGTTTGCTCGTTCGAATTATTTTTGGTTCTCAGTAATTCATTCATATTTAAGTTGACTTTCAGCTATTAATATTACAAAATCGTCATCATAAGTGTCTTCTCAATTTTTCTCAGATTTTGGTGGCAAAATATAATTTTCAGATCGAAAATAACCGACGAGAACTCAAATTTCATGTTCTGAAACGTCTTAAAATTCGGCAAAATTGTCTTTGAGCTGTTTCGTAAAATGCGATTTCTGGTACAGAAACTCGTAAAACTCGGCTCAAGCTTTTAAGCGGACTCGAAAAGTTTCGAAAGTGGCCATTCTTATCCTCAATGACCGTGCCTCAAAAACCTTCATAGCCATCGAAATCTAGGTTTACAAGGTGTTAAGGTTCCCTTAGTGCACTTTTGATAACATAATCCATCTAAACACCGGAAGCATTTCTGAAGAAAGTGTAGGTGGTAGTAGGCCCAATCCAATTAGAGTAAAGTGCTTCTCAAAGTTCAATTCTCGATTTTTTGATGTGTCTGTTCTCATCATCTCCTTTTTTTCTCCGGAGTTAGAAATCGTTGAAACATTTCTATTTTCGTCCTTTTTAGCATTTTGCTACCACTCATAAACCAATCTTCCCCTACGTGCCAGGGTCCATCTAGAATCTTTAATGATGGATTAAAAAATACGGGAGAAAATTCGCGGGCCATCGTAAAATGAAATGACGTGAACTGACATTTGTCAATCAAATTTCAAAAATTCAGCGCTTCGAAATTTGTGCCGTAGCTGTAGATACACGCGATGCCTGAATGAGGGAATGAAAATAGAATGTAAGTCAACAAAACAAGGGTCCGTATCATTTTTTGATCTTTTTACAGTAGTACAGCTACAGAGAGATTCCATCGGAAAGAAGAAAAGTGTAGGGGTAAGCAATAAACGAAAATAATTTTTATCGAAATTTTAAAATCAAGGGAATTATTTTTAGAACACGTCAGTGGACTTATTGTTTACACCGAACGTCGCTTCCTCGTTGAGTGCTGTTTTCAAGAAAGACAAGGAAGAATCATTGACACCTGAATGCACTATTTTGTCTCAAATGAGCTGTGGTAGGACTTTTGGAATATTACGTTTTTGGCTCCGGGACATATCGCCTAATACAACCTAGAACAGGCATAATACAGGCCTAAAACAGGCTTATTGCCTGCTTAATGCATTTTTAATAGAGGCGAAGGAATAGGTTTCAGAGTACTGGAGAAAAATACAGGGATTACAAATATGTCTTTTCCCCAAGAACACCTTCAAAATATTCAGAAAGTTCCAAAATTTGGAATCCAAATTTCATTTTTTCGAAATATCCAAAAAACTTTTTGCTGATTTTTTGAATTTCAGGTTGTGCTCTATCTGAAAAAGCATATTAATAAAAAATTAAAAACAAACCACTGTATCTTTTGAGAATTTTTTCATGATTTTCTTCATTTTAATCAATTTTTTCTTATTTACATAGCAAAAAAACAAGGGGACTCGTCAAAAAATAAATAAATAATAGGGAAAAATTTTTCAAGTTATGCTCAAAAAATATGGTAATTTACTCTTATTTCCCAAAATTTTCGAGTTTTAGGTTGTCTCCCTTCTGAAAAATCATACTTGAAAACCTTAAAATTGCTTTCAAAGTCTAAGAGACCTATAAATTGGTCTGTATTATGACAGTGCCCAAATCTTTGGTGTCGAAACGCCTGAATTTTCTTTTTAATGATGAAATTTTCAGGCTACGATTTTTTCTTAAAATTTCGAAAGTCTACAAACACATTGGTTCAAAGTACAGTAATCACTCCCACATTTAGAATTCCAAAAATAGTAAGTTTGTTTTTCTAAATGTTGTCTGTATTAGCACTTCCAGGAATTGCACGCATCACGTTTTGACTCTGCAAAACAAGTAAGCAAAGTGGAGGCGCATTTAGTGACAGACATTGTGAATACGTATTTTTCTCCGTTTAATGTGCTCAAGTTTAAGGACAAAGTGAGTCATAATAATGAGAGTTAATGGGATTTTTGTTAAGGTTGCCCTGTTCAAAAATTTCTTTTGCTACTTTTCCCACACAGATCGTGCCTATCAATCTTATAAGCAGTTTGAGAACGATAATGGTTGGTTTTGCACTTTTTCTACTATTCCAACTTGAAAGATCAAAATTGATCTTACAATCCAGCTTAACCTTCTTATGTTGTCGTGTGTTTCAGTGAACGATAAGATTCTGATGCCTGACGGTGGATTTATCAAACGAACTGAGCTGGGAAGATTCTATGAAAATGCCGAAGGGGTGCACACGTCTGCAGAAGATGCTGCACAGTGAGAAAAATCAAAAAAAAAAGTGAATGTCTCTTTTTTCCTCCAGAATCTTCCAACCCGTATTCAATTACATCTTGGATGTTATTGTGGACTACATGCGACGAATTCATATAATCGAGATAGAATATTTGGCGATCCTGGGTTTTTGTTTATGGGATGACGGTGAGAAAATAGGGTATAACAATAAAGATACGAGCTCATATTTTGTTTAGCTAACTTTTTTGGTGCTATTGTTTTTCCAGCTGTACCCGGATTATCCAAAGAGGCGAAAAGTTTAGCCGTCCGAACTCAGTCGCAAATCCTTGCAGAGTTGCAAAGCTACTACGCTTCCAAAGTAAGAGATTAGTGTTTCTGAAGTTTCATTGAATATTTCCAGAGCAAAGATCCTACACAAATTGTACAGCGCGTAGGGGAGCTGCTACTTTTGGTTCCGAAACTAACGGTCTGTTGGGAACAACGTCACATAATTAAATGGTTGAATGCGGAAATCATTTTTGACATGTAAAATAATCTAGTTTACATACACGCGGACGTTAATGGAGTTTCTAATTAAGTTCTAGTCTGGCTCATTTGAGAGAAGTTATTTTCAGATAACTTATGAAGTAGCAATCGTAATTTGACATGTGACACTGAAAAATTTGATTATTTTGTATCGTATTTTTGATTAGGTTAGTGTCAAAATCAGAACTGACGAGACAAACATTACGCGTCCTTAGTTGTATATGATCACTTACATACATTTATGATCACTTACATACATTTGGGATCTGGAGCATGTTGCAAGTTAAAGAAGGGGAGACAGGAAAGTTTTGGGGTTTCTTCGGAGTTACGGTATGTAGCGGGATGCTATCGTGTCTCTTTTATACAATATCGGGCAACAAGGTAAACAAAACGTATTTTGGTCATTTTTACCATTTTCAGGAGACTGAAGCTCGGCTTTCAAGTTTCCAATCGCTTCGAAAATGTTGGGTGATATAAAACATACCTAGATTAAAAATGTTGACTTTACAGAGTTTTCTAAAAATGTCTAGTTTTTCAGCAATTGTAAGGTTTTGAATGACACCTGTTTTCCACGTTTTCAGTGCAAAAACAGGCTGTTGTCAGAAATCGTAGATAGCTGAAAAATTAGAAATTTTATGATCAATTCTGTGAACAAGAAGTTTTCAATCTAACAGAGGAACGTTTTTGAAAGGTCCTTTACAAGGGAACCTCAACACCTCACAAACCCGGATTTTGATGAAAATTTCAGGATAGTTTGAAAATCGCCTATCTAGACATCTCTGAAAATTTTAGTATCCGCCCGCCAGTTTCAGCCGAGTTGTATCAGTTTCAGTACCAAAAATCGCTTTTTCAGTGCAAAAGCAGCGTTTTCATAGACGAATTTCTTAAGCCCCAGGACGTTTCAAAGCATGAAATGGACAGCTAAGCTCAAAACTACTCAAAGTTTAATGAAATTTGATATTTCAAACTTTTGCTCAAAAATTTTTTTCAGTTTCGAAGAAATTTCGAAATTCGTGAAAAAATGCAAAAATAAAACATGTTTTTGTTCTTGAGAAAAAGTTTGAAATATCAAATTTCATTAAAGCTTAAGTATAACCCAACAAAGTTTTATGTTTTTAAACGTCCTACGACTTGAGAAAATCGTCTTTGAAAACGGTGCTTTTGCACTGAAAAGGTGATTTTTGGTACTGAAAATGATATAACTCGGCTGAAACTGGCGGGATGATTCTAAAATTTTCAGAGATATCTAGATAGGCGATTTGCAACCTGTCCTGAAATTTTCATCAAAATCTGGGTTGGTGAGGTGTTCAGGTTCCCTTGTAGAATATAATTCAATTGATTTTCGGCAATTCCGACAAATTTCCGGAGTTTGGAGCTTAGTTGTCCAATTTCAGATCATTTACAAAATTTTTAAGAGTAAAACAGATCTTGTTTAAATAACAGCTCTGTATATTCTAACATTCGGCTGCTTTAGTTCGCGCTACCGTAGCTCAGCTGGCACCTTCAGCTTTGGGGCCACAAGTTCACCTCTCGAGCGACGTTTGGGAACACAATTGTGAAAAAACTATCCAACATAATCAAACAACTCATCAAATCCCTAAAGTTTTCATTTCAGAAGTGTGTCATAATGCTGCGTGAGAACTCGGTGCTCGCCGAACTTTTTAACTACTACGAAGCAGATGTTTGCTGTAAAAATTTTAAGGAAGACGCGTCGGTGGATCTTGATTGCAAGGCAGAGTGTATTGTACATTCGAAGAATGAATGAAAGTTCATGTTTTTGCTTAATTTTCACGCTTTCTCATTAATTTTAATCTGATTTTCTTGAAAAACAATCTTTACTTCATCTCATCATGAAATCAAACCTTTTATTTATTACATTACAAAAAAGAAGGTGAATCATAAATCATCGTTTCAAATGGTCACAGAAACTCTCATCGTAACTTCTACCCTTCTTGATGTCGCAGACGAAAGTGTACCGACATTTGTAATCTGTGTAGCACTCGTTGTTGTAGTGGTTACGGTAGAAGAATCTGAAAACAACAAGAAATAACGGACTCCGGGCTACTGTAGGTCACTTCATGGCTACTACCACTCACTTCACATATTCTCTGAACATTGTGGTGTTCGTCCAAAGCTTATCACTTAAATCCGCCCAAGATTGTGGAGAGAAGTCTGGAAGTTGCCAGTGCTCTTTAGTGTCGTATTCAAGCACCCATTCTGGTTCCTTGTTCTTAAGATTGGCTTCCGTAACATTTGCAAAGTATGTTTGCGCGGATTTCACAGTCTGAAATTTCGTAAAATATTTTGGAAACGTTGCTATGCACTATGGCTTCCCGTACATATGTCGCGCCTTCGTAACCACCGTCGATTTCGTAAATCCGGTAGGCAGGGTTTAGGAAATCATACGTGGTGAGAGAGGGACTGATCCAGTTGAAATGGAAGGGTCTGCGGTTTGGATCATCCATATCGTAGTAAACCATGAATTGGTCATAATGGGTGTGTCCATAGAACATCTGAGCAATGGTGTTTTCGAAACGCTTCACAATCTCGAAGAAATTCCATGACCATCCTTTCAAGCAGTAGTTGTCGCCAGGAGGGATGTGAGAGATGATGTGGACCTTGAAACAAAATAACCTTTGGTCACTTTAGAACGTGGGAAAATGAGAAAAATGACAGAATTGACAAAACGACAGAATTTTCGAAGAAGAAGAAATAGTGAAATTTGAAACCATTGCTACTCACGAGTTCTCCTTTTTTCTCAGAATCGACCAATTCCTCAATTAACCACTCTAATGTTGCGTCGGGGTCCACCTCGTTCACATAAAGATAGCTGAAAAGAAACTGAGTTCCAGAAAGAATTCAATGCAATCACAAAACTAAAAACCTCTAATAGAAAAGCATCTAATTGTCAGTGTTATCAAATTCGTCTCGAATTTTTTACCGAAACAATATTAGTAACATTATAATTAGCTTTATTAATTTTTTTCTTTTTTTTTAACTATCTAAGAAATTGCGAGAAGTTACCTCTGACTTAACGGTTACCGTATTTCCTCTAATAGAAGCTGTTTCAACTTTGAGCTCAATTTTTTGTTGACTTTTTCAAGAGATTTTAAAATTTATGAACAAATAAAATATTGGTGATAATATGGTAAACAAATTATAGGTTGATGAATTTTTTGAATCTTTTACAGGAATCGAAATGATTGAGCTCAAAGTTGACGGTTTGGGTGAGCGTCTATCAGAGGTAATACTGTAGGATACGCAGATCTTACGGTTAATAAGCAACAATGTACAGTAATCCTCCTTAAAACAACTTACAAATTGAATTCTGAGCAATAAATCGTGTTGAGTGAAATCAACTTCAATCCTGGCTTAGGACGGACCACATAACTTGCGCGGCTGAAAACGTTTGAAAATTATCTTTCCAAAACTCCTCCATCCTACTATTGAACAGTGTCCAGAGCCTCTTGTGGAATCCAATGAGCCCACATATCCGACATAATTTTGTACAACCATTGTGGACCTCTCTTGTCATACTCCGGCATTGTGTGTGGAGCCATACTAAAATTTCCGCCTGTTCAAGTTCTGTTTTGTCTCGGAAAATGTTGACTCACGCATCTTGTGGTACACCTTCATGGTTACCGATTGAAACGTAAACGGGAACATTCGGAAAATACTCTAGGAACACGTTAGTCATATTGTTCATGTTTTCACGGGTCAAGTCCTCAGTGTAATCCCATGAATCATGCGCCTCAAAGTCTCCGGTGATAATGATGTAATCAAGCTAAATGCGTTGACTTTTGTGTTTTGTTTATTGTTAAAATCATAATAGATAATGCTTACGTCTTTGAATGTTTTGCTGATATGCTTCATAGCCGACTCAAATGTCTGATAAGGCAGATCGCACAAATAAGGCATTCCCCATGGACCGGCAGGTACGTAGATTGGTTCTGACAATAACAAGTTACTCGAAAAAAATCCAGGGGTCTATACGCTTACTATCTTTCATATTAGTCGGTCTTCCCATCGAGTCCTGACTATAGTCTCTACAACACATCGCATATGTGCCCAGTGCACTGTCCAACTGACAATAGGCTTCCGTACCAACCACGTATTGATGATCAATGTGAATGTCAGACAAGTGAAGCACTTTGAATGTTGGCTTGTTGTCTGGAATTTTAGGCCATGGTCGAATTGGTGGTTTTCCGCCTGGAATAGAAATATTCCACATATGAGTCAACGGTTTGTCCGAGTGTCCGCAGTTGGCAATGAATGCTCCACAAATCTCATCTGGAGTAAATACGGAACGCTCAAGAACAAAGACGACTTCATCTTTGAACGCGTAGATAATGTTTTTGCACACATGCGGTTGTTCGACGTCAAAAAGATCGCAGAGGTTCCTGTAATGATTTTATAAGTAGGGAAAACAGGACACGAAGTGCGGAAACTAGACTGTTTTGTTAAAAACTAGAGATAAGGTAGAGTTTCTGCTAAAGATCATCGGCATTGACTAGAAAAAAATTGTGATAGGCTAGAACTACTGGAAAATTTGCTGAATCAAATGATTACTTCAGTATCAGTAATCAGGAGTTATGGAAAATGATAATTTTGTAAAAAATTAAATGGGATGAGGAAATTGACATATTTAAAGATTTAAATTCTTTCAATTGGCAAACCTTTTAATGAAAAAGTTAAAGAATTTTGAATCTTTAAAAAAAGTTACAACTGGTTCGAAATATTTTTTTTCGTAAAACTTGTCATAGAAAGGCACCTAATTGTCAACTTTGAGCCAGTTTTTCTTGTGAAATAACTAAAAAAGTTGTCAACTAATAAAATGTATTTCATGACATCATAAATTTTTTGTTAGTTAACAAATGATTCTTATTTCGCATAAGAATTGACGTGATTGAGCTCAAACTCGACAGTATGGACCATCTTTCTAGGTTTTCACGAATTTTTGGGTATGTTAGTGTCCTGCGTTTTTGAAACTTACACCAAAAACGCTGCTACTTCATCATCTGTGGAATTCTGCGCAATTAATGCTTGTACACCATCCACGGCAAACGTACAGAAGAAACATGACATTTTTCGGTTCTCTGGCTCATTGATCACTTTTTTGGCATACCGGAGCATCTGAAACGGACTTATTTTTGTTATATAAGATTTTACATACCGTACCGGCCAGTAACATATTCATACGAAAACACAATTTTCAAATGAGTTTGTTCATTTTGGCTCTTTTTAGGATCCTCGAGCGTGGCTGTTACGTTTCCCATTGTTTCAAAAATTTGAGAGGGTGTAAAACGGATCCGGATTGAAAACATTCAACGAATTTTTTGAGAATTCCTAGTTTTTCAGCAACTTGCCGATTTCTAAAAGACAACTGTTTTTCTCGTTTTCAGTGCAAAAACGGCCCACAATTGATTTTTTTCAGAAATCGGCTAATTGCTGAAAAACTAAAAATTGTTCAAATCATCATGTGAATGCAAAAACTAGGTATGTTTTATTCTCACTGAGTTTTTCAAAATGATTGGGAACTTGCAGTCAAGCTCCAGATTCCTGAAAATATTCTAAATGACCGAAAATCAACTGAAAAATATGTTTTTGTATTGACCGTTATTGTTTATGACTCAAGCTATTACCTTGTATTTTGGTGGTGGTGGAGCATCTCCATTTCCTAAAACATTGGTCCATTTTTCAAATTCATGTTCTTCTCTCCGCAAAACTCCAGACTCCACTAATGCCAAAAAAGACAAAGCTACACCCAGTAGAATGAGAGGCTGTCGCATCTGAATATCAATTCTTTTTTCTGATTCGAAAAAAAAAATTGAAGAATAAGATCGAGAACGAAGCGGAGAGGGAAAAAACTTTTGAAGAAACATCACACAGTTCTGGTCGACCCTAATCACCATGTGAATTCACTTTTTCTTATCAAAATAATCACACTGCCGTCATTATCATTATATTCTCTGCACCGTGCTCTCCATCCGAATTTTTCGGGTTTTCCTGTACATTTCATTTTTATCGATGTTAAAGTTATTATTCTGAAAGTGAAGGAAAGAGACCGTTTGGAAGACAAATAGAAAAAAGAAGACAAAACAGAAGAAGGTTACATGGAAAGCATACAATAATGAGCGTAGGGTAAAATAAAGTGATTCATGACAGCGGCTCCTATCCAGGTCGAGTAGAACGTGTCGACGATGTCTTGGTACATTTTGAATTGTTTGTGACTTGACGACGCGACTTTGTCCCATTGGGAAATTTTGGATTCCAGGAGGTATTTCGTGTTCTGGAAATATTTATACAGTTTACTGTACCGGTTCATAAAATGTATAAAAATGTATTTTTAGTCAATTTTTGACCATTTTGAGTATTTTCAAGATTATGGAGCTCATCTGTCAAGTTTCTGATCAATTTGAAATCTTAGGAGGGTTGAAAATGTACCTAAATTGAAAACTTTGCATCAACAGAATTTTTATAGAACTCCTTGTTTTTTTTTTAATAATTGCCGATTGACAGCAAAGCTCTATACTCCTGAAAATGATCCGATTGGCCAAAAATACGTTTTGATTAATCTTGTTGAACGGAACGTTGGTGACTGTCGCCCAAAGCCCGGAATTAAAACTACCATAGCCTAGATATGAACCTGGACTATGAGTTTTTTATCTAGGGTATTTTTTGATTTCCATAGTATAACTGCCAGTAAATTTCACGGTTTTTGAAATCTTCAAGGTATGGTAACGTGGAAACTGTAGTCGACAAGCCACTATTTTAAAACTTTCAGTTAATTTATCTCGGTTCCTATCAACAATATAGAACAGTGGTCAACTGCAATATTGTTCATCATTATATAATAGCACTAGCATTTTGATATACAGTTGACATATGTATGATATCTCTCATAAAAAGCGAGATAATTGAGCTCGAAGCGCAAGTACAAAGTGGTCGTCTATTATCAGAGTGAATACTGGGCTTACCGTATTTCAAATTTCGTAATCATGCTTTCTCGCAGTTACTGTTATTCTCTAATTTTTGACTTTTTATTCTTATCAGTGTATTTCAATATTTGCAGAAGGATATCCCATAAGTGATCATTTATTGATCATCAAACCAAAACCGGTTTCAAACATACTGATTAGCCTCTACTGTTGTTTTGTTCACCTAGGTAGAAATCACAAAGCAAAAATCAGAATATTTTCTCTCCGTCAGATTTGTGTGTTCCACTTTGCAGATAACACTTACTTCAACTGACGTGATGTTACACGTAGATTGATCATCTCCGTCCGCCAAAAAGTAAAAACCAATCTGCCGCATCTTAAACAAAAATTGATTTAAAAAGTTATCGAGAAAAAAGTTGTTGACAACTAAAACTAAAACTGAAGAAACACCAACCTTGGCAAGTTTCCCGCCTAATTTTGTTTCCCCATCAAACTGTATGAATTTTGGGGGAACCCCTGTCAATGATCCCTGTAGCCACTGCCAATTGGTGATCATGCTAAAAAAGCAAAAATCATTAAATACGTGACAATTTTCAAATTTTTTTCCGCACTCAAAGGATAATCTGCCACACTTTGCCAACCCGGAAACCTCGCACATCGCTGTCATGTAGGCGTTATCAGGAGCATACCACCAGGAAATGTCTTTCGCTAGCTTAGCAAAATAGTTCTTGGAGTTAGATGTGGGTTTTGCGTGGTAGTATCCGCCTATTAAAGGAACATTGGATTAAACATTCTGATTCGATAAGCATTTACCTGCAACCAATGGTCCCTTATCAGAAGCTCGATCGAACACAATGTCCACTTCCTCATCATCAGCGCTCACATTCAACAAACTGTCATTCCAAAATGTGTCCTGCTGAATCATCCAGAATGATTTATTGTGGTGAAGAATAGCTCTTGCCAAATTGGCACGGAATAGATAGAACAATTGATAATAACCATCTCCATAGTTGAATGGATCCTAAGAAATTCCGAATTTTATGAAAGGATTTTGGGTGAATAAAAAGTTACTTTTAATCCAGGAACAACAATATTGATTTGTTTCACATTTGGCCATGTTTTCTTCAATGCAAAAGAAGATTCTTGGTCAAGTGTTACGATGTAGGCGTTTTCATGAACACCTAAATACTTTAAATGATTTGAGTGATACTGTATTTTTCAAAAAAAAGGGTGTGACTTTGTGAATTTTTCAGCAAACTTTCCTATTCTTTCAAAAAGCAGGGATGTTTTCCCAGAAATTCGACCAAAATATTTTTTCGGAAATATGTTTTTTGAACTACGGTAAGTCAGAGGCACAAGTAAAAATGTTTCCTTTTTCATCAATTTTTGCGCTTTTGTGATAAGAATGTGAGATTCCGAAAATCCAAAATTTTGAAAATAAGAATATTCCGAAATTCCGGAATTCTTGACATTTGGAAAATCTTCAAAAAGGTCATTCTAAATATCCTGGCTAAAAAATTCACAAACTTCAAATTCTCTACCTGGCATATTCTGAGTGTTGCACAACCAATTGAATGTCATATTGAGTGCATGTCTGTTGAGAATTAAAACAAGCCCAGATTTATTGAAAGGCATTTCTGAGACAGCGTTTTGTAGAGAAGGGTTTTTGATCTGAAATTTTGGTTTTAAAAATTTTTGTCTTCCTAAACCCCTACCAATCTCTCGAATCCAACATCTTCCCAGTTTTGCCACACAATGTACATTGCCATACATGCTACCACAATCTTTCTAACAATCAGCAACAGAAACCCCAAGCCAAATAATTTCATAAATGAGGGTCTTTTCATTTTTGAAAGGTGGCAAGAAATCAAAGTAAACCTTGAAAAAAGGTAGCTGACGAGAAACGGATATTTGACAAGTTTCTGAGTAGCCGAGAGGAGGCAGGCCGGCTTGTTGACGACGTCACGGAGAGAAAGTAGGCGGACACGAAGAAGACGGTATTGTTCGGTTTTCGTCAAATTGGGTTCTCTCTCCCTCATTTCGATAATTGCTCATCGGTCGCGATACTTTTAATTACATGTGTGTGTGTGTGTGTGTGTGTGTTGCCGCCAAAATCGGGTCACGTCGTCTTGAACTAGCGAGGTAAAAAAATTGAACTTCAGTCTTAGACATGATTAACAATCAAGCAACCACGTCATACACGTCCAAATGACTGTTTATCACTTTGTTTTTCATAGATCTCTTGGGAAATCTCTCTCCTACAGTTTTTCTGACCTTCCCATCTCATCGAGAAACTAATCATCGGCCGGTTACAACGTCGGAAGTGCCATTCGAGAAGGTCGTCTGATTTGGAGACGTTGTTGATAGCAAGAGAAATGTCAAACTAGAAACTTGTTGATCACACTGAGAATCTATGATGAGAACGGAATTTTCTTTTTTTTTCAGAAAAACAAAACCATCGGAAGTGGGGGTACATTGAACTAAAAAACTTTTTTTAAATGCAAAATCTTCAGAATCTTTGATTTTCAGAAAGTAAAACTGATTTTTTTGAATAATTTCTGAAAATGAAAAAGTATAACTGTTTCTGGTTGCTGCATAAAGAATATAAGCTGGAGACGCAGCTACTGTATTTAAAAAAAAGAAATAAATATGCGAATGGCAGGCACTTATGACGCCAAACAATCATTGCGAAGAGAAGAAGTAGAAGATCCTTTGAAGATGAATTGAAAATTGTTCGAAATGCCCGGGCACTCCAAATTTGAAAAAATTTCGAAAGACAGATAATTTTTTTTCCGAACCGGGCCTCAAAAATTCAGAAAAAGCCTGGCCCGGCTTATTGCAAGCATGATTTTTTGGAATCTGTGAAACGTAAAACCCTTAACCATAGAATCCCAGCCCTGCTGGTAAACATCTTATCTTTCTATCAAAATCCCAATAATTGGATTGTGTGGATCAATGCTTTCTAGCAATTTGACAGGTTATTAGGATTCTGGGAAAAAACATCATCCTTTCTTACTTCAGAAAACCTTGGTGAATACAAAAATTAAAACTTTTTTATTGGCCTTCGCACTTTCCCCTTTGATCTCCACTAATGACATCTTCATTTTGATATTAAGAAAAAATTGCACATTGTAAATTTTTGCGGATTTTTTGGAGTTATTGTGGAGTTACGGTGCATGATTGTGTACAATTTCATTTTTGACATCATTCGGCCGTGCACCTTGCGCTACAGTAGCTGAGCTGTTAAGGAAGCGGCCCATAAAATCAATTCCTTGTAAACATCATATGAACCGGAATTTTGAGATAATTGATGGTTCGTGTTCATCTATTACAGCAACCTAGATGACTTGTGGATGCTCCGGGACCTCTCCTTCTTATAATAAATAACTCTCCCATCGTTTACAAATTTTCTACCACACCAAATATTACCAACTGTCACCAATCCATCAACACCGTCTTACACTCTTTTTTCTGTGCTCTACCTCTGACTCGTCACACCATTCTCTATTTTTTTTCCTAATGGTACACATCTCGAAAAGGAGAGACACAGAAGAAGTGCCCCGAGGGCTATTCCTAGAAGCATCACCTCGACCTCTCGCCGTTTCGTTCGCATCATCCACGTCAGACGTATGTTTTTTTGTAGATGCGGCTATTTCAGTATTTGATAGTCTGTTTTTTCCTTATTGTTGCCATTTCTCTTTTTTCAGGAAATTCCGTTCTCTTTTTTTTTCAAAAAGTTCACACTCAAGGAGGCTCGAACAAAAGTTCCTCGTTTTCCCACACAGGCGGTGAAAAAATAGAGTTTCAAGTTTTTTTTTTGTTGCACCTTTGTTAGGAATTCGTGAATGGGGCAGGGTTATCTTCTTTGAGAATTCTAGTTTTTTTTTTTGTAGAGTTTTTGCTTTTTGCTGCTCTATTTTTTGTCGAAAAATTTGAATACAGTTATCCAATTTTTCCATAACTATGATTTTTCTTGTATTTTGATTTTTCCAAAATTGATTTTCTGAAATCCGAGTTTCAAAAGGAGTGGGACGAACATAATGAACTTTTTTTTTTGATTGCTCATCATTACCATCATCTTCACTTTCTTTAGAAACACCTGTTTTAGATACACTTCCCCGTTTTATGTATGATGATATCTGTTTTTCAATATCTATTACTCGCTTCCAAATTGGATCAGTGGGCCCCTGGCACACGTCCCGGTGTTGCTCTTTTTCTGCTCCGTACACACTTCCTCCCCATCTCTTCCCGCTTCTTCTGAATCCCAGTCACGTCGTCGTGTGTGCATCTACGGGAAGGCTCCTCTGCTTAATTGAAACATCAAACAGATTCGGCATTTGATTTGCGCCCCATACTAAAAGAAATGCGCACTAATCCAATTTTTTTGCGTGTCTATATATCGATGTCTTTCTTCGGAAGGGTTGCGTAAAGGAAGAGAAAAAGCCGGAAAAAATTCCGTGTGCTCTTCTCAACAACGCTACTATAAAAACAAGTGTGAAAGACTAAGGAGCCGTACGACAGTGTTGGACAAAAAAAACTAATATAGAGAGAGAAGGGTTTAAGGCACAAAAAAGGGGAAAGGATGAGACGAGGAGGAGAGGAGGAGAAGAACAATTATATGTCTTGACAGAAGATTTTTGTCTATTGACTGACTATTCGACAATATTCAACTCCTCCGGAGGATAATTGGCGGGTCTTTTTTCGATTTTTCTTCTGGGCATGAGAGCATTTTTCCTGTTGTTTTTTTTTTGTTGCTCCTGCAGAATTTTCCTTTTCTGCAAAGAAGGATCCATCCCATTAGGATTCACTTTCGCGGAATAGAGAGCCTTGAGCCCATTCATTCGTCTTCCAACCCCGCAATCGTCATTCCAATCGTACACCCCATCAAACTCGTGATTTCATCTTTTCTGCACTTCTTTCCACTTCATTTCAGAAAGAAAAAGAGCCACTTTTCATTTTGAGAAGCTCGTGAGATGTCAATCTTCTTTCTCCCTCATTGGCTACGCGGACGGTTTCTAAGCAATGTTGGCTCATAATTCATCGGGAGCGTCAGGCCTCCTCGAAAAATAAGATTTATTCTTCCCTTCTCATTCTTTCCCTTTTCTTTTTTTATATCCTTCCATTGTTTTACCCGAATGGTGACTGAAAAGTCAGCTCTCTTTTTTCTCTCTCTCTCTCTTCTGCAGGTTCTCTCTTTTCACTCTCTTCTTTATTCTAAGTTTTGCTCTAATTCTTATTTACAGTTCAGTATAAGTAACTGTCGTACTTGGTCATGGAGGGTTTTGAGAATTTAACTAAGGAGGAGATGGATCATCTCCAAAAGTAAGACTACACCGTGCATGTAAAGTGATCTTTACAAATACACGTTTTTCGATTAAGAATCTACGATGACACTATCAGCTTTGAAAGGAAGATTGGGATCATCATTCCGTCGATCTTCGCGCTGATTATCATGATTGGACTGATTGGAAATGCTCTGGTTGTCATTGTGGCGTTTGGAAGGCAGATGAGGAATTCTACCAACACTCTTATCATTGGTAGGTGGCATTTCGAATAGTTGCAATGTAGGATAGGTCATAAGAAAGAATTATTATTTTTTCAGAAATCCTGAAATTCGAAATCTTCCCATTGAAACTCTATAAAACCTGAAGTAAAATTCAACTATCCTCAAAGTGACCAAATGTTTCTCGGTTTCAAAAAAGTCTTCTGATAGAGACCTCCAAAGACCGTCAATGCTCTAATAGGAGCCCAATCTATGCGTACACCTTGAGCTCAGTTAGCTTGGTTCCTATGAGAGATATCGAAACTTTGTTAACCAATAAAATATTGATGATATTATGATAAATATATTATTAGTTGAAAATTTTTTACATCATTCAAAGGAACCAATATAATTTAGCTTAAAGTTAACAGTTTGGGGGGACTTTTCATTACAGGCTTTACGGTCGTTCTGATGGCATGCCTTCTTCAGATGACCTCATTCTGATAGAGATTTTAGAAAAACAGTAATTTCCAGGCCTAGCTATCTCTGATCTCATGTTCTTACTTCTCTGCGTCCCATTCACTGCCATCGACTATGCTGTACCAACGTGGATCTTCCCAGAATGGACCTGCTCGATGATCAACTTTTTCCAGGTCAGTTATTGGCTAGTGTTACATTTTCTTCTCCATATAAGTGCCTCCTATTTAGCATACGTCTGCGTACTGTAGCGTTTGGACATTGACGCTCATGGCTCTTGATCGCTTCTTGGCTGTCGTTTATCCAGTGGAATCAATCACAGTTCGAACACCAAGAAATACTATGATTGCGTTGTTCATCCTTTATACAATCATTGTTTGTTCGCAGGTTCGTAAATTGAAAGAAATTTAGAAAAAAAAGCACATTCGTTTCAGATCCCCGTCGGAAGAATGCACGGAATCTATGTTTACGACTTCATTCTGGAGAAACGCTCGACCTGCGCCATTCTGACCATTGCGACCGCCGAGGCCACACCAGCAGTAGCAAGAACATACTTCATGACGTTCAACTTATTCGGATACGTTCTCCTCTTGGAATCTCTGTGATTCTCTATGGATTGATGTTGAGAAAGTTGTGGGATATGCCTCGACCTGGAAATTCTCAAGTGGCTGGCAGAAATGTTAGTTTGTTAGGAGAGAAACGGAAAGGGAAACTATTATTAATTAAGGTCGCCAATCGCGATAGCTCGAGTATCAGAAGACGTCCAGAAGCAACTGCTGCAAAGAGAAAAGTAATATATCCTATACGAGCCTGATTACAGTGCCATTCAATCTGTATTTTACAGTTAATTTCGATCATTCTGACGAGTCTGAATCTCGAATTTAAAGTTTCCGATCCGTTTGAAAGTTTTTGAGGATACAAAACAGACCTAGATTGAGAATTTTGCATTCACAGATGCTTTTTATTGAAAAAAGTCTGTAAATACTAAGTTTTCAGTCTAGGACTGTTCCACGCTCTCCTAAATAAAATTTTCAAAATTATCGGAAACTTGACAGCCGAGCTCCAAACTGGCACATAATTCGTAGGGTACAACGGTGTGGGGGTACAAAGGTATACAAATTCATTCAGGGTACAGAATTCACCTGTTTTTTTGTTGTTGGTATATGTTCAAATTTGAATTTTCAGGTATTTTTTACCCCCACATTAAGAATTTCGTATCCTAAATTGATTCGAGCCCCAATTACCCTAAAATTTTTGTACCCTAAGAATTATTTGCCCTACAGACTCCGAATACAAATAAAGTAACGGAATTACTAAAAACGACGTTGTTGTATATTTTATTGACTGGTACTGTAATCAATTATTCTTGAAATCTCCATCTTCAGGTAACTCGCCTTGTCCTCTGCGTCCTCATCACCTGGGCTCTTTGCTGGCTTCCTCTGAACGTCTGCTTCTTCATGTCGGGACTCGCTTATCCAGAACCACTCGTCATCTCTCACGGAGTCATCATGGTCATCGTTCAAATCGCCAGCCAAGTGCTTGCCTACACCAACTCATGCCTGAATCCAATTCTTTATGCTTTGATGTCACACAGCTTCCGGGAAGGTTTGTGTTTCTAAAAGAAGCGAAAAATTTTTGCAATTTGTCATGTGTGACCTCTAAACGGAAACAAGAAAACTAAAACAAAACAAAATATCTTGCAGGATTCATTCGAATCATGAAAATGCTCATTAATAAGATGTCACGCGGAAAGTTCTGCACCAACTATCGACGAAGTGCTCTTCGAACAGAACTGACTCACTATAACCAAACTCCAGCTCACGCGACGAATACTGTAGTTCAAGTGACAAATGGAGAACGTTCGACACTTCTGAAAGATAGCTCTACGACAACTACCACTAGTGTTCAGCCACTCCGTACCTCAATCCAGGCCAAGAAGACCAAAGCTGTAAGTTTAATGTTTGGGGTTGTTTTAAAGCTTAAGTGCCGGTCAACAAGGTTCTAAAAACTGTATTTTTTAGTTAATTCTGATGATTTACACAATTTTCAAAAGTCTGGAGCTTGGTTGTAAAGTAAGGAGTGTGCCTAAAAGACCTAGATTGCCCTAATTCATGAAAGACGCTCTTTTGTTGCCCTTTTTGTACTGAAAACATGAGAAAAACTGTTTTTCAGAAGCCGGCGGTAAGGAGGAATTTTCAAAAAACTCTGTGAATGCGAAGTTCTTAGTCTGGACCTGTTTTACAACCTCCATTATTCTCAAAACATTTAGAAGTTTGAAAGTCAAGCTCTAGACTCTTGAAAATGATCAAACTAACCAGAAATCAACGGAATAATATGTTTTTCGCACATTTTGTTGACCGGTACTGTACTTCCGCTTATTCTAAAACTACTTGCAGATAGGACGAAGCAAATCCACGCGGAGCTACAATCTTTGAGCTACGGCAGCTAGTATAAAATTGGGATTAGGTCCGAATCTAGTCATTTAGTACGTTTTTTCATTGCTTTACAACTCGCAGAATCTGTGATAATAACGCTTACATGTGCTTCTTTTTTTTTAATTTATGGCCCCAAAAAAATGATGTGTTACATAATACATAACGATTGCAATATTTTTATTGATTGCTTTATTTAGCTTGGAGGTGAAATAAATAATAATTGCAAAAAAAAAGAAATGACTAGTTCTATTAGAGATCCTCATGAAATGACTAAAAATTTCAAAAAGTATATAATACGTAAAATATTGTGAAGGATAAATGGAAAATTTTATAGTGGCTGGTTAACTCGGGGGTCATCGCTCATAATTTTCCGGTTTTACCCTCGAGGTAATACGTCAGGCACTCTCCTTTTCCCTGAAAATTAATTGATTTCTTGAAATCAACAAAACCATAAATCTACTCACTTTCACTTCAATCTTCCCCCTTTCCACCATTTGGAATTGCGGGAAGAAGCAATGAAGAAGATTATACGCTCCTTCGGATATCTAAAAAGAAAGTGTGAAAAAAGCACTCTGAAAAAAGAGGGGAAGGCAAAACCTGAATTTTATTAGCTACTCCAGTGCTCTCCATCCGGGATGCTGTATTCACAGTATCTCCAAAAAGACAGTAACGGGGCGCAGCGAGGCCAACAACGCCAGCTGCCACAGGTCCACTATGGAAACCGATTCTGACCATCATTAGCTCCTCTGGCCGATGCGCTAGTTTGAAATTGCAAATGAATGCTCTCATTTTAAGAGCGACATCAGCAATATTCTGTGCATGATTGTTACCATTTTCCGTGGGGACACCAGACACAATCATATAAGCATCTCCAATAGTCTCCACTTTATAAGCATCGTGTTTTGCTATAATTGCATCGAAACCACTGAACATGTCGTTCAAGAATGTGACCACCTGAAAGACCAGGCTTCATAATAGGCTTAATAACTGGGCTAGTGGGGTCTAAGATCTTTAGGGGTGTCTAAATAAGATATTTCAAACCTATCCTGAAATTTTGATCAAAACCTGGATTTTCTAGCCGTTGAGGCCCCCTTGTCAGTTTTTTGGTTACCTGAAGAGGCGTAGATGTCGATGATATTCTTGTAAATCCACGGATATCCGAGAAAAGTACGGTAGCACAACTATACAACTGTGGTAGAACTGGCTTTCCCACTTTCAGATCTTCAGCGATGGATCTAAAAGTTTTTAAAGGTTTGATCATAATTTTTCAAGGGCCACAAACAGTCTTAACAATCACAAGGTGCAATATGGTCTGCTAAATCGCCGTATACAGTTGCAAAAGATTTGCACAGGCGCATCATGGCGTGTGAAAATCGATGCTTCTGTATACGGCAACCCGCATAGAGTGGAGGTGCTGAATAATAGAGAATAACAGTAGATGAATAGAAACTTGAAAGTTAAAAATTTTTCAAAGCCCACTTACTTGGGTAGCATGCTATTCAACAGACGATCTGCTTGTTTTTGCGCCTCCTCCAATAATGCTGTACGGTCACGGACCATGTTCTCTAGGTTGGCAGTGTACTCCTCCATCATTTTCATCATTTGATCTACCAGTGATCCTTTTCCACTGAATAAACCCTATGTGAAGCAACTATTATTTCGGACTTACGTGGATTTCAAATTTGCATTCACCATAGTCCTCACTTTTTTGATTGGTGGTCTCATCTCTGGAATCTCTAGCCAACAGGCCTCAATACAGGATAGTAACTAAAAGAAATTATACAGAAAATAGAAAATAATGATAGGTTACCTGCAAATTATACCCTTCTCCTGTATTGGATGACGGGAAAGTGGGACGAATCAACTGATCGTCGTCATTGGCCATAGCCAACATTTCCATTAGCTCTGGAAACCGGAAAATAGAATTTTGAAAAAGAAAAGCTGGCTTACTATTGATGCTCTTGTTTCTTTCATGGAATGGCTCGACTCGGAACAGAATTTGGTACAGGACCATGCCCAGAGCATAGATATCGGCAGCTTGACTCCCATCTGGTATCACTTTAGTTGTTACAATTTCCCTAATGATTTCAGGAGCTTGTTGGAGGTATTCTGAAGGTATACCGTGTTTCTAAATATTTAAGAATTTTTGAGAGACTCACTTTTCCTTGCAAAATCTTTGGTTGGGTCTGGAACGTCTTCTGCGGATTCACTATCTGCGTTGACAAATGGTCGAAGCTCGTTATGGTCTAGTTTTTCAAAAATGATCTGCTCTGTAGCAAAATTTGTCAGCTTGACGGTCCAGTTAGAGTCCACAAGGCAATTTTGAAGGCATAACATTCCATGGTGCAAAAGCGGTGAAGTATGCAAAAAGTTCAAGCCCTAAAATCCCATTATACAAGAAACAATAGTAGCTTCTGACACCTTGACAACATCCTTGGCAAACGAGACTTGGAAATTTCTGCCCAGTTTTAGTTCGTCGTTGAATAAAATATCCTCCAAACTACCACGAGAACAAAGCACCCACATGACAATAAACTCGTTTTGTTGGTTAAACGAGATGCCGTAGAACTTGTTCAAATTATCATTTTCCAATATCTTGAGCTCTTTCAAAAGTTTGAGCTCCGATTTGGGAAATGTGATGTTCCGAACTTGTTGGTAGCGCTAAACCAAGACTATAGAAATTTTTCTAAATGGGAAGAGTACCTTTATCGCAAGCTTAACACCATTGGAGACAGCCTGTTTTGCTGCTATCAGGCCATTTTGCTTAGAATTCATACTACCTGAGAAGGATCCAGAACTTTGCGATTTACTGGCTAGAGAGTGCTCGGATCTCTGAAAATCATACCGAAAACATAAGATGTATAGGTTAAAACCCACAGATTTTCCTTCTAGTAGTTTGATCGACTCTCTGGGAATTCTCCATGTCATATCATACAGTAGCCGTTCTTTCCTGAATTTCGTGATTTTCAAATGTATTTTTAATTTGAAAATGATTACTGTTTCAGGAAGATGAAATAGGAGAGTGGTCCAACAGTCAGAATAAACGCAATCAAACTGATTCCAATAAAATAGGGTCTATAATCACAGTCAGCTCCTGTGAATCCACATTTTGGAACTGCAGGTGGCAGTTTTCCACTGTCCGATGGCCAATAATACTGAATAGTTTCATGAGCAACCTGAAAGTGGAAGGGATTTCACAAAAATTGATTTTACTAGCTTTACATGCTCTGAGCACATGTCCTCGTTTTTCTCACAAGCACCACGGTCGTTGAGTTTGGCTCCTAGCTCCACTACAATCTATAAAAAAAATGTATCCAGTTTCATAGAAGCCCAGAAACTGTAGCAACCTTCAACGTTCCATTGATGGCATGATACGTGGCATAGGATGGAACTCTGATAGCCTTATTGTTCATCAAAACTTGACCGGTCATCCCAATAAATTGTCGATTCGTCATTCGCGACCATAATAAGGAACCATTCATGTGAACGTTATAGCCACCACCATCTTCAAACGCGTCTCGTAGAGCCAGCCATAAAGAAACAGAGCATCATATAATGACATATAGGATAATGTGGCATACTGAAACAATTGTATGATAGGGTACCGGTAAATAAGATACAAGAACGTATTTTTAAGTTGATTTTCGGTCATTTTAACCGTTTTCAGAAGTCTAGAGCTGAACTGTAGAGTCGGCAAATAGGTGAAATACCAGGAATTTTCAAAAACTTCTGTGAATGCAAAATTTTCAGTCTAGGTCTGTTTTAGACCCTTGACTTCTGTAACAAAATGTCCCAATGTTCAATTGACCAATGTTCTAGTTTTGGTCAGACTGCCAAAATCAAGCTGCCTGTTTTTTGGGCTTGTCTCGTTTGCACCTCTGCTCAAAGACAAGATACAGATTTTAAAATGGTATCATTTTGTAAAACTACACGAGTTTTATCATATCAGATTCAGTTGTTTACGAAATACAAATATCAATTCTGAAAGAGTTTATGGCAGAGGGGCTCTGATTAGGTCCGTTTTCAAGTATGATATTAAGAAGGTCCTAAACTTGTTGGGCTGTATCTTATTGACCAGTACTGTAACAAAAAAAGATGAAATTGAACTCACGTGATTGGCAAGCACTCCAGTAGCTGTACTGAATTTCAATTGGAACTCGTCAAAAAATTTCTTATCATAGCCATGTGCTGTTATTATAATGGTATTCTCAAAAGCGGATTTTACTTCCTGTTTATCCACATTAGTCGCTTCCCACGGATAATGATCGTTTTGCTGAAAAAATTCAGGATGGATTACGGTAGAGGAAATCTCTTACATGTGCCAACCATGGGATTACAAACACAAACTCCTCGCTTTTAATCTCAGCTCTGTGCACGGCCAACATGAAGTTTGTGACCGTGTGGATGTCCATACCAAGTTCTACGACAACGACTGAAGCAAATATTACACGGATAACGAAAATGAGGAGACCACTTACTTCTAGCCTGGTTGCGAAGAGTTGTGAGCTTGCCAGAAGCGATAATTTCTTCTGGCGAGCTGAATGGTTCGATGTCAATGAGGACATTAAGATTGATATCGCGTTTCTTGATTTGGTGCTGGAGCGAGTATACAGATAGCCTCTCATACCCAGTGCTCGGTCTCACTATTCCAATCTAAAATTGTATAATATATGCTATCTGTGGCGCTAATCGGTTTGCGGCGCTATCCGGGGAGGAGGGGTGTCTAAAAACAAGCCGCTCATCGACGACGACGACTAATAACAGATTAGTCTATAATCCTTCAAATCCGTTTTGAAGTCCTCTCCCCGTATTCGGCTATAGCTGGTTGATATTTGTGTATATCTATATATTTTTAATATATTTTCAATTTGGCCCAATGACTACATCCGGCGTGTTGAGTCACTGACGATGATTCTCAGACAGACGCGGACGGCACGTATCAAAAATAATCAAGTTAATGCAAGATTTTCGATTAGTAGTAGACGTGATACAGGGATCAAACGAGAAGAGACCGAAGATTTCAAATTTCTCACCTTCACAGAAAAGAAACACGAGTAAGAAGACAAGAAGAGCAAGCATAGTTATTTTTTTGGAGAAAAGGATAGTTTTTTACAAATGGAATTCTCTACGAGACCAGCTAAAGGGTATTTATAGTGGGACATAGTACACAGAAGTTATTGGATACGGATAAGATCAATTCTCTCTCAATTTTCTCTACCCCACAACAAATAAAACCTTCCTGTCGCCCAAGAAAACGCATAATTGCTCCGCCACTCACCTGATCCCAATTGTTCAAGTTAAGATAGGTTACGGTAGCCTTTGCCATTTCACTAGCCGACGTTAGCGCCACAGACCCAAGTGTTGGAAATTGAACCCGATCAGAAAGCGCGTCGTCTCCGGACATGTGAGCAATAATTGGAACGTTCCATCTAGGCGCTAGTCGGCCAATCACTAGCATTTCTGGAGAAAAAACATTTTATATTCAGTTCGATTTACAAAAACGTATTTTTCAATGTATTTTCTGTCATTCTGACCATTTTCAGGCCGCTGGAGCTCAACTGTGAAGTAACCGACCAGTTGGAAAATTCTGAAGTGCGTTAAACCAACCTAGATTAAAAATATTGAGTTTACATAATTTTTGAAATTTCCTAGTTTTCCAGCTATTTTCCGATTTCGGAAAGACACTTCTTTCACATTTTCAGTACAAAAACGGGATGTCTTCCAGAAATCGGTAAAGAGCACTAAAACTAGGAATTTTAGAAAAATTCTGTAAATGCAAAGTTTTCAATTTAGGTCTGTTTTACACCCTCCAAAGTTTTCTAGGTGATCGGAAACTCATGGAAAGGTTTAAAACCAATTGAAAAATACATTTTCTTGTATCTGATTGACTGGTACTGTAATACATTCCCTATAGTCTTCGAATCTTACCATTATTACACCCTGGTCCAAAATAAACAGAAGCATTTTTGATATAGTGCAGAAAAGCGGCATGCTCAACGCCAGAAAATTTGTTGCAGCTTTCCATTGTAAAAACGCTACAATAGGGACATGACTCATATTATTGAACTTTTTCTCTCACTTTAGACTATAGTTTTGAGGTAGAATATTTCTCTTTTTCAAATCATCAGCACACATCTTTAATACATCTGGCTCGTGGGCAATAATAGGATTCGCGGGATGAAGGTGTCCGATTCGGACAATCCCTTCGGCTGCAATAAAATAAATTGGCTCCCCCCTATCAATTTCTTATGTCTTACAGCTTAGAGTTGTTCTCACATGTTGATTGATTTCGTCATGACTGATTTTACTAATGGATCTTCTGGATTCGGCAAGAAAGAGGAGAGACAGTATATAGAAGGATAGCAACATATTGTCATCTCATACAGTTGACATAGGGAAAAAAATTGAATTGTAAAAAAGCAGGTATAGATGAAACGGATGTATACGATGGAGAAATTCGGAGAGTGAATGAGTTGATGAATCGGACGGAGGAGGTGTTGAAGTCTTATGTAGCCATTTGCTACTTATCACGCCGGAAGGACCCATCGGAAGTGTGTTGATGGCGTTTAATGGAGCAGCTTCTTCAGATATGGTTGTGTGTGTCACAACACAAGAATTTGCTCTACGTTTTTCGGATGTATACACACTTCAGGACGATGACTATATGTTGTCATGTTGATGAATACACACAGTCTGAATCAATTATCGAGCAGGAGGGTGATGAGGGACCTGGAACACACAGAGATGTTTTTCATTTCTGATACGTTAACCCTGATTTCTGGAATGGGGTGATTGTTGAGTCAGAGTATTCTAGGGTAAGAGGAAACAACTAGAAATCAAGAAACATCGAAAGAACGTTCAACCTGAAAAATTACGACACTTCACAGAACAAACAGTTTTTACTGATAAAAAATTGGCAATTTCTAATTATAACAGTACTGCTGGAAAGTCATATATTTATTTGACTGTCCGCAAACATTCTCTGTTTTTTTTTCGTTAATTTTGTAAACTTCAAACACAGTTCAACATCAGTTCTTGAAGTTGGCTTCACTGAAATATAAAAGTTATATTGCTTTTGACATGAGGCGATGCACCTTGCGCCGAAAATTTATCAAAGGACACATCGTCGTACCAGCAGCAGAAAATATTATTTTTATCCAAATAAATGCATGTGCCTATGATACAGTATCTCAAAATTGGTTTTTTAAAAACATATTTCTCACGATATACGCCTTTAAATAAATTTCCTTTGCCCCCAGACATGAGTTAAAGCAATTGAAAAACTCAAAAAAAAAATCTTTTAATGGAATACTTTGCGATTACTAACTTCAAACATTTCTATTATGCATCAAAAGTGTTCATTTTCGCTTGTATGAACCATTTCAGTTGCATTCTTGATCCAAAACTGGAAAACTGGAGGAGTTAAGTTTTTGGACCATAAAAAACTTCTGGAAATAGATGAAAAGTTTTGAAAAGGCTCTAAAAAGCTGTTTCAAAAAATTCATTTTATCAATCTCGTGGAAAAAGTCAAACTCCTGAACTCAAAAATACCAAGTTGTTGCATTCTATGCATACTTCAATTAGTTTCATATTTGATCTACCTTTTCATAATTGTGATCTACTTTTCTAGGATTATCTTTCGCAATCTCTTTTTCATTTGTTTCGTTGGTCCGAACCCCTTAAATTTCTGTTCTGTTCTAGGAAATTTTTTGAAATCCTGAAATTGTTTTAAATTTAACTTTTCAAAAGTTTTTATTTTTTTTCTTTCTGCCCACGAGACAATTTTCCAAAGTGGTTTTTTATCAAAACTAAGATAACACAACAGATAGAAATCCTCTCTTCCATTCTCGATCTCTCAATTTATCCTTCCCACTGTCTCGGTACCATTGATTGTCCTTTTTCCTCTCCTGCAAATTCGGCCTTTGCCCCGTCTCTACCTATTGGATACGCAGCGTGCGAAAGGTTGGTTACGTGTTTGCAGTCTTGACCTAACTGCCCTCTTCAACGCACACATTATTTCGTCTGTGCACATCTATTTGTGTTGGCGTGGGGGGAGGACGATTACTATCTATCGGTTTTTTTTTGTCTCGCACTATTCGCGGGGCATTAGTTTCTAGAAACATCGACGCAATTCTTTTTACCTTAATAGCTGATAGATGCCTATCGTTGCCCGACCTTGGCATACGCACAGTCGCAGAGTATCGCTACAGGTTGGCTACGTTAGGGCACGCCTCCATTTTTGCAATCCTCTCGTTCAGATCTTTTCCTTTCTCGTGGTTCACCTAACTTTTCAATTTCTAGCTCTTTTTATTTTTCAGATATGGCCTACAACAACCTCATCCGCGACTTGACCATCGGAGACAATGTCTACAAGTTCTTCGACTTAAACGGACTCGGAGACGCTCGCTACAGTAAGCTTTTCCCGGAAAATGTCATCCCCCAACCTCTATTTCTTTCAGACGAGCTTCCAATTTCCATCAAGTACTTGTTGGAAGCCGCCGTTCGTCACTGCGATGAGTTCCACGTCCTCAAGAAAGACGTTGAGACCATTCTCGACTGGAAGAACAGCCAACGCAAGCAAGCCGAGATTCCATTCAAGCCGGCTCGTGTTATCCTTCAGGATTTCACTGGAGTTCCAGCTGTGGTCGATTTGGCTGCTATGCGTGACGCCGTTCAGAACATGGGTGCCGATCCAGCCAAGATCAATCCAGTGTGCCCTGTGGATCTTGTCATTGATCACTCTGTTCAGGTTGACCACTACGGAAAGTACGTTTGTTTGAGAAACAGGCCCAGTATTCATAGATACATTGAAACAGGGTTCATCAGGTTTTGTGTACATATAAGAGGACAAAAAAACAAACCTATTCATGGCCCGACACCCCGAGACTTCATGTACAGTGCTGGCCATGAATATACGAAAAACGTGTTCTCAGTTGATTTTGAGCATTTTCAGGAGTTTGGAACACGGCTGTCAAGTGTCCGATCACTTTAAAATTGTTGGAGGGTGTAAGACAGACTTAGATTAAAAACTTTGCGTTCAGATAATTTTTTGAAAACTCCTAGTTTTTCAGTTATTTGCGAATTTCTGTGGGACACCCGTTTTTTCCGTTTTTGAACGAAAAAGGTAAAAAGCAGGTGTCTTTCGGGATTCGGCAAATACCTAAAAAACTAGAAATTTCCCAAAACTCTGTGAATGCAAAATTTCCATTCTAGGTCTGTTCTACACCCTGCAATTGTTTCAAAATGATGAGACACTTGATAGCCGAGCTCCAGACCTGAAAATGCTCCAAAACAACTGAAAAACACTTTTGTTCATATTCTTATGGCCAGCACTGTACCCTAGAAGTTTGATTCACCCTCTCTGTGCCCTTTTGCAATGTGTCTTTGGATCCTGAACTAAAGAAACTTCATTTTCATTTATTCATAAATTCTTTTTTCAGCCTCGACGCTCTTGCTAAGAACCAATCAATTGAGTTCGAGAGAAACAGAGAACGCTTCAACTTTTTGAAGGTGAGAATTTGAAGGTCACGTTGCATTCTCTCCCCATCATTATTGGAAAATCACGCTATTTGGTTCTTATCGCAACACATTGTTCAATGAACACACACATACGGGCATCGAACAAAAAAAAAATAAAAATTTTTCAGTGGGGATCAAAAGCCTTTGACAACTTGCTCATCGTTCCACCAGGCTCCGGAATCGTGCATCAAGTCAATCTTGAGTACCTCGCCAGAACTGTTTTCGTTGGAAAGGATGGCGTTCTCTACCCAGACTCGGTCGTCGGAACCGACTCGCACACTACCATGATCGATGGAAGTGGAGTTCTCGGATGGGGTGTCGGAGGAATCGAAGCCGAGGCTGTGATGCTTGGACAACCAATCTCCATGGTTATCCCAGAAGTCATCGGATACGAATTGATTGGCACTCTCAGCGACACTGTCACCAGTACCGACTTGGTTCTCACCATCACCAAGAACCTTCGTGATCTTGGAGTTGTCGGAAAGTTTGTGGAGTTCTATGGAACCGGAGTCGCCTCCCTCTCCATCGCCGATCGTGCCACTATTGCCAACATGTGCCCAGAGTATGGAGCCACTATTGGGTTCTTCCCAGTCGACAAACGTACAATTGACTACTTGACCCAAACCGGGCGTGATTCTGACTACACTCAACGTGTCGAGCAGTACCTGAAGTCTGTTGGCATGTTTGTCGATTTCACCAACGACTCCTACCGCCCAACCTACACCACCACTCTCAAGCTGGACCTTGGAAGCGTTGTTTCATCGGTTTCAGGACCAAAGCGCCCGCACGACAGAGTTGAGCTCGCCACTCTTGCTCAAGATTTCACCAAGGGTCTGACCGACAAGATTTCCTTCAAGGCTTTCGGACTCAAGCCAGAGGACGCCACCAAGACAGTCACTGTCACCAATAATGGAAGAACCGCTGAGCTCGGACATGGGTAAGATATAAGAAAAGTAGATTTATATAATATTTTTGAATTTTCAGATCCGTTGTCATTGCCGCCATCACATCTTGCACCAACACCAGTAACCCAAGTGTCATGCTTGCTGCTGGACTCGTCGCCAAGAAGGCTGTCGAACTTGGACTCAATGTTCAACCATACGTCAAGACCTCCCTCTCTCCAGGTTCTGGAGTTGTTACCAAGTATCTCGAGGCTTCTGGACTCCTTCCATACCTTGAGAAGATTGGATTCAACATTGCTGGATACGGATGTATGACTTGCATTGGAAACTCTGGGCCACTTGATGAGCCAGTCACCAAGGCTATTGAAGAGGTAATTTAATCCAAAAACTGACTTTTGGAAGACGTAATGTTTCAGAATAACCTTGTTGTTGCTGGAGTCCTCTCTGGAAACCGTAACTTTGAAGGACGCATCCACCCACACGTCCGTGCCAACTACTTGGCATCCCCACCATTGGCCGTTCTCTACTCGATCATTGGAAACGTCAACGTTGACATCAACGGAGTGCTTGCAGTGACTCCAGATGGCAAAGAAATCCGTCTCGCCGATATCTGGCCAACAAGATCGGAAGTTGCCAAGTTCGAGGAGGAATTCGTGAAGCCACAATTCTTCCGTGAAGTCTACGCCAACATTGAGCTCGGATCTAACGAATGGCAACAATTGGAGTGCCCAGCTGTCAAGCTCTACCCATGGGATGACAACTCGACCTACATCAAAAAGGTTCCATTCTTCGATGGAATGACCAACGAGCTCCCACCACAGTCTGACATCACCAACGCTCATGTTCTTTTGAACTTGGGTGATTCTGTCACTACTGACCACATTTCGCCAGCTGGATCCATCTCGAAAACGTCTCCAGCCGCCAGATTCCTTGCCAGCCGCGGAGTCGGTCAGAGAGATTTCAACACCTATGGAGCTCGTCGTGGAAATGATGAGGTGAGTTGACGACTTTTGAAAGAATCCGTAACATAACAGGCGCGATAACTGAATAAACTTTCAGATCATGGCTCGTGGAACCTTTGCCAACATCCGTTTGGTCAACAAGCTCGCTTCCAAGGTCGGACCAATCACTCTTCATGTTCCATCTGGAGAAGAGCTTGACATCTTTGACGCTGCCAAGAAATACATGGACGCCGGAATCCCAGCCATCATTCTTGCCGGAAAGGAATACGGTTGCGGATCGTCTCGCGATTGGGCTGCCAAGGGACCATTCCTTCAGGGAGTCAAGGCTGTTATTGCTGAAAGCTTCGAGAGAATCCATCGCTCGAACTTGATCGGTATGGGAATTATTCCATTCCAATTCCAAGCCGGACAGAATGCCGACAGTTTGGGACTCACCGGAAAGGAACAGTTCAGCATCGCGGTGCCAAGCGATTTGAAGCCAGGACAACTCGTCGATGTGAACGTCTCCAATGGTACGACATTCCAAGTCATCTGCAGATTTGATACCGAGGTTGAGCTCACCTACTACCGTAACGGAGGAATCCTTCAATACATGATCAGAAAGCTGATCCAGTAAATAATCAATAGTTTTGATTAGTGTTTTCTTTTTCGGCCTCGAATGCTTATTTTTGCGTTTTTAGCGAGTATTTTTTCGCCAACTTACTGTGATATGATTATAAGACAAGTACGATTTAAAATTTATTTTTATTTTTTTCGAATAAAATTGCTGGTCATTTTTAACATATGTAAAAAGTGCTGATGATAATTATAAGCCATCGTCATCCGCAGGAGGTTCCTAGGCCACGGCCTTTTTCTGTTTTCCGCCTAAATGTCTTTTTGAAATTTAAAAGGGGTTCGTTTGCTCTTTTATGAGTTGTGGGATCCTATATACAGATAGCTTTTATTTTATTTTTCCAATTTCAAAATTTTCGCCTTTTCAGAAAAAACTGAAAATCAGTTTTTCTCAAAAAGAATTAAAACATTAGAAATTGCTTATCCATTAATTGCAAGAATATGCTTTTCATCATAACTCGAAAAATGTAATTATTGAAAAAAAGAGGTTCCTAGGCCACGGTCTTTATTCTGTTTACCGTCCCTACGGCTTCAAAATATTTTTGAGCTTCATGAGCTATTTTATGAGTTTTTGTAATCATTTTAAAAGTTGGTTTCGATTTTTTCAATTTTTTAGATTTTTTGGAAAACCTGGAAATGTCAGAATTCCGCAGAAGAAACTGGAAAATTTGATATTGAAAAAAAGAAAATTTTAAAGTATAATGAATTGAATCTCGAAGTTTAAATTGCTAGAAAAATATTAGTTGAAATAATTTTTAGGAAGAGTTTTCATGCATTTTCAAGTTAGATTATATTTTTTTTTTCAAATGTTTTGTTGAATTTCAAGATTTTCACCTGGACTGGCTGGTTTTTAAAACCCTGCTGCTAGATTTCCACAGTATAAACCTGAATTTTCAAAAATTCACTTCCATGGGGTTTAAAAAAGTTTTTATCGCTTTTTCAAATCTCAAAACTTAAATTTTCAAAAAAAAGTTTCGAAAGTTCATTTTTCGAAATTTGGAAACCTCCTTCAATTTGTTAACTAATTTTTTCAACGAAGTTTTATCAAAGATCTTTTTCCCGCCAATCTCCGAACTTTTGTTTCTCTTTCTCTTCAACAACCCAAAGTACATCTATCGCGTGACACACAATTGAAGTCCTAGCCACCCCGAGTAACCCGAGACGAAGCTTTCTGGTTTCAATAGCGGGTTTTGTTTTCAAAATGCGATAGTAATGGTCGTTTTTCTAATCCCGAAACATCAATTTTCATCTTATAGCGAAGCGATGGCATGAAAACAGTAAAGAAGTGCTTAGCCGCTCTTTAAACACAACGAAGCGGAGAGAAGGGAGAGAGAAGTATAATCTTTTGTGAGTTAATGCCTTCAAACTGACACCTTTCTCATTAGTCGCTTTGGCTTTCGTTCTACTGGAACATTTTATTTTTGTTTGATCAATTCTTTTGAGGGAAATTGTAGACGGTGAGATTTTGATTCATTGAATCTTATGTCTGAAGGTGACAAAAAACGAGATTCACGGTCGTTTTTACGAGTTGAATGTGTATTTTTTGGTCAAGAAAAATGTTTTTTGTTTGATCTTTTGTTCGGCTTTTTTGTTCACTAGTAATGCAACTATAAATTCCATTTTTCTCTTGCATATGAAATTTGGTTCCAATGGTCTTTGGACGGCTTCTTTTATGCTCGTGGTCACTCATTTCCCCCGTCGTCCACTTTCCCCGCTTTCTAATCTAAAATATTCCTAAAACGCTTTCTACTCTCTATCGCTGTCTCCTTTTCCGTCCAAGTATGTCATAACACTCATTTTCTGTTAGTCCGACTAGTTGCAACTGTCACTTCGAATTAATTAATGAAGTCGTGTTTCATTGTCCACTTTTTCCCGGTGGATGTTATTTTTTATTTTTTTTATTTTCGTTCGTTTTTTGAAAAGTAATTTTAGTGGTAGAAAATTCAGAAAAAATTTGAATTTTCGATATTTTAGGACGATGAAAATTTTTTCAAAAGTCTCTAAATCTCATTTGAAACATTTTCAACTGACAAATTTATACTTTTTTTTTCAAAGTATATATTTTCAAAATGACCACGAGAAGTTGTAAAATTGGATTATATAAAGTTTTAAAAATAAATTGTGGGCTAGAAAATCGAAAGAAACATTTTTTCGGAATTTTTTCGTGGAAGATGAAAAAGCGCAAAATCCACTTAACAAAAATATTTGCTTCTCTCTAAAAATTGAGAAATTATATTTTTAAAATATTATTTTCAAATAATTGGACCAAAACGTATTTTTTTAAATTTTTCCGATACTTCTAACCTCGTTTTCCTAGTATAGTTTTATTTATAAACCCTTGTCCATTTTTCTTTATTTAAAAAAAAATGAGACAATTTTTTTTCGGTTTTTTTCAACTTGATTTAAATTCGGATTGAAAAACGTTCAACTGGAAAAAAACAGAAAGTTTAATTTATCTAATGTGATGTACTCCTTCTCTCTCTCTCACCCAAAACGACAGTTGTTGGCATTCTGAAAAATAAAAGAAAACGAAATTACAAAGAACACGAGCGAGCGTGGTTTCGTTTAGCGGGTCTCTCTGTGTGTCACGTTTTCACAAGTTTCTGTTTCCAATTTTTCCGTGCTGGTCATTATTCAAAGATTGAAATATTCCGGACGCAGGCATGTGTTTGTGGGAGAATGAACAAATGAATGAGGAAAAAGAAGTGAGAGGAAGAGGACGAAGAAATGGCACATACACACTCTTTTCAATACACACGGCACACTTTAGTACTCATTCCGGGGAGTGGCTAGAAGTTTCTTTTTTCTACCTCCCCTCCCCTTGTTTTTATTTTTTTTTCGCTGGGATGTTTTTTTCTGGAATACCCACCACTTTTTTCCCATCTATAACGTTTATATGATTTTTGGGAGCAATACTCTTTTTTATATCCCAAAATAATATAGTTATTTGTGCTTCGAGTGAGGTGTTTTTCCATTCATTCCTCCTTTCCCTTACCTTATCATTTTCTCTTTGACCCGGCGCCCCACAAACACCCTCCCCCCCCCCCTTTCACACACATTAGAAATATTTTTTTCTCATGTTTTAAATTCTTTGGTCAAAAGATAGGAACATTGATACCGATATTTCTTTTGGCGGCTGTACTATTTCATCGTGCTCGCCGCTTTTCTTTCTTTTCCTCACTCCGCTTTTCCGAGAACAAGTCAATTATGCCCGCCGCAGTTTTGGTGACTGCGGGGGGCCGTGACAAGTTCGGCTGCTGCCGCTAATCTTTAGCAACAACTTCAGCTCACTCCCTTTGTTTCCAATCATACTAGCGGCTCGGACGTTATCCATAATTATAGTGTTATCCATAATTCTAGCGTTATCCATAATTTTAGCTTCGTCCATAATTATAGCTTTTTCCATAATTTTGCTCTTTCCAAAATTTCACTTATATTTTGTCCTTCAATTCAACAAAGCTTTTTCTAAGAAGCGCAAAGAAATGAGTTCATTAAAATATTCTTGAAGTATAATCACTGTCTAAGAAGAATAGGTTCAGAACAGATATTTTGTTGAATATTTCTGAATGGCGCAAGAGCAAACTACAGTATCTTTTCAGCTTTTATTCTCTCTTGTATTCAGCAAATAATTCAGAAGGTACAACAATTTCGGGGTCATTGGGATACAAAGCATTTTGAACGTACAAAGTCCTCAAATCGGGAGTACAAAATATCTGAAAAATCCGAGTTTTGTAACCCGGAATCGTAGATGTTGTACCCCTAAATCACTTTGTACTATTTTCTCAATTTTCTCAATTTCACGACTATTTTTAGTTTCTTCAATGATTTTCATAATTGCAATCCATTGTTTCCCGATTTACATTTCTAGAAAAGATGAAAATTGTCTAAAATGACGGAAAAATAAGAAGAACTATCACAAATAGACTCCAAAGGTACGGTAGCTCCCTCTTGCGTCTTTAAGAGAAATTCAACGAGATATCCGCTCGCAAACATTCATTTCACCGATAATAGCTCAGCTGGTAGTTGTGTATCAACTTTTCGAGAGGCTCCTATAAACGAAATTTTGAGAAATCTTTTTTTTTTCGTTCTTTCTCCTTTCCTTAAATATGTTCTGTTTCTGGGAAAAACTGTGATTTTTCGGACCCAAACACTAAAATTCCAATGACCAATCATCATCACAAAACATCATAATCATGATAAACCAGTTGAACGTATATGTAATTCAAAACAGGAACATCTTTGTTTTTGTCAAATAATCCCCTCTTGATAACTCGCATTCGTAATTTCCCTCTAACTTCTTACAAAATGCACTTTGAATGGCTTTTCTCTTATCAATTGTGCACATTCTTTCGTTTCTCACTTTCTCTCTCACCGTCTCGTTTTTCAACGTATTTTGCCAACTTGATGTAAAGCAAAGAAAAATCGTTTAAAATTCAATTATTTTAATGGATTCTTGAGTTTTCTTGTGATTCAGAAGCTCATATGAATCACTTCACGTTGTATTCTACAAAAATAGTTTTACTCTTTGTCCCACATTTCTAAGCTCTCTGTTTTCCTCGGTTTCTGGTCCTTTTATTGTTTATTTTCGTTTTTCGCTTCCAGAATGGCCGACGAGGGTGATGAGGAGGCAATAATTGATGAGCCGGGAGAACCCGAGCCACTGGAAAGACAACAGAGTGGATTAGCGACACCAAAACTGGTGGAGGATTTAGAAGAAGAGTATCCAGAGAATTATGAGCAACGAGGTCCGACGAGTCGGTTTTTGGTCACACCACATCTTCCGATGCGGGTGATTTTTTGCTGTGGAGAATTTTAGCAATTTGAGATATTTCAGAGTGATACGGACCTCATCACAAATACCACCATTCATGCAGACACGCCACTGGAAAATCATCCATTGATATACTCGGAGCCCGAGTTTTCGACTGCCAAATTTTTAACACCACAAGTGAGCATGCAGACGGTGGATCCAGAAACGGCAAGTGTTGCGCCAAGTGAGACGTCAATAAATGCAGATAATTCCAGAAAGCCATCGTGAGTTTTTAAGAGTTTCCTAGGCAAGTTTGGGAGTCCAGTGTACGGTATTCCCCAGACCACCACTACCGTAGAAACTGTAAAAGAATGTCATCCAATTTGTCAACTTTGAGTCAATTTAGCTCAATTTCTGTGAAAGTTATTGAAAAGATTGATTATCAAAATACTCATGACATTACAAAAATTATTTCACCAGTTGACCACTTTTTTCATATATTTTACAGGAAATGAGATATGTCAGCTCAACGTAGACAATTTGGGTGGCTTTCTATAAGGAACAGAGTTTTGTTATCTTACATAGAAGCAAACATATGAAGATGAGAGATATTCTGAAACCACAAAACCCCCTAATTTTTCAGAAATGCTCGTTTAAAATCAGAAATGGAGATTCGAAATCAACATTATCAGAAACAAAAGCAATACGCTTCGCAGCAGGAACCAAAGGCGAAACGACTAACGGATATTGATTTTGAAGGTTTGCATTTTAGTGTACATACACAGCAATCCCTTGTTTTTTAGGTATCCTCCAACTGATCGGAGGATGCTCGTATTGGCAGATTATAATTTATCTTATCATATCAGTACAACAAGTGCCACATGCGATGTTCAATTTGTCTGTTGTTTACATGATGTATCAGCCTGATCATTGGTGCAAGGTATACTTTTTGATTTATGGGGAGGGAGGAGGTTTAGGTAATGGAAATTACCTGTTTTCTCTAGTAGAAGCCCAAGCTGACAAAGCATTTATATCTCACTTAGGAATCGAGAGATTTGAGCTCAAAGTATATCAGGTCGGCTCCTGTTAGGGAAAATACGGTAGCTTAACTTTTGTTCCTAATTTATACCTGAAAAATTGAAATCTTGATTTTTAGAGCCAACCGAGTCGAAGTTTTCAGATCCCCTTCTTCAACGACGAATCCTTCTCCGCCGAACTCGGCTACACCAACTACACCTGGGATCAAGTCCTTAATTCGACCATCGCATTCCCTAGAACTTTCAACAAGCAACGCAATGAACTACACCACGACCAGTGTCACTACTTTGCGCGCGATTATGTGCATATCAAATTGTCCCCGTGGTCACAGGTGAAAGACATGAATGGCACGGGCAGAATAATGCGATGTAAGGAGTGGGAGTACGATCGATCGGTAATTAGATACTTGGGGAATTAAAATTATGAATAATATTCCTAGGTGATGGATCGTACTGTAGTAACTGAATGGAATCGAGTGTGTGACAATAATTGGAGTCGAGCCCATGTTCACATGAGTTACTCATTGGGATATCTTGTTGGGTGTTTTGTGGGTGGATATTTTAGTGACAGGTAAATACAGTATTTCTCAAATTCAAGGATACATTACGGTTGGTCGAATAGTTTCGAGCTCTGTTAAGCTTCAGACCAGATTGAAAAATCTGGAGAGTGTAAAACAGACATAGATTGAAAACTTTGCATTCGCAGTTTTTTGAAAATTAGTACTTTTTTGGTTACTTTTGCGATTTCTGAAAGACACATGTTTGACCCTTTTTATACTGAAAACGTAAAAAAACAGGCGTCATTTAGAAATCGACTAATAGCTGAAAAATAGGAGTTTTTTAAAAAAAACTATGTGAATGTAAACTTTTCATTCTAGGCCTATTTTTTTTTTTTTTTTTTTTTCAACCTTCTGAAAATTGTCAAAATGGCCAACAAAACTAGAAAAGACGTTTTTGTATGTTTTATTGACCAGTACTGTATATCAAGAAAATAATCAAAGCTTCTGTTATAAATAACTTAAATGTCCCATTCTCAGATGCGGCCGAAAATCCGCCATCACATTGTTCGGAGTTCTCACCATGCTCTTTGGATTCCTGCTCACCTACTCCAAAGAGTTCGAAATCTTTCTCGTAGTTCGTTTCCTGCTCGCCGCCACCAATGAAGCAGCCGATCTTGCCGCCTACGTGCTATGCATGGAAGTCACAGGTACCAAGTACAGATCCATCGTCGGATCTCTCATCCAAGCTCCCTGGGCTTGTGGATACGCATTTCTTGCCCTAATCGCATACCTAACCAAGTCATGGACCACTATTCACGTGAGTTCCTTTCATTTTGTTTTGGAAAACAACTTATAAGCAAATACAGTACTGGCCATAAAGAATGCGACAACTTGTTTTTTGAAGATAACTTTTTGAAAACTCAACTTTTCAATCCGAATTTTTGGTAAGATTTTTTCAGCACTATCAAAAACTTTTAGGCTAAGTTGGTTTTAATATTCTGCTACAATTTTTTTGAAAATTAATTTTTTTCGAAAATTCATGAAAATGACATTTTTGGAGATCTATACAAAGAAGCTCAAGAAACACCGGAGGTCAAAAACAAAATAAAGGTAACAATAAAAAGTGATTTAATATTTCGTTGGGTATCCTTTCGCATCGATAACAGCCTTGCATCTACGTGGCATCGACTCCAGGAGCGTCTGAACCACCGTCATCGGGATACTCTTCCAAGCAGCTTCGAGTTGGGCAAACTTTTGATTGGCATTGGATGCTCTGACTCCTTTGAGGCGGCGTTCCAGCTCCTCCCACATATGCTCGATGGGATTCAAGTCTGGAGATTGACTTGGCCATTCTAGGAGGTTCACACGGTGACGTCTGAACCAATTGGCGACATGACCCGAAGTATGCTTCGGGTCATTATCCTGTTGGAACACCCACGATCGGCCCAAATTTGCTCTTGCCCATGGTCTCATTGTGTTCTCCAGGATGTCTTCGTACACATATCGATCCATGGTTCCAACGGTTCTCTTCAATGGTCCCATAGAAGTGTCGGAGAAGCATCCCCAAACCATCACAGATCCACCTCCATGTTTCACAGTTGGACATTGGTACTGTGGAGCATACCTGGAGCCAATGGGACGTCGAATCCACTGAATACCATCAGTTCCGAACATATTGAACTTCGATTCATCGCTCCAGATGTGATTTGCCCACTCACGGGGGCCCCAGGACAAGTGCTGTTTAGCCCATTCAACGCGAGCTTTTCGGTTTTTCAAACTGACGAGTGGTTTTTTGACTGGTCTTCGTCCGTGCAGTCCAGCAACTTGCAAACGTCTTCTAATAGTTCTTCTCGATGGTACCGGTTCATTTGGAGACGTCACAGAAAGTTGAATATCCGTAGATGTGCGTCTAGGATCTTCTCGGCATGCGCGCAAAATGTTCCGATCCATATTTCTGGAAGTGGTTCGGGGTCTTCCTGGAGATTGGCGATGAACAACGCCATTCTAAATTGTTAAATTTAGTTGAGAAAGCTGATTGAAACCTCACATCATCTCGATTTTTCTTCAGAATACGGTAAATTTGGCTGGAAGAACAACTAAACTGAGTTGCAAGTATCTTTGGATGCGCGCCGAGTTCATGACCACGCACAATGCTTTTTCGCTCGTCCACAGAGAAGGATTTTTTCCCGAATGGTCTAACCATATCTGAAAAACAATAAAACAATAACTAAAACTAATTCCAATTAGTTGTCTTTCAACTTTATTTAAAAAAACCAAAAATCATGAAAAATATGCAAAATGAAAAAAAAAAAGAAAACAATTGAAAAAAAATTTTGTTTGCAAGATGATGCAATTTCCAAGTACGCAAGTTTTCGTAACTTTCCAATGTGTCTACAGTAAAAAATTCGAGTTGAAAAGTTGAGTTTTCAAAAAGTTATCGTCAAAAAACAAGTTGTCGCATTCTTTATGGCCAGTACTGTATATAACTTTCAGCTCATATGTGTACTCCTTCATATCTGTAGCCTTTGCCTACTGTACTTCTTGCCCGAGTCCCCCCGCTGGTTAATTTTGAATAACAAGACTAAAAAAGCCGAAAAAATCATTCGTCAAGCTTGCCACTACAACAACAGCCGTCTACCAAGTGACCTGGGGCTGGTCCGACATGCAGAGAAGAAGAAATGGATGAAACATAATGAAAAACCATCTTACTTCCATCTTTTCCGGTCATCAGAGCTTAGATTCAGAAACGTGGTGTTGTTTATTGTTTGGGTGAGTTCAGATATCAATAATTTGTGAAAAAATCTAAAATTTTCTAGATTGCCACTGCTCTAGTATACTACGGAATGGTCATTGCTCTTTCGGATCAGTCCTCGCCAGGAAGGCGCGTTTTTGATGGTAATTTCTTCCTGAACAATGCGATGGCTGGGGCTATCGAGCTTCCAACGCTGGTTTTCTGTGTATTCTTGCTCAGGATGGGAAGGAAACGGTGAGTTTTTGATTCTGATTTTGAAAAAACTACAGTTTTAGTCAAAAAGAAATAAAACAAAGTACCGCATTTCCTCTAATAGAAGCTCACCTCTATTTGAAGCTCATCTCTAATAGAAGCCCACCCTACGAAGTGCTTCGAAAAATAGAAGCCCACCCTCTAATAAAAGCCCATGGGCGTCTATTAGAGGAAATAAGGTCATGAAAAATCTACATAATTCTTGAATTTTGAATTTAAAGTTTCTGGAATCTCAGAATTTCGTAAATTCGTAATTTTGTGGTTTTTTCAGAATGAAAACTTCGAATTAAAAAAAAAACACTAAAATTCAGAAATCTTAACTTCCGAAATGTCAAATTTCTAATTTTTTGAACAAAATTTTTTTTGAAAATTAATCATTGAAAAATAGAAGCCCACCCTCTAATTGAAGCCCACCCTGAGAAAGTGGTTGAAAAATAGAAGCCCTTCTATTACATGAAATACGGTATTTTCTTTTGATGTTCGGCCATTGATCATTTTGATCATTTTCAGAGGTCTACAGCTCGGCTTTTGAGTTTCCGATCACGTTAAATTTTTTGAAAAATGTGAAACAGACGTAGCTTGATAATTTTGCACTTGCAGAATTTTCAAAAATCCCTATTAGTCGATTTCTAAAGGACACTCATTTTGGCCGGTGTTCGCATAAGAAATGTGAAAAGAAACAGGTGTCCTTCTGAAATTGGCGAATAGCTGGAAACCAGGAATTCTCAGAACATTCTAAGACCGCAAAGTCTTTAATTTGGGACCGTTTCACACCCTCCACAATTTTCAAAGTTATCGCGAACTTGACAGCCGTGCTCCAGACTCCTGAAAATGGTTAAACTTGCCGAAAGTTAACTGAAAAAAATGTTTTCATCTATTGGCCTGTACTGTAGGCTGTTTTCGAAGAACTGCAAAGAAAGGTGTTGTTTTCAGTTCTCAAATGGCAGCCTTATTCGGGTCTGGAATCCTCCTGCTCATTTCTGTTTTTATGGTCTATAACAAGAAGTCCACTGTGAGTCATAATTCCGGCAAATTACTCGGAGGGTACAAATTTTTAAGGCCATGGTGGTACAAAGCAATTTATGGGTACAAAACCTTTAATTTGGAGTACAAAGCACTCGAAAAAAGTTTTTTTGTATGCTTTGGATGCTTTGTACCCCCTTGTACCCACGAATCGTTGACCCTCCGAATTAAGTGCCCATAAGCCCCCTTCCTATCCTGTATTTCAGCTCGCTCTAATTTTCATGCTGCTCAGTAAGGCTTGCATTCAAGGATCCTTCAATATCCTTTACATCTTTACATCTGAACTGAATCCAACGGTCGTGAGAAACAGTGCCGTCGGAATTTCATCAATGATTGCTAGGATGGGAGCCGGAGCATCGGGATACATCGCCATCTTATCGGACGTCACCATGCCTTTGGTCCCAATGACCATTTTTGCTTGTTTCTCTCTTCTGGCGGGTTGTTTGGTGCTTTTACTCCCCGAAACACAAGGATTACCACTTCCAGATACTATTTTGGTGGGAGAATCGTTCTCGTTATATGTAATTTAAGCTTTTTTTTTCAGGATTCTGTAAATATGGTCAAACGGAAACCCAAACCGTGTGGCACACTATCAGGAACTTTCTTAAATGCCGTTGACGATGATCCACAACCATATGGAGCAGAATTGTACAGAAAATCGACGACGGACGACGACGAGGAGTCAGACGAATCCATTCCACAGAAAACTGCGTAATTTATAACATGACGTGTTTTGAAGCTTGTATTTTGTTGCAATAATATGAATATCAAAGAATTGTATAAAGGGTTGAATGAATGTTTTTCTTCTTCAAAGTCCGCAATTGCGCTTAGACTTGGGTGTTTGCACAAAGGGCCCATAAGTCTAATTTCTAAGGCTAGGATCCCGACGTTTTCTTAAAGAATGTTTCTAGTGTATGGAGCTGTGCAAACGCTCACAAATCAATTGAGCTCGAAAATATCATTGTGAAAAACCCAAAAGCACAGCTGCATCAATATTTATTCTTCCGGAAACATGTTAAAAAGTTCATTTAAATCAAATGAATACAATCCAAAATTCGACCATTTTTGATTTCATGGTATAGGGGATTTACCACGATCTCCGTCAGCATTGGACTGTGAAGTATTCCATATACGGTAACGTTGAGTATCATCATATGATACCATTCATCACACCGGACGTCTTCGTATACCGCTACCAAGTTTACCTTCCGCGGAACAGCAGCAATTTTCTGGACGACTTCGTCTAAAAATCGTATTCTATTAAATAGAAATGCAAAATCATTTTACCTTTGCCGTAGGTATCGAGACATCCTGTGAACTTGAACTCTGGAACGAAACGCCACTCAAAGGCAGTTTCGTTCCGATCGAAGACGTCTTTGTTAAACATGGTTATTACGTTGGTTGCCATGACCTTCGAATCGCAGAAAACAATGTCAGGGCGTGGTCTGACTGTAGTAGTCGTAGTCAATTGGGAATTTTGGAAGTTGAGTTCCTGAGTCAGAACGATGGCAAAGACCATCCCAATGACGAGGAGAACCTTCGAAAAGAAGATCATTTTCGAAGAAGATAAAAATTTTTCTTCCAAGTCTCCCTTTTATAGACGACCCGTTATTCGATTAAGGATGAAAAAGGGGAGGAGCAAGGAAAAAAGGGGAGAGATGCATGAAATTTTTATTTTTATGGGCGTTTTCAGAAAAAGTATCGAAAGATCAGAGAATCGGAAAAAATGGGAGAAATGGGAGATGGAAACGTCATCAACAAAAAAAGGAAAAAAAAAAGGAAAAGTGGATCATTAATTTATCTTTTTTTTAGTGGTCCAGCAATATGGGTGATGATGAGATTTCAGATAAGTCGATGGATCCAAAAATGAAGTGATACGGTACTGGTTATTGACCGAGGATCTTGAAGATGATTTTCTTGGCTCAATCATTGCCGAACTTTCAGGTGTCTTTTTTGGGTTTTTTTTCTCTACGTCATCTGCCTAGGCAATTGATTATGTCACGGCACTAATTGCAACAGCTCTATATGTAATAAATGTATTTCTTACCCAGCCTGTCACATTTGAGCTCAATTATCTCGATCCCTGTGAATGCATTGAACAAATTGTTAATTGATAAAATATTGGTGACATAACGACAGATAACTTATCAGTTTACAAATTTTTAATATTTTTCTTAGGAACCCAGATGAATGAGATGAAAGCTGTTGGTTTGGTTGTGCTTCGAGAGAATACGGTATACTGAATGTCAGGCATCTGCAAGTCTAATCCCGGTTGAAAACACTATCAGTTCTAGACACAAACATTGGAAAATTATACTAGAAATCTCGAATAAAAACCACGTCATTTAGAACTACCGTAACCACTCTAAGAGCATGACCATCCCAACTTTTTTGAGTCAATTTTTCTTACTTTGTTGTTCCTGTGAAAGATATCAAAAAGTGGTGAACTGTGATAATATTTTAAATACTATGATAAGCTTTTTGTTAGTTGACCACGTCTTGATACCATTCCCATGAAATGAAATATAAGAGCTCAAAGCTGACGATTTCGGGGGCATTCTATTAGAGTTTATAAAAGGTATGGTTAACCAAATATCCAAACAAATCAAAATAATAATAATTGAGAACTACCAGTTACTGAAAAAATATCAGACAGGCTGATCATTGATTTTATTAAAATGATCAGTTCATCTAAAAATATAATGTTTATTTGTTTTTGTTATAAGTTCATAAAAACGGAAGATAAAACAAACAAAAACAAGTCTATGCTAAACATGAAATCAAAATTCATACGCCATTTTTTTCAATAGTGTGAAATTTTGGAAATGTTAATCCTTGAAATGAATTAGAGAAAATATCATTACATACAAAATCATGACAAAAATGTGTTCAAATTGTGATCTTATAAAAGGAAAAACAATAATACGATAATTCAATGATTTCTCATAAACTCCAATGTGCCCGATTTTGATGTATCTGTTTCAAACAAAGTTTGACTACAAAATAGAAGCTGTAGTTGTCCTCAAGTTGTGCTCAAACTTCCGATCAATTTGTTGCAAGAAGATCAGTGCCAATCGTATTTGATTGTTTGATTAAACTTCCCACTTTTAATTTTGTCACATCTTTCAGCTATTTGCTCTTAATATTTATAAAATTGTTTTAGTCATCATGTTTAAAGAGCGTCATTTGATGAGAAGATGCTCTTATCGAGGAGACACTTCTGATGACCACTGTACACATTTCGCTTTTTTCTTGATAGCTATATGCGAACCATCTTACCTCCTCGTTATCAAATGTATCTTGTAGTTGCTCGGAATAAAAAACGACGAAAAAATTTGGAATGGCTTTTTTGTTTCATAGTAATAGCTCGTCTGACATTCTGTGACTTACTACTAGGCACAAAAGTGTTTTTTGACGGTACCTTTTTACCTTTACCTTTTACCTAGTACCTTTTTTCTAACTAGGAATCTATGTAGTTCTAGAGCACAATGTATGCTGTAGTACGCACCAATAGAACAGCCTTTCAGCTACTGATAACGCGAAAAAAAACGATATTTAACTGAAAGAAGATACTTTTTCATTGGGAATGGTGTCAATGTGCCTCCGCGCCACTTTTTTCTCCCGTCAAAAACCGCTCACAAAATATAAATATGCAAATTCTTACCCTACTGAAACTCCGAGCCGTCACAATGTTGTATAAATAAAACTTTTCAATCATCATTCATTCTATCAAAAAGTTTTCCGGTGATGATTTCATTCATTTTCCGATTCTATTTTTTTTCTAAAACCCCATGTTCTCTCGGTTTTTGAGTCATTATTTGATCTAAAACTCATCATCATCAGTCAAAACAATTTTTCATTTATTTATTTCATTTTCACAAATGTCATAAAAATTGTATAAGGATGGTCGCCCCTTTTGTTTTTCCCGGTTTTTCTGGGAGCGAGCACTTCAATTAGAGTGGCTTTATAATACAGGTTTTTCTCATTTTTCAGAACACCATGAAGAAAACAAAGGTGAATCCAGAAGACGAACTAACTCTCGGCAAAATGACGCCCAAGCCCAGTGTGCACGATTCTTATCAGGGCAACTTTTTTGATGTGGTAGGTAGCAAATTCTTTTTCTTTTTGGGTTTCAATTTTTGATTAATTCCAGTTTCGAGACTCGGACTGGAGGGATTACGCACTAGTGGCAGGTGGTATAATATTGAGTGCAGTGAATGGAGCATTGGTACCATTTAACAGTCTTATTTTTGAAGGTAAACTCTTTGCTGTCATTTTTTCGGCAAAAAACAAACCTTAGAGGTCGATAAAATATACAAAAAGATACTTTTCAGTTGATTTTTGGCAATTTTTCTTTTTTTCTAATAGTCTGAAGCTCGGCTGTCAAGATTTCGATCACTTTGAACCTTTGGAAGATGTAAAACAGACCTAGATTGTGAAAATTGCATTCATTAATTGATTAATTAATTGAAATTAATTTAAAGAATTTTTTGAAAACTCTCAGCTTTCCAACTATGTTCCACTTACTGAAATATACCCACTTTTTACGCATTCAGCATCAAAACGGGCCAAAAAGGAATGTCTTTAGAAAATTGGCAACAAGTTGAAAAACTAGGATATTCGAAAAATTCTGTGAATGCAAAGTTTCAATGATCTGTTTTACATGTTCCAAAAATTTAAAAATGATCGAAAACTGAAAAATCTTTTTTTGCATATCTGATTGATCATATTTAATAGAAATTGTTAGGTATCGCCAACGCGCTTATGGAAGGAGAGGCTCAATATCAAAATGGCACATTGAATATGCCCTGGTTCAGTTCGGAGATCAAATTTTTTTGCCTTCGCTATTTCTATCTCGGATTGGCTCTATTTCTATGCTCATATTGTGCAGTGAGTCTGAAACACAGTATCTCCTTCAAGAGAAGCAAAACAAACTGTCCAATTTAAGCTCAAATGTCTGAATTTCTGTACAAGATGTCAAAATTTTGTCAACTGGTCGAATATTGGTGATATTCCGCCAAATTGTTTATCAGTTGACAAAATTTTGATATCTTTGATAGGAATCGAGATAAATGAGCTTAAAATTGGTAGCGTAGATGGGCTTATATTATAGAAAATACGGTGAGTACTGAAATTTTTAACTAAATTTTATTGTTTCAGAATGCCTGCTTATACACGCTTTGCGAACGACGCTTGCATTGTATTAGAAAGCACTACCTGAAATCTGTTCTTCGTCAAGATGCAAAATGGTTTGACCAGCATACCATCGGAGGGCTGACCCAGAAAATGAGCAGTGGAATTGAAAAGATCAAAGATGGAATTGGAGACAAGATTGGTGTGATTGTTGGTGGTGTAGCCACATTTATCAGTGGAGTTTCATTGGGATTCTATATGTGCTGGCAGTTGACTCTGGTGATGCTGATTACAGTACCTCTACAACTTGGATCCATGTACTTGTCGGCGAAGGTGAGACTTCACTAGTGGATCCTAGCCTTCAATATTCAAAATTTTCCACAAGAGTCTTTCAGAGCTTTTTGGATTCTTTAGATGCTGTTGGGCCTAGTTTGTATTCTACACTTTAGCTTCTTATCCTTCTGAATTTTACATTTCCAGCACCTCAATCGCGCCACAAAAAACGAAATGTCCGCTTACTCAAACGCTGGTGGAATGGCCAACGAAGTGATTGCTGGTATTCGAACTGTGATGGCTTTTAACGCTCAACCATTTGAAATTAATAGGTATTTTCAAAAATGTATAAAATTGATTTTTTTTTCCTCATTCCAGATATTCCCAACAACTAGAAGAAGCTCGGAAAATGGGTGTACGAAAAGCCATGATTCTTGCCATTTGTACTTCTTTCCCACTGATGCTCATGTTTACCTGTATGGCAGTTGCATTTTGGTTAGTTGTTCGTTTTCAAAAAAGTGGGAAAACTTTTCAACAGTTTGAAAGTATTAAAAATTTCCATAATCTCCTTCAAAAAGGGTATTTCACTGAAATGACATCATTTAGTAAACAAACCATCAACGTTGAGCCCATATATCTCATTTTCTGAAAAATATATCTAAAAGTAGTCAACTGATGAAATGTTCATCATAATATTAAAAATATTTTGTTAGTTAATTACATTTTGATATCTTTCACAGGGACAGAGATAAATTGGCTCAAAGTTGGAACTTGAGTGGAGGAAAGAAGGGGGGAGGGCATGCACTTCCATCACAGCGATTAATGAAAAACAAAATTTTTAGGTATGGAGCTACACTAGCCGCCGCGGGTGCAGTATCGTCTGGAGCAGTTTTCGCTGTCTTCTGGGCAGTTCTTATTGGTACAAGACGTATTGGAGAAGCCGCCCCACACTTGGGAGCAATTACCGGAGCACGGCTTGCCATTCATGACATTTTCAAAGTAATCGACCACGAACCAGAAATCAAATGCACATCTAGTGATGGGAAAATTCCCGATAAGATTCAAGGAAAACTATCGTTTGATGGAATCGAATTCACTTATCCCACTCGTCCAGATTTGAAAATTCTCAAGGGAGTCTCATTTGAAGTGAATCCAGGAGAGACTGTTGCATTGGTTGGGCATTCTGGATGTGGAAAGTCAACTAGCATTGGTTTGTTGATGAGATTTTACAACCAAGGAGCTGGAATGGTAGATTCTGTTCACAAGAGAATTAAAAATGTATTCCATATTTTTCAGATCAAACTAGATGGAGTGCCAATCCATGAGTATAACATCAGATGGCTGCGTAGCACAATTGGAATCGTTCAACAAGAACCAATAATTTTCGTGGCTACTGTCGCTGAAAACATCAGAATGGGAGATGATCTGATCACTGATGACGATATTGAGGAGGCTTGTAGAATGGCAAACGCTCATGAATTCATTTGCAAGCTTAGTGATGTGAGTTTCTTTTTCTTATTCTGTGAAAAAATCGAATTTTAGAAATACAATACAGTAATCGGAGCTGGAGCTGTACAACTATCGGGAGGTCAGAAGCAACGAGTAGCCATTGCCAGAGCTATTGTTAGAAGACCACAAATTCTGCTTCTTGATGAGGCCACTAGTGCATTGGATACTGAAAGCGAGAGAATGGTACAAGCTGCATTGGATAAGGCATCCAAGGGAAGAACCACATTATGCATTGCTCATCGGTTAAGTACTATTAAAAATGCTAGCAAGATTTTGGTGTTTGATCAAGGGTTGATTGCGGAGAGAGGTGAGAAATATCAATTTTCCATTGAAAACAGAAATTTTATAGGTACTCACGATGAGCTGATCTCCAAAGAAGACGGTATCTATGCTAGTATGGTAGCCGCGCAAGAGATCGAGCGAGCCAAGGAAGATACCACCCTTGATGGTTCGTGCTTCTGCAATTTTCCAGCAAATCGACTTCCTCTAGGCTAGTCCCAGCTGAGACTACTAACATTTGATACATACTAACATCCCATAGCAAAATTTTTGAATCTCAATGATTCTTGATTATATCATTTTTTTTTAATTTTATATCGGAACTCCCAAGATTTTATTCCAGATGAGGAAGACGAGAAGGATCACCGCATGTTCCACCGCGATTCGGTAACATCGGATGAGGAGCGCGAGCTGCAGCAGAGTCTGGCACGAGACTCGACTCGTCTCCGTCAGAGTATGATCAGTACGACGACACAGGTGCCGGAGTGGGAAATCGAGAGTGCGAGAGAGGAGATGATTGAGGAGGGAGCGATGGAGGCGTCGCTGGTGGATATTTTCAAATTCGCTTCACCGGTAAGTTCACTAGGAGAGGTAGCAGAGCAGTTTTGAGAACGAAATCGATCCTTCTTAGGCTATCGGCCGTCAGCCGCTTTTTCGACCACGTCAGGGGTGTTCCAAAGGGCCTTTTTGGATTTTTTCGGAGAATCGAAAATTCCGAAATTTAAAATTTTGGGATTTTGGGATTTCGGAATGTCCAAAAATTCTAATTCCACAAAAAAAGGCTTCGGAAATATTCGGTCAAACTTTTCGGACTTTTCGGAATTTCTAGTTTTGTCCTGAACATTATTGCCGACCGCATAGCTTCCGGTAACTCAGACTATAGATGAAATTTAAGGCTACAAGATTTGCATGCCTCCACCATCCAACTAAAACCTACTAAAAATTTCCAGGAAGGCCGAAACATCATCATTGCCCTCGTCTTCACTCTGATTCGTGGTTTGACCTGGCCCGCGTTTTCCATCGTTTACGGACAGCTCTTCCGAATTCTGTCAGCCGGAGGCGATGATGTTTCCATTAAAGCACTTCTCAACTCCCTCTGGTTCCTTCTCCTGGCTTTCACTTCCGGTATCAGCACTCTAGTTTCCGGTGGCTTACTGGGAAAAGCTGGAGAAACGATGTCGGGTCGATTAAGAATGGATGTTTTCAGAGTGAGGAAAAAGATCGGAATATCATACTTTATAGATAAAAACTTCAGAATATCATGCAACAGGATGCCAGCTATTTTGACGATCCAAAACACAACGTTGGAGCTTTGACATCCCGGTTGGCAACTGATGCTCCAAATGTGCAAGCTGCTATTGATCAACGTTTAGCCGAGGTTCTTACCGGCGTGGTTTCTCTATTCTGCGGTGTTAGCGTTGCATTTTTCTACGGATGGAACATGGCGCCGATTGGTCTTGCCACCGCGCTTCTCCTAGTTGTTGTACAGAGTGCTGTCGCCCAATATCTTAAATTCCGAGGTCAGCGAGATATGGATTCTGCCATTGAAGCCAGTAGGGTAAGTTTCTAATTTTGTTTTTTACAGATCTCCCCAAAATACCCTCAATTTTCAGCTAGTAACCGAGTCGATTTCCAACTGGAAAACTGTCCAATCTCTCACCAAACAAGAATACATGTACGACTCCTTTGTGGCTGCATCCAAATCTCCACATAGAAGAGCTATCGTTCGTGGACTCTGGCAATCATTGTCATTCGCACTAGCTGGAAGTTTTGTGATGTGGAATTTTGCAATCGCCTATATGTTTGGACTCTGGCTAATTTCAAATGGATGGAGCACGCCGTACACTGTTTTCCAGTAAGATAAACTCAAATTCGAGGAATTCCCGTACTCTAAAAATCGATTTTCCAGGGTTATTGAAGCATTGAACATGGCATCAATGAGTGTGATGTTAGCTGCTTCCTACTTCCCCGAATACGTCAGAGCCAGAATTTCTGCTGGAATAATGTTCACCATGATCCGTCAGAGGTCTGTGATTGACAACCGCGGTCTAACCGGAGACACGCCACCGATCAAAGGAGACATTTCGATGCGTGAAGTCTACTTTGCTTACCCTAACAGAAGACGTCAATTGGTTCTCGATAGCTTCAATATGACTGCGAAATTCGGTCAAACTGTTGCACTTGTTGGTCCATCGGGATGTGGAAAAAGTACAACTATTCAACTCATCGAGAGATACTATGATGCACTAAGTGGAAAGATCAAAGTGGATGGTTGTGATATCCGTGAAATCTCGGTAAAACACCTTCGTGATAATATTGCTCTTGTGGGGCAAGAGCCAACACTTTTCAATCTGACTATCAGAGAAAATATCACCTATGGATTGGAGAAGATTAGTCAGGAAGAAGTTGAAAAAGCCGCGACTCTGGCAAACATCCATACTTTTGTAATGGGACTTCCAGAAGGATATGATACCTCGGTTGGAGCATCTGGTGGACGACTTTCCGGTGGGCAAAAACAACGAGTTGCTATCGCCAGAGCAATTGTCAGGTGAATAGCATTTCTCTTTGAACCCATAGAGACAATAATCTTCAGAGACCCCAAGATCCTACTGCTGGACGAAGCAACATCCGCTTTGGATACAGAAAGTGAGAAAATCGTGCAAGAAGCTCTGGACAAAGCTCGCCTTGGAAGAACCTGTATTGTGATTGCTCATCGCTTATCGACTATTCAAAATGCGGACAAAATTATTGTTTGCCGAAATGGAAAAGCGATTGAGGAAGGAACGCATCAGACGTTACTGGCTAGACGTGGATTGTACTACAGACTAGTGGAAAAGCAATCGACGTGATTGAGAAAAGAAAAATAGTACGAATAATTTTCAGTGTACTTGCATAATTCGAGTAAAACTTTTTGTGAATAAAAGTTATATTTTTTTAGTATGGTTTTATCCGTTAAAGGAGACGTCGGATATGAAAATAAACAATTTCATGAAATTTTTTTCACTGTAAAAAAAGATGTTGTTCAGAAATTGGAAAATAGCTGAAAATCTAGGCATTTTAGAGAAATTCTGTGAGCGCAAATTTATCAGTATAATTCTGTTGTACATTTACAAAAATGTTCAAAGTGATCAGAAACTAGACATCCAAGCTTCAGTGTTCTGAAAAAGGTCTAAATAACCGAAATTCCACTGAAAAAGTGTATCTCAATGACTGGTACTCTATGAAAGCAGCACGATACCCACGTGATATGTGAACACTAACTAATCAAAATTTTAACAAAGACCCCAAGAAAACAACCAAATTGGAAAATTTCCTAAAATTCTGAAAAATCAAAAAACCTCAAATACCAAGTTTCCAGAAAATTCTAATTTTGAAACATTCTGAAAATTCCAAAAAAAAACAAAATGTTCGAAAAACCGTAAGAAATCTAAAAAACGAGAAGAATGAAAAAAAAAAGTCCAGAATATTTTTGAAAATCCAAAAAATCTCATGAGCCAGATTTTCCAAATTTTGAAAAAAATTCCAAAAATGGTAACCAACTTCCAAAAAAAAAGCTCCGAAAAGTCTCCCCTGCAACTTTATAAAAAATGTTTCCCAGGAGCATTTTTCTCAGGTTGTAAGGTAAAGACACATTAGATTTATGTGTTTCCCAGAATTCTGAACACAGCGAAACAAAACAAGAACAATGAACGCGTCTTCACATCAGATACACAGTTTTCCAGGTGGGTCGACAGTCCCTCTATAAAAGATTTTCATAGTTTTTTGTAACATACCGTGAGAAATGGTCGGTCCTATACCGACTTTACGACTAGACCATTGTTTAGGTCTTATAGACTCTCCCCCAAACAACCTATATGCCATTTTCTTTTATCATCTTACTCTCATTCTCAACTTCTCATTTTTCTTCTTGCTCAGCTCATTTACGGATTCGATTTTTCTTTTTTTCCATTTTTCGTTTTCGGCTTCCCTTTGATCTAGAATAGGGTTTCAACTCCATGATACCCCAACATTTCAATTATCTTTTTTCGAAAATCCCATTTCCGGACTTCTTGGCAGCCGAAGAGTTGGCTCCCACTTCCTACTTCTTATTCAAATCTTGGTGAAGATGCATTAGTCACACCCAATAAACCTTAAGATGCGCTTTCTTCTCCTTCTAGTAAATCGGGACGACAGCTGCTGCTGCATCATTGCTCGTTTTCCTTCTCCGTTGTGAGACGTTTTTCAAAAATCCCACACCACGACCCCGACCAATTTTTGTTTTCCCAACTGCGTCGCGCGCTTTTCATTGCGCTTTTCCATTGCTATTCATACTCTCTCTGACTCACAGTGTGTCCTGGGTCTGTCCTATGCTTCGTTGAGTTGTTGCCGCATCTTTACTTCCCGAGTTTTTTGCTATTATTATTACTACTGGTCGTTCTATGATGTCATCCTCGGCTTCAGATGTTCTTCTGGTGAGATTTGAAGAAGCTTTGATTTCTAAAATAAATTTTTTGATTTTTTTAGAAATTCAATCTATGGTATATATGTGGGTGCTACGTCTGAAACCCCAAAAAAAATCTTTTGTGCAATGGCTCGGTAACAAAATGTGAAAAACTTTCTTTTCTTACGATCTTCAAAAATCCTAGAATTGAACAGTATCCGAAAGAATGACTTTAACAGTTTCACCAAACAATTTAAAACTCTACAAAATCACTTGATTTTTCCGTATTGATCTAATAAGTTTGGCTATACAATCTGAAAAATTTTAACTTTTCAACACCAAATTTCAAATGACAAGGGAACCTCAACACCTCGCCAATTCAGATTTTGATGAAATCCATCTAGACACCTTTGAGAATTTTAGAATCCGCTCGCCGGTTTGAGCCGAGTTATGTCAGTTTCAGTACCAAAAATTTTCAGTGCAAAAATTGCGATTTTCAAAGTCGATTTTCTGCACTCCTAGGAGTTCCCAAAAAAATTACATACTTTTCATTATTCAATCATGGTCCGTATAGATCCGAAGACAACGTTTCAAAACTACTACATTCCAATGATTGATGACTTCAAAATTTTTTTAATTTTTCAAAAAAAAAACGTTTTTCTAAATGTTGGTTCTACTCTCTAGGATTGATGAAAACTTGAGAATCATGCCAGAAGGTCCAATAACGTCGCAAAATCAGGAAAAAAAAACTGTGTTCAGTCGCATTTCTAAACTGTGTTGGCTAATAGGTACTTTAAAGTAATTACTAGTTCCTGTTCCAGTACATAACCGCAATTTCAGTTAGTATCTTGTAGTCGTTGTACAGAACAAACCTAGAACATCGCGACAAGATGATGATAATACTTTTTTCTCGCGGGGTACCAAATTTCCCTATTTTGTCACTCCGAAAAAAATTGATATGCTAATTTTGACATAGACTACAGGTTTTTTTGTAGTATGTTTTCCCAGCCAAAGTTTTGTTTAAAAGGAAAATAGAATCGTATCGTTTTGTCATGGTTTTTTTCTCCGAAGTAGTAGATTTTCAACTACTTTCATATTTTCAGGAGCCTGTGGAAGACGGGATGAAGATCGCGACGGATCATGTGGAATTGGGTCATGACCCAAAGAGAAAGATCAAGAAATCAAAATCTTCAGGAGGAAACAGTTTGTCCAACTTGGTAAGTTCATTCTTCAAAATTTGCTATAAAGCGTTTTTTTTTCAGTTCCGTCACTCTGATTGCCTTGATTATCTTCTTCTTCTCGGAGGAATTGTGTTCAGTTCTGCCAGTGGAGCACTTCTCCCATTCAACAGTCTTATTTTCGAAGGAATCACCAATGTCTTGATGCAAGGACAATCCGAATGGCAGAACGGAACATTTGCTTATGACACATTCAGCACCGGAATCCGTCACTACTGTCTTCTCTATTTCTTGCTTGGAGTTTTCATGTTTCTCTGCACTTACATCTCGGTAATAGCTCCTCCTAAAACTTTGTTCCCAAAAATTCCAAATTTTTCAGAACGCTTGCCTCTACACCATGGCTGAGCGACGTCTCTACTGCATTAGAAAACACTTGCTAAGATCCGTCCTCCGTCAAGATGCACAATGGTTTGATGAGAATACGGTTGGAGGGTTGACCCAAAAAATGAGCAGTGGAATCGAGAAGATCAAAGATGGAATTGGAGATAAGATTGGAGTTTTGTTCTCGGGAGCTGCGACGTTTATTAGTGGAGTCTTGTTGGGATTCTATATGTGCTGGCAATTGACTCTGGTGATGTTAATTACGGTACCGCTGCAATTGGGACAAATGTACATGTCGGCCAAGGTGAGTAGAGGGTCTTTAAAAAAGGTTGAATATTGCGGGTACATTAAAATTGACAAAACTCAATTTTAGAACTTTCGAAAGCAAAACACCGTATTCTCTTTAATATATCGCAATTTCTGTAAGTGCTTTTGGAACTTGATTATCTCGGTTCCTGTGAGAGATAGCAAAACTCTGTAAACTGGTCAAATATTGATCATTGTGTGCTGAATAGTTTATTAGTTGATAACTATTTGATATCTCTCACGGGAACCGAGATAATTGAGTTCAAAGTACAAAAACAAGATGGTAAAATTAATGGGTTCCATTCCATTAGGATAGTAAGCTGTTATTGCGAAATCACTATTAGAAGGTTTCTTTTATTCTTTGTGGTATCTCTAGATACACTTCAATCAGATAACCTCCGGTTCTACGGTATTTTTGACCACCAACAGAATCTAAAATAATTTTTATGGTATCATGCGATTTTTTTAACAACGTTTATTTTATCTATTTCTGAATCTTTGAATCCTGTTGTGGTCTTCATTCTATAGACCCTAGTCTACACTGAACCATAGTCTTTTATCCTTAAAATTCCCCGTTTCCAGCATCTCAACCGCGCCACAAAGAACGAAATGTCCGCGTACTCCAGCGCTGGTGGAATGGCCAACGAAGTGATCGCTGGTATCCGAACTGTTATTGCTTTCAACGCTCAGCCATTTGAGATCTCCAGGTTTTTTTTCCATTTCCTTTTAATTTCCATACATCATTGTCTTCAGATACGCTGATAAATTAGCTGAAGCTCGACAAATGGGAATCCGGAAGTCGATCGTTCTTGCGTCTTGCAGTGCCGTCCCTCTTGTTTTGATGTTTGTGCTGATGGCTGGAGCCTTCTGGTTAGTTGTTGTTTACAGTACATGAATCCCCATTTCAATAGAAAATTTATTTGCATAATCCAAAAAACACTGTGTACCTCTTCATGTAGTTTATGTTTTGTAGGTACGGCGCGATTCTCACTTCCTTTGGAATCGCAACTTCAGGAACCACTTTCGGAGTGTTTTGGGCGGTTCTCTTGGGAACTAGACGTTTGGGAGAGGCTGCTCCTCACATGGGAGCCATCCTAGGAGCCAGACTTGCAATCAATGACATTTTCAAAGTTATTGATAACGAACCAGAGATCAATTGTACTAAGGAGACCGGAAGACGACCGGAAAAGATTAATGGAAAACTCAACTTTGATAATATTGAGTTTACCTACCCAACTAGACCAGATGTTAAGATTTTGAAAGGAGTCTCATTTGAAGTGAATCCAGGAGAGACTGTTGCATTGGTTGGGCACTCTGGATGTGGAAAGTCTACTAGCATCGGTCTCTTGATGAGGTTCTATAATCAGTGTGCGGGAACGGTAATATCTTATTATTGGAAATCAGATAATTAAACAGAAAATTTCAGATCAAACTTGATGGTGTCCCAATTGAGGACTACAACATTCAATGGCTTCGAAGCACGATTGGAATCGTCCAACAAGAACCAATCATCTTTTTGGCTACTGTATCAGAAAACATCAGAATGGGTGACAACTCTATTACCGATAAGGATATTGAGGATGCGTGTCGTCAAGCTAACGCTCATGACTTCATCGGACATCTTAGTGACGGCTACAACACTATAATCGGCGCAGGAGCAGTCCAGCTCTCTGGTGGTCAGAAGCAAAGAGTCGCTATTGCCAGAGCCATTGTCCGGAAACCCCAAATCCTTCTCCTTGATGAAGCAACCAGTGCATTAGATACCGAAAGCGAGAGAATGGTTCAAGCAGCTCTGGATAAGGCCTCGCAAGGAAGAACTACATTGTGCATTGCTCATCGATTGAGTACCATCAGAAACGCCAACAAGATTTTGGTATTTGATCAAGGACTGATTGTTGAGAAAGGAACTCATGATCAATTAATCCGTCAAAATGGAATCTATGCCAGTATGGTGAGAGCCCAGGAGATTGAGAGAGCAAAAGAGGATACAGTTGTAGAGGGTATTTATCATAGATTTGTGTTTAAAAAAAACATAATGATATTTTTAGATGACTCCCTTGAAGAAGAAACACAATCAATTTCCCGCCGGTTATCTACCTCTGAGGATGAGGTTCGCAAGAGCAAGAGTCTTCTTCGAGACTCGGCACGTCTCAGCCAAAGTATGCTCAGTGTCACTTCTCAAGTGCCAGATTGGGAAGTGGAGATTGCTCGTGAGGAGATGTTTGAGGAGGGAGCAATGGAGGCATCGATGATGGACATCTTCAGATTTGCCAAACCAGAGAAATGGAATGTTATAATTGCATTGATCGTTACGTTAATCCGTGGAATTACATGGCCAGCATTCTCTGTAGTTTATGGTCAACTTTTCAAAGTGTTCGCCGAAGGAGGTGAAGATTTACCAACCAACGCTTTTGTCAGCTCATTATGGTTTATTTTGCTTGCATTTACTTCTGGAATCACCACTTTTATTTCTGGGAGTCTTCTTGGAAAAACTGGAGAAACCATGTCGAGCCGTCTTAGATTGAATGTCTTCAAAAATATCATGCAACAGGATGCCAGTTATTTTGACGAGCCGAAGCATAACGTCGGAAACTTGACAGCTCGCCTGGCAACAGATTCACAAAATGTTCAAGCTGTAAGCTTACGAGAATACTATTCAAATAATTATAAATATTTTTTCAGGCTATTGATCATCGGCTCGCCGAAGTGCTCAATGGTGTGATCTCCTTGTTTGCCGGTATTGCGGTTGCGTTTTGGTTCGGATGGAGTATGGCACCAATTGGTCTTCTCACGGCTCTCCTTCTAGTCATTGCTCAAAGCTCTGTGGCTCAATATTTGAAGTATCGAGGACCAAAAGATATGGAATCAGCTATTGAAGCTAGTAGAGTAAGTTCCTATCCGGTTCTGATATTTATCACCATGATTTTCTTTTTTTTCAGATTGTCACCGAATCAATCTCTAACTGGAAAACCGTTCAAGCTCTCACCAAGCAAGAATACATGTATGGCGCTTTCACAACCGCATCCAAGAAGCCACGTCAACGAGCATTTGCCAAAGGCCTCTGGCAATCACTATCTTTCGCGTTGGCTGGAAGTTTCTTCCTCTGGAATTTCGCTATCGCTTATATGTTTGGTTTATGGCTCATCTCTAATAACTGGACAACTCCATTTGCCGTTTTTCAGTGAGTTGAATTTTGAATTCATTCAGAAGATTCAGTTCTTACAAACTTTTTTTCAGAGTTATTGAAGCATTAAACATGGCATCAATGAGTGTGATGATGGCAGCATCCTACTTCCCAGAATATGTCAGAGCTAGAATTTCAGCTGGTATCATGTTCACAATGATCCGGCAAAAATCGGCTATTGACAATCGTGGACTCACTGGAGAAACACCGGTAGGCAATCGTGTTTCAAGATTAAAAAAAAAATCAGAAAATCGTTTAAGCTCATCAAAGGAGATATCAGCATGCGTGGAGTCTACTTTGCCTATCCGAACCGAAAACGTCAACTGATCCTCAACAACTTCAATATGTCAGCCAACTTTGGTCAAACTGTGGCACTTGTGGGACCATCGGGATGTGGAAAGAGTACAACTATTCAACTCATCGAGAGATACTATGATGCCGTTTGTGGATCTGTGAGAATTGATGACACCGATGTCCGTGATATTTCTGTCAAACACCTTCGTGATAATATTGCTCTTGTGGGGCAAGAGCCAACTCTTTTCAACTTGTCCATCCGAGAAAATATTACTTATGGACTCGAGAACGTCTCCCAAGAACAAATCGAAGAAGCTGCCAAGCTTGCTAACATCCACAACTTTGTCATCAGCCTCCCGGAAGGATATGATACTTCCGTTGGTGCTTCTGGCGGACGATTATCTGGAGGTCAAAAGCAACGCATTGCAATTGCAAGAGCAATTGTCAGGTACGAATTGTAAAGTAATTTCCGACCCCGTTTTCATTGGTTTTTGTTTTCAGAGACCCCAAGATCCTCTTGCTAGACGAAGCAACGTCTGCCCTAGATTCAGAAAGCGAGAAAATTGTACAGGAAGCGCTGGATAAGGCTCGCCTCGGCAGAACGTGTGTGGTCATCGCTCATCGTCTTTCAACAATTCAAAATGCCGACAAGATTATTGTTTGTCGAAACGGAAAGGCGATTGAGGAAGGAACCCATCAAAGTCTGCTGGCTCGACGTGGATTATACTATCGTTTGGTCGAGAAACAATCCACATAATTGTTTTTGGTGAATGTGTGTATATCCGTTTTGTCTCCCCATAATTCGATTCCCCAAAATAACAAATGTATAATTCCCGTTTTCACTTTTTTTTCCCCGTTCTCTCTCTCCTACTTCACTTGTTTTTGGGTGAAAAACCCTTTTCCTGTTCCCTATATAAACGACTATTTATTATTCCCTTTGTGCTCTATATTATTATCAACAATAGCCAATTTTTGCGGTTTTCCCATGCCATTTTTCTGATAATACTACTTGCCGAAAATTGTCCAAGTTCTTATCAAAAATGCGCCTATTCTGACCCTTTGATGTGCTCTGAAAGAGTTATCGCCGCTTGTTCTCTATTAATGGGTTGGTCAGATTCCTTTAGATTCATGTTGCCCCCCACTATCACTCACTAGAAAAGTTAACATCGCCGACGACAAAGAAAAGGTCGCGTCGGTAGATTTATAGAGCAATTTGAAAATGTGAGAAATGGACAGAAACGAAGAGAAATAGGTGAGGATTGATGTCGGAATCGGATGACCCATTCGGTGTGTGATGATAGCAATAAAAACGTTCGAAAGGGGAGAGAAGAAAGGACATTGCTTTGAATTTTCCCCCTTCCACCCAACTTGATTGACGGTTTACCTAGAGTGAGAGGCGGTGTATTACAGGGCTGTATTTGTTTTTTGTTTCGTAACTTTCTATGTTCGACGCAGCTAGGAAGAATCATAACCTAGTCATAGTGTTTGTTGGTAGGTTTATTATGTAATTTGTTTGTTGGGGTAGGCGGTGTGTGAAAGGAACAGTCATGGTGGTTTGGGACTCTTTTACGTGATCTGTTCTTTTTGATCTAGATACAGTCTTTCTCAAAAAAAGTTAATAAATGCAAAAAAGGAACACCTTATTTTTTTAAGCAAAAGGAAATGATTTCCTTCACACTTTTCTCCCAAAATTGAATATTTGGAAAATCTTCAAAAGCTTCACATACGGTATCAGTCCATGAAATATACAAAAAATGATTTTTCAGTAGATTTTCGGTAATTTTGGCCATTTTCAGGAGTCTGGAGCTCGGCTATGAATTTTTCGATCACTTTCAAAACTTTGAAAGGTGTTAATAGATTTAGATCGATATATTTGCATTCTATAATTTTCAAAAATTCCTAATTTTTCAGCTTTTGTCAATTTCTGTAAGAAACCCTTTTTGGCCCATTTTTGTATTGAAACGTGAAAAAACAGGTATCTTTCAATAATCGGCAAACAGCTGAAAAACAAAAAGATTTCAAAAAGTTTTGTGAATGCAAAGTTTTCAATCTAGCTCTGTTTTCCACCTTCCAAAACTTCCAGAGCGATCGGAGACTGGTCACCCGAGCTCCAGACTCCTGAAAATGGTCAAAATGCCCAAAAATCAATTAAAAATTATGTTTTTGTGTTTTTATTGACTGTTACTGTAGCTAGAATCCCTCTGATTGACTTTTGTAATTGATGAAAGTTTAGTGGCGAAAATTGCTTTAAAAAAACTTTTTAACAATTTCCGCCAGTCCAAAACTTCGATTTTTGAGATTCACATGCTAAAAACAACACCATCTTATGAAATCTAAACTGTCCAGGTCATACCTTTTTATCGCTCTCGGATCTAAAGAGAACCGTATGACAAACTTTGATTCGATTCTTCTCGCGACTGTTTTAAATTTTACTGAAAGCCGATTTCCTGCGATTTCTTTTACCAATGGATTTACAGTCTTTGCTTTCTTTTATCTAAAACTTTTTCATTCCCATTTTACATTTTTGAAAAGACCAAGTTCTGGAAAAAAGCAAGTGTTGTGCTGATCATTTGTATCCAATTTTGCGTTCGGCAAATATAGTAGTGTCTCCCTGCTTAGAGTTTATTTGCATACTTTCTTCTTGCGTTTATCGGTCAAAAGAGCCGAAGAGTGAGAGTGATTCAAGGTATGGTGAGAGAGTGGTGGGAGAGGCGCGGGCACAGTCGATCGATATCACATACACCGGTCAAACGGTCGAGCGCGCAGAGACAACGGCACCACCACCCTCCCTCTGCTTGACCATATTTCTCCGTTTCGATCCATCGGTCGGTTGCGTAGGGCCCCGTCCGTTTTTCTTCTTCTTCGTCTTCTTGTATTGTCCTTTCGATTACCACCATTCGTTTCTTTTTCTCTCACTCTCTCACCTCCGTTTTAGCGCCGACTGTCGTCAAATGTGTTCTTTCTGAATACTTCTACCGCCAGTTTTTGCATATAACCTTCGCATACAATTTGTGTTCCGAGTTTTAGTGGTGGTACTTGGTGTTTGGCGGATCTTATCAAGGGCGATGTGATGAGATCTGTCAGGAATTGATGTATTACCATTGTTTAATGAAAGGTGTTGCGATTTTCATTATATGCAGATGATAGAGCTTAGAATTTTTGAAAATTTGGTCAGCTTTACCTTTTAAAGGGCTCCGGGACCTTTCGCCACATAATACAAGCAAATTAAGAGGTTTCAGAGTTCAAAATTTGTTTTAAAGATTTCAAATACGTCGTCTTCTTGTAGAACACAGCTTGATAGTCGTAAACTTTTTAAAAAACCAACAAAATAACAATTTAGAACTTTTCAAATTTCAGAACGATAATTCTAGTTTTACTCAAAGAAAAATGTTAGAAGAATAGTTTTTTCTCATAGAACGCAATTTAAAAATAGAAAATTAAGAAAACTGTTCATCAGGAAGAGCACATTAGAGAACTAAAAAATCATTTTTGTAGATTTTCACAATAAAGCAATTTTGGTGGTAAAATGTCTCCGAACTTCTAAAAATTGGATACCAGGTTCTCGAAATTTCGAATTTTGCAAATATCTTTTTTTCTGACTTACATTGTTTCTCTAGAAATCGGGAAACGTGTCTGAAAATATTCATATGTTTGGAAATTGACAATAATTTTAGAATGGGTCCCTAAAATTTTAAAGTGAAATTCATTTTTCTCCGTAGCTTTGACAGGTAGGTTTTTAGTTCAGGTGACAATTCCGACTCCTAGTTTTAAAAAAAATCTTATAAAAAATTAACTAAAGCGCTTTTCTGAAAATTTCGTTGCACAGGAAATACCTACTTGCACTAATATAGGTCCGCCTTATACGTGCAATTTGAGTTCAACTATCTTGGTTCCTCCAAAAGATATTGAAAAACGTTAACTGATTAATTATTCATCATAATATCATCAATATTTTATCAGTTGGCAGGTTTTTGGTATCTCTTACAGAAATCGAGATTATTGAGTTTAAAGAGCACGTGTAGAGTGTGCTTCGATAAGAGTAAATATGGCTAATTTGATTTTCAGTCCAAACAATTTTTATATTTCCTTTCGAATAAAAGTTTTTTGACCTACATCTGAGAGGGGGAAAAAAGAAAACTATTAAACTGCAAAAACTTGTTCAGATCATTTTTTGTTGACCACCTGTCTCGTTTTCGCCTCTGTCTTCCTTCATTTTGCCCAGTGTTTTCTTCCCCACATTCATTTCATGCGATTTCCCTTTTCCTCTTCTTCAAAACTACTTTACTTTTTATCTCTAGCCAACTAACTCTTTCTTATCAGTTTTCTGCCATCAAACAACATTTCTTCATACGGCTTTCTTCCTCATTTTTGAAAAAAAAAACATCCAGGATTTTTGAATTCCAAGTTGTTTTTCCCACTATATATCCTTGTTGTTGTGACAAGCTGCACATGCTGAGCTAGAATTTAAAAAATGAGACTAAACCTGGACAATAACAACAACACGAACACTTTTTTTATTCACACTTGCTGGCACATTTTGCGGTTGTGTATGCTTTTTTCTTTTTCCAAGAGCTCAGACCAAAAAACTCGCTCAAGGACCTCAATCCAATCTTCTACTTGTTCTCCAGATGTTCTCAAGAGGAACTTGAAATGGAAAAAAAAACTCATATTGCCTTTACTTCCTCTGAGGCCTTCTTTCCCAGCTCCCGAGTTCAAGTTCCCAAAAGAATATGCTCGTTATGAGGGGAAGGCTTGGCAACTCTGGTGGTCATTAGGCTTCCATAAAAGTTTCTGTGGTGGACTCCAGGAGGCTGTCCACTCCTTCCACACCCTCTCTGCTTCTTTCCCGCCTCCTCTTCATCCGTATTGTCTTCGTCGCGCACTACTAGCCTTCTTCTTCCCCGCCCCATTCTCTGCGTCGTTGTCGCCAAAACTTGAGCCGTCTAACTGACCAATTCTGACCAATTCATCTTCATCGTTTTCCATTCGTACTGTTTCCGTACTTTTTTATTATTTCATTCATAATTCCTTCCGTTTCTTCCCAATTAGGCTATTGCGTTGTTTGTCGTATAGTTTTTTTCCGTAGAACCAAATCGTCATTAAGCAATGTCACCCCTCCCCTTCACTTGTTAACCAAAATATTCTATTCTCAAGAGGGCACTTTTGTCCCATTTTATATGTCTTTTGTCTTTTTTCGTCCCGTTAGAAAACATTGTAGGTCATATAGGAAGCTGAGGTTTTTGCTTTCAAAAATAACGCAGACTATTTTGATGAAGGCTTTTTTTGGGAAAATAAGACGTCTCTAGGAAACATAGTCCATTAATTTCTCTGGGGGGAAGATGAGAATAGCTTATTCCTAGTCATATTAGCTATTCGGATAAAATTTTCCGTTTTGCTCATTTTCGAAAAACCCTGGAAACGATTTCCCAGCAGTTCCTACCGCTTGAAAATTAGTTTGAAAGCTAATTTAAAGTTTTTTAGAGATGTTTATCCAATCATCCATATCAAGTAATTTTGGGAACTTTTAAAATTCCAGAGAAGTCATTTTTTGCTGTTTGCTCATACAGCACCGATCAATAAGATATGCAAAAACCTATTTTTCAGTTGATTGAGACCATTTTGACCATTTTCAGGATTTTGGAGCAAGGCTGTCTAGTTTTCAAACTTTAAAAAAAATTTGGAGGGTGTCAGACGGACCCAGATTAAAAACTTTGCATTTACAGAATTTTTTGAAAATGTCTGAACAAACCCCCTTTTGTACTATTTTCGTACTGAAAACGTGAAAAAAATAGGTGTCTTTCAAAAACCGGCAAATAACTGGAAAACTAGAAGTTTCTAAAATGTTCTTTGAATGAAAAACTTTTAATCTTGGATTGTTTTATACCCTATAAAATTTTCAAAGTGATTGGAAGCTTGACAGCCGAGCTCCAGACTTCTGGAAATGACCAAAGCAACCAAATATCAACTGAAAAATAATTATTGAATGACTTCTCAGCCTTCTCCATTTTTTGTCCTCATTCATCTCTACTTTTTTTCCCCGTTTCTCCTAAATCCTTTACACTTCTTCTATTTACAGTGAGACTACTATGTTATAAAACCGAACCGAACATGACTTTTTCGTCGTTTTTGATCAATCTCTACTCACACGTGCCACGTCTAAACTTCAAGTTTCACTGGACCAAGGACATTTTCAATTTCGACTGGAGCAGTGAATACTTCCAGGTTTGTTGTCTTTTAAATGATCTTCTTTCTTCATTTCTCAAGCCAAATGTCAATTGAAATCGAATCATCATGGGAAAAGTGGGCGATTGGTGCATTGTGGTCCGTTTTACGTACACATACAACACTCTAACAAATACAACACAACATTTCTTACTCAATTAGATGTGTATCCAGTGTGTCGGGTTCAGAGGAGCCCCACACACACACACACACACACACACACACACATACACGAGACAACACTTAGACCCTCCCGACCGGAGGTCTGCTGCTGCCGTTGCTGCTGTTGGGGGGACGACCGAACCGGCTCGAGTAAACAAGAATGTCGTTTTGACATGAACCATCCATCTTACTCCCGGTGGATAGGGGGGACTGTGACCCTTGATAAATCCCGTGCATCATATTTATTATGCACAGACGCCAGCACTACCAGATTTTGTTTATAGATTAGACAATGTCTGCTGCTCGGAGGGACCAGCAGAAGGGTGCATCAGTCTCCAAAGGTCGGGAGACATCAAACAGAAGAAGGGCTCCATGTGTGCATCGTTTTCATTTATCGCTTTCTTGTAAACAAGCCTTCGGGTGTGTGAGAAAATGAGCAGGGACCCATCTTGCTGGTTTTTTTTTACCACACCGACATTTTGAAAATTTTTAATGGACTGGGTTTTTTAGTGCCCCAGAAAGAGCTCTAGAAACGAGAAAAGCACCGTTTCACGTTTTCCGCTCCGTGAGAAGTGGCTCTCGCGCCTCATTTCAGTTACTTTTTCTTCATTAAAGATGGAGCAGCTTTTTTCGAAAATGGCGAAGAAAGTAATGAAAAGTTTTTTTTTCTAGGAAAATAAAGGAGCGGAAAGTTTTGAAAAAGAGCAAAGCGGATGGAACAAGAAACAAGTCGAAGAGTTTTTCTGTAAATTAAATTTTGAGAGACAATCAAGAAAATTAGGGTGGAAAAGCTGGGTTCTTCTTGAAGAAGGGGTTAGTTCGAACATTTTGATTAGGGAGGACAAGAGATGGAAGAGCGGGGTGCATTAGAATGATTAGAAGTTTATGGGAACCTTTTCAGATCAAAATAAGACAAACTTGAAAGAAAGGAATTAAAATCTGGAAGTAAAAAAGACCTAAAAATGAGTATGATCTAGTCGAAATGAAAAAATTAAAATTTTCGATTTTTTGAAATTTCTAAATTTTCTTAATTTTTTAAATTTAAATTTTTGATCAGAAAAGATCATACAACACCGGTCAACAAAATATAAGAAACGTGTTTTTCAAGTTGGTTCTGATCTGCTCTCAGGAATCTGGAACCCGGCTGTCAAGGTTCCGATCACTTTGAAAATTCAGATATTTTCCGATTTCTGTGAAAAATTGCTTTTTTACGTTTTCATTACAAAGCGGGTAAAAAAGAAACGTCTTTGAAAAATCAGAAAAACAAGGATTTTTCAAAAAACCATTACTGTAGGTCAAAATACCCTAAAATCTGTATTAATAAATTATCTCGAATACGCGCTAGAATTTTTGACCCAAATTATGAAAAATAACTCGGAAAATGAAAAGACTCCTTTACTTCAAATTACAGACAATTTATTATTTTAAATTTTTTTCGAAATTTCACCTAATCGGTGATACACAGTTCCATCAAACCAATTCCTAATCCTTATATGGTCTCTCATAAGATTGACACATATCCATTCTGTCAGGTCATGGTCACTTTCGTATTATTATTATTATTCGGTCAATCTCGGCGGTGCCAATCATATTGAAGACTAAAGCATCTGTCATATTCATAATCCCATTAATTTCATTTTTTCAGGCGCTGGCACTTGTGGCATGCTTAGGAGCCGCCGTCAGTCTTCTCCTTCTGGTCACCATCATAATTGTATGGATATGTCAAGCGTGTCGTAAGAATGAGACGACCGGAAAAACGAGACGTCGTGTGCGTCGACTGTCGACAGTTCTCTTCATCATTTCCGTTCTTTGCTTGTGAGTATTTAGGAGGGACCGGATAGGGGATGGCCTCTGTTTTGAAACAAAGGTTTCATTAATTTATAATGGCAAATTCTTTTATTTACTTTTATGATCATCATTATGCATCCTACCCCCCATCCGCTAGGTTTTTCACACAATAGAAGCAACCAATATGTGTGTGCAGCTTGGTGGAAAATGAGGCAAAGTATCAATTCATGCGCCTGTTTGCTCGTTAGATGAGACACAAACAAATGAATTATTTTCCAGCTTCATGCTTGGAATATGCCTTTTCGCCAACGAGCATGTCAATCGGGGAATGTCAATTTCGATCAATTCGGTTATCAACTCAAAGAAGTCCTATCAAATTTCCATCGCACAAATCTCCCAATTCCAAGAGGCCGCCCTGAACACCACAGTCGACCTCAAAAATCTTGAAGACATTGTTCACCAGGAAAGCAAAAAGACCAAAAATGCGACGATCGTTCAGCAAATCGACCAAATCCTTACAAATATAACAGACGAGATCGACATTATTGCGAAGAATGGGAAATTGTTCCAAGCGAAACACGACGATGATATTGGGACGTTGGAGAATATTCGAAAGTTTTTGTCAATGTATGAGAGTGAGAGGTAATGTGATGATGATGGGTCCACGTGGGTGAAATGCACCACTTAGTGTGACAAGATATGATTAATTATGGATAATCGTTGATTGTGTGGGGTGAATTAAGCAACTGTTGTGGAATTTTCGACTGTGAAAAAAAATAAGAAATCGAAAACTTGAAAATGGTAGAAAGGGAGTTTGAAACATCGGAGTTGAGGATGTTAGGAACGGAATTGGGAATTTCGAAAATTCCGAAGGTTTCGATCAGGGGCCATATTTGGGAGAATTTTCCATGAACCTATCAGTGTGTGCTATCGCTACGGTTTCGGTTAAATTTACCGGTAAATTTACCGAAAACTACCGGTAATTTCTGGGATAATTTTCTGTTTTTTTTTTCAAAATTTGTAACCGTGGCGATTTAGAACCGCGACATTTTAGAACCGCGACGTTTTAGAACTGACCATTTCAAAACTGCTGCAAACTGTCAAAAAACTAGTGAAACAGCAGAAAAAAACATTCGTGTAGCCCTCGAGGAAAATAAAAATTTTACCGAAAATTTACCGGTAATTTACCGGTAATTTACCGGTAAAATACCGGTAAATTTTTGGTAGTTTTCAAATTTACCGGTATGTTACCGGTAAATTTTTACCGGTAAATTACCGGTAAAATTACCAAAAAAGCCTTTACCGGTAAGTGAAAATCGGAAGTCACACACTGTAGCCTATTCATGAATATGGCCTCAAAATTAGAGCTTTCCCGAATATTCCTTAATCTCCAAATCGGAATATTCTCAAAAATTCGAAATTTGGAAAATTTCAAAATCAGGGTATTCCGAAATGCAAAATTTTTGTAATCCGGAATTTTAGACATTCAGAAAAATTCATTAAAAATAATTTCGAATATTTCTGCATCAGAATAAATGAAAAAAGTTTCAAAATTTAAATTTTCAGATGGGCATTCTTGGTTATCCTCCTCTCCATCACCATGTGCGTTTTGTTCACTGGAGTGGTCGCATTTTGCAAACAGTCTAAAAAAGGAGCCGTCGTATTCAGCGCCATCGGATTTTTTATTTTCGTGGTTGTCTGGCTTTTGATCTCGGTTTCTCTGCCGGTCACTATTGTAAGTATTCCAAAAAACTCCAATTTCCAAACTGAAATTCACAATTCAGGCTCTTGCCGATTTCTGTCGTGACGGCGATCAAGTGACGCGAAAGAATCTCGGCAACCTGTACGAAACTGTCCAGTTCTACAACACGTGCGTTCCGGTGACCACCCACGACAATCTTCCGCGCCCGATCGCAAGCCACGTGGCACTGCTGAATAACATTCCGGCCAGCAAATCGCAACTGGATCGTTTGATGGAAGTTGCTTTTAATAGCAGTGCGGCGGTAATTTTTTTGGCATTAGACAATTATCGGGAACTATACAATACCGTTTTTCAGATCACTAATTCATCATCGGCGGTTGGGGAAGACATTACGAAATTGTTAAAATTGGCTGGAGCGGTTTCTTCGTCATCGTCGTGCTATGTGTTCCATGATGATGTTGCGAACTTTTACTACGGAACATGCAATCAATCTGTGTAAGTGGTCATGAAAAATCTAAAACTGTCAAAAATCTGGTAAAAAATGTTCTGAAAAATTCATAGACCGTTGAGAAACCCATACAGACAATACTGATCAAGAAGAGACATCTCTAAAAGACTTTCAAACGTTTTTTTTGAAACTTCTCAAAAATATAGAAAATTTGATACCGTAGCACCTACAATGACAGTCACTAATTTTCTTTTATCTTCAATTTACCGTAAGTTAATAAAACGACATACTAACTTTGAGCTCAATTATATCGATTCCTATAAGAAATATCAAAATTATGTCAGCTAGTAAAATGTCTGTCATAAAATCTCCAATATTTTCTTAGTTGGCAGGTTTCTCATATCGTTTAAGGGAACAGAGATAATTGGGCTTCAAGTGCCTACCGTGATTGCTCTAATAGAATCTTGCTGTACATACATGTGCCTGATTTTTGTAGTTAAAAATACTTCAAAACAAATTAACCAGACAAAAGGTTGTTTTCAAAAATCCATAATTTTCTTGAACTTTTACCAACTTACCGAACTCAGTTATGATATTTCGATCACAAAACCTTTTTCTCGTCAAACGTTTTTCAAATTATTCAATTTTCAGCGCTGGAATGAGTATCTACATGATGAGCATCCTACTCCTTGGTCTTCTCCTCTTCGTATTGCTTATTGTCGTCTCAAAAACTTGGAATCTATTCTCAAGACTGTAAGTTTTCACTCCCACGTCCTGCATCACCATGTAAACCTCACTAACGTCTTAACTCACTCCCGTATCCTCAAAAATATCACTGACACACACACACACACACCTCAACACACAATTTTCACCTCTATGTATCATCCCAAAACCCCCCAGATCCAAGACATCGTATCCGGTACGTGTCAGACCGTTCCGTTACGAGTCGGCCGCTTCTCATGATTGTGCGCTCCCGATCGGAAGAGCACAGTTGTCGCCGACGGTTGTGGTAAGAACCACTCAACCCGCAACTTCAGCTTTGTTGAATAAACGAGTCTCGTTTCGGTATGTAATGTTGTCGTGAGCCCAACCCAAATCAACCCTGCCATATATGGAAATGCGGAATTCCCTAGATCCTTCCTTTGATTTTCCTTTGTATTACCTAACGATTTTTGGTTTCGAGTTTCTGATTTTCAGTTCTTATTTTGCACGTTTTGTTCAGAACGGTTCACAGGAGATGAGCACGCAAGAATGCGTGTCTGCAGGATTATGATTTTTTATGAAAATTTTTGAGTTTCAACTAATCAAGCTTACTGTTTCAGACCAGAAGAATACATTGAAGTAGATGACGATGATCCGTTCTTCCCGCGTGGTGTAAACGACTCGACGATACCTGTAGACATCTACGGCACCCATGTGTACAACCCAAGAACGAGGTGAGGACTTTTTTGGTCTATATTGGGAACACCTCCTAGAATCCCCCCACCTTTTTCTTCAAACTATTTTTCTATCAGTTGCTTGAATCTCACATTTCTCTTTTATTTTCTCACACACACTCCACTATTATTCACAGAGATCGAACGGAACCCTCAACGAATACTACATCTGGAACAGCAGATGAGTCAAATGCTCCACTCTGGAGTCAAAATGTATCGACACCATTGGTCTCCAACAGGTAATCCATATACCGTAAAACCTCTAATAGAACGACACCCGGATCGTCCACTTTGAGCCTATATATCTCATTTCTTTTGAAAGATATCAAAAAGTGGTTAACTAGTAAAATGTTCATCAGGATATCAGCAACATTTTACTAGTTAGCTACTTTTTGATATCTTTCACAGAAAATGAGATATATAGGCNCAAAGTAGAGGATCCAGGGTGTCGTTCTATTAGAGGTTTTACGGTACTTCTTTTCTTCTCTCTCTGTAGTGCATGTTCTGTTCGCTTTTCCCTACGCAGTTTTTGTGAATTGTCAAAAATGAGTATATACCGTATTCAATCTAATAGAACGGCACCTCAATTCTTTCATTTTCATTACCGTGAGACCTGCAATTGTAGAAGGAACTGCATTTTTAAGTTTGAGTTATCTCGATTGCTGTGAAAAATATGAAAAGTTTGACAACTGATAAAATCTTGGTGATATCATGATAAATCATCTATCAGTTGACACACGCTTGATGTTTTACACAGAAATCAAGACAATTGAGCTCAAAATTGGAGATTCGGGTCAGCTTCTGATAGAGGAAGTACGGTATACTGTATTCCCTTTGATGGAACTCCACCTTTAGTTTTCTAGCTTTGTAGGGTGACCTTCGATTAAAGTTAATGCAGAAAATAGGAAAAAATGTTAAAACTTTGAAGTTTTTTCTCGAAAAAATTTTTAGTTGTTGCAAATTGTTAAAACTGAAATTTTGAAAAGTGTTTGAATAGAAATCGGAGAATCCATTTTTTGAGAGATAAATGTTTAACGCATTTCTTCAAGAACACCTATTAGTTCGGATTCTATTTCATAACTGTTTCTCATTTTTCTGAGAATTTAGAAAAGGCAAACTACTCTGAATACTCTAATAAAAGCCCTCTGAAACAGTAAACTTTGAGCTCACTTACCTCAGTTTCTTCGTAAGAAATCAGAAATATGCAATTGATATATGAATTATTGTAATATCACCAATAATTTATAAGTTGACTGGATTTTGATATATTTCTTAAAAACTGAGATAATTGAGTTCAAATTACACGTGTTGGGTGGGCTTCTATTAGAGTAAATACGTCATTTTTCTTCAGAATTCTTACTAAACCCGAATTCCCAAATTATCCATTGTAAAAATGCCGTTTGCTTTCAGCATGACCCGCCAACCGTTCATGTCCGACCATCCATACACTACCTACGAGGATCGCTATAACTGAAAACCCTCCTCCTTCTTTTGCCCCATTATTTTGTAGCTTATTTTCCAAAAACGCGGTTATCTTTGATTTTCCCATTTCCACATTTCCGACATTATTCATTTACATTTTATTCCTACTTGATTGTTCTCAAATTTTTCTGTTCTGTATGTAGAACCCAGAGCTTATCGCTTCCGTTCTCCTGCGCTACCCATGTCCAACTTTTTTCCACCCAAAAAAATTCCCCTGCCTCTTATCCCAGCTTGATTCGTTATTTTTTTGTCTATTACTTTCAATCAGTTGATGTATCAGAGGTGATTTGAATAAAACAATGTTTATAATGATTAATTTTAAAAAATGTATATTATATGAAAGCTTAGATGTGGAGCATATTAGCATCTCTTGGACTTGGAGTTAGAGGAGACACATTGTTCAAGGAGAACGCTGAAATTGCTGATGGGCGACGAGAAAAGACTTCTGATGGCCGCCGGGACATTGATTCCATTGGAAGGGTCCCATTCACAAAAACTGGGAGAGTTGTGATCTCTTTTTCGGGGTTTTTCTTGACGAAATCGATGGTGGACCAGGAAAACAAAAACGCGTTGAGGTAGCTCGCTACTGTTAGTATTCCTCGAAACACCTTTAAAAAAAACTCCAAAAATAGGACTAGCCACTCAAAATCAAAGTGCAAACCTCCTTTTTGTAGAATTCGTAATAAATCTGGCGGTCCGAATCCATTACGGATGATTTTATAGCCAATGCAACCCCCAACTCGAGCAGATGGAACATCAATGTGGCGAAAGCCTATAAATATCGATTGATTGATAAACCAACCCGAATTATTTAACGAAATTCACCTGACACGACAGCCAGATTTCAACTGGCGCATATTCGAAATGTCTTTGGCGGACATATCCTGGCTGTACAATTGGGCGACCATATGTTTGCGATAAATCCACCAGATCAGAAAACACACGACCGCCATTAAATGTTTCATATGGTCCTGGAAAAGATTTCCGGTTCTCGGAAAATGAGGGAGTGAAACTAACCGGTGAAATTAGGGAAACCAAGAATACAATAATTCCAATAGGAGCAAGGTAAATGTGAGCAAGACGGATGCTGCGAGGACTGGAAATTCCGAATTTCAAAATTTTCAGAGATTACGGTAGTGACTCACTTTTGGTTGGAAAACTGTGCAACCTGGATGATCAAAAATGCGCTGACCGTAAACCAATACATTGGCATCTGAGCAATCACAATTTTGTCACACACTGAGACCACGAAGTTGGGAACATAGGGGATTGAAGCGAATGTGGCGTATTCTATGGAATTGAGGACAAAGGAGAACTAAAAATATTTTTGGATGAAAATGAGGTGGTAAACTGAAAAACGAACTTTTTGAATAATAAGGGCAGATCCAAAGCTCAAAATTTGCACCATAAAAATTGCGTAGAATGTCAGCTCAGCGACGAAAAACGTCTTACCGTGAACAGCAAAAATGATAAAATAGAACGTGTAGAAGACACATCCTAAACGCCAAAGCTTAGATACAATTTTTCTGAAAATTCGCTTACCCAGAAACGCCGTGAGCAGTTCAAAGTAGTGCAATCCCCGATAGGATGGAATATCGAGATCTGGAAATTGTTTTCGCAGAAGCGAATTGGGGTCCAGCATCGCTTCATAGGATTCGAAGCAAACAGTTTCCATTTTGAAGTTCAAACTGACGAAGAGAATTAGTTCGAAGAATAAATGCCAGCGTACAACCTGCTAGCTTTTATATTCCATCTCCATCTGTGACGTCGGCGAGGGCGTTAGAGCCAAATCCAGGTGCTTTTTAGGCCGATCCGTGTGCCATTTAAAGCAGCTGAAAAATTCAGTTTGTGCTTATAGCCTCTAAATAGAAGCAAGCTTGGTTTACCCTGAAATGTTTAATTCCGGGTTCGTTGCAATAACTTGGTTTATTAGAATTGTAAAATTAGATTGTAACAGGGTAGAAACATAGGAAAAAAACATAAAGCATTGATGATTATGTAATTCAGAAAAATCAATAAGGCACTGCATGAAATTGCACGGGAGGTGAAATGTTTTTGATGAAGAATGGATACAGATAAAGTGCAGGAACAAAGAATGACAACACATTTTTTGGAGAGACAGGCGAGATGATCTATTACTCATCAGCCTCCTCATCTTCCTCCTCGGATGCCTCGGCTTCCTCTTCTTGCACTGGCTCGGCGACTGGCTCCGGGACGACTTCCTCCTTCTTCTCTTCCTTGTTCTTCTTCGACCATTCTGGCTTCTCGGATTTCTTCTGGAAAAGATGATTTTTAGGGTTTGGAAGTGGAGAGGAAATGAAATCTCTTCGAAAATTTTGGGGGATATGAAACAGTCCAAGATTGAAAACCCTGCATTAACAATATGTTTTTGAGATTTCTAGTTTTTCAGCTATTTTCCGATTTCTGAAAGGCGCCCATGTTGGCTAGTTTTCGTACAGAACTTGAAAAAATCAGTTTTTCCCGTTTTCAGTACATAAACAGGCTAAAATGGGCGTCAAATGGGCGTTTCAGAAATCGGCACATAGCAGAAAAACTAGGAATTTTCGAAAAATTATGTGAATGCGAAATTTTCAATCTAGGTTTATTTTACACCCTTCAAAATTTTCAAAACGATCGGGAACTTGACAGCCAAGCTCCAGACTCTTGAAAATGGTCAGAGTGGCTGAGAATCCCCCGAAGATACGTTTTTATATAATATTTTATTGATCGGTACTGAAGATGAAATCGGCACAATGTATGTACACCGTCGCGTCAAAATGCGTACCGTATCTTCAGAAAAAACTCCGAAAAATGTATTGTCCCCCCTCCTTTCAGGTTTTATCTGTCTGTTCTTGTCTGTACCTGGTTGGAAAGCTGAGTGAAGACGCTCTCCTTCTTCACAGTCTTCAAATTGTTTCTCAAGTTCTTGCTGTTATCATCCTTCTTAGCCTCGGCCATCTTCTTGAACTTGTTGTCGTACTTGGACACCTTCTTCAACGATGGCTTGACGCTGAAAATAAAATTTTCCTTCTCGACACGGAATAGGTCACAAGTTATCTGACAGGTGAAACTTTTTTCTTTTCATTTTTTCAAAAATTGTTTCGCACACTTCCCCGTCCACTCACAATTTTCCGCGGAGATCGTTGACCTCAATGTTGAGCTGGTTGATGGTGGTCTCGGTTTCGGTGGTAACGTAGTTGATGTCATATCTCTCCTCCTCCAAAGAGCACAGACGAGCGAACATGTCGTTGTAGATGGCCTCGAGCTTGGCTGAAAATACAGACACTTTAAAAAAGAAAACAATTAATTTAACTAAAGTACCCTTGTCCTCAATAGTATCAACATTTGGAAGAGCAATAGTTCTCTCGGCGAGAATCTTGACTCTTTCTTGCTCCTTGAGCAATTGTTGTCTCTTGAGATCCTCGGCAGCCTTGATCATGAGAAGTTTCTGGAAATATAAGGCTCGTATATTCTTCATCTCTTTTAAGATTTTAAAGTTGCTCACTCTAAGCTTCTTCTTTCTCTCTGGAGTCAAGAATCCCTTTTTCTGCTTTTTCTGTCCGGCCTCCTCGAGACGCTTGCGGACCTCGGCCTTCTTGGCCTCTCTCTCCTGGGCCTTGCGTTGAGCATCCTGAAAAAAATTCCAGATTTTTTATCAGCTAGCTCCAAACCTCTCCATCCTCATTGGCAGCTCCAGAGTAGCGGATATTTTCCTCGATGTGGCTCATTATCGCTTTTCTCGGTTCTCAACCTAAAGTTATGCACGTGTGAATAACAGTAAGCACATTATGCAGTGAAAAGGGGGTTACACGACTACAAGGGGTGTGTGTGCCAGGCAAATGTTGTTTTTGGTGAAAAGCGTTAGATTCTTGATGGTGTGAAAAAAAGAAGTTGAAGAGGTTGGAACAACAAGTGTGAGAGTGTGAAGAAAACTATAAAAGGGGGCATCTTTCCAGAAAACAAAAAACAAATTGATAGGAGAGAGCGTGGAAACGGAAAAGTAAGGTTTTTGAGAACACATTTGGCAGTAGAGGAGTCGCACACGGTGGTCATAAGGCGCCAATTTTGTTAATGAAGCGACCGGAAAATTAGTGCAACTGAGAGGGCTCAGTGAGAGTTGTTTTGGGAAAAAAGTGGAATGTTTGAGTAGAAACATGCTAGAAATTTCGCTGGGAGCACCGACAGTACCACTCAAAAACTTTCCTTTCTTATTTTGCCGTAAATGTTCTAATTTAATGACATCCTCACTTTGAGCTCAAGTGCAGTACCGGTCAATGAAGTTAAGAAAAACAGTTTTTCGTCGATTTACGGTCATTTCGAACATTTTGAGCAGTTTGGAGCTCGAGTGGCGAGTGTCCAATGACTTCGAAAACTTTATAGATTGTAAAACAGACCTAGTTTAAAAACTTTGAATTTTCAGAATTTTCTGAAAACTCCCAGTTTTTCAGCTATTTGTCGATTTTTCGAAGGCGCTTATTTTACCCGTTTTTGCACTGAAAACGTGCCACAGCTAGTATCCTTTAAAAATCGACAATTATCAGATCAACTAGGAATTTTCAGGATTCTGTGAATGCAGATGTGCAGTCTAAGACCTCAAACATTTTCAAAAACTTCCCAAATTTTCAAAATGATGGGAAACTTGACAACCGAGCTGCAGACTCCTGAAAATGGTCAAAACGGCCAAAAAATCTACCAAAAAATGTGCTATTGTATCGTTCATTAACCGGTACTGTATCTCGACTCTCATGAGATATATCAAGAATTTGTGAACTAATGAAATGCTTGTCCTATTAATGCCAAAATTTCTGTAGTAAATAGATTTGTGATATTTCTTTTGTGATATATAAGCTTCAGTGCATGGATTTCCCAATTTTAAATCCAAAACTAAATGAAAATCTTTGAGTGGCACCGTACCTTGTTACTCTAGTGACGTTACAATAAATTAAGATGAAAAAAGGTGATGAAAAATGAGAAGCAATACAACATAGTGTTCGTTACCTCGTATTCCGCTCACTGGAGAACATCCCGTAAAACCTGGTATTAGAAAAATGAGCTAAGCTTATGAGGGTACTAAAAACGCCAGAAAATTTTATATCAAACCTGATTACTGTAGTTTTTAAGACTTTAAAACCAATTAACTTGGTTAATCGGTGCGAGTGATTATGGTAGAATCAGAGAAACAGTTATGCATAACCTGTTGGTGCAAGTGCTGGCGGAAGGTGAACATAGGGGTTTTTTTTTTGGAAAAATGAGAAGTGACCGTAACATAGGTAAATGGTTAGAAGCATTTCGAAAATTGGTTAGTGTGCTAGGTAGAAGGGGATTGGTAAAGCGGTTTGGTTAGGGTCGAAACTTGGCGGAGAAGATGCTCGACGCGTACAAGTTTCAGTGCAAGTGAACGCTGAAATCGATCAGTGTGTTTTGGCGTGGTGAGGGTTAGTAGCGGTTAGTAGTAAGCGGTTTATGCAGACGGACAAGTGAGGAACACTCCGAAGTCACTTCGAAGACGAATAGTAGCGAGAGAGGAGCCCCGGAGAGATCTCTTTTTAGAAGGAGGCACCCCGAAACTGACAGCTTAGGCGGTAATTGTCGTGTAATGGCTTTCTTTGGGACGGGCGGCGGTGGCGAGAAGTTCTCCTTTTTCGAAACGTCGTTTTCGGCACATTTGCATCAAAGTATAGCGGGGCGGATTGGCACTTTTATTTTTAAATTATAGGTTTCGAGCTCATGTGCTTGTGCTCTTAGAGAGTGAAAATGAGTGAGAATGAGCCCTGAGAATCATATATGAGAATACACATATATGTGTCATTTTTCTTGATTGGTAATCTTGTTTCTTTTCTCCTTCCCTATACACTACACCATTAAAAAGTATTAGTGCGTGAAAAAACGAGCACACGCGGATATATATGAGACTGAATAGAAAATAGAGACTTCAAAAATGGGAAGTGAGCACAAATAAAAATTTAATGAAGGCCCGTAGGCTAGCCTTTGCTTCATTTAGTTTCCTTTTTCAAGAATTCAAAGTAAGAAGAAACGGAAAAATTTATTTTGTGTTGTGTAGATGGAATTTGCTTCCTAGTGAGGCTCAAAATTAAAATATTCCGGGTTGCGTTCAATTAGGAGGGGCAGAAATGGGAAATGAGACGGCGGTTGGATAAAAAATAGAAAAATGAAAAGCCACATTTTTGCGTGGGGGTGCCGAGATTTGATTTGCAAGTGCTGGGATGCGATCAGACAGCATGTATTGAAGAAGCATCGAAAAAAAGTGGAGGAGGCGACCGGAGCAGAAGAGCAGCAGACTTCGGGGGAAGAGAGAAAGTGTCAGTTGGTTGCGTAGTACAATACGGCGGCGTGGTAGGAGAAGCTGGACATTAGATACAGAGAGAGAGAGACATCAGAGCTCAGAAGAGGCTCTCCGGTTTGATGGGGATGGGATCTTCTCCTGGAATCACACTATCTCTCCACCCACTCTGATCATTTATTTCAAGAAAACGAGAGAAAAGAGAGCTCTCTGATCTGATGGGCTTGTGTTGTAATACGCAATTTCAATGTGTCGTCCTCCCGATTCCACCAACACCACCATCACAGAAATAAAAAGTGTCCTTGCCCACTCAGTTTGTATGTTGTTGCTATTCTTCCAATGTGTCAAAATGAGGAAAAAACGGATGTGTTAGAGGACCACACTTCTTTTTTTTTTCGCTCTGTCTCAAGAGGTTCCTGGATCAGAAACTTCTGGAGTACTAGAAAACGGGGTCCAAAAAAGAAAGTCTTAAAACTAAACAAAATTTATGGAGAATAGTGGAGAATAAGGAATGATTATATGACAAAGTTGAAAATTTTGTTTTTAGCTATTCCATGTTGTAATTACCTTTTTGAAAACATGAAACGCCCTCGATTTCTGAGCTATACATGCAAAACAACAAAAACTTGTGAAAGTTTCTAAGAAATATGAAATCAGCGACCTATACAAATGGCAAGCTTGAAAATTTGGGAGCAAAAAGAAAGCTGTTGGGTATGTTAGGTATCTCATTACCCGTGTAACGAATCCGTGGAGCAAACGAGAGGCATGTAATATTTGGTTAAGACAATGGGAAAACCCGATATAGACCCGAGAAAGGTTGGGACCAGGGACGTAGAATTTTGAAAGGAGGACTAGAAAGGGCCTTGAAAAATTTATATATTGATAAGTATTGGAAAAAAATAAGGAGAATATGTTGGGAAAATTGAAATCTACTCTGGAGTGAATGATAAAGGAAATATTTGATCGGCATAATTGTTGAAATTTTTGTCAGCTGTCTCAATCAAATGCGTTGATTGAAACGCGGCAAAAATGAGATCTTCAAAATTTTCCAAATAATTCGTTCGAAAACTTGGCTGGGAATTATGAGATAGTTTGTTGTTTCCAGAGTATTGTCTATTCTTTTGAGACTCCTTCATCTTCAAACGTCATCAAGTGACACTCGAAGGCAAAAAATAACTAGAAATGATTTATTACAGAATTTGCACTTTAGGTTATATTGACTCATTATAATAGTGTCAATTCGACGGGAATGAACAATTAGGGTTTTTTATTATGATTTTGCAAACCTGTCGGTGTTCTTTTCAGCTCCTTGGCAATAAAAATTGATAAATGATCTTAAGATAGTCATAAACCAATGATATCATACTTGTAGACAAAATAAAGTACGCTATGCTACCTAATTATAAACGAAGGTACATTGATCCAAAATAAAAATGATTTATGAAATTTATAGATTAAGAAATTATAATTCCTGGAATCCCAAAATTACAAAATTCCAAAATTCCAAAGTTCCAAAATTCCAAAATTCCAAAATTCCAAAATTCCAAAATTCCGAAATTCCAAAATTCCAGAAATCCAAAATTCAAAAATTCAAAAATTCCAAAATTCCGAAATTCTAAAATTCCAAAATTCCAAAATTCCAAAATTCCAAAATTCCAAAATTCCAAAATTCTAAAATTTTCAAATACTAAAATTCTAAGGTTTTGAAAATTAGCACGTTTGCGATTCTAAAATTTCAAAAGTCAGGAAAATTCAAAAATTTAAAAATTTCTAACTCTGATATTTCTAAAATTGTTATTGTTCTAAAATTCTGAAAATCAGAAATTCAGAGAATCTAAAATTATGAAAATGTCTCAAAATACAACAAAACTATGTCAATTTATTAATTCTCAACCAAATTCAAAAAATTATACCTTTTAAGAAGAATACAGTTCTGAGAAAATTCGTTGGTCAATATAACCACGAATCAATCATGCGAAATTCAAAAATCATTTTAACAACAAATCCGAAAACCAAAAATCTCCAAATGCTCCCGTTTGCTTGAGAGTTTTGTTTATACAATGGTGCTGATTTCAGGCTTCAAAGCGTAATTTATGACTGCAAGAGGAGAAAAACCACATGTTGTTCCCCTTCCCGTTCCAAGTTTTTTTGCTTCGGTTTCTCTGTTCTTTAATATTCTGAAAAATTAGAAAAAAAAACAGTTTTTCTATGTGAATTGACTCAAATTTGTTTCCTTACAATTCTTGAAAATATAAAACTTTGACATAAACGGGATAGTTTTCATAAATTAACTCAAATTTCTTGTTTTCCAATGGCATGATGTCTCCTCCATGATTCATCTTAAAGTAACACTGTGTGGGGAAAGTGCGACTAATCGGAAAGACAAAACTTGCTAATAGAAAATCCTGCGGAAAAGATGACATCGTCTGCCATTGATGGTAGTTGTCGCTACCAGAATCACGCTCAATTTCTATTCTTTTGAATTAGCCTCCATCATTTTCCGTATGTCGAATATGCCATTTATCTCTTTCTTTCTAATCTTCAAAGTCTTACAGTACTACTACAAGTGTTTTAGTTACTTGTTCCACCTTATTCAGCCATTCCTAAGTGAAATTAGGTCGTCTTTGTAATAGCTTTATGAGTTTCACGACACTTCAAAAGGCGAACAGATGGTGTGTTAATAGGTCTCGTGTTGCACGGTACCCCAGGGTTGATCAAACACGTTCTGCGCCGTCTGCTCTTTTTATTAATAACTATTACACTGTGTGGTCCCAGGGAGAGTACACATCACTACCTTTGTCTCATTGATTTTTATCTGTGTGTTCGCTTTCCCTTAATTTCTCCATTTTCCGGTTTTCAGCGGAAGTGATTAGGTTGAAAAACAAAATATACAAAATCTAATAAAACTACGGCGATGCTGTAAATGAAAAATTAAATTTTTTCATAAGGAAGTCAGCACCTTGAGATTTCTAAGAAAATTCAAGAGTTCATTTCAGAAAATTTCAGAATCCGCCAGCCAGTTTCAGCCGAATCATATCAATTTTAGTACCAAAAATCGCATTGTCAGTGGAAAAACAGCAGTTTTCCTAGACGATTTTTGCAATTTTTATTACGTTTCAGAACATGAATATTATTTTTTCACTTTTCGAATAATTCCAATTAGTGGAAAAAATTTGAAAATCAAAAAAAATTTTAATGAAAAATGCCAAAATATGAAATTTTATTGAATTCTAAGCATATCACAACAAATTTCACGGTCTGAAACATCCTAGAAATTGAGAAAATCGTTTTGGAAAGTCAAAATTTTGCTCTGAAAACTCGATTTTTAGTACTAAAGTTTATATAACTTTGCTGAAACTGGAGAGCAGACTAAAACATTTTCAGAGGCGCCAAAATAGGCTATTTGCGACCTACAATTTTCTTCAAAATTTGAGTTTACAAGGTGCCCAGGTTCCCTTGTAATGGTTTTTTTTTCAAAAATGAACAAAAAACCTGTTCTCCTGCACTTTCTTTCAAAACTTTTATAATTTTTTCCCCTGTTAGTCATTCTTTTATAAAAAAACCACTTTTTGTCAAAATGAAAACTTATTGAACAAACACATGCCCGGAAACATGCAATCCTTCCCAAATCAGTAATGACTTCTTCCTTGGCCTAAATCGTTACATTAAGATGAAATGGGTATCCGACGGCTTTGAGATACGGGGTTACCGATTACGTCATCCCCCACATACAAACGATTCCTTCTCATTTACAAGAAAAAAAACTTCAAGTCGAAAAGTCCAAATACGTAAAAAACATCAACACGTTTTCCTGGAAAAACTCCTTTTCTTTCTTCTTTTTTTTTTCTTTTTTCGTCCTTACCCAATTACAATTTTTCTCTTGTTTTCGTAATTAGGTTTTTTTTCCCTTTTTTTTTGCTAGTAAGGTTCAATAAGACACTAACTTCTTCTTTATGTCACCTCCAAAACCTGAAAAATAGGGAGAAAGGCAAATTTTATTTGTGTTCATTTTTTCTGTCACCCTCCCTCAAAAAACATAAAAATAGCCTCACACCCATTCGTTTGTCGTATTACTTTTATCCGTCTATACAACTGAAAAATGGAAATTCCTACGTTAAAAAATGGAATGATTATTGAACCGCTCGAAAAGAAGAACATCCTATTACGCCTACATAACGGGTTGAAGAGAGATATACTCTATTTTTCTTTTCCATAACTTTTCTTTTTCGAAGAAAATGTGACACGACTTGAGACGTTTTCGATTCGCTCTTTCAATTCTGATCCGGATGGAAAGAGGAAGATTAGGAGATTGAAAAAAAGTGAGACGGAAGGTGTATACCTCCTTACTAGTCGAGAAGTTCAGAAGAAATAAGATGTCATATTCAATTCTTTAGAAAATCGTTTCCTTTTATGTGTACTAATTTATACTAATTCCAAGTTGTACTAATTCCATAGAATTCAGATTTTATGAAAATGTAAGCTCAGTTCTGATTTTATAATTGTAACTTTTAGAGTCAGTAACTAGGCAGAAAATAAGAGTTTTATAGTGATAATAAGGTTGCTTTTGGCGTCCCAAAAAGTAGTTCAAAATTTCTCGCTTTGTCGAGAATTTCAGAGTGAATTGTGCAAAGATGGTGCTTTCATTTTGTAGTTGGCAACATTTTCTTATGAATTCATCCAATCGAGATGAGCGATTTCGAAATTTAGTAAGTTTTATTTTACCACCAATTTTTGCGTTCTTGACATTTTTTCTTGATAGAAACTCACTCCATCGTGAGCTTTGAACTCAATTATCTCGGTTCTTTTAAAAGATATCAAGAAGTTTTTAACTATCAAATTATTAATCATAATATCACTAATATGTTATCAATTGACAAAATTTTGATATCTCTCATAGGAACCGAGATAATCGATCTCAAAGCGCATGTACCGGATGAGGTTTTATCAGAAAAAAAACGTTAATTGATCATGTTCAAATTGAGCAAAGAAGTTGGAAGCTACCAAAATCTTTTACTATGTTTCAAACAATCTGTACTTTTTAAGACTCTGAAAATCTTCTGAAATACTTGTTCATAATTCTGAAAAATGCCATTTTTCGATGAAAAGGTCCAAGTGTGGAATTTCATGTATTTCTTTTGTAAACGTGACGCAAACCGTCTGCGTTAAGCCCAATTATTTCAATTCCTGTGACAGACATTAAAAATCTGTCAACTGATAAAATTATGGTGATATTATGATGAATAATTTATCAGTTAAAAAATTTTCGAAAAAACCGAGATAATCAAGCTCAAATTTGACGGTTTCGGTCAGTTTCTATTAGAGCATACACATCATTTTTGTCTAGTACTGTAGTTTGAGCCAAGAAATGGAATTATAAAAAGTCGGAATATAGCAACAAACATTAAGGATCTTACTTCTTGTTTTCAGAATATGTTCGTTCTTCCTTTATCAGATGATTTTGGGAATCATGGTTCCAAGGAATTTAGTACTGAACCTCTTCAAAATTTTGTTTGAAAAATGACTTAAAAACCCACAGAATATTTGGAATATTCATTTTTCACTTCATTTCATTCAATTGACAACATATTCACTCATTTTTGACCCTATCCATTTTATTTTTTGTATAGCTCATTTCTCTACCACTTCTCATTTTTCATCTCATAGAACCCGACACATTTCATCTCCCCATTGTTCACCAATTTCCTTAACAAGTCCATCCATCCTCTTTCCCAGCCTATTTTTTCGCTCTCCCCTACAAAGTGCATCTCTTTGGAGCAACAAGTCAGTTCTCTTTTTCTCTCTTTCCGCGCACTCCGTGTCCGCGAAGGTCGGGCCGCCCTCCCGCCCTCATCCGCTCGTTTCCCTACTGCCTCCTCCATTTTCTCGTCCGCGCGTCTTTCGCTCTTCTTCTTCTTCTTTTTCTCATTGGGGGAGGACTGTCTGCCTGTCTGACCATTCGTTCTGATTCTGAAGCTGCTAGAAAGGGCGAAAGTTCTTCTTTCTGTTGCTTCATACCTCATTGTTTCATATCAACACTTTCCTCTTTATGAATTTCTTCTTCTTCTTCTTTCTCTTCTTCTTTGCCTTTTCCTTATTACCCCCCGTGGATCATAAACGCATATTCTAGGGCATTTATGATCGAGAATTCAACATTCCAACTTCATCTGTCATGAATCCTTCTCTACTGATATATCTGGCAATATGTGCCGGCACCAGTTTGTCTGATTTGACCTTTTCACCATATAAATCTGCCGAACAATACAAATGTGGAAGTTTTATGGAGGATCGCAATGGTAGGAAAGCAGATGCTGTGCTAAGCTTCTTCTACAGTACCATTGACCAGTTCATCACACTCGTCTCATCACCATTCCCCCATCAAGGTTAGTTTTTTATTCTTTTTCCAATCTAGCTTGAGATGGATTTTGAAATTCCTCTTTTACGTCACGTTTTTACATTTTTCGCATTAGTACTGCGAACCAAGTCGAGAAGAAATGAATTGTGAAAGTGGATCACGCAGAAAAACTAGCCAGGGATTATATGTCCGGCGATGTTCCGCTTCAACTGTCCCATTCTTCGGGAGGTCTTCTGATACAGTAGTCCAAATTTTGCTTGTCCCGTGAGTCAGATTCATATGATTTATATGATTAACTCTTGCGTGGAGAGCCTTTTTTGAACGAAAGGTCTTTCTTTTTTCCAAAAATGTAATAAAACCCGGAGGGCGAGTTTTGAGAAGAAGCCTTCCCCACGATTTATGTACAAATGAGGTAATCCGCCGTCGTGTCTGCGTCGATTAGTATCTTCGCGAAATCAACTCAGCAAACACTTGAGACAAACCCCCCAAAAGCGCCTTGGCGCTCTCCCAGCGAACACGCAAAATATTCTCCACCCATACATACACCCAACATTCCAATGCCAAATCTCATGCAAATAGTATTTCAAATTTTCGGAAACAATGAAAAATCAGAAAAAAATCTGTTAACTAATTTGATACAATTTGTAATGACCACCAGTACATTTTTCTCGAGAAAAACTCTACCGACCTCTCGCCATATTCCGGTTTCCCACTGACATTGACACATTTTTCCTATTGCATCGACACTCTCAACCTAACAATTGGGCGAAATAAAAAAAAGAAGGAAAAGGAATTTTCAAGTGCGAGAGACACCAATTGGCAACGAGAACACAATTGTGTTATTATGACTAACGGGTTAATCGAGAAAATTGCGAGAATTTGAACAAAAATGTTGGAATAGGAAGATGTTAGATTGGAAATTACATTATGAAAAGGGGTCGGAATGAAAAAATTCTAAAAAATTCATAGATAATCAGAATTCAAAAATCTTTTGTTTTTGAAGATAATTCAATTTGAATACAAATTTTGAGAAATAAAAAAAATGAAAAGTAATGCTAAAAAGTTTGCTAAGGGCACCTAGAGTGTTTCAAGAGATTTTTTTTCCAATTTTAGTGTGCTCTAACAAAACGACATACTTACCTTGAGCTCATATATCTCAACTTCTATGAGAGATTTTGAAGGATGCTCAACTGATGAAATATTTATCACATCATATATTTTACCAGTTGACAGATTTTTGATACCTTTCATAGGAACCGAGATAATTGAGCTTAAATGGCTTACTGTATTTTCTCTTTTAGAAGCGAACCTTATCCGTGCGCTTTAAACTCAATTATCTCGATTCTTTCGAAAGATATCAAAGATTTTCAACTGGTACATTGTTCATTATAATATTACCATGTTTTATCAGTTGACCGGTTTTTGATATCTCTCATAAAAACCGATATAATTGAGCTTACCGCATTTTCCTTCTTAGAAGCACACCCTATGCTTGCACTTTGAGCTAGCTCGATTATCTTGGTTCCTTCTAATGATATCAAAAAGTTTTGAACTGATAAATTGTTTATCATAACGTCATCAATATTTCATAAATTGTCAGATTCTAGCTTTTATGTTTTCGCTATTTCCAAATTTTCCAGATCTCCTGAACGACCAAGCCCTTACTGGGGACCTCAACGAGCTCCAATCATCCGTAGAGAAGAAGTACTGGCAGGTAGGTGTGATTCGAGTGAAATATCTTTTCCTCTTCTTTCGTCTCCTATTGTTTTATTGGCTCGTGATGCTCCTATTTTGGTGCTCTTCCCTGCTACGCACATTCCTAAATCCTTCTGACCAACACGCTTAGCGTAAGTGACCCGTGGCCACTTCTCCTATACCCAAACTTGATTACGAACTCTAAAGAAATACGCGTCAAAAGTTTTGTATGCATATGATAATAGCATTTATGAGGGAGGGCGAACGTAAAACCGATGGCGGAAATTCCCCAATTTCTCCGAAAATGGAATTATGTTCAGTACATTTTACGAAGGCCAGGGGAGAGAGGAGAAACTTGATGAACGGCCGTATTCGTCTTGGTAGGTGGTGGTCGTAAAAAGCATAGGAAAAAGTGGATTTATGGGCATATCACCTTATTGGTGCCTTATGAACCGTTCGATACATAAAAATGAGTTTTCACTTTTTCTCAAAGGGTTTGATGACGCATAAAACGTTAGGTGAATAAGAAACATTAACGCAAAGTATGGGAATATAAACAAGCTAAAATGCATACTTGTCAATTTCCGGACCGATCCGGTGACCCGGCCCGGCCGGGCCAGCCGGGTCGAAAAAAATTCTTTCGGCCCGGCCCGGGTACCTGATTTTTTGAAATTTTTTGAGAGAAAATGATTGAATTTCACTTAAAAAAGAAAATCCCTGGGATAATCCACCCTTACAAAATTGTGAAACTTCGATATTTTTCCGAAAATTTAATGAAAACTTCGAAAAAGTTCCAAAATTTCAGAATTTGACATTTCAGAACCTGACCCGGAGAATTTTTAATTTCGACCCGGCCCGGCCCGGCCCAGCCAGTGACAAGTATGCTAAAATGAAAGTCGCAATAGAATATTTTCACAAACTTTGAATTTCTTTTTTTCTCAATACACGCTGTGCTTAGGAATGATCATTTAACCCAGACTCTCTCTCTCTCTCTCCTATTCCGGGAAGCTTGATGAATCATTTATAAATTTGGCTCGTCAATCATCACTTTCCAGTCCGGTGAATCACCTTCTTCCGCGTAAAACAGAAAAAATATACCGAGAAACTTTTCCTGTAAAAACATGTGGGGGCTCCGATTGTCGCAAATGCAAACAAAACAGCTCGCTCGGGACTGGAAACAGCGTGGTAGGCGGTCAGTATATAGCTTCTTTTCTCTCCATCATGCCGCTAAGCGTTCAACTGCTTTGGCTATTCAATCGCGGGGCCCCTCCGGACAAAAAGTATCAGATTACGCATGTTTCGGTTCTTCATGCGTGAGAGCGGCACTAAGAAGGGTGTAAATGCAGAAAGAGATGAATTGAATTGTTCTCTGGAGAAGCGTTAGCAGGATTCGAGAAACGTGCAAATTGGGGAAATTTGAATTTGCAAGGAGAAAAATAAGGAACTACAGTGCACCAAAGCATAGAAGAGCCAAGTTTATGAAAACATTTAGATATTCGTAAAGAGGTTTGAAAATGGAACTGTCATTTGAGGGACTACAAAAAATGCAAAAGAAAAAAGGTAAATCTGTAGGGCGTTTTTTAAAAGGTAGGGCGTTTTTTTGAAACTACATTATCAAAATTTCCATATGAGATATCTGAATTTTGTCAACTGATAACATGTTTGTTGTTACAACACCAGCATTTTCGTTGTTTACAGGTTTTGATGTTTCTCCCGAAAATTGAGGTAATAGAGCCTAAAATACCTTGAACACATATTTAAATAATTCCTATAATTTCAACTTTGAACTAATTTATTTTGGTTCCCGTGAAAGATGGCAAAAAGTGGTCAACTGATAAATTATTTATCATTTTATCACCAATATTTTATCAGTTGACCATTTTTTGATATCTTGTACGGAAAATGAAATATATGGGCTCAAAGGTGGCGGTTTAAAAGCATGCTATTAGAGTTTCACGGTACAAGTGTATAATGAGTGTATAATGATGAAATTAGTTTTGATTTGTACCGGACCGTATTAGAACCACATATCACTTTTTTTCGTTGATAAATTCGTAAAATAGATGTTTCCTACTAAAAACTAAATATCTTTCCTCCCACGACGTCCATTTCAACTTCCTTCCCATCGTTTCGACTTTATGATCTCTCCCAAAAAATTTTGGAAACATTCCGAACTTTTTTATGAGGTTTGGTCACCTAACCTTTTCCCCAAAACTGGTTAAAATCGCATGACATTGGTATGTCGTGTTCTTTCCCCCTAATCTTCATTTCAATCTTCCATCTGTAATGAAATTGAACAATGACAAAAAACGCTGTTTGTTAGAGATTGTATCTCTCTTTTCAGTTCACTTCTTTTTTTGTTTTATACCGTGGTGAAGGAGCATTACCGAAAAAGGGAAAATTGTTTGCATTTTACACAATGTGCGATCCCGAATTGATTTAGTTTTGGTTTAGGGTAGCCGGCGAGCACGAAAAGGGTAAAAGCAAAGCAACTATTTGACTACCTGTGAGAGTGCTTTTTTCAACAAAAGAGCCGAAAATGTCGAAATTTAAAAGGAAAAATGTTTGAAAAAAAACAAGAATTTTTCAGTGGATCGAATGGCAGAAAGGATGGCTCGGATTGACTGTCGGGCTGGTGGCACTCAGTGTGGTGTTTGTTGTGTTCTACGTTTTTTACAAGTTTTGCGTTTGCATTTGCTCTCGATCATCGAAAAAACAAAACACGGACGCCAGATATGACGGATGCAAGAGAAGCATGTGCAATTTGTTCCTATTTGCACTTGTTAGTGCGAATGCGTGAGTTTTTTTTCACTTTGAAGCAATGAGATTCAAATAATATGCAGTATCGGTCAATTAGAAATGCAACAACATACTTTTAAGTTGATTTTTAATTATTTTGGCAATTTCCAGAAGTCTGGAGCTCGGCTATCAAATTTTCGACCACTATGAATTTTTTCTTTTGGAAAGTGTAAAACATACCTAAATTGAAAACTTTGTATACATAGAATTTTGAAATTTCGTAGTTTCTCAGCTATTCGTCAATTTCTGAAAGACACGAATGTTCTGAGAACAGAAACGTGCATACAAGAGACAGCTTTCAGGAATCTATGAATAGTTTAGAAAAAACTTGCAATTTTTTGAAAATTCTGGTAATGCAAAGCCAAGCTCCGGACACTTTAAAATGGTCAAAACGGTCATAAATCAGCTGAAAAATCATTTTTTGTTTATGTTATTGACCTGTACTGTACATAATAAAAATACAAAATCCAATCATTCAGATTTGTTGCTTTCACATTGCTCATGACAAGTCAATATGCACAAATTGGATTGGATAAGCTTCCGAATAGAATGAATCAATGTATCGACGATCTTCAGTCTTATAAGAGAGATAGCGATATGGTAATTAGAAAAATATAGTATTTTTCAGATTATTTTCGGTCATTTTGACCATTTTCAGAAAACTGAAGCTTGACTGTGAAGCGTTAGATCAGTTTAAAACTGTTCGAGTTTAAATAGGCCTTGTTTGAAAACATTGCATTCACAGAGTTTTGAGTATTCCTAGTGTTTCAGCTATCTGCTGGTTCACGAAAAGCACATTTTTTCATGTTTTCAGTACAAAATTGGGCCGTAAAGGGGTGTATTTTCAAAATCGACAAATCTGAGAAATATTCATAAAATTCTGTGAATGCAAAACTTTTGATCTACGTCTGTTTTACACTCTTCAAAATTTTCAAATTGATTGGAACCTTGATAGTCAAGCTCCAGACTTCTGAAATTGTCAAAACACCGAAATAAACTGAAAATTACGTTTTTGTATATACTAGTACAGTATAATTGCTATTAGAAACGATTAATATTTTCAGAGAATCCGGAAACTGCTCATTGAAGATTATCAAGTGCTCAACACAACAATCACCCAACAACTCTCCACTGCCGGTCATAACGTGGTGGATCGTGTCAAAAAACTTACTGGCGCACATGTCATTGACGTTTTTATGAACGTTAGCAAAGGTAAAAGAGGGAATGCCAAAGTAAGTATCCTGTAAAAATTTTTTGCAGTTGCGCAGGAAATGCATGACGGGTTAGAGTCAGTTCATGGGAAGGTCAGATTTCTAAATGAGGAAGGAGCGCGATTTGAGGTTATATTCCACTTTTAATTGCCTCCAATTCATACCTTTTAGGCGGAATTCTCACGACTACGAAATACAGCTAATGAAGAGCTCGTCAAGTGTCTAGAGAATGAGCTCGAGCCCGTCAGAAGTATGTGTGCAAAAGCGGAACGACTTCTAGAAAGTGTAGCTGTCACTCAATTCAAAATTGACCAAGTGAGTAGCAAAAGGGGACCAAAAAGGGGAATGATAAGTATGCATCATATTCATGGGTATTCAGAAATTCCTTCCGGATGCCACCGAGAATGGTCTGTCGGAAATCGTCAACGCCAACATTACCCAGGTGCTCGCGGCGTCGAATGCTCAGTTTGGGCAGTTGGAGAATAGGATTCAACATGAGATTGATAGAGAAACGCATTGTAGGGATTGAAAATGGTTCGAAAATTGAATAAAAAAGGATTTTCAGCTGCTCAAAACATGCTAAAACAAATTGGTGATGACTTGTTCCTAGTGGCAGAAACGATATCCACTCAACTGCGCAAAGTGACATTCGAAGCACTTTACAGTTCAGTATCCTATGTGTCAGATCCAAAGAAGACGCCAACGTTGAAAATCATTCAGTATAGGTAATAGAAAATTAGAGATTACTCCTTAGAAGCCTATTTCAGTTGGTATGTATCTCTGGTTGTCACTAGTTTGTTCATTTTGCTGGCTCTTATTTTCCTATTCGGTGTCCTTTATGGAATTTGCGGACGGCGACCAACATACTATAACGATGATTGTTGTGTAAGGAGTACTGGTGGAAAATTCTATTCATTGTCAGTTGAAAATATATTTGATCTCCAAAACTTTGTTTTCCAGTGGAATATGGGCATTCCTCCTTATTTTCGTTATTTTGGCAGTTGGGACGGCTGGCCTAATGTTCTCCATTGGAAACTTCTCCAATCTAGTTTGCCAGCCGATGAGAAACCCCTTGGGTCACCCGGACTCTTTATCGGTTCGTCTTAATCTTTGCCCTTTGTCCGAAAATCTGAACTCTTGCTTTTTAGCTCGCCGAGAGATATATCAACCTTTGGAAAGCAAATCACACTCCAGAGAATGATATTGAAGTCACTCTGCAGTCAAAATCGCCGGCTGAAGTTATCAGGGCGTGTTCGAGAAATGAGACGATTTATAATTTCTATGACTTTGACAAGAAATATCACTTGAATAAGTTGCAAGACTTTGAGAAGGATGCATACAATCAGTTACAAATTTTCTTAAAGACCACAATGGAGAATATGCCGGAGATTCGCCCGCTAGACGCTTTTATCTCTAGAAGTGAACTTAAGGACCTCGAGAAGCTTGCAGCAGTGAATGTGTCAAAAGTTAGCCAACAAGGGCTCAACGCGGTTGGTCTCAAAAATTCACAAAAAAAAGTCAAAGTAGTTAAGATATTCATTTCAGATCAAACACGCAATGGATGAGTTGGATCTGGTATCCAAAACTCGGGAGTTTGAGGATTCGTTGGATGCAAATACTGGCAAACCAAAGGCTGTAACATTGGTTCTAGAACAGATTAGAGAGTTAGAAGCTCAGTTTGCAAAACCATTAAGGAGTCGATTGGAGGCCTTGTACACGAATATTACATCTTTGGATGAGAAGTGAGTTGTTTATCAAATTTATGATTTTCATTTTATCATGCAATTATCCCGGGAACTTACCGTAAACACTAGAACGCTACCCGAATTAACAACTTTGAGGTTAATTATCTGGATTTCTACGAAAGATATTTAAAATCTGTCAACTGATGAAACAATTGCCATATTGTCACCAACATTTCATTTGGAACATTCTTGAGGTAGTCTACTGATAAAAGTTTCATCATTAAATCACAAAATTTTTATCAGTTTACAAGTTTCCGATATCTTTCATAGTAACCAAGATAATTGAGCTCAAAGTTAGCGTTCAGAGTAAGCTTTTTAAAGCATTTATATTCTGAACTAGCTCCTCCAGATAACTGCACGAAATATTTTAAGGATTTCTTATGACATTCTGTTTCTTTCAGATTGGCTCAAATTCAAGTCCCAGTCTCCTCCCTCCTTGTCAAACTCCAACACGCTCAAGCTCTTCTAGCCGAGAACATGAAGGAACACTTTGGTCGTGCTGCCAAAGAAGAATTCCAACAGATGGTGAACAACATTGACCAATACATTCAACATGTCAAGAATCAGGCAAATCTTTTTTTCCCAAAAAATTCCCGTTTTTTTTCAAACGGTACTAATTGGTTGCGTCTCTTTCAGATGGAAACAGAGGTCACGTCGTGCCAACCGTTGACACAAATTGCCAAACAAACAACAGCAGCGATTTGCAATTATACCATCGACCCATATGTAAGAAACGTCTTTTTTTTGGATTTAAAAAAAATGGGGAATCAAGGGGACCTGAAATAAATTTGAATTTCCAGAATGGCACTTGGATGTGTATGCTGATATGTCTCGTGCTTTTGGTCCCAATCGTTATGATATCAAATTCGCTCATTGGCCTCTACTCAAAAATGCATGCCTTCCCGAAATAGTAATTTGAAGGGGTTTTTTTTGAAGAATTTAAGAGTATCAAGTTACAGTATCGTGGAGCCACCATCAGAAACACATCACATGTCTTCATTTATAACGGATACATATGATACAAGGCCCAAGCCGTAAGTTTTTTTAATGTCCATACCGTATTTCCTCTATTAGGCCAACCGAAACCTCTACTATCCGCTCAATTATCTCAATTCCTGTCAAAGATATCGAAAACATTTAAACTAATAAAATAGTTGTGATATTATGATGACGTTTTCATCAGTTAGCCAATTTTCGATATCAATCACAAAAATCGAGATAATTGAGCTCAAAATTGATGGTTTGGGTGCGCTTATATTAGAGAAAAAACGGCAACACCATTTATAAAATGGGGGGGGGGGGTTTTTTTTTTAATTTTAAACGTTTTTTTTTCAGGGGGTATGCCAACTACACCTACACAGACGATTACCAACAACGTAACTATCGGTGAAACCCCTCCTAAAGTGTATTATTATCTCTCTCACAAGACTACTTAATTCTAAAACACACATGTATTATATATATAATGTCGACAAAACACACCCACACATTGTTTCTCTAAAAAATTTTCAAATCGCTTGAACCATTGTACGAGTATTCCATTTTTCCCAACTTGATTTTTTCTTCCCAGTCCACCCTCTACTCAAATTTCTCGCTCAAATTCTCTACGCACACTTATTTTTTTCAGTGCCATCTTTTACAGTTTCTTCCAACACTTCAATTTCCTCGAAACCCTTGATCTTCAGTTGTTTGTCCCATTTTTTTTCAGTTTTCTTGATACAACTCTTGCTGATACGTGACTATCAGTTATATGTGATTTTTTCCAGTTTTTGCTTTGAATAAAAAACACTGAAACTTAGTTTGTTTGTTGCGTTTTTTTTCCGGATTAGGAATTGATAAGAACAGGTAATTGTAAATTTTGCGTGGAAATGAAAATAGAAATGATAAGACAACCCTTTGGTTTTGGATTTCTGCGAAAAAACGGATGCAATCTATTTTAACCCAACAATTTTGTTTTGAGCCCAAAGGATCTGGGAATATTCTAGGAGAACCGATTTTTAGGTTTTTAGAAATCTTTTAAAAACTCCTTTGAATCCCATTTTTGAAATATTCCGACTAATTTTCTCCACAAACTACTAGTAAAAGAGATAGAGGTCATTCTGGTCCGATCCCCTCTTCCTAACCACTATCTAATCACGATAAGACGCGCACTACAGCGTACCCGCATACACACGTACAACCTTCCCGGGCAATCAATGACTGTCTTCCCTATCAGTTTTATAGTCTAGTCGACCTGTTCTCATTTTTCAAATTTTGAAACAAAAAGTTTCCTATTTTCTGATTAGGATTGGTTGATTCTAGAGAATTCCCAGCTTTTCTACAGCCTAAAATTTGAATTTTTGCTATTTCAAAAATTAGTACAGTACTATTTTTAAAAAAAGAGTACAGTTCTATTTAATATACAGAAAAAACTAATTTTCAGTTGATTTTCGGTCATTGTGAAAATGTTTCAGCAGTCTGGAGTTGTCATGTTTCTAATGACAACTCCAGACCCCGTTTTTGTACAAAAGTCGTGAAAAACAAGTTTCTTTCAGAAATCGGCGAATAGCTTAAAACTAGAAATTTTCAAAAAATTCTGTGAATGCAAAATTTTCAATCTAGGTCTGTTTCACCTTCTCCAAAGTTTTCTAAGTGATCGAAAACTTGATAGCCGAGCTCCAGTCTTTTAGAAATGCTCTAAATGGCCGAAAATCAACTGAAAATATGCGTTTTTGAATACTTTACTGTATGGTACTGTATTCTTTCTTAACAGAAGATCATCGATACATTAATTCATTTTATTCGGAAGCTTAGAGTAGTAAATGTTTCCTTCTCAAACTCGTTTTGCACAATTTAAAAAAAAAGTTTTCAGGAACGATGAGTAGTACAATTCGTGCTTCGCAACTTGTCTCATCATCAGCTACCGATGAGAAACAGCCGTCAGTTTTTGATATCATTGCTCAAGAAAATCTTGCGACTTCTATCAGACCAGCACTTCAGCATCTCGTCAAGGTTAGCTGCTTCCTACTTTTAAGGCTAGCAAATATCGAATATTTTCAGTACCTGGCCTTCTTCAAGCCAAAAACCTTTCTCTCTGTGCACAAAAACTTTGATGAATACTACCTCATTTTCGATCTGATTTTGCAGAATCATTATTTGAAGAATTATGGTAAGACTTATTGACTTTTCTCCAAGCGTAACAAAATATTTTTTTTCAGGAGCCTCATTTACGGAAAACTTCTATTCCATGAAGCGAGTGGTCACAAAAAATGGATCTATGCCGAATGACGGTAGAGAAAGGATATTGTCACTATTGACACTCGTTGGATGGCCATATGTGGAGGATAAGCTGAATCAACTTCATGATAGACTCAAGGAAGTTTACGAGATCAGAAGTTGGTCATCGATTACTGTAGGTTTTCTTAAATTGTTTATTTTTTTTAAGTGAAGCTACCTTGAATTCTCGGTTAGCAGCTTACCCTATATGCTCTTTTTGAGCTCAATTATCTCCGTTCGATCAGAAGTTATTGAAAATGTTCAACTGATGGATTACTTATCATGATATCACCAATATTTTATCAGTTGACAGATTTTTTATAACTCTAATTGGAACCGAGAGAACTGTGCTCAAGGTCTAAGGTGGGCTTCTGTTAGAGCTTTTACAATATATGAAGTCTAAACGTTCCAGGACATCAAATCAAAATGCCAGAAAATGTTCGTTGTCATCTGGCCATACATCAAAACAGTTCTCAAAGCAGTGAAGACAGTCCTCCAACTGGCCTACATTCTAAACCGCAGCTCCATTCACTCCCCATGGCTCTATTTCTCAGGTGTCGTCTTGAAACATCTCACTCCAGAAGATTTGGATGCTTTCAATGCAGTGCCATTACACTTGCAGACGGGGTTTGTTTTCATTCACCTGTAATTCTAAATGTCAGGGATTTTAAGATTCTTCAACCGAATCTGGCGCTTCTTCCTAGGACTCCCAGGAATTATCTCAAGACTATTTGCCTATGGACTGTTCTTCGTGCAGTTTCTAGACTATATGTACAACACTGACTTGGCAAAACTGACAAAGACAGGACTCAACAGTGCCATCCCACCTCCACCACACAAAATGGTACAAAACTATTTTCGAAAATGTCTATAGTCAATTTTAACGTATTCAGATCATCAAAGAAAGTGAGGTGCTCAGTTTGGACACCAACAAATGTCCAATCTGCTTGAAGAAGCGTGTAAATGACACCGCATTGTTTGTCTCAGGATATGTGTTTTGCTATACATGTATCAATCAATATGTGAACACTTATCAGAAGTGAGTCTTACTGTATTTTCAAAAATAAAAAAGGAATTTTTTAGATGCCCAGTTACCGGTTGCCCAGCAAATGTACAGCACTTAATCCGACTATTTGTTTAGCCTACTAATTTGACCTGCTACCTCTTTAAAGCCCAGAATAAAAATTTAAAAAAAAATTATGTTTCATTTATGTACAGTACCGGTCGATAAGACCTTTGAATTGATTCTTGGTCATTTTGCCCATTTGCAGGAGTCTGAAACTGAGCTGTTAAGTTTTCAATCAGTTTGAAAATTTGGAGCGTGTAAAACAGACCCAGATTGAAAACTTTAACATAATTTTTTTTTAATTCCAATTTTTCAGAAACTTTCCGAGTTCTGTACAAAGACAGGCCCAAAGGTTGTTTTTCAGGAATTGGAAAATAACTGAAAAACTAGGGAATTTCAAAAAATGTGAATGTTAGGTTTTCAATTTAGGTCTGTTTCACATTCTTCCAAGTTTTCAAAATGATGGGAAACTTGACAGCCAAGTTCGAGACTTCTGAAAATAGTCAAAATGACTGAAAATCCACTAGAAAATCATTTTTTGCATATTTTATTGACCGGTACTGCACCATCTCTTCAAACCCCCAAAAAAAAATAGTTTTTAAAATTCCATTTATATACATTACAAAAATAGAAAGCAAGTCGTTGTACACAAATTACATGTTGTTCTCATCGATGACGATCACTGGGACCTGATTATTAGACGAATCCATCGTCTCACTGACGTTCTTACTCCGACGTAATCCTCTTCTCGGATTGATGCGTGCATTTGTAGCGTCTTTTCGGATTGGACTTCTGATCACATATCTGAAAATAAGGATGATGACATCTAATAATACTCAAGTGTACACGTACACAATGTCCCCAGATTCCAACTCTAGGTCTTGAGCCGGATTGATGATGACGTAAGAGATTGCTGATTTTTCATCGCTTCCTTCCAACACTGAAAAGTTGAAAATTAGATTTTTGAATTTTTTAAAATTGTGGAAACACGCTGAAGCAATTAGAAGTGAACTGAATGAAATTGGTGATATCTTATGAAAATAAAAAAACTTGTAAGTAAAATAATCTAATAGTATATTGTGTTCTGCTTTTGTCACACACCACTCGTCGACATTATACCTGAACTTCTGCACCGGTCTCCAAATCTCCAATTGACTAGAAAGTTTTAATAGAATTTTAAGAAACATAAATGTGTAAATAGATTAAAAATTCAGAGAAAACATGTAACTTACGGGTATGGGAGTCTCGGATATTAAGAACTCTCATTCGATTCTTCACATGGTCATACATATCCTTGTTTCGATTCATTTCAGTGGACTCAAAGTCTTTGCATTGTTCTTGAAGGTCCAGGGAGACCTGAAAATATTAATTAGTTTGGAAAAACTAAATAGGAAAGTTACAGTTTTGGTATCCATTTTTTTGGTTCTGAAAATTCCGATAGGGATATCTGCCACCGAAGAGCATAGTTTTTGATAGAGTCTCCCATAATTGCGAATCCATAAATCATCAGAAGTGATCACAAACGAGGTCAAATACCCTCCATCACTATGTTGATCGATTCCAAGAAGAAGTCTTACGAGATCGACGACGAATGGTTTGATGATAGCCTAAAAATTATGTTAAGTTGGATCTCTCGATTCTCTTCTAACCTGATACAACAATCGATCCAACATGTTCGCACTGAACACGCCACCCTGAGCAAACGGCAGTCTGAACATGAAAGGCATATGGGATCCTCGTTTTCGTTCCTTTTTCTCAAATCTAGATTGGGCTAGTGAGTACGCATTGTTTGGGTTGAACTGAACGAAACGCATGTTCGTCGCATGGGTGAGTTCAGTGATCATTCGAAGACGTGGGAACATTCTGTGAATTTTCTGGACCGTGATGATGGTATTGCAGTCGGCGGTGTGTTCTTCGGCCATGACTGCAGTCTCCTTGACGACGACTACGTGCTCAGCACTGCTCACACCAGCACGAAGGAGGCAGTCGAGACTGAAAATATTTGTGGTTCAAATAAGGAATTCAAAAATTCGATAAATACCGTAAATGCTTTAATATGACACATAATTACTATTCGTAATTATTACTAAAGTACAAAATTTGCGTAAAGCGCTGTACAGGGCTCAAATTTGGAGTGGGCAATTTCAAATAATTCATCAATAAACTAACCAAGTTTTGAGTGATTAGACAAATTTAGAGCGGAGTTATCGCTTATCAAAGTTGCTTCTTTCGATGAAAATCACAACGGCATCGCTTTGAAAATTTCTCACAGTTTTCGATGGAATGCGATATCTTATACATGTCATTTTTCGTGCTTCCAAAAAACTTATGTCTAGAAATATATCCATTTTCAGAAGTCCGGGTAATTGTGCACCATTTGCACTTTGAACTCTGTCATTTCCGTTTCTGCAAGAGCTATCAAAACTTTGAAAACTACAAAAATAGTGATGATACTATGATACGCATTTTATCAGTTTTCGATGGCTTTCACAGGAACTCAGACAATTGAGCTCAAAGTGCATAGAGAATTTTCGGTAATTAAACTTCCAAATCCCTATAACCCACTTTCCAATCTTTCCTTTCATCCAATAGACATCTGGGAAATATGAAATCGCATCCAAAAACGCGTCATTCAACGAGTCTTGCTCTTCCAACTCCAACAAAATAATAATCGGATGTAAATCATGAACTGGTCTATAGTATGCTCTCAATGGAATCACCAAGTTATACATTCCACTGCTAGTCCTATCAGCAGCTAGAATAATTGGCCGATTCCTCCACTGATATTCATGAGCGGATGTTGCAGATTTATGAGCACATTTTTCGTCCAGTTTCAAACAACAAAGTGATCGACGCTCCTTCATCATGTGGCATACTGTATTGGAAGTTCCGATATAAGTCCGCACTTGTGGATAGGTTCTCTGCAACTTGTGTTGAATGCATGGACCTCGGCATTTGTCACAGATTTCCTCTTGATCGGAGTCTGATGAGCTATCGATTTTTCCTTCGGTGACCATTGCGATTGATGGGCGGCGGCTAGACTGTATGTGTTCTCCGATTTCGATCAGATGGATTTCATCAGCTGCTTTTTCCTTTCTTTTCTTCTTCTTCCTGGTGGCCAGCTCTGTCTTCTCATGAGGCACATCTACAGCAACACTTCCAACGTTGGCAATTGTAGAGGCAACGTTCGCCCGCTTCTGCTGGCTCTGAATCCCTTTTCGGAAGTCTGTGAGAGATTCTTCGTTAGTGAGACCCATATAGTAAACAGTGTCCGTGGATTGGATGATATGAGAGGATCCTGGGTTCAGCTTCATTCTAGATGTATCTCCTTCCGGTGCAACAGCAATCAAACCAATTCCATATTCTTTGTGAGCGTGGAAACTAGTGCTGCTAAATGATTTTCCAACGTATTCTCCAAAGAATCTGCTGTCTTGGACACGGATCTGGTACATTTCATTTCCCGAATGGAATCCGTACACTTTATGCCATGGTTCAGTGGACTTTTGTCCTTCTCTGAAAAAAAAAATAGAAGAATTGAAAAATATTCTATAATTAAAATTTGTTGTATACTTACTCTCCACGAGATGTATGCATTAGGAGTGTGATGAAAGTCGAAATTCCTGGACAGATGCAGTTGTTGGCCAACAGGGCGTACTTGAACTCGTCCTCACAAATCAGGACTTCTGAATGTTTTCTTTTTGATACAGTTCCCAATATTTTATTTCTAACCTGCATGCTCAATATGCATTTTAGTTTCCGCTCTGAAAATCTGAACGTATTGCCGAACGTTCGGAGCGAAATCCTTGATTGCCCATGATCGAAGAATTGTGTGCTCATCTGTGGCCACTTTTCGGTTAACGTGACGAGCAGAGAGGATGAAGCAGGCTTTTGCAGTTGACACTCTTGCTCTGAACACTTTTCTTTAAATTACAGTACCGGTCAATTTCTGGAGCATTGTCTTTTTTTCAGCCAAAAATCATAATTTTCACCATTTCAAACAATCGGTACAGTATCTTACAATAAAAATGAAACAACGTATTTTTCAAATGAACTTCGGCCATTTCGAGCAATTTCAAAACTCTGGAGCTCGGCTATCAAGTTTCCGATCATTTTGCGATAGGTGTAAAACAGACCTAGATTAAGAACTGCGCATTTACAGCATTTTTTGAAAATACCTAATTTTTCCGATATATGCCAATTTCTGAATTACGTCTGTTTTCCACATTTAGTGAACAAAAAACGAGTGAACAAGAAGTGTCTTTAAGAAATCGACGAATATCCGAAAACTATGAATTTTCAAAAAATTCTGTGAGCGCATAATTTTTAATCTAGGTCTTTTTTACACGCTCCTAAACTTTCAAAAAAAAAGGAAACTTGAAAGCCGAGCTTTAGACTCCTGAATATTGAAAAAAATTAACTGAAAAATACGTATATTTCAGTCAAAACAAAACAAACCTCTCCAAGTCTTCATCTCTCAAAGAACTTCCGCGCACGTAATGAACCCGATTGTTCCAAAGTGGTATTTTCAACAACATGCGAGTTTGGTTGTCCAACTCGGCTGGTGACAGCAAAACAACTTGAATTCTCTGAAAGAAAATAACTAATTTGAAAACCGAAAGAAAAACATCCAAAGAAAAACATCCAAAAAAAACACAAAAAGGTTCACCTGGTTTTCTGGGTGCGCGTAGAACTCTTCCAAAAAGTCTCGAATGAATTCTACTTCCAAAGTGGTGATAGTAACCACCACATGGGATTCGACACCATTCCAACTGCTGAAATCAGTTCCAGACTTTTGTCTCTCCGACCATGTCTGTCCAAGTTCGTCGAGTTGTTTTGGAATCAAACCCAAAGCCACGCAGATCAAAATCACGACGCATAGCTGAGACGCCCAGTAGTCTGGGTACCAATCTCCGTATCCTACTGTGGAGAAAGTGACCATAACAAAGTAGAAAGAGGTGAAGAGATCAATTTGTTTGGCGCGAGCTCTTTGCAAATCTCAATACTGCACATTCCCGTGAAAATGAGGCAGGCGAGTACAGTGAACAAGAGAAGAAGCTGGCGGAAGAGAGCTGATGAGGATATGAAGGATTTGCGATTGAGATCGTTCTGAAATAATTTTTCTTAGTTGAGGGGTCCCAATTTGAATGAGCTTACCATCATTGCCTGTAGAGCACCTTTGGCAAGCCAACAGTTTAAGAAAACCGGGACATAGAGGTAAGTCAAACTTGGAATGAAGATCTGAATATTGAAAATAATTTCAAAATTTTTTTAAATGTAAAAATAACATACAGAAAGGATAAATGGGAAGCTGGTAATAAGCTCGAGAAGAAAATGGATGTTGATTAGGAGACGAATGACACTTCCCTGAGAAAAATTTTAAGTTTTGCAGTTTTAGTTTTCGATAAGCTTCTGGGGTCTAGTAAAAGGTTCTGGTCCTTAAAGCAATTTTAGGAATCAGAATTTTTCAGGACCGAATTTTTTCGAGAACCTGATTTTTTAAGGACCAGAACTTCACACTAGAGTCAATTTTCGTACGTTTTCCCGTCTTTGTGGATTCGAAAATTTCCAAACTTACCGAGTAGCTGAGATAGAAGACCAAAATTGTGTAGACCATACTGATGAGAGCGAAGAATGTTTGAGCGAACCATATTTTGAAATCAAAATCCACCCATAACAAGTACTCACTGGAAACGTTAATGTTAAAAACTGACTGAAAACGACTGCGTAGCTCAACCACCATTTTTGTACTGTACGTTTTTAAAGAATTCATTTTCAATGAATTACATACACAGTACTAGTCAAATGTATTATTTGATTGGTTTTTGGCAATTTCGACCATTTTCAGAAGTCTAGAGTTCGGTTGTTGAGTTTCCAATCACATTAAAATTAATGTTCTTTTCTATATTCCTCAATTTCAAGAAACCCCTATTATTTTTCTATCCCCTGTTATTTGAGTTATGCTCACAGAATTACCGTCAAACCTGTAATATAGCGCCATGGCGTTCTATTTTTAGGAGGGTGTTTTTGGATGATGCGAGTGGACAAAAGTTAGTGTTTTACTTGCTTAACAGTGTACCAAAATGAAAGCAATGGTGCGAAATTTCTAGATTCCACTGATACTTCGTTAATCAAACAGTAAAACTTTGTTCTGCTACCTCCAATCACCTCTTGAGGATGGTGTTATATAAGAGGGGTTCTTTTATTACAGGTGGCGTTATATTACAGTTTTTACGGTAATTGAAATTTCCTAGCTTCTCATCTATTTACCGATTTTCGGAAGACACCTGTTCTTGACTCCTTTTCAGTTTTATTCACGTTTATAGTACTAGAACGGGCTAAAAATGAATGTCTTACAGAAACCTGCAAATAGCTGAAAAACTAGAAGCTTTCGAAAATTCTGTGAACGACAAATTTTCAAAACTAAGTATGTTTCAACCCCTCCAGAATATTCAAAGTGATCGAAAACTTGACAGCCGAGCTCCAAACTCTTGAAAATGATCAAAATGGCCTAACGTTTAACGAACAGTATGTTTTTGTATATATCATTGACCTTTTCTGTATGGAAAGAGTTCAAAAAAAAAGATTCCCTTCACAAGTTTTTTTCAAACTTACTAAAATGTCAAATCCTTCTCTTTTGCCTCCGCCAACGGAAACTCTTCCGGATACGTTCTCTCATCATTCACCACACGGAAGCAGTAAAGGATACATGTGAGAAGTTTGATGAGCACATTGCAGGAGCGGATTCGAGCGCCTGGAATATTAATTTGAAAAAAAATTATTCCGAAATTTCGAAACCCACTGATTTTGGGATTCTCTATGAACCATTGCTGCAACTTGTGTTTGATGTTCTTTTTCTCACCGTATTGCATCCGTGCACTGAAAATAGGATTATTAGACTGAAACAAAAATGAAAACATTATTTTTTTTGGTTTTCTTGTTACAGAACAAACCAGTCACTTCATTTCGAGCAGCAGTAATCAGATAAACCTACCCCATCGCTTCTTTTTTTCTGCTTTTCAAGATGTTTTTCTCCTTTTTTCCTTTTTTTTCTCAGGAAGGGAAAGAAATTGAAGAGCTCGTGGCTTAGAAAACGAGATGGTGAATGTAGTAACGAAAGAAGAGCGCGCCCAAAAAAGAACAAAATTCGCTTCGTCAATTTTTTATGCGATGTGTTTCTCCTAGTATAGCAATTTTCACTTTTCATGACTATTTCAATTTTGCGCTCTCTGAAGATCGGGAATCACAAACTCACAAAGTCCTAGTCACTGTCCTACTTAATCGACTCATTTGGAAAGAGTCAAGTAAAGAAAACTGAGAAATTGGAAATTTCTGGAGAAGAAGACTCCAAATTTCCTTTTGTGGACTCTTTCTTACTCCACAAGACGCAGAGGGTTTTCTTTTTTACGCTTTACCAGCTGCGAAGAAGAATAATGAGTGTTCATTTAGAGAAAAAACAAAGGGGGTTAGGAGTCAATAGGAAACGGGTAATTAAATATGGGAATGAGACGAGACGTTAGGTTGGCACAATAAGAGAGTGGTCCATTGTCTTTTTATGACCCGATGATTTTTTATTAGAGTAATGTGCTAATTAAAATCGATTCAGAGGGGTTCCTGGGTTTTTGGGAAATTGATGAAAAAATTAATTAGAAAATCAAGTTTTTCAGCTGATTTTTGGCAATTTTGACCATTTTCAGAAATTCGCTTTGAAGTGTCCGCTGAAATTTTGGAAGGTGTAAAACAGAAATAGATTGATAACTTTGCATTCACCGAATTTTTTGAAAGTTCCTAGTTTTTCAGCTACTTGCCGATTTCTGAAGGACACCTGCTTCTTTTTCCGTTTTCAGTACAAAACAAGCCTCAGATGAGTGTCTATCTTTAGGAGAAACGGGGAAAAAAGTAGAAATGAATGAGGACAAAAAATGGAGAAGGCTGAGAAATCATTCAAAAATTATTTTTCAGTTGATATTTGGTTGTTTTGGTCATTTCCTGAAGTCTGGAGCTCGGCTGTCAAGATTCCAATCACTTTGAAAATTTCATAGGGTATAAAACAGTCCAAGATTAAAAGTTTTGCATTCAAAGAACATTTTAGAAACTTCTAGTTTTCCAGTTATTTGCCGATTTCTGAAGGGCACCTGCTTCTTTTTCCGTTTTCAGTACAAAACAAGCCTCAGATGAGTGTCTATCAGAAACTGCCAAATATCTGAAAAACAAAAAGTTTCGAATCTAGATTTGTTTTACATTATTCGAAACTTTCGAATTGTACGAGACTTCACAGACGACATTCAGACTAATGAAAGGGGTCAAAATAAACTGAAAACCACGTTTTTTTAAATCTTATTGACCGGCACGGTATACGAAATTTTTCAAACGTTTCAATTTTTCAAATTTTAATTTAAAAAACAGGAAACTTTTATTTTCTGAAAATTAAATATTCATGAAAACTGAAAAAAAATAATTTTTTTATTTATAGTATATTATTAAAATCCTATTAATCGAAATCATATATAACTAATATTAAAAATGTTTTACAAAAAGTTAGATTAAATTATTTAAGATTGTTTTATAAATTATGAAATTTAATTTTGCAAAACTTTTTCTGAAATTTTTTCAAAACAATCGAAAAGAATTTTTGAAAAAAAATGTAAGAATTTTTTAAATAAATTCAATTTAAAGAAATTTTAAGATTTTTTTCACTTCAAAAAGTATATTAAAATGGAAAGGAATTACATTAGAAATTTAAATTTTTTGAAAAATTTTTAAAAATTTGATTTTGAATTACGAAACAACATTTTGCAAAAATCGTCCCGAAAATTCTTAACTAAAAAAGTTTTAACGTCAATAACCCAGCTTTTAGTACAGCTTGTACGCTACTTTTTAATATAACTACGTATTTCCTTATTGTTCAATTTAATTAACTCACACATGCTTATTGGGAATTCTATAATCAGCTGGCAACGAGTGACAACTTTCGACGCGTTTGTGTCTCTGCTTCATCGACGACCGATTACTATTGTTATTTGTTCCCATCGGCGTAATCAGTAGAATCAGTAAAAATTGATTTTACCCAGTTTTATGAGTCACTTGTGAAGATAATGAGGTAAGTGAGGTAAAACAGATAATGAGGTAAGTGAGGTAAAGAAATACATCAAGATTTTTAGTCAAGATTTTTTAGCCTCGTGGGAAATTGATTGAGAAAGAAATAAAGTAGTGTGTTCAGCCAATTTCGCCAATTTTCCTTCATTCAATGAGGAATCAAAACTTGGACAAATACGCCCAAACGTCTTGCCATTTATTTGCACAATGCACAAAACGTAACCCCTTCCACGGCCTTTTCCCGGTTCAAAATCCACAGGTAAAATGGGAAAGGCAGAGAAAAAGGAGGCAAATAACTCAAAGTGATATATGGACATAGATGTGAGGGAACTTGGCGTCGCGTACTCTTTTTCTTGTTCCACCTGCATTTTTTTGGCGAATAAAGAGGTCGGAACCCCAATTATTTCCCTCTGACTTATTTTTTAGGAATTATTTTTTCCTGTTCATTCTAGATTTTACACCAAGCGCTTGCAATTATTTTTCCAGTTTGCTATCATGTTGTTGGGATGTTCAACAACAGGTGGTGGTAAAAAGAGCAAAAAAGTATTACACTTCATCAAGAATCTGCTGGGTGCTCGGCGCCGGCGAAATCCCGTTGGGTGATGCTTTGCGGAGGAGCTCGCCGAGCTGATTGTCCTCATCGTTCATCTTATTAGTAATTTGATTAATTAGGTAGAAACAATTAATTATTTAAACGGGAAAGAAACCAAGAAACGAGATAAGTTAGAAAAATCCGACCCATAAAAATTTTGGAACCAAGAAAAACAACAAAATAAAGAACAAACGGAGTTAGGGGGAAGTATTTATCCCAAATTCGCGGGACTCACTAGTTCTTCCTCAATGGCCTCTGGGGTGTCTGAGGGCGCATCCGAGGCATGATTGCATACCCCACAATAGACTCAGTGAAAATCTAGCAAAGATTGGGTACGAATGGAAACAACTGACATTTTGAAAGGGCAAAAAACAAATGGGATATCTAGATACTCCGGGGGAAAATTGGAGGTTGAAAAAAAAACAGAAAAAAGAGCAGGAAAAAAGTTTCACTTTACAACTCAACGGATATTGAGGATTTCAAAATATATGGAGAACTAAGGTTCCGCAAATTGAGGAAACAGGAAATCAGAATTGATACTAGAGTACCAGTCGATAAGATATTCAAAAACCTTATTTTATCAGTTGATTTCCGGTCATTTTGATCATTCACAAGAGTCTGAAGCTCGGTTGTCAAGTTTCCGATCATTTTGAAAGTTTTTAGGGTGTAAAACAGGTCCGGATTAAACTTTCACATTTATAGAGTTTTTCGAAGTTCTTAGTTTTTCAGCTTTTCAGTACAAAAACAAGACAAAAAGGGTGTCTTTCAAAAATCGGCAAAAAGCTGAAAATCTAAAAAATCTCGAAAATTTTATGAACGCAAAATTTTTGATTTAGGTCTGTTTTACACCCTCCAAAGTTTTCTAGGTGATCGAAAATTCGAGGGCCAAGCTCTTGAAAAGTCAACCAAAAATGAACAAAATCAACCGAAAAATACGATTTTGTATAGCTTATTGAGCGGTACTACATATATATATATATATATATAGTCTCATTAAGTGCGAAATTTCCAACGAAATAAAGAAAAATACGCCTAGTTGTAGAGGATTAAAGAAAATCTCAAGTGTCGGAGAAGAAATCCGAGGAATAGTTGATGGAGCATAAAATTGAGCTAATTATTAAGGCTTCGTTTGGTTTGAGAGTCCTTTTTAGGGTGTTTATGAATAGAATAGAAAAAATCTGAAATATATGAGAATAATCCGCAACCTAAATAAAAAATAAATCCATAGGCTCGTCGACCCTTCGCCATAATGATTGTGGTGTGGAATAGACAACATGAATGGATTCTGGATGTGGCTGAAGCAAGAGAGATAATGGAGCACGCTAGATATTCAGATGAACAAAGAATGAAGAAAAAGGAAGGAGAAGAAGCAGTCAGATTTGGCTTCATAGGAAACTTTCCCCAAGGAGAAGAGCAACACTAACCAACAAAGATGAAAAGAAATCTTGAAAGAAAAAAGAGCAAGAGAGATTCGGCGTCCCAAGAAAAATCCGTCATATTTTACATTTTTTATTACTTTTTGATTTTTTATATATTCTTTTTTCTGAACTCTCTTATCGGACCATATGTTCCTAACATTAGAAGATAATACGGAGTGTACAACAAGTGAGTTAAAAGATGAAACTAAAGAAATTAGGAAAGAATAGAAATGAAGTATAGAATTCTAAAATTCGCTATTCATCGAAACCGAATTTTAATCAACCTTCCCTCTTCCCCTCATCTCATCTGTCATCACGAATATGTAACTGAATAGAAGATGATGCTAGTTCATACTCAAACGCATATGTGTATGAAAAGAAATGTATCTTCTTCCTTTTTCCTTTCTTTTCGACTCGACTCTAATTCGAGCACCACGTCTAATCCGTTCAGGCAGGATTTGGGCTCACATGTCTTTCCAAATACATCGAATACGCGTTGAACAAGAAGACCACTTACGGATCTGTCCGAAAAATTTCGGTGATGTGACTGATGGATTGCTTGAAATCATCGAATGATGTCGACGGCTGCAGCTCATTCATCAACGAGGCATACGAGTTTTTGTATACGGTACCCTCGGCCTCCGAGTCGGTTCGGGCAATGTCTGAAAGTTCAGATTTTTGTCTGTTTGTGCAGTTTTTGATTTTTTTTTCATTTCTCCCATTTTTTAAAGGTTGTGTCCTCAAAACCTTTAACAGAACGTCTTTAAACGTTATTTTTATCCTTCTTCATTACTTTTCAAAGTTACTAAGATAAATTTACTTGGTTAGGGTTGGTTACTTGGTTAGGTTGGTTAGGGGACACTGATGTCTGATAGCAAGAAACGTGTTTATTTTTTCTGGATATTTTAGACGCAATTTTTTGTTCCAGACATGAAAAACATAAAAATTGGTAAAAGTGTTTTTTTTCAAATTTTCGTAATTTTTGACCACTTGTATTTGTTAGAAAGTTCGAAAAAAGTTTTTTCGAGAAATATGTGAAATATGAAATTTCATCGAATTCTCAGCATAACACAATACATTTAATGTTTTAACTTCTTAGAAGTAAACGTCTTAAAAGTGGGTAGAGTTATTAAGTTGCTCTGTGGAAGAGCGCTGAGGACCATGGCTGAAGATCCCACAGCGAAAACTACCGTAACCCACAAATATTTGTTATTTTTCCGATTTATAATCTTGATTTTCGTGATTTTCCGATACATTTTTCACCATAAAATCATCATTTTCCAACTTTTTTGAAAAAAAATAATAGAAAAATCGACAAAAAGTAGTGAAAACGAGAAAAATAATCCGTAAAATGAAAACGTTCCTAGATTACGGTAAATGTCATGTGAGATCTTTTCTTCCACAGCTCCGATATTTTGTACCAGAATAACATAATTTCTCCTTTTTTTAACGTTGTTGTAACCTAAAAAGTTTGAATAAAAGCCATTTTGCCGTCATTTCAACAAAATTGTTTATGATAATTTTCACAAAGAACATGACAGATGTACTCAAAGTTCACAAAGAAATATCCACAGGAAACTGCGAACCTAAGGGAATTTGGGTTTTTTTTCTCACTCACCATCAGCCTCCTCAAAATACTCCTCATAAATATCAGTATCATTCATCAGGAAGAACACCAGAAATCACAATACCACTCAGCGTTAAAATGTGAAGAGTAAAACGACGAAGTCAATTTGTTTCATTAGCCGAGATGTGCTCTAAGCCAATGCGAAAAGAGTACACGCTCTCTCACTCAATTAGAAATAGAATTTCATCATTCACCGCTTCGCCTTTTTATACATACACGCATTATGTGTAGCTCAACTATTTCAAACTTCACGGCTACAGAGACTTTCATTATGATGGAGCAATTTTAATGGAAAAAATTCTAGCATTTTTTGTAATTAATGTTTCTCTTCTTACCCTCCACATCCTGTTCACTAAGATTTGTAGACGATGGAATTCTTCGTAGCCCAGAATATTGTACTTTTTCAGACATTAAGTTCAACAAAAATGGCTAAGATTTTCCGCAGGTCATTTGTTTTCTCTTTTTCCTCTTTCTTACTTGGTACTGGACGACAAGAAAATTGCCCGAGCCATTTTTCCCAAGCTAATTTTTTTTCTGCAAATTGCATTTTCTTTTTCAAGTGGTCAGTTTGAAATAACAATCAGTGGGAAGCTTTTGGTCAAGGATTAGTTGTACAGAGAACTTTAATTGAATCAGGCGGCTAGTTATCAACGAAGAACAATGCAAAAAAGATATTCCGTTGCGGGGAATCGAACCCCGGCCTTATGGGTGAGAGCCATAAATCCTAACCACTAGACCACAACGGAGATGGATTTGAAAGAGAAAATTTTGATACATCAAGTGACATTTAATCGTCTATCAGTCGTTTATGCATTTTTGCCTTATTGCAACTCTTTTTTCAAATTCATTTGATGAATTACAGTTATCCAAATTATCATAATAAGATATCATGAATTCACTGAAACATTTCATTATAATAGTGAATCTGCTACAAATAAGTGAAAAAATAAATCTTCCGTTGAGGGGAATCGAACCCCGGCCTTATAAGTGAGAGCCATAAATCCTAACCACTAGACCACAACGAGATGATGAATACTGACTTGCTTCGGTCCTATGAAATGCTCTGAAGTTGCCCTCATGGCAGTTTTAGATTATTGCAAAATGTCTTGTTTGAAAAAAAAATTCGAGAACAAGACAGCTGTCAATCAAAACCGCAATAGAAAAAGCTGTCAAAATGCAATTGAATGTCAATTTATCTATCTAAATTTGTTCCTTCAATTTCATCTCCGTTGTGGTCTAGTGGTTAGGATTTATGGCTCTCACCCATAAGGCCGGGGTTCGATTCCCCGCAACGGAATATCTTTTTTGCATTGTTCTTCGTTGATAACTAGTCGCCTGATTTTAATACGGTTTTTGTAAAACTAATCGTTGATCAAAAGTTTTCAACTGATTGTTATTTCAAACTGATCTCTTGAACCAGAAAAACAAAAGTGAAATTTGCAAAAAACTCTGTTCTGCAAAAACAACTCTACCCACCAAAAAAGTTTCTTCCCCCCCCCCCCTCCATTTTAACCTTACTTTTTACACAGTTTAAACTTGTTTTTCATCATACAGTAATCCAAAACTTACACAAAAATGGAAAATAAGGCATAGGACTTGTGATTCAGTGAAACTGGAAACAAACTGTGAATACACAGTCAGTTCAAAAAATAAATAAGACGTTTCGAAAGGAGTGGAGGCGAATCGAATAGTAAAAAAAACGGGGGAGAACGATTTATATTTCTCGTATTTGCCCAAAGATGGACTTATCAGTTTACGAATAAAAAATGGAATCGAATGGAGAGTTTAGAAGGCTCCCAGAAAGATTTAGTGTTTTTAAATCTGTCCAACAACGTCAGCACACGCTCATTTGTATTTATGAATGTAAGGGTCACACACAGCTTCAAAATTTGAATTGTACGCTTTGAGTCAAAAACTCTGGGGAAGCGGAATATTTTTGCAGAAAGTAGTATGTCTATTATTATTATTGTTTCCAGCCAGATTCTCATTATATTAATATCCCCGGATTTTTGATAGGGTTCCCTATAGTATGAAATTAGATTAGACAAATAACAACCCACTGCCTTGAATAAGTCTTCTCCTTTCGTCCTGCCATTGTTGTGGTATAACCTGAAATTAGAATGATTTTTGAAATCAGAAATTTTCAATTTTGAGGAAAAAAATCTGACTAGATACTTCACCATCTGACTGAAACTTGTCCAAACTCACATCTCTTAGCGATAAAGCCATTTTAATTCACTATATTAGCAGAAATACACATTTAGCAAAAACTCAAGTAACAAAAAAAGGAATTCTAGAAGATTAAACGCCAAAAAATGTCTGGATGAGGCGCCTCAGTTGTCATGCATACCCGATTCGTATGAATATGAAGATGTTTTAAGGGCACTCTTAGAAAAATGAAAAAAGAGGCCATAAGGGCCAAAAAGGTTTTACCTTCTCTTCCATTTTAGGTGAAGATAAATCGCTGACGTGTGGTTGAAAGATTGGACATCTGCAAATTGAACAAGTGCATCTATATATGTCCTCTAATCTGTCATTTCGAGAAGAATAGAAAAGGATTGACGGCCTAGAACCACCACCCAAGGTTTTCACAATTGAAAAGAGAAAATGGAAGCGAACTCGGAGGATATAGAGAATGTGAGAAAACGCGGGAAGAGGAATAGAACCAAATTAGATTCGAGAGCCAAAACTTGATAACATGTGTGTATGTGTCTATTTCCCGAAGACTTTGGTTTTGGCTTTTGCGAAATGTCAAAAAAAAGTAGAAGATAAAGGAGAAAGAAGAAGTAGAAAAGAACGCGGCGAAAATGACAAATTGAGAAAAACGACCCTCCTTTCATTTTTCTTGGACTCCTTTTGGTGGTGGTTTAGCCACATCAAAGTTGCATTGTTCTCTCTTTTTGTGCTTTTTTGAATTCCCTGAAGCCTTACCAATAAGGAGGGCAAGAAAAATGGGAAATGAAGTAGGAGAAAATTTTTGAGAAAGACAAAAATAAGAATTCAAAAGTGTGCTTCAATTTATACGTCTCAATGAGCATCAGGTTTCGAAAGTGTAATGGGATATGTTTCTGCAGGCTTGACTCTGGAAACTTGTAAAAACCAGAATTGAGCTAATTTGTTTAATTTTGTTATTATTTACTCATTTTTGCCATATCCAGAATTTTTGATACGACTCCGAAAAATTACGTTTTGTTTTGAATAACAATCCCTCAAATTTGGGGAATTGGGAATTGGAAAAATTGAGTGGAAATTAATGTATCGTTGACCAAAATAATTATAATACAGACACATTGTGGATAATAATGCTCAAAATTGAGCAAAATTTTTTCTATAATATTATACAATTTCAAAAATTTTAACAAGAAACCGCCAACAGGCATTTTCGCAAAAAAATTTTCTTCGGATTTTCCATTTTTTTTTTCCACCACTATTTATTTATACTAAATTTTGAAAAAAAATTTCCGCGACACAATAAATAGTTGCGGAGTTCTTATAGGTGGACAAAACTTTTAGTTCTACTTGGGAACAAAAAAACATTGATTTCCAGTTCCCAATAACAATTCAAGTTTTCATGAATATCTAAAAAGAAATACTTTTTTGAACGACAACAAGTTTCAGGTCCTCAAAATCTTTGATCTCCATTTTTTGGCCATTTTACAAGACTACAGTAGTACTTCTGGCAATAAATCTTCACAATTTTAACACCATACACAGTACCAGCCGATGAGATAAACAAAAATGTATTTTTCAGTGAATCATCGGACATTTAAACCATTTTCAGGAGTCTGTAGCTTGGTTTTCAAGTTTCCGATCACTTTGAAAATTTTTAAGAATGTGAAACAGACATAGATTGAAACTTTTGCATTCACAGATTTTTTGAAAGTTCCTAGTTTTCCAGCTACCCGCCGATTTCTTTAAGACACATGTTTTTCTTTTTTTTTCAGTATACAAATTGTCCAAAAGGGGTTTCAGGATTAACTGAAACATACGTTTTTGTATGTTTTATTGTCCGCTAATGAGCACTCAAACTAAACTTGATATGAAAATATATTTATTTAAAGTCCGTTGAGTCCGTATTATCAATTACAAGTTACAAGCTTCACTTTATATTCAACACATAAATTCAGAGCATATACAATTCAAAAATTCCTGTCCACAGTTTATTGGTTTTGTTGGTTTTGGTTGCGGATAGCGGCAAGGTCTGGTTGGTTCTTGAGCCATGGCTTGACTTGGGTCCCTCCCTCCAAAACGGTCTTCTCTTCAAGATTCTTGTTGGCAAGCTCTTGCCCGGCGGCAGAGTTTGGATGTGGAACAGCGGATCCTCCGGTCATTCCACCGGCATTGGTGAGAGCTTGTCCGGCGGCAGAGTTTGGATGTGGAACAGCGGATCCTCCGGTCATTCCACCGGCATTGGTGAGAGCTTGTCCGGCGGCAGAGTCTATAAGAAATGCAATTTAATTTCAAAAAATCAAATATCCAAAACTCACTTGGATGTGGGACACCGCGTCCACCGGTCATTCCTCCTTGTTCAACTGGCATAGCGTAAGCGACGGCTAAAACCAGAGCGAATATAACGAACGAATTCATTTTGAAACGGCTGCTGAAATTGTTGGAAACTAAAACTGACCGCACTGTATCATTTATGGAGGTATTGCGAAATTTGTATATTCGAAAAAAGATAAAAACACCATCACCAAATCAATCAAATACGCTCCCAAAAATTCACTCAAATAGTGCAAAAGGCTCGTTAACACAGTGTGGGTTAGTTAGTTACACAACAATCACCGCAGTGGAAAAAAGAACACAACAAAAATTTCATTAAACAATAAAACCAAGGGGAAAAAACCAATAAAAGGCAAGTTGACAATGTTCCATCACACTCCCTCGCTCTTTGCATTTTATACGTTTGAAATAGGCGGGGCGTTGATCACGAGTAAGAGGGAGAAAAATCGGTGAGAGAGAAGAGAGGGAAGAGAGGGAAATGTGAAAAATGCTTTGATGGCTCTTTTTCGCGAAGAGCAAATAAAAATTGTTTGTTGAGTTAAAATGATCGGATGAAACTGATAGCGTAATATGGTAGAAGAATGTGAGGTAGAAACGAGGAGACGGCAGGCATTATTATCACACAAATACACAGAAAAGTAAAAAAAAATAGGAAGGACAAAAGTTAGACTAGAGTTCTGAATGATTTTTGCAGACGCTGTTAATTTTGCAGGATTTTCTCAACTGACATGTCCTTGAGGGACAGCTATGAGATCAGAATAACACAAAAACAACTTGTTGTGATAAAATGATAACGTTTTTCAAGACTTGAGCAGAGTTCAGATCAAGATCACACCGTCAAAACTTTTGACAGATAAATCGAAGAATAGAAAGATATTCACGATCACCGAGGTATAAATTGACTTAAGGGTACAAAATACAGCCAACAAGACATAAAAAGGAACTTTTTAAATAATTTCCGGTCATTGTGACCATTTTCAGCAGTCTAGAGCTTGACTATCAAGTTCCTGATCACTTTGAAAATTTTGGAGGGTGTAAAACTGCCCTAGATTGAGAGCTTTGCCTTCACAGAATGCTTTGAAGATCAGCTACTTGCCAAATTCTGAAAAACCTGTTTTCTAACGTTTTCAGTACAAAAAAATGTTGAAAGAGATTCTTTCAGAAATCGACAAAAAGCTGAAAACTAAGACTTTTCAAAAAATTCTGTAAATTCAACGTTTCCAATATGGGTTTTTTATACTTGTCATTATTTTGAAGTAATCGGAAACTTGACATCCGAGCTCTAGACTTCTGAAAATGATCATAATGAAAATGATCATAAAAATGATCATAAAAATCAATTTTTGACCAGTACAGTACTTGAAAAACAGATTTTTATATCCCCGAATTGCTGTACCTTCCGAATAATTTGCCAAAATTGTCTTTTTTTTTCAATTTATCAATTTTTTCGACTATTCCACCTTGTGTACAATAATTCAGTGGTCATGATCAATAAACAAAACCAATGATGCACCATATTGACTTTCCAATTTTGTATACAAAACAAAAAACCAATTCGATCTCTACGGCTCATCAATCTCTGTGATTTTCCATGATATCATGTTCCGGTCCATGCTCTCAAGTTCCACATCATTGAATAAACAGTGGCCCTCTAATACCACTGTGTGAGTAAACGTTCTAGAAATGCGATTCCTGATTTTTTGTACCTTACACCTTGAAGCTTTGAACAACGACACATAAAGTTGACAAGATTGATAGCCACTAATGACAGCTAGTGTAAAACAGTTGGTCAGCTTCTCACGCGAAAACAGTGAGTCATTGCAAAAATAAGAAGTGATAGAAAAACCAACGAGAGATTAAAAGGTGTCAACGGGATGATCGCGGAACGATCTTGATCGCGCATGAATCATATTTGCTTAAAAATGGTGATTCACGAGACTATCAGGTTTTTGATAATAACTTTAAAAGCTGTCAAAAATAGAAGCAGAGGAAAAAAATGAGACCAATTTGGGGTTGAAAAATTGGATGGAGAGGAATAGGGAAAACTGGAGAAAAGTTAAATGGAAAAATTGTTCAAAGTTGTTCAGAAATCCCAGATTTTCAGAATTCTCCAGAATTTGACCAGAATTATCTAGAATTCATGAAGATTTTCAGACAATTTTTCCAGTTTTTTTCCAGTTTTTTTCCAGCACCTACTCAGAATTTTGAAAAAATTTTCCAAATTTATTGTTTTATTCAGATTTTTTTGAGAAATTACACAGATTGTTCAAGAATTCTCGAAAAAATGCCTTAATCATCTAGAATTTTCTAGATTTTTAAGATTCTTCCAGAATTTTCCTGATTTTTGGAGTGTTTTTCCAGAATTGAAAAAATCCTATCTCAAAAAAATCCTATTTCATCCAGAATTTTCCACAGTTTCTAGTATCTTTCGTAATTTTCCAAAAACTACTTACCTACTTTTAAAAGTTTTACGGATTAAATTTTACGACTTTCCTAAAATTTTGCGAGCACCAAGAACTCTCAAAAACCGTAAGATTCGTAAACGTAAAATTACATCTTTGGTTGCTAGACAGGCAGTGTGAGCAAATGACTGTTCGATTAGGAGAAAGGATGATGATTTACAAAAATATAAAACGTTCATTTTCAAAATCATACAACTTTTTCAACATTGTATACAAGAAAACATCATTACTCACACGAAGAAATTAAAATCACAAAAAATAGATTAGAATGATCAATGGCTGTACTTCACTTGGATGGTCATTCTCCCAACAATTCCATCTCCTTCAAACCAATCGTGACTGAATTCCTTGACTCCACGTGGGACATTTGTCCATTGGATGATGATTTGGTGATTCTCAATGACATTTTGATCGAATCCAAAACTGGCACAGGTGACAAATGTATGGAAGTTCTCCAGTGGTCTGATGATTCCAGTCTCGTCTTGGGCAAAATGTCTATGTGGATTTGACATGGTGATTCTGAATGCGAGATGACGATTCGACTCGTTTGAGATCATAATCCTATTCTCTTGGCTGAAAATGTATGGCGCATTGAATACCATACGTCTCGGTTGGACTTTGATCTCTCCAAGGCCACTGAAGTTGCTTGGAGATCCTTTGGTTTCCACGTTGCCTCCCGCGATAAATTCAGTTTTGATGACTTTAGGGCGATGGCCTGGAAGATGGATAAGTTAATTTAATTAATATTCATTATAGAATATATTTTCATATTAGAGCCTTTTTTTTCAAATGGTTTTGAGACAATGCATGTGAAATTTTGGTTGAGTCACCCTTTGAAGAATACAGTAAAACCAATTTTTCTTATATCCTAATAAAAATATGAAATTGTTAATTTACAAAATAGTTATCATAATATCAGAAACATTTTGTTAACTGAACATTTTTTCCGAACTCTCCTAGGAGACGCGATAAATCAGGCCAAAACCGTAGATTCTAGGAATTTAAAGGATGCGACACTTTGAAATTTTTCAAAAATTAATTCGAACCCCAAAAAAACCAACCCTTTATATACTGAAGAGGTTCCGAGCTGGACGGTGGTGAGAGAGCTACAGCTGAGCTCTTTCTTGAACCATTTTGAACCGATGACACTGAAGATGTGGAGCAGCTGTCAGCAGCGCTTTTGAATCCCGGAGTAACTGTTTTTGGAAGTTGGGTAGCTGAAGAAGGGGTTTTCCGCTTTTGAGTAGCAGAAATATCAATCGATGGACATTTATCGCTCTCGCCGTCCGATAGTGTTATGATATCAGCTTCTGAGCTCCCGTTCTCCTCCTTCTTGGGTTTCTTGGTGGCAGGTTGATTTGTTGAAGCGATTCCACGTGGAGCAGATGGGATGGAAGAGCTCGTTGTTGGAAGGTTGGTGACCGATTGAAGAGGGGTGTCTGAAATCAAGTTGTATGCTTGGAAAGTGATTGTGAGAAAAAAATGACATACTCCACACTCTGTGGATACATTTGAACTATCTATCAGGAAACTGGATTCAAAAGATTCTTTGAAAATTTTCGATCATTCGAAATTTTAGAAATTTTCAGAGGATTTTCAAAAATTCTTCTCTAAAAAGCGTGAAACCTATGAATTATTTTTTGAAACTCGAAAAATAATAGTATACAAAATTTGATACTGAAAACACTGCCACAGCTCATATTCGGATTCCTCTTTTTTTTATATTCCACTTTTGTTAAAAACTTTCTCAGCGTCTTTGAAAGTACCTTTGTTCGAATATTCAACGAAAGAGATCTCTCAAAAAAAATTCTCAAATTCTAAAAAATGGGTCAAAACAGTAGATTCTAGAAATTTAAAGGATGCGACACTTAGTAATTTTCCGAAATTTAATCCAAACCACAAAAAACTAACCCTTTGGATTCTGAAGAAGTGCTGAGATGGGCGGTGGTGCGACCGGAGCCGTAGATGAGCTTTTTCTTAAAACCTTTTGAACCTTCTTGGCGGCAGGTTGACTTGTGGAGGTGATTCCATGGGAAGAACTTCCGATGGAAGTTGTCATTGTTGGGACATTTTGGACCGATTGGCGTGGAGAGTCTGAAATCGAATTGTATGCTTGGAAAGTGATTGGGAAGAAGCAGTGAGCTACTTCACTCTCCGGAGGTACATTGAACTTTTAAGAAACCGAATTCAAAAGGATTTTTGAGAATTTTCTGATTATTCGAACTTTAAAAAATTTCTAAGAATACTCTAAAAATGAGGGAGATCCCCGTGAGTTTAATCCTGTTAAAAACAACGTTTTTCAAAGTACCTTTGTTCGAATATTCAGCGAAATGTTTAAAAAAATCTTTTTGAAAATCTTTTTACTAAAACCGTGGTATTCCACAACTTTGATTTAGAATTTTCGCCGCAAATTTTGAAGAAAAAACTCACTTTCTGAGGCATCTTTGTGATCGAATTCGAACTTCTCGACGGCTTTTCGGACGCGTTTTGGGCGATTATCGGACATGATCACTTGCTCGGTTTGTCTAAAAAAATAATTTTCAGAAAATTAGAAAATTAACAGGAACTTAATAAGAAGATAAGAAAAGATACCGACAAAAAAGACTGAAAATCGAAGATAAAAAAATTGAAATCGCGAACATTTTTGAGACAAAAAACGGAGTTCAAAAAATGATCTAGTTTTCATCTCATACTCCAGGGGTACATCGAAATGGGGTACATCATGCTCAGGAGGTACATTCACTGAAGGGGTACATAGTCTGGAAAGGTATATCTAGGTAGTAGATTAGCCTAGAAATTGATATTGCTAGATTGGCCAGGGCTGGGAAAAACAAACGCCGGCGGCGCGGCGGCAAAATTTCGGCGTTTCGCCGGCTAGCCGGCTGCGACGACACGGCTGCAGCCGGCGAACGGCGGCGCTGCCGGCGGCGTTTTTATGCGCACTACGGTAGATAAAAAGTTGTGCAGTCTGCATTTTTTCGTTAACGCACATTTCTTTATTGTTTTTTTGGCTTAATTTTAATCGTTTTTGCCAAAGTTGTCTCGTTTTATTAAAAAAAAACGGAAGATTTTTTACAAAGGATTATGTAGCGAAAGTGGTGAAAGGAGAGATGGAAGGTGTTCGATTTCAGAAAATGAGTAAAAATAGAACGTTTCGCTGAAAAGAACAATTTTCAGGTTAATCTTGTCGTATCTGCAGAAACAGAAACACAGTAGGAACACTAGCCACTACTTTGAAAAACGTATACACTTCGAATCGCTGGAATCGAAATTTTTGGAAAATCTAATGTTAATCAAAGAGATGCCTTAAAATTGATTTATTAGTCTTCATCTAATTTCTGAAAAACTCGTGCTCCAAAAATCGATTTCTCAACATTTTTCACTTTCATTTCCAATTTTCTGATTTAAAAAAAATATTAGATTCTTATTCTTTTTTTTAATTCTCATATTTTGTTCATTTTGTTCTCTAACGTTAAAATATGTTTTCCACAATAAACACTTTCTTGAAAAAAAAATTATATTCGAACTTATTTGTAAAAACACAGTTGAACTAATTCGCGCACACACAGCATAAACGCCGGCGCGGCTGTGTTTTGAAAACGCTGCGTTTCGCCGCCGTTTTTCGGCTGCGCTGTGAGACGGCGGAAAGCCGACGGCCGCCGGCGTTTTCCCAGCCCTGAGATTGGCCTAGATATAGCCCCTGATATTGAGACAATTACCTAGATGTACCCCTTCAAACTATGAACCCCCTCAGTCAATGTACCCCCTGAGCATTATGTACCCTCTTTTGATGTACCCCTGTAGTATGAGCCTTTTCATCTACCTAGAAACGTTTTAAAAATACGTTTTTTTAATGATTTTTGTTCTAATTTTTATATTCAAGAAACATAACAAATTTTTTTGGCATAAAAATTAAAACTATGAAAGTCTTCCAATTTAAAACAAGTGTTGAAGAATTTCTTTAGAAATGAAAACAGAGCTTCAGAAGTTTAAAAAAAGCTGAAAACCAGTAGGTTGAATCTCTAAAAAACTTTCAGAGTTTTTTATTCGAATTTTTGGTACTCCAAGTGGAAAAAAAACTTATTATATTTCAAGAATCTCATATTTCGAGGTTTTTAGCCAAAATAAAAAATACAGTAACACGAGAATAACGAAAAATTGAGTAGCAAGAAGATATCAAGAATTGGAAAATTTGCTTATAGTTTCCGTAAACAACTTGGAGAAGAAGAAGAAATCAATAAAATAAAAAAGAAAAATCAATAGAATTGTAATAAACAAGGCGTTCGTAGACAGACTGACTGAGCGAATGAGTGTCCGATTAGGAGACTGCATCATCATGCAGATAATGTGGCAGGAGGCGGGGCATGAAGGTACAGACAATAAAAAACAGGTGTGTCTTCCTTCCCACGAGGCATCTCCTTCATGATGACCTAGGTTGCCCAGTGGTGAATGGAAGTGCGTACAGTGAATCTGCAATACTCCTTCAGTTCTGCAAAGTATCATAGGCTATCACTTTGCTCCTGTTTTGGGGTCTACTTTTACGTGAAAGTGGCTTGAGAATCACACAATTTTTCCCGACAGTTTTACAATATTCGATTACCTACTGAATCAGCAGTACTGATAAAGTAAGAGATATCGATGGAAAACGGAAACTTTCAAATTAATGAGTATATGATATGCGGAACTGTCGCTACCCGGATAGTCTGAACAGAGCGAATCGGTCGGAGGGCATCGAGAAAATTGAAATAACGTACTGTACGTGTAAGAACTTCTGAGGACAGCTCTTGTAGATGCATCTACACGTGCTTAATAAAATGGACTATTGAACCGACACATAATTCAGACGGTATGTCTTATCATGTAATTTTTGAAACGCGCCAAAGGTACGCCAGATAATTTTTTGCAAAAATGAAAAATTCGAATTCCAACATTCGGGAAGATATTCAGTTACTATTAATAGAGCCAAAAAAGAAGAGAATCCGAGAAGTGTTTGGTATAACCAGAGTTTTGAAATGGTGAGTGCATTCGGAATTGCGTCAATACACCAAAAGTGCTTCAATGCACTAGACACGCACCAAGGCGCCAATATTGCGACCAATGCGGTGTTTCTGCACTAATCAAGAATTGCGCCAAGACAAAAAAACCGTAAAGGAACCAATATTGTAGCATAATATACTTGAAACGATATGTTGTGCGCATTTTGTCCCCTGGCGCGTTTTCGGTGCCTTGACGGTTTTCCGGTGAATTTACGCAATTTGGGTATTTGGTGGGTTTTCGGGCGCGTTTCTGATACTATGGACCCTTTGAACCATAGGGATGCTGTGGTTTTTGAGAATAAATTTAGGTCCCGCCCACTCCAAAGCCACGTCCCCCTGAAATGGAATGTGGCTACGGAGAAGTTGAATCTAAACGCTGGAGATATGTTTTAAGCAGTTTTCTCCAACATTAAGGAGGTAAATTTCTTGGCATTTCGGGATTACTGTAGGTTTTTTTTTGAACAGACTTGGTTTTCTACTGGTCCAGTGACGAAAATGGAGAATGCGTATACGACAAGACCAAATAATAATAGCAGTCAAGTAGAAATTCTGGTGATGGTAAATCTCTAAACGATCCGGATTCAAGTCATCGTTATTCCTGGATCGATCATCAAGATTTTGGAGACATTGTAAGTTGTTAGGGTCTAAGAATTTTCAAAAACATTTCAAAAAGTTTTGATTTTTCAAAAATTTTCAGATTGATATCAATGATCGAGTCCAAAACCATGAGAACTTGGTTAACAAAGTTTGGATTCAACGTGCTCGAGTTGACAACAATTACCAGTGGGTTGTGGTGGAGCAAATTAATTGGCCAATTAATTAATTATTATGTCATTCGGTGAATTATCTTTTCTTCTTTTCTTAAATTCAAAAATCCTGAATAAATTTAAATAAACTAGAGAATTGTGGGCTGGTTTTTTTTCAAATATTTACAGAACTTCGATTCAAAATTGCTTTTGTTGTCAAAATCGTTGCCAAAAGTTGCCAAACTCGGTTTTTTTCGATTATTGTGCTCGCGGAGCATCATTCATTTTTGAATTTGAAAAAAAATAATGTTCTCTCAACACTTTGTGAGCTTGATACACTTACAAGGTTCTATTTCTAAACAAAAAAAATTGAAAAATCGGGTTTTTGTTTTTGTGCTCGCGGAGCAACATCAACATCAAAACCATGCACAGCACATTTAAAACAATTTTAATGTTGCTAAGACTACATCCAATCTCATCTCGATGCGCTCGCTGTCTCGATAGAGGTGTTTTCGTGAACTTTCCCAGGGGACCAAAATAAGAAAGGTATTGATTTTCTAATTACCCCTACCGTCGATGTCTCTCATTTTGCCTTAATATCTCGTAGGGTGTTTTTTTAACTTGCGCGGGAAAAAAGACGTATCGGCCATTCTTAGTTTTTTTTTTCGTTCTTCCCTTTCTCTTTTTTTTTCATCTTCTTTTTCTCCCCATTACTGTAACTCAGTTTTGTCGCTAATGTCCCTATTTGCATACTAGATTAGACCGATTGAGTGGTATTTTTTCTGTCGTCTAGTTTTTTCGAGTTTATTCTGTTTTTGAATTATTCTCCTGATTTTTTAGATCGTATTCTCATATTTTTAAGATAAACCATGCCCGTAAAAAAGGCCGCCACGCCTTTAAAAGTTAAGAACGATTCAAAAGCAGGAAAACGAACACCTGCGAAAAGACCCATTGATAAAGATGACCAGACTTCTACTCCCAAACGGCGCCGGTGCCTTTTCGCAAACCCCAGCAACGAACCCGAACGCTACGAGGATCCCAGCAAGATCGGATCACTTGCTGGATTGTTTCTGAATCGTGAGAAAATTCGTCTTCCTGAAAAGACACACATCATTAATCTTGTGGATCACCGAATGCAAATTCATGATCCATTGTGTACTCCGGTTTTCCCAGCGAAAGTACCACTTGACACGATTGTTAATGATGTGAGTTTTTTTTTTCCATTGAAGTTAGTCATATTGAGCTACCGAACCGTCAATAAGATAAACAACGCCGTATTTTTTCTTTAATTTTCGTTCATTTTGACAGTTTTTAAGAGTTTGGAGCTTGGCTGTCAAGTTTCCTATCATATTAAAAGTTTGAAAACAGGCATGGATTGAAAACTTCGCATTCACAGAATTTTTCGAAAGTTGCTAATTTTTCAGCTATTCGCCGATTTCTGAAAAACACAATTTTTTGTACTAAGATGTGAAAAAAGGATGTGAAAAAAAAACAGGTGCCTTTCAGAAATCGGCGAACAGCTGAAAAACTAGGAATTGTCGAAATTATAGAAATTCGCAAAAAAATCTATAAATGCAACGTTTTCATCCTAGGTCTGTTTTACACCCTTCAACGTTCTCACTGTGATTGAAAACTTGACAGTCCAGCTCTAGAAGTCTTGCAATGGTCAAAATGGACAACACTAGTTGTATATCTTATTGTCCGGTACCTTTTCTCAGTTCAATTAAAAATCTATATTGTGAAAATAGCCATTATTCGATTTTAAACATTTTTTCTTTCAGTTTCTGATCTTCAAAAAATTTATCCGCGCCAACAAGAAAGCCACTCAGATCCAAATCGTTCAACATGCTTGGGGAATATCCGAGATGGTCCGGATGTTCAATGAGAATATCAGGTAAACCCCGTTTAAAGATTTCAAGCTATTTTTTTTAAATAAATTTTCAGATCACACATCTTGACCAGTCCGGAATTCAAGGAATTCGATAAAAAACGTGCCAAAAAAGCGTGCCCTTCACAGACCTATGGTGTCATTCACTTGATGCGGTTGATCAGCAAGCTCCACGAAATCTACATTCCGTTGTCTATTTATGAGGTTGGTAAATTTTTCGGGTCTTTTTTGAGCTGTCGCATGTTAGTTTTGTTATAAATTTAAAACTGGAAAACTATGGGAAGTTGAACTCGTTGACCGAATATCAAGAGCGTCGGCTCAACTGAGCTTGGCGGACACTGCCGCTGATAGATCAGGAGTTTGCCGTGCAGTGATATTTTTCCATGAGTTATACTTCCCCTCATTTTCAAAAAATATGTTCTTTAGAGCCAAAATTTCTGTTCTCATTAGTCCAAGATCCATTTTTAAATCGTAATTTTTATTTTCTCATTTTCCAGGACATCAAAGAAGAAATGCCGGAATTCATGAAATTCATCGACGAAAACTACAAAAAGTACTGGAACAGGGAAGCCGAATACCCTTCCACTGACAAACACAGCTTCGAAGCGAAAACTGGAATCCGTTGGCTGGAGTGAAACATTCAAATATAGCAAGTGCGCTCTTCCGAACTTACTTTCTCAACCACATTCGGTTTTCGAAAACACCTCAAATCATATAACAATACCTTGAAATTCGGTTATATTTAACATAATCTATGCTTTGCTTTTTTGTGCGTGTTGTCCCTACAGTGCTCTTATTTATGCCTTCACGGTTTTTCTTTTCAAAATTTCCAGCCCTTGCCCATCTGTTCTTCAGCTTGGAAGTTTCATTGTTTTATTTCGCCCGTATAGTTTTGATTCTAATTTTTCTTTTTTCCCCACTTAACGGTTGATTTTCTTAAAACTGCCCATCCCTTGCCCATACTCATATTTTGCCCGTACTCTTGTTCTATAGTCCTCCCAGATTCCCTAATATTTTAGATATACTTGTGCTGCTATTTGAGCCCATTCATTAAGCTTTATGAACCCCATATTCTCGCCAAAAATTTTTCTCATTTCTTGTGCTATGTTCTGCTCCCAGATTCCCTGGTATAGATGTATTTTTGTTTCTTTTCGACCAAATTTTCCTTCTCCATGGTCTCGTTTGGTCTCAACTGATCCCGATTAAAAAAACCTATGGATTATGAAACTCTGAAAATTGAAAAGGAATTGCAATTTCAAATAATGAGGCTTTCCCGCCAAACTTTCGATGGAAAATCAATTTCGACCGAGAAACTGATTGATTCATGTTTCCCGATTCCCCCAATATTTATACAGATTTGTCCAGATTTTTACTCGAACTTGCAGACCTTACCCATATCTCTATAATAGCAACAACGTTTCAGAAAACTCACATCCAGAATGGAGGATTTTCACGTTTCTAACTGCCAGTAGACTTTCAGAGCTTTTATATTTTTTGTTAGAATCCCGTAGTGATAACCTTGCCTCCGAGCCAAAAAAGGACCAAGAACAGAAAGACTAAATTCAAATGAGAGAAACAGGCTGTTGAAGTCATTTAAATATCATTTTGGTTGTAAAAAGTTATCAAAAGCTTTGTTTTTATTTCTTGTGCTCACGAAGCATCAGCTGTTTTGAACTATATATTTTTAAGAAAACGTTCTATTAGGTTGGAATGAAAGTAACTGTCCATTTTTTGGTATGTGAATAACACAAAAACAAGAATTACTCAAGATTGACAGTACGCACTGTCATGGTGTACGACATGTTGACAACATTCAGGTAACTTTTAGATACCATCCCTCCAAAAGGCAGCTGGTAGCTAATCAAAGTATTTTTTCAGCCCAGATTTTACCTCATCTATAGTGTTGAATTATTTCCGTCCAGATGAAGTTACATATCTCCTAATAATCAACAATGAAAGGGTCAAATTAGGAGTTTGAGGAGGCGTGAAGAAAAACCGTGCGGCTAAAGCGGTCCAGGTCTTACTCGACTTCTCGTGGAACATAGGATCCCGCTTTATTTAAGGGAAGTCAATTCAGTCTTAAACAGCTTTGGATGGACAGCTGTCCAGGTTTCTTAAACTTCAGACTTGACCCTTTTATTATTGCTTATTCGGAGGATTACAACGTCATCTGGAGGGAAAATTATTTTACACTCACGAGTAGATAAAAACGGCATTTTGGGAATACTTTGAGTCGCGGCCAGCTGGCCTTTGGAGAGATCATATCCACACGTTACCTGAATATTGTCAGCATGCCGTGGACTACGACGGTGTCAATCTTGGATAATTCTGGTTTTGTTGTTACTCACGAATTAAAAAATGGACAGTTACTTTCCTTCCAACCTAATATCAAACTTTGTAGGAATGTTCGCTTACAAGATACTCTCTCTTTGAAAAAATTTAAAAATTAGTTTATTGTTATTTTTTGTGCTCGCGGAGCAACACTAATATCATGCACACCACATTTTAAACCACCTCTATTGTTGTTAAAACTACATTTAGCCTTCTTTGGTGCGTTCGCTGTCTCGATAGAGGTGTTTTCATGAACTTTCCCAGGGGATCAAAAAATCGTTATTGATTTTAATATTACCCCTGCAGTCTAAATCTCTCATTCTGCCTTTATATCTCGTCAGTGTTTTTTTGAACTTTGGTGGGCGCCAAAGAAGGTTTTTGATCTGTCTCACTTGCGCCCATTCTTAGTTTTCGTCGTTTTCCAAATCAGTCGTTTTTTCTCTCTTTCGTTTTTTCATTCTCCCATCTTTTTCCTCATCACTCAGTTTCGTCGCTAATGTCTCCATATACATGCATACTGGATCAGAGCGATTGAATGGTATTTTTTCTATAGTCAAGTTTGTTTCGAGTTAATTTCTTTTTTTGAATTGTTCTCGTTCTTTTTTCGATAGTTATTCTCATATTTTTAAGGTAAACCATGTCCGGAAAAAAAGTGGCCACGCATTCAAAAGCTAAAAATGAATCAACACCAGGAAAACGAACGCCGGCGAAAAGACCCATTGATAAAGAAGACCAGAATTCTACTCCAAAACGGCGACGATGCCTGTCCATCAAGCGCAACATACATCCCGAAAGCTCCGAGGATCCCAATAAAACCGCACCACTTGATGAATTAGTTCCGGATAGAGAGAAGATCCCTCTTCCGGTAACCCTCAACGTTATTGAGACCGTCGATCTCAGAATTCAACACCTTACTCCATTGTGTGCCCCCATCTGCCCTGCCAATGTGCCACTGGATACGATTGTCAAGGATGTGAGTTTTTTACTCTTGAAATTAGTCAAATCGAGCTACAGTACCGGCCAATATGATATGCAGCAATTTTTGAACATTTTAAAAACTCTAGATCTCGGCTGTCTATTTTTGATCACTTCGAAAATTTTGAACAGTGTAAAACATACCTAGATGAAAAACTATGCTATCACAAAATTGTTTAGAATTCTTAGTTTTTTAGCTGATTGCCGATTTTTGAAAGCGACCTTTATTTGGATAGTTTTTGTACTAAGTAAAAACAAGTTCGTTTCAGAAATCGTCTAACAGCTAAAAACTAACAAAATTTTCAAAATTTTCAAAGTGATTGCAAACTTGACAGCCAAGTTCCGGACATCTGAAAATTGTCGAAATGGCCAAAAATCAACTGAAAAATAAACTTTTTTAAATTTTACAGACCGGTACTGCTTCTTGGTTTAATATTTTTATATTGGTTTTTAAAACAGCTATAATTTGATTTTAATTTTTTTTTCAGTTTCTGGTCCACAAAAAATTCATCAGTCCTAACCAAAAGGCCACACCACAAAAGATCACTCATCATGCTTGGGGAATATCCGAGATGGTTCGGATCTTCAACGAGAATATCAGGTAACCCCCGTTTAAAGATTTCAAGCCATTTTTTTAAATAAATTTTCAGATCACACGTCTTGACCACTTCGGAAATCAAGGAATTTGATAAAAAACGTGCCAATGCTTCAAAGAGGTATGGAGTGATTCATTTGCTGCGGATGATTAGCAAGCTCCACGAAATCAACATTCGGCTGTCTATTTATGAGGTTGAAACCTTTTTCGGGGCCTTTTTTGAGCTGTCTCATATAAGTTTTGTTAAAAATTCAAAACTGGAAAACTGTGGAAAGTTGAACTTGTTGACGGAATATCAAAAACGCCGACTCAACTGAGCTTGACGGAAGCTATTGCTGATAGCTGAGTAGTTAGCGGTACAGTGATATTCTACCCTTGAGTTATAGTTTTCCTCATCTTCAGAAAAAAACAACTGCTCTTTGCAGCTAAAACTTCTGTGCCCACCGGCTTAAATTCTGTTTTTCATAAGAAATTTGAATTTTTCTCATTTTCCAGGACATCAAAGGAGAATTGCCAGAGTTTCTGAAATTCATCAATGACAACTACAAAAAGTACTGGAACAGGGAAGCCGAATACTCCATCGACAAGCACAGTTTTGAAGTGAGAACTGGAATCCTGTTGCTGAAGAGAGACATTTGAATATTGCAATTGCGCCCTTCCAAACTTACTTTTTCGATCACATCCGGTTTTCAAAAACACCTCAAATCATTTCCCAATAGCTTGAAATTGGGTTATATTTGACATAACCTATTGCTTGGTTTTCTCTGAATGTGGTCCCTATTTTATCCCTTCACTGTTTTTTTCTCAAAATTTCCAGCCCTTGCCCATCTACTCCTTAGCTTGGAAATGTTATGTTTTATATTGCCCATATAGTTTTGTTTTTATAGTTTCTTCCTTCCCCACTCAGCGGTTTTTTTTTGAAATCGCTTATTTCTTGCCCATGTTTTTGGTTTCTTTCTCAAAATTGCCCGCCTTTGCCCATCTGTTCCTTAGATTTGAAATTTGCCTATTCTCATATTTTGCCCGTAGTCTTGTTCTATAGTTCTCCCAGATTCCCTCATATTCAAGAGATATATTTGTTCCTTTTTATCCACGTTTTCCTTTTACAAGGTTTCTTTAGGTCTCAACTGTTTTTGTGACTGTTTTTGAGGGACATACATACAGTTATATTTAACGGACGAATTTTCATATGGTGTTTTTCTAGAATATAAAAATGAGCGAAATTATCTGAACAATTATTTTCGAATTCGTGTGGAGGTTGAGGTGAGGACGCCAAATAGCTGGCTCCAAAACAACTGATTCTGGTGGCGGCTTTATCATTCGGGAATTTTCGGGAAAAGCGGGAAAAAATGGAAATTTGGTTTTTCAGTGAATTTTTGCATGTTTTTCTCAATTTATCTTGAGATTTGTCGATTTCTTTACGTTTCTCAAAATGGTCCAACGAATTTGCTTGGAAAACTATTCAAAAAGCAAAAATAGTTGAAATTTTGAAAAATCTAGAAAAAAACAAGGACTGGAAAATTTCCCATTTCTCCCGGAATTTCGGGAAAAAATTTTTCGGGAAATTTCCCGTCGAGAAAAATTCCCGAAAAATATTTCGAGGAAATTCCCGTCGGGAAAAATTCCCGGAAAAAAATTCGAGAAAATTCCTGTCGGGAAAAGTTCCCGAAAATTTTTTAGAAAACAGGGAAAACGGGATTCCCGATTTCCCGATTTGAACAAATCTGCTACAAAAGCACTGATTTATTCCAATCTGATCACATAATAAAGTTCAAACCCGGACAATGAAGGGAAGAGGGTCGCCAGTAAGGGGGACAATACGAAACCGATAAAACATTTTGATATGACGCGTAGGTCTGAGCACATTTACAAAACTGTACAGCGTTTTTGAGGCAATAAAACAAAAAGAGAACTAGAATCTAGAAGCATTCTAGAGCATTTAACAATAACGAATGTCTTGAGAATTTACGACAAGACCGACTATGAGATGATAACATTCCTATAAGTTTACGATAGGAAAAATATAAAAAAAAATTGGTCCAAATATGTACAACAGGAGTTGGAGTTGAGCTACTGAAGGAATGGATGGTTTGCCAGTTCAGATGCTGATGGACGATTTGATGGATCGAGACTTGTGAGCTGGAGAAGGAAGTCACGCTGGAATAGACGGAAATGGTTTTTCGAAGCATTTACTTTCAACTTACAGATTCTGGACAACTGTCCAATATTGCTGGAACCTCTCCTTTCTGGAAACTGCCAAATGTGTGAATTCTCTCACTGGCTGTTGAAAATGGAATGATGAGTTCAGCAGCAACAAGTCCCAGAGCAAAAATATCCACTTTCTCAGTATACAACTGATGGTTAATCTGCTCTGGAGACATGTACGACCGTGTGCCGACGTTTTTCGTATGCTTGATGCTGCTATCCGAGTCTTGGCGTAGAGTTGCTTTTGGAGCGCCATCGGTTTTAGTAGCTAATCCTAGATCCCCAATCTTGAGAATCTGATGGCCTGGTTTGGAATCCAATGAAAAGAAGACGTTTCCAGGTTTAAGATCACGATGAATATAACCTTTCTCGTGAAGATACTCCAGACCACTAGCCAGTTGCTTGATCCAGCTCTTCATGACAACCAATGAACGACTCTCAATAGTTTTGCTTCTCTTTATCCAATCCTCCAGCGTCTTCTCGGCACACAACTGCATCACAATGTACAAGTACGCACAGTCACCAGTGTCGTTGCGCTGACGGACTTCCAGCTCTTCGTTCTCGGTTTCGTCGATCATTGCCTGCAAGTGTATTGTTTTTAGATGTTATCAATGGTGAGGAATCATAATAAAATTAAACTCACTCTGTTATGTATCGACAATTGCTCTTCGATCACTGCAATTTCCATTCGAGCTTCCTTGATCTCCTCACTGGACCCATCACCGAATACAATTCCTCCAGAAGATGAGTAGACTGGTTCTTGGAAAGATACGTCACTGCACGACGATGACGACGACGAAGAACTCTCCTCATCAGAATCGTCATCGGGGTTTGAGAACACAATCCGCTTCTTTTTCATGTTTTTATTATTTTTAGTAGGACCTGATGATTCCGAAAACTCGTCTTCCGTGACTTCATCTTCAGAATCAGAGTCAAAGAGAGGATTCTTCTTGGCCTTTGGCTTGTTAGCAGAAGTAGAAGGGCCCTCCTCGTCATCCGAAAACGTGGTACGCTTGTCTGATGGTGTGTTGTCAGACTCTCCATCTGAAAATAGAGACTAATAGATTTTTCAGTGAAACCAGCACAACTTACAAAGACCACGCTTGCTCTCAGACGTGGAGCGATTCGCCTCCAATTCTTGCGGCTTTGTCGAAGCATCCCAACTGTTTTCAGTGTCTACAGTATGTCCAACTACTGGTGGCATTTCAAAATGCTCTGCAAACGACATAGTGTCCGCAGATTTGACATGATGAGCATGACTTGAAAGTTTCTTTTTCTGATTTTGAATTTCGTGAAGTTTTGCCAGCTTCTCCGCTTTCATTTTCCCCAAAAACGCTTCATCCTCCTTATCCTGATACCCTTTTGGCGGTCGCTCCTCCCATGCATAGAAATATCGAATGATTCCAGGATGGTCAAACATTGCGAGGGCTCGTGCTTCGCGGAGAACTCGATTTCTAGCCTTGTCACTGAAAAGATAAGAGTTGTCATGAGACTAACTTGAATGATTGAAAGCTCACTTATCAGCCACGGCAATTCGTTTTACGGCGTATTCGTTCATGTCAGTGATACTTTGTGCGCGGAACACAATTCCAAAACCACCGTAACCAATGACCTTTTTAACTTCAAACTCGTTGGCAAAACGGCTGGTGAATCCTTCTTGGCTGGAGCGAGATATTGTACGATTTCTGAGCAATCGCTTCCTATCATCATTAGATAATTGGCTGTCTTCTGAGTCGATGTCAGTTTTGGCTTGTCGTTTTTGGATTTGCACCCGAGGCGATGTTCCAAGATCGACATTCGATTTTTCGACAGGCTGAAAATATTACTTTGTCTTGAGCAGTAGTTTTTTTCAGTCAATTGTCAACGGTTTTTATCATTTTCAGGAATCTGAAGATCTGTCAAGTTTCTGATCGTTTTGAAAAATTTGGAGATTATGAAACAGACCCAATTCGAAAATTCTGCATTCACAGTATTTTTTTTTTGGAAAAACCTAGTTTTTCAGCTATTGACCGATTTCTTTGGCCCGTTTGTCTACTGAAAACGTGTAAAACGGGTGACTTTCATAAATCGACAAACTGCTGAAAAGCTAGAAGCTTTCAAAAAATACTGTGAATGCAAAATTTTCAATCTTGGTATGTTTTACACACTCCTAAATTTCCAAAGCAATTGGACCTTTGACACCGAGCTCAAAACTCTTGCAAATGCTCAAAAGGGCCTAACATTGACTGATATTGACCGGCACTGTATGCACCACTCACCAACAAGGCTCTCTTAACAGGAACACTCTTAGCAGATCCACTGACATCTGATGCATCATCACTGATTCTCACAATTCTTTCTTCTGACGAAGTAGCGGTTCTCTGAAACCAAATCTACAATAATTGCAAAAAAAACGCTATTTTTCAACGTTACTTACGTTGCTCGGTGTAGTGCTCTCAGAACTATCCGTACTGGATCTAGGTGAAATCATTAAACGAGATGGTCTTCTGATCCAATAAAATGTCGAGATTGCCATTCCGACAAAACTTGTGAACAACCCGAGCATTGTTGTTGGATTGAAGACATAGCGGAGCACGGATTGCACAGCGGTCACTGGCGATGGAAGTTTGAAAGTTTTCGGAGCGGGGGTGTCTAGAACCAAGTATCCATGGTCACCAGATTGTGAGAGTGAGGTGGATCTCATGTTTTCAGTTCCAAGCTGTTGAGCTGGCTTGTCAGCGTCTTGAGCTAGAATTTGGAGCTCTTTGGGTCTAGCGGCAGATGGGCTCTTATCCTCGATGGCTTTGCTTTGTGAACTTTGAAATGCTTGCCGTAGAACAGCTCCTGAAATGGTCAAATTTTAAATTCAAAAAATTCCATGAGCATCACTCACGCAACGTTTCATGTTTGATATTGTAAGCAAGACTTCTAGTGTCATCATTGGCAGAACAGAAACGTGGACCAGCAAACTCAGCAACTCCAGATGGCTCTTGAAGCATGCTCATCTTCTTTTTAAGGTTCTTCTTCGCCTTTGGACTTTGAATGATGAATGGGAACTGGTTGTGAGTGCCCATATAGAGAAGAGACGTGTGGCTTTGCATGTTGTGTTGATCACGATGCATCACTTCAAATTGAGTGGTGAAGATGTTTCTGGGGTCGAACATGGAAATCTGGAATAGTTTTTCATAGGTGAGTCTTTGAAAAAAAGCTCCATACCTCTCCAATGGTGTTGCCGGAAATCTGCCAAACACTGACAATATGTCCGTGCACATCGGTTTTCCATTCTTCCCGATTGTGCTTGTTGACAGCTACCAGAATTCCATCAGGCGGTTGGAGAAGAACTTTCACATCCGACGCTGGAATCGCTGGCACCGACATCCCTCCGGCAAGACTAACATCAATCTCCGCCGTCGACAAGTTCCACCGCTCCACCCCACGCATCGTGTCCATTGCTCGAATCGAGTTTGTAACACGTTTCACCAAAAGCACCGGATTTTCGGGAAGCTCCGCGTCTTGATTGCCACACGACTCCATCGAACACTCGTACTTTACTTCTCCCGTGTACAAATCGAATCCTTTCGTCGTGACACTTTTTCCACCAGCCACCGCGTCTTGTCCAAGACGCATAGTGGATTCCAGAAGCGAGTCAGTTGTTATTGCCATTGGTTCGATGAGATTTGTGTTGTGTGTGTAGGAATACAATCGTCCATCCAGTGTTGGCATCAATTGCAAACTGGTTCCACCAATATCGATAGGCTGAAAAAACAATTTTAGTTGGATTATGCAATATTGCATTATGATAACGGTTTTGGGACAAGTTTGGAGCTTCTGAGGTCATTGAAGATACCACCAAAGAGGTTGGTTTTTGAATATACAGTTCCGTTCAATAAGATTCACAAAAAACAATATTTTCAGTCAATTTTCAGCTTTTTCGACCATTTTCAGAAGTATGAAAATTTAAGAGCACGCAAAACAGACCTCGATTGAAAATTTTGCATTTTCAGAATTTATTGCAATCGCTATTTTTTCAGCAATTTCCCATTTTTTTTTCAAGGAGATCTTTTTCCACGTATTCAGTCCAAAAACGTGCCAAAAAAATAGCCGGAAATCGGATGAAGTTTGACCGGTACTTTTTTTTCGAAATTTTTCTCAGCGCTAAATGCAACTCACCTCTGATGTGGTCAACGATCCTTGCAAAAGTGGTTCTCCTTGATATCTCCATAGCAATTCACCCGTGTCTCCATCCAATGCAGTAACAGCTCCATTCAACGTGGCAGCGATGATAATATTTAGTTCAGCGCCCGTCTCACAACCTCGATATTGCACATATCCATTCTGCAAACACCAAAAAATCAATAATCTTTGACTCTGAACATCCAACTCACTCGACAACGGACCACTTCAATGTCACTGTCGTCGTCGATGTATTGTTGACCCGAATTGTACGGTACCAGAGCCATGAAGACCAGGAAAACCGCTAAAACTAGATAGTACACACTCATCTGCTTGGCAAACTTGGCTTAGAATGGCATCCCCACAGTCTGAAGTTGTTCATGATTATTCTTTTTTCAATTCTAATTAGGCAAAGGATAGTGCGTTTTGCCAAAAGAAACGTGATAAAATGCGAGGAGAAAAAAGTGACACAGTGCTAGCACGTGTTTTGGTAGAAACGTCTAGGCCCACCATTTTGCCTCGTAAGCAGTGACACACAACACATACTGTCTTTCTTTCTCTCGCGCTCTCTTCACCGTTGGCCGTTTGGCCGTTTTTCCCGAACATTCTCGTTCTAATGCAACGTTTTCTAGAGGCGCGCACGGATCGGTAGGAGATAACGCACTCCGAGAAAGGTGTTCTCTATTTTTTCTAAATGAAAGTTAATTTGGTGGTAGAAAAAGCGAAAAAAAGAGAACTCAGATGTGGGGATGCCATTTACAACAAAGAAACAAGACAATGAGACTGATAAAGAGCATGCATTCTATGAAAAAGAATATTAATTTTTGAAATTTTCTAATTTAAACAAAAAAAATCGCCATCAGAAACAAAACATTGAAAGAAATTGCACCAGAGAATGATGTAAAAATAATCGAGAGGTGCGCACTGTGTGTGTTGCACCACAAACGACGCGCAATTGGTTAATGAGAGGCGAGGAGGACAGGTGACCTCCGGACGGGCACTCAGCGGGTAGTGTGGCCACGTTGGAAGGAGGGGATCACTATAATGATGCAATTGTGTACGAGTCCAACTGGTGGTGGTGTGAGATAAATGACGAATTTTTTTGCAGTTCGCGAAGTTTGAAGGAAAACATTATAACAGAAAACAGAAAATGAAAACCTTGAAAAATAGTACATAATGGCGCGTTCAAAGTTGATTTCCAGGAGTAATTTCCTGGAAAAACGCTGTCCAAAGCTG